ATTTGATTGAAAAAAGGTGTTTGAGTGAATTTAACTTAATAAACCAGGGATTCGATTTTGATATGTATTTGGGGTGAATTTGATTAAGAATAAACCAGGGATTCAAACTTGGTTGCGGTTGCGTCTATTGAGATGCTAGACTGCTTACGTATTCCTGACGAGATAAAACCAACGTAGTTCGGAATTGATTTGTGTGAAGATAGATATTTGATTTGTTGGAATTTGGTTGATGTAACCAGTGATTCAAATTTGGTTGTTATTGCGTCTATTAAGATGCTAGACTGCTTACGTACCCTTAACGAGATCAAATCTATGTACCCTTGCCGCAAGCTACCAAGGGGTGCTCGCCCTTTTTTCTTTTATTATTTCTTTTCTGTACTTATTTTTCTGTTGACTGACATCTTTCCTTTCTTATTTGCTGGCCCATTAGTCTTCAACCCTTTAGCCAAAAGAAGTGGCGTACAACCACTTCCCCTCTTCCTCTGCTTTTTTCATTCTTCTTTTTGTTGTTGTCTTCTTTGTTAACTTTTTTTTTTCTCTTTTTTTCTTTGCTGCCAACAAATGAGGCTGTCCCTTTTCTTCATCCTTTTTTTTGTTTTGTTGCTATATGCAAAACAACAACCACCAGCTGACCACCACCAAAACAAAAAAAAAAAAAAAAAAAAAAAAAAAAAAAAAAAAAAAAAGGTTGTGTTCAACTTTTGTTTTTTCTTCTCAATATATCGCCTCAGTATGCACCAGACCTTCTTCCAAAACGAAATACAAACCTTCTCCATTTTTTTTTCTGTTGTAGCAAACTTTTGTTTTGTTTTAATCTATCTCAATGCAAACAATTGATTTTTATTTTTTGTTTCAGAGCAGTCCAGACTCCAGACACATAAGAAATTAATGTGCCTTTGTTTTTTTGACAGAGAGGGAGAAAATTGATCAAATTCTCCAAAGGCAGAGGTAGAATCCATTTTTATTTGCTGTGAGATTAAACCCCCTCCCCCCCACGGTTTTGTTTGTGGATTTTGCACCCAAATTGGACCTGTCATCCAAAAAACTCAGTGAATGAGCTTTATGACCAAAATGGATATATCACAGAGTATTTGATTGAGGGTTACACGCCCATGATGGGTTTTGTATCCAAGATTTTTTTGGGGTGTAAAACCCAAAGCCTTGATTGAGGGTGAAACACCCAGACTTTATTTCTAGGGTGCAACACCCAAACTTGTTTTCAGGGTGCAAACCCGTATTTGTTTTCAGGGTGAAATACCAAAGCTTTGTTTCCGGGGTGCAAAACCCAATGCTTTGATTTCAAAGTTTATTACCCAATGATGGATTGAACATCCAAGAAATTTTGATTCAAGGGATGCCACCCCCATATGCATTGCCATCCATTTGATTGATTAAAGGGTTGTCACCCAACATGGAGGACATCAAGAGAGGAGCCTTGATTGCCTCTGTCATTTTTCTTCAGCATGGCTGTGCACCATTCTTCCCCAAGCCTTTGCCACATCTTTTTTTATTTTTTATTTTTTTTATCTCTCTACAGCCTGTCGGCTATCCCCCTTTTTTCTTTTCTCTCCTCCTTTTTTATAGTCCTTATGAGAGAGATTTGAGATGGAAGAATTCCCATTCAAATTGGATTACTCTTCCCCTTTATTTGATTATCATCTTTCCTTATTTATTGAATCATGATCCCTTCCTTTTCTTTAGGCATCAGATTAGGAACAATATGACTTCCAGGTAGTTTCAAACTTGTTTTGAAAACAAGCATAGGGTGAGGACCAGACTCATGCAACATTGTGGGGCTTATCCAAACCCATGTTTGAATTTTTATTTTATTTTTGGGTGCATTTTTTTAAGGAAAATGTGATCCTCCCAACATAATTTCACTACCACTAATTAAATAATGAGGTTTTATTACTTTAGGTTCGACCCATTTGAGACGTAGTGTCTCTTAATTATAATATCTTACTTCAAGGGAACACCCTTTGATTCCATCATAAAGAAATAGAACATGTGTGGTTGGTTTTGTGGCTGCTCCCAAGTCCAACCTCAGGGTGCCTATCTATCCCTTGCAGGAATCAAGCCACTCGTAGTTTAAAGAATTGCAATGAATAAATGACTCATTGCAAAAAGGGAAAATTTCAATGAATTTGATTGAAAAAAGTGTTTGAGTGAATTTAGCTGAATAAACCAGGGATTCGATTTTGATATGTGTTTGGGGTGAATTTGGTTAAGAATAAACCAGTGATTCAAATTTGGTTGTGGTTTCGTCTATTGAGATGCTAGACTACCTACGTACCCCTAACAGGATCAAACTAACGTAGTTCGGAATTGATTTGTGTGAAAATAGATATTTGATTTGTGGAAATTTGGTTTGATTCCATTAAGGCTACGTACCCTTAATGGGATCAAACCGACGTAGTTCCAAAATTTGGAAATTAATGGGTAAGTGTGGCCCAATAATTTAGAATTTGTGTCTTTGAGACAATTTGAAGATTTTCATAAGTAGATGACCCATGAAAAAAATAGGAGATTAATGGATAAATGTGGCCCATTAATTGAGAATTTCTGTTTGATTTGATTTTAATCTCATTGGAATTTTCATGGGTAGATGACCCATGAGAAAAATTGAAAATTAATGGGCGAGTGTAGCCCACTAATTGAGAATTTGTGTTTGAGATATTTGAATTTAGTCTCATTGAAATTTGCATGGGTAGATGACCCATGAGAAAAATTGGAAATTAATGGGTAAGTGTAGCCCACTAATTGAGAATTTGTGTTTAAGAGATTTGAAATTAATCTCAATAAAATTTGCATGGGTAGATGACCCATGAGAAAAATTAGATGGTGTTGTACCTTTTTTCTTTTTGTCAATGTCCAAGAAAAATAATGAGCAATTTTGATTAACCCACTAATTTTCTAAAATTGACATTTGCCTTTGGACCCAAATATGGCTATGAGCTTTTTTTATTATAAAATTAATCCATTAACCATATAATGAGAAATTTGGGCATCTATAAATTTAATAGGTAATTATTTGGATTATCCATTAATTACTATGGGCTTTTGAGAGTCAATGGACAATTATTTTTGACAGCCCATTATTCTATTTTGGGACTTTGATATTTGTTGTCAATTAGCCCACAAGCAAGGAGCCTAGAAAAGCTTTGGTCCAGCAACCGATTGAAACTTGAATTTCTTTTGTTTTTTTTTTTTTTTTTTTTTTTTTTTTTTTTTTGTTTTTTTAGTTTTGAGCAGTCCAGACACAGAAGAAATTAGTGTGCCTTTGTTTTTTTGACAGAGAGGGAGAAAATTGATCATATTCACAAAAGGCAGAGGTAGAACCCATTTTTATTTGTTGTGAGATTAACCCCCCATGGTTTTGTTTGTGGGTTTTGTACCCAAATTAGACCTGTCATCTAGAGAACTCAGTGAATGAGCTTTATGCCCAAAATGAATATATCACAAAGTATTTGATTGAGAGTTACGCACCCATGATGGATTTTGTATCCAATATTTTTTTTGGGTGTAAAACCCAAAGCCTTGATTGAGGGTGAAACACCCAAACTTTATTTCTAGGGTGCAATACCCAGACTTGTTTTCAGGGTGCAAACCCATATTTGTTTTCAAGGTGAAATACCCAAGCTTTGTTTCTGGGGTGCAAAACTCAATGCTTTGATTTCAGGGTTTATCACCCAATGATAGATTGAACATCCAAGAAATTTTGATTCAAGGGATGCCACCCCACATGGATTGCCAGCCATTTGATTGATTAAAGGGTTGCTACCCAACATGGAGGACCTCGAGAGGAGCCTTGATTGCCTTCGTCATTTTTCTTTAGCATGTGATGTGCTTCCCCCATTCTTCCTTGCTTGCACCGCTTTCTTTTTTTTTTTTTTTTTTTTTTTTTCTATCTCTCTGCTGGTTGTCTTTTTTCTTTTCTCTCCTCCTTTTTATAGAGTCCTTATGAGAGAGATTTGAGATGGAAGAATTCCCATTCAAATTGGATTCCTCCTCCCCCTTATCTGATTATCCTCTCCCCTTATTTATTGAATCATGATCCCTTCCTTTTCTCTAAGCATAAGATTAGGAACAATATGACTTCCAGGGTGTTTCAAACTTGTTTTGAAAACAAGCATAGGGTGAGGACCAGACCCAAGCAACATTGTGGGGCTTATCCAAACCCATGTTTATTTATTTTATTTTTTGGTGAATATTTTTGGTCCAACACCTGCTAAGACATCTTACTTTACAGCTTGCTCCATACTCTCTTTTACAATTAGAGTAGTTCCCGTGGGCTGCCCATATCAGGGCAGGAAGGGGCCCAAGCCCCAAATTCATCTTCTAGTGGGTTGAAGCTGCCATGGCAGCTACTGGGGCCCATGAAACCAGGCCATCCCTCAGGCAAAACGAGCCCGTGCTCTAGCCTAGATTTGTTGACATCAACAACAACAAAAAACAAAAAAGAAAAAGAAAAAAAATCTACAAAAATTTCAAAAAATTTCAAATTTTTTTTAAAATGAATATTTAGTCATATTCTTCACTTTCCACACCAAAACTCTATGCAAATTACTCTCCTCATATCTCATATGAATAGTGGTTGACATGACAATGGATGGAAACACCACAACGTTTTGCAAGGGTTGCCACTATTCACGTGAATAGTAACAACCCTTGCTTTGCCCTTGCCCTTTGCCATGTCAAATGGGTAGAAGTGCTCTTGTCAACAATGTAAAAACTCCATTGATCTTCTTTTTTACACTGAAAATGGCTTTTCATAATTTTAATCTCAACTCAGTTATCCATCATTTCATTGGATGATGCCATTATAGTTTCAGTGAAACAGGAGAAGAGCCCAAACAACAAAACTAACCCATTAAAGATCTTGGCCTGGCTAACAACAGAAAAAGTGCCATACCAAGTGCAGCCCAACTAAAGTAAAAACCGCTAAACAGTTGATATAGTTTGTCTTCTCATCAGTAGTGATTTATGTTTTCAGAGATTCAATGCGCCATGGAAGGCCTTTCCTGGTCAAAGAGCAGCGCAGTGCTTCTCAACTGGGGGACATACTGCTTGTGGCCTCCATCACTAAGACTCTCTCAAGCTCAGGCACTCGCAACCTCCCCGACCCTCACACCCTTTCACTCTCCGAGCCTCTTCTGCTTCAAATCCTCCGCGCCCAATCCCTCCAGCCTTCCAAAAAACTCGACTTTTTCAAATGGTGCTCTCTCACGCATAACATCAAACACTCGGCGCGCACCTACTCCCACATCCTCTGCACCGCTTCCCGCGCCGGCTTCCTCCACGAGGTCCCTCATTTGCTTCACTCCATGAAAGAAGATGGGGTTGTGGTTGATTCCCAGACCTTCAAAGCCTTGCTCGACGCGTTTATTCGTTCAGGTAAGTTTGACTATGCGCTTGAAATCTTGGACATTATGGAAGAGGTGGGTGCTAGCTTGAACACAGATATGTATAACTCGGTTCTTGTTGCTCTGGTTAGGAAAAACCAGGTGGGTTTAGCGATGTCCATTTTGCTTAAGCTTCTGGAAGGAGGCTGCTCCTCCCAGGTACCCAATTCCATTGCCTCCAATGAATTGCTGGTTGCTCTTAGAAAAGCTGACATGAGGGTTGAGTTTAAGCAAGTGTTTGATAAGCTTAGAGAGAATAAGGGGTTTGAGATGGATAATTGGGGCTACAATATTTGTATTCATGCATTTGGGTGTTGGGGTGATCTGGGTACTAGTCTAAGCCTCTTCAAGGAGATGAAAGACTCTAACTTGGAATCAGTGGGTCCAGATTTGCCTACTTATAATAGCCTCATTCATGTGCTCTGCTTGGTTGGGAAGGTGAATGATGCACTTACTGTATGGGAGGAATTGAAGGGCTCTGGCCATGAGCCTGACGCCATCACCTATCGAATTCTTATTCAAGGATGTTGTAAATCTTATCGAATAGATGAAGCCACCAACATTTTTAGTCAAATGCAGCTCAATGGATATATCCCGGATACCATTGTTTATAATTCTCTCCTAGATGGGTTATTCAAGGCCAGGAAGGTTAATGATGGCTGCCACCTCTTTGAGAAAATGGTTCAGAACGGGGTGAGAGCCTCAACGTGGACGTATAATATTCTCGTTGATGGTTTATTTAAGAATGGAAGAGCTGAGGCTGCTTACACCCTATTTTGTGACTTAAAGAAGAAGGGTCAGTTTGTGGATGGTGTTACATACAGCATTGTTGTGTTGCAACATTGTAAGGAAGGTCTGCTTGAGAAAGCGTTAGGGTTGGTGGAAGAAATGGAAAGGAGAGGCTTTGCTGTTGATTTAGTTACCATATCATCACTCTTGATTGGGCTGTATAAAGAAGGTAGGTGGGATTGGACAGACAAACTCATGAAGCATATTAGAGATGGTAATCTAGTGCCGAGTGTTCTTAAATGGAAGGCCGATATGGACGCTTCAATGAAAACTCCGCAGAGCAGCAGAAAGGATTACACACAATTGTTCCCAAGTAAAGGTGACTTTAGCGAGATTATGAGTTTAATAAACTCTGCTAACTCAACAATGGATGCAGACCTTGATTCAGAGGATGCCAGAGTTAAAGATGATGATAAGAATGTGTCCACCGATACTGATCAGTGGTCATCATCTCCATATATGGATCAATTGGCTAATCAGCTTAAGCCCATTGACCACTCCTCTCAGCTGTTTTCATTGTCTAGGGGCCAAAGAGTTCAGGACAAAGGGGAAAGCTCATTTGATATTGATATGGTCAATACTTTTTGTCTTTATTCTTGGCCAAGGGAAAGCTGAGCTTAGCTTGCAAATTGTTTGAGATTTTCAGTGATCTGGGTGAAAACCCAGTGAGTTACACTTATAATTCCATGATGAGTTCGTTCGTCAAGAAGGGCTACTTCAATGAGGCATGGGGTGTACTCAATGAAATGGGAGAAAAGGTTTGCCCCACAGACATAGCAACATACAATGTGATAATTCAAGGCCTGGGGAAGATGGGAAGAGCTGATTTAGCCAGTTGTGTTCTGGATAAACTAATGAAGCAGGGTGGGTATCTTGACGTGGTTATGTATAACACCTTGATTAATGCGCTGGGGAAGGCTAGCCGGATTGATGAAGTAAACAAGCTCTTTGAGCAGATGAAGAGTAGTGGAATAAATCCTGATGTTGTCACTTTTAATACACTTATTGAAGTTCATAGTAAAGCAGGTCGACTCAAAGATGCATATAAATTTTTGAAAATGATGCTGGATGCAGGCTGCTCCCCCAACCATGTTACAGACACTACTTTAGATTTTCTGGGAAAGGAAATTGAGAAATTGAGATATCAGAAGGCATCCATGGTGCGTAATAAGGATGATTTCCGCTGAAAAGAATTTGTTCTATTCAGTTCGAGTGTAGTCGAACATGTTGTGACTTTCAAGTCATGTGAAATGAGAATTTAATAGGCACGCCCTCTGAAGTGCCTTTGGGGACTATGGATATAGTCTATCAACTTTGGTCATTTCTCTTTACTTTGTTAAGGTAGCTCTGCCTGAGCAAGTGGTAGAGATTGTGGATCCCGTTCTTGTTCTAGAAAAAGTGGAAGTGGAGACGAGCTCAAACAATCGTGTTAAGAAGGATAGGGCGAGGATTCGCATCATAATTGAAGAAAGCTTGAGTTCAATTCTAGAAATTGGTGTCGCTTGCTCTGCAGAGTTGCGTGGAGAAAGGTTGGATATCAGTTATGCCATGGCTGAGATGTTTGAGATCAGAAACGAATAGAATAGAGTAGAAGCATACTGGTGATATGCTGCGTTAGCTTGTAAATTTTACTGTTTCCTTGAGTGAAAGAAGAAGCTTTCATATTTGATAATTTTACTATTTCCTTAAGTGAAAGAAGAAGTTTTCATATTTGCTTAATCAATAACCACAGTATAGTGGATAACTTGTTCAACAGCCCGAAGTGCCCAAAACTTTGACAAAATTTCCCTGATTATTTATATTTTGTTGCCTCCCCCTTTGCCATTATTCAAAACGCAGTTACATAGAATACAATGACTTAACACATAATCTCCTTCCGTAAATCAATTTCATTTATTGTCTCTTACGTTACAACAACACGTATGACAATTACCCCACTAGACTTTTTCACTTCTCATGCCTACTTCTTGCCTAACAACTCTCCCTACGTGCGATCTTGCATATGGTCATTACTCAAGTACCACCAACGGGTTTCTTTCTACGCATACCTGTTCAACAGAGATGAAATAAGCAACTGTGAGAAAAAGCAGGTGGCAGTGTGTAAGAAATAGGAATGCACTTTGACCTTTGCATCAAGGATTATACAAAAATGACATTTGAATCTAATACAATGTTTGACACAAATCATCATAATCATAATTCAAGATCGGATGTATATCCAGTTTCTCTTTTCTAATTTTGAGTGGGAAAATTGGGAGGAGGTGTTTCGCAAAGATGGTCCAATTTTGAGGAAGCTTTAATCTGTAAGAGGGTTACGGCATTACTTCCAACAGATCTTGGCAACAAGCAATGATGGCTTGTGATCAACACATTCTGGAAGAATGTATTTTCTTGGGGAATTGGCTATGGAGAAGGTGGAAAACTAAGCTGCACAGCTAAAAACAAAATTCTAGATCCTGTCACATAAACTTGGGGTTGAAAAACTTGACAAGTTGTTTCAGAAAACTGCAACTTTGAGTGAATAGGCAGAAGTTTTGGGCAATGGAACATCTCCACATTTATGCAGGGTCATAACAAAAACGAAGGTATTATCATTTACAAATTTGCAAGTGTCTCGTTGACATCTCATAAAAGATAAATTCTATCATTTATATGTTCCTAGATCACTTAGCAACGTCTAGAATGAGCTAGGAATAGGGCACTGAAGTTTTTCGTTGTCCTTTAAGGAGTACGTACCGGCAGAGCTCTTGCTCCAGAGAACCTGACCATCAATAGCAGTGAGGTGCTGATCATCAAGGCGCTTCCAAGTTTTGATTGACTTGACTGCTCCCCAACCTCCCTTTTCGGATTTCTCTAAGCTTGCTACCACCACCCTTGATCTCCTATCCCATCCAGCCTTCCCATAAGCGTGATATCCAAAGCCCCCAGCATAACAAAGGTTTATACCAGATAGCTCCCCACAGAAGTCATTGAGGTGATCATGGCCTATGAAAGCTGCCTTCACATCTCCTGCTGCGACCATGGTTGTGAAAAAGCCAGAGTTCACAGAAGCAGAGCTAATTCCTTCCTGCCTCACTCCTGTAAAGTTTGATGAGTCAAAACTAGCAAATTCAGGTAATGGTATGTGAAAGAATGTGAGCCCTGGCGCAGGTGCTTTCTGTGCCTGTGGCTTGCTCGTGTATGCTTTCTGCAGGGTAAAACAAAAAGTTTTATCAACTGTGTCATCAGAATTAACCAGAAACCAAGATAATTATTCAGTTCGAATATTAACCAACACAAAATAATCCATTGGTAGGTATTATGCATGGGTTGATAGAAATGACTTGTGAAGGTAAATGTGGTCCAGCAAAACTGGTGAACGAAATAGCGAGGTTAGTACCCGAAGCTTTGCAGAAGTTCGTTCGAACCAATATTGCTGGGAGGGTTTGATCCAACCATAGCCACCTATGGAGGGAACCGTGGAGTAATCTCCACTGTCAAGGAAGTAGAGATTAAGAACCGATTTGTTTTCAAAACCAGAGCCCTCAACTCCAGAGACCTCCAGGTTATAGTTCCCAAAACCATCAATAACATCTTGGTCCAAAGGATTAACTTGAGCCCGAGTGTTCTGCAACCCAACTATGTGTTTCATCACCCCTTCCCTCGAAAGGTCGGATTCCTGATCATGATTCCCCAAAACAGCTGTCCATGGGATGTTGGACGAGATTGCTGGGGCAAATGCCTCATTCAAAGACTTAGCAGCATCCGCGGCATCAAACCCATATATGTTATCTCCTGTTGCACACAGGTCACATAGGAAATCCAATCAGAAATGCAAGGACCATAGCTAAATCAAAACTTGCTAAGCAAAGCATGCCTAACAGTGGCAGTGAGTGATTCATCTTTGTCAAATACCAAGGCACAAACCAAATTTCACTGCCCATCAGATAATAAAACAACCCATCCTATTGGCATAATCCCAGAGATGGGCTGTAACTCTTTATTATCTGATGGGCAGTGAAATTTGGTATTATGAAATTGAATATGAACATCAGTTAATAAGGACAAAGAAATGAGAGAATAAATACCGGTGAAAACAATGAGATTGGGCTTCTCAGCTTGAATCATGCGGTGAACAAAGACGGTGGTGTTGAGGTCAGAGCAAGTTGGAAACTGGCTCGGCAACACGTCCAAACAAGTCGTGGTCTTGCCATTCCCATAGTGCATATCAGCCACTTGCAGGATCTTAAACTGCCCATCTGACCCAAACCTCAGCTTCTTCTTCTCACCTCCTTCTTGGTGGTGTTGTTTTGCTGCAGCCAAGACCCAGATGGGAAGCAAAGCCGCCGCCACCACCACCATTAAAAATGGAATCTTTACCTCCTTCATCGTCATCTTCAATGCACCAATCTCATCTTGCAGAACCACAGTTGGGTTTTACTTATATGAGAGAGAGTCTGAACAACCATTAGAAATTCAACACTTTGCATTTAATCGTTTCTCCATCAATCAAACAAAAGTCTGAATCTTTATGCCCTTGTCCGTCTGTATAATTTGTTTGTTGGTAGATATCTCTCTCTGTATGATTTAATTAACAATAAATATCATGAGACAGAATTTACAGAATTTCTGTAAGCATATTCCACGGCCGATTAAAGTGAGCTAATCAGCATGGCCTTGTGTCATTGTAAGTAGGTCACACAAGCTTGTTTTCTTGCTGGCACGTGCCAGTCCCTCATTGGAATTTCCAGCCATATTATAAAAAGAAAATAACAAAAGAAAACTGTTGTCTTTTTAACGCATGAATTACAATTCACACCTGACTACGTACGTATGAGGTTGGCTTTTCTTTGTTTCAGGAGAGAGAGACTTTATCTGTCTTATCATTAAATATGGGTAATCCTGCTTTTCTGTTCACTTGTTGACTAAAACAAAACCACAAGTAATCTTTTTTGGTTTATATGGAAAATACTTACCTCCTTTTCTATAAGTAAAAACTCCTACTTTACCGCCAATCAGAATTTAATTCATTATTTTTGTAAATATGTCAAACTGTGATTTGTATAAAGTAGAAATGTCACATTTTGGGAAAGGAGGGAAGAAGTGTCCGGTAAATATGTGTCGGCTCTTGCTTAATACATTCTTAGTAAACAACGGTATAATAATTTTTTTTTTTTCTGGCTGAAATAGATTAGTGGAATTGTTTATTGGAGAAACTATTAGAAAATAGTAATAAAGCTGCGTTGTATGATCAAAATCAAACACTTGTGTTGCATGGTTACTTGGTGTGCCTTGTAGGCTTTTGTAGTTCATTATGTCTTGACTTCTTGCTGCAACTTGAGGGTGTGAATATGAATGATCATTATTATTTATGGTCATCAATACATGTCAGCTATTTATTTTGCTTTCAGCCCTCCGCATGTTCAACTGTGAAACACAATGAGAAATTTATGCAAGCCTTTAACTCATCATGTAGGGTCTTGTAGCTGTTAAACTGTTAGCTCTCATGGTGGTCAATATGATTGCATGGAAGCAGGTGCTGTATGGCAACTGGGTAGCAGCATGTCTTTGTACTGATGGGCAACAAAATACTTTATAGTATGACTGTTTGGAGAGGTGAGAATCTAGCCAGGCAATCTAAAATAAGGCAAGTTTTCTTTTTTCATAGTCAACATGTTTCTGGTCTCCAATACTGCTAGGTCAAGAACAGATCTCTCCTTAAAGCAAATTTCAAGATCCTTTGTTTTTCAATCATATCTGTCGAACATATAATAATTAGAATCCTATACCAGCTGCTTTTCAGCTCTCGCAGGACTAATAGAGGGCCGAAAAGCACCGAGACCTAACAAGCCTAAACTCATTGAATTACCTCACTGTAAAACATTCTCTTTACATGTAACATACTCAAAGGTTTAATCTTTAAAGTTTAAAACAATACACAGAGAAAATCTTTCGAACAATTCTACTAATTTCACAGCACAGGTAAAGTGAAACTATCATTTTGGGATGCTCATCTTATTTTCATCTCTAAGTTAGAGTTCTCTGAAGAAAGATCATGATCCATTAGCATAATTTCCCACTACTCATGTAGCTAAGCACATGCCAGGACAACTCTTCCACACATTACCGGGGGAAGATACAGCCGCTAACACTTTAGCTACTATACCTTTTCCTTTGCAGTAGATCCACCAGTGGGATTCTGTTGGTTAAAAAGAAAAAGGTTCCTACTTCCTAGAAAAGAAAGGGGGAGGGGTCCTGGAACTGTTTCTTTGTACACTGACAAAGCTAACAGCTAGCTTTGAGGTGAAAATAAGATGAGGGAGAGGGGTCCTGGAACTATTTTCAAATATGTATTTGAAAATAGAAAGCTAAATAGGTGATGGTGGGTAAAGCTGATTGCACTTTTGCATCAAATATTCCAATAAATGAGTGTTTAAAATGAGTAGAATAACTAGAAAACACAATGGTTCATCCAAGATTCCCTAGAGAAGGGAAAAAGTGACATTCAGCAATGTTAAAGTTCAAACACGATGTAACCTGGGATACCAATGGAAGTTTTTGAAGTTTCACAAAAGTAGGCAAATGATATATATATCCTGCTTATAGAGATTATTACTGCTTTTCTAATTCATTCCTGCTGGCTTCCATTGCACAAATTGGGTCCATATGCATCCCAATTGAAAAATGTTCTGGAATGAATCGTATCTTGGTGACACTTTAAATAACTTGTCAAACAAACATCTTCATCTTCTGGTGTTACATCTAACAGTATAGACTTCGATCTCAGTTCTTCATAACACAACCAAATTTAAGAACAAAGCCAGATCTCATGGAAATTCCTCAATGTGCTAAACTAATGTCTGGCTTTTAGGATTTCGGATGTCAAAGGACACTTTTTTTCAGAAGATTCAGAACAATTCTGTCCAATTTGTTACTATTCTAACTAGACAGGTGATCACAAGTAAAATCCAACTTGCATTCATTTCTTTCAAATAAATACCAGTTGATGACAACTTTGAACATAGGACATTATAAGACAAGGAAACAGATTATGGATAAAAAAACAAATAAAAAAAAGTAGCAAAGCATAACACACTGCTAGAAACATCAATTAAGCATTCTTATCTTTTACTCCTGGGGATGACTTGAACCAAGGTATCCACACAGAGGTTGTCTTCTGATATCGCCTGTATGCTTCTGCTCTGTAATCTTGTTTCAGCATTCGCCGTTCCACAAGAGTAGTCACATAAGCTAAACACATTGTATTGATGAGAGATCCAACAAAGGCCCATCCATGTCCCAGGCTCCATGCAAATATAACTAGCCCCCACCACCACAACTGCTCTCCAAAGTAGTTGGGATGCCGTGAATAACGCCACAACCCCTCATCAAGATTGGGGACAACTGGCTTTCCAAGCTCTTTCAGCTTGTTGTTTCTGCTTACAAAGCCGTGGAGCTGCGTGTCGGCACAGTATGCTACAACAATGCCAGAAATGCAGACAATGATGGCAACAATATCCCATATGTTCAGTGGCACATTAACTGAGTGGATCACATACATTGGAAGGCATACCCCAATCAGAAAAACCTACAAAGATTAAAAAGAACCATCAAGAAAACAAAAAAGCAGCCATTTTTCACTAGCTTGGAAGCTCATTGAGGCAATTCAGCAAACACTTAAAGCACTACCTGCTGAGAGAGGTAGACGGCGAAGAAGGAAATCCACCACCAGTGCTTCCCATACTGTGAGCTCATATCGGTGAACCTCCAGTCCTCTCTTGCACCCCATTGCCAATTTTCCCGCCTAAAGTAGTTGTGGGAAAGCCTGAGGCTCCAAACCCAAGTCATCAAAACTACGATCGTTGAGCGCCACCAGTTATAATCAGCCAGAGGGTGAGAACCATAGTAATGAACAAGCATTACGGGTATCACAGTCCAATACAAATCGATCATCTGCACCAGCCCAATTATATAAACAGTTCAAATCGGAAGCTGAAACTAAAAAGAACACATTTTGAACGAACATTAACATACCCAGTGGTTTTTTAGAACTTGGCTGATGACCCAGAAGAGGACATTGACGTTGAGGAAGAAGAGGACATTGGCTAAGAGAAGAGGGTGGTGGTAGCACCACGCCCAGAGAGGAGAGAGAATCCCATCTGTTTGGTGATGCTTGTTGCTGAGGAATATGAGGTAGAATATAATGGAGGGAAGGGGAGCCAGAAATGCTACGACTGCATTCTTCAAGTTACCACCAGCCATGGTTGGTTGTAGAAGTAGGCACATCAACAACAGAGGAACAGAGGCCTGTTTTTATAGTCCTAGCTAGTCCCTTTCCTACTAGCTTTTCTTTTTGTTCTATAACGTTTTAAAAATCAAAAGAGGCCCTCCCATGATATTAGAAAGCAGAAAATATGTAGATGATTCTCTCTCTTTCTGCTTGGTGGGTCAGTGAGATCCCTCCAAATAATAATCATTAGCACACCCATTATCATGTCAAATCCATCCGCTCCATTAAAAATGTTATTCATTTGGTAACCTTAATCATCTCTTTTATTCCACAAATAAATAAGTCTACGCATCGAGAGATGTAATTAACAATGTGATCAGTAAATATGATGTGCATAACATTACATTGGAGGGATATAATTAACAATGTAATTAGTAAATATCAAGCGCATGGAGAGAAATAATTAAAAATATGATCAACAAATGCGACGCTTTAACACTACAAGGTTTTGAGGAGGATTTCAAAAGCCTACTTATGCTTGTCAAAGTGTTATCTTTTACAGTTGAAATGTTTACTGCTGCAAAAAAGGGTCAATATGACAAAGAGAGAGGGAAAAAGGACTAGATATAGAGTTGTCTCAATGGTTATTGACATCTGAACTTAAACCCTGCTCAAATAATTAATCAAGTAATAATATTCATCAATCATAAGGGGCGTGCAAAATACACATAAAAATCATCTAATCCCACACAAAATATGTAATTATGAGATGGTTAACCATGGTGTTTGCAATGATGCTGCTTTGCAGCCCATAGTGGTGTTAGCAATCATATATCCTCACATGCCACCCCAACATTAGGCCCTAAACCCTAATTGGTCCCCTCCTCCAACTCTCTCAAATCTCCTCCACAATCTGCGCCGGAGAAATCAAAAGCTAACTTTATTGTACGGCTGCATGCCAGCTTCAATGTCCAAGTCTAATCACACACCAGCACAGCACTTTATAAACACATAAAATAAAAGCACAAAAATGTGTTTCTTTTCTTCTCTCCTAGCATGCAGAGGTAGGTCGGCGGATACAATACAGCTCCTTTTTGCTTTTGGCATGCTGTATATTTGATTAGTTTAACCAAGTCATAAATCCAGGCATGCAATATATTATACCTAATTCTGTGTTAGCTTGTTATCTGCCGCATTTGCACTGGAAAATGAACGTTGCAGCTTTGATTTCTTGGAGCCATGAGGTAGTACTTTGGTGGTTGCAAAATTATACACAAAAAAGCATAGCCCTTTCTTTAACTTGCTGCTGCCACCTATCACAACACAACACATGAGATAAAGCATAGCATGTAGCCTGTATTTGAGGACATAATCACGAAACAATTCCACAAAAGCATATAAAAATGATTATGCAATAATATTACTCCTATTTAACATTGTTTACAAATGAATTCCCATTAGTTTGTCAATTTTACCCCCAAAAAAAAGAGGAAAAATTAAAATAAAATAAAATAAAACCTAATGATAGACATGAGATTATCTATTTATATAGTTGATAGGAGTTTGGTGAAACTTTGAAAATGAGAACAAATACTCTTATTTAAAATCATGCTAAAAAGAGGCCAACAAGGTCTAGTCAGTAGTCTCAGGTCTGAACCCTCATAACACATTGGTAGTGTGTATGTGTGAAACCCCATTTCCCCCCTGTACATTGGCAAAACGACACTAAGGGGTACAATGGGCTGTAGCCCGGTGAGATTTTTGAGGGAAAAAACATCAAACCTATATAATTAACTTGTTTTAAATATCACATTAAAAAAACCTGTTTTAAATATTAGCACAATATATATTAACTTATTAAATTCCAAAAAAAAATTAAATTCTTTATGAATTTAGTTGGATAACAACAATAAAATACACATTCAAATAGGTACGTTTTCAATTATGCTGTTGAACATATTTTAATTTTGATAATGTGTTTTTCGGTTGCATTTAATATGTATTTGTTTTACTTATTATAAATTATTCAATGGAGCTATAAGCTAGCGTGATTTATATGATTTAATGTTTACTTTTATTTATAGAAAGACTATAAAAACTATAAGTATCAGAAAAATAATCATTAAATTTTAAGTTAATAACTTTAGCTAGCCCACATGTTGAAAAATCCATAGATTCCGCCCTTCACTTGTAGTTTGTAGTTTAGATTATGAGTTGTATTTATAATAAAAAAACATCTAATATAATACGTATATATAGTAAAACTAAATAATTAAACAAAAGTCAATTAAACTCTATTTCTATGTGAAGACTATTTGAAACGTTAATTGGCATGAACTCGAGCCAAAGAGCTAGTTTAATTAAAATTCACGACTATGATTAACTTACCTTAATCAACGAACATGCCCATATGGTTTAATTAGTATAAATCTCTTTATAACCTTATCTCCTTTCAGTCCTGATTTCTATCCTCAACAAACAAAATCAAAGAAGAGGTTTCTTGAGTCTATTTCATTTTATTACTTCATATGAATTGTTAGATTTTTGAAAGTAGGATGTAAGTTTTTCCTGTAGTGTATCCACTTATTTTAATCTCATGGTCTTTTTGAGATGAAAATTTTGATCCACTTATTTCTACATCTAATTTTGAACTTGATATATATATGTTCCATTTTATTGAGGGACACCCTTTAGGGTTTCCTTCAAATTTTTTTTAAAACGATACAAACCATCTAATTTTTAAGTCTACATTCATCATTGCAAAAAATATTAGAGAAATTGAAAACCGGCCGTTTCGACATCCAATTGTGTCCTACAAAATCAATGAACATTGTCCTTCAAGAAAGTACTAAAATTTCAATAATTCAATTGAGTGGTCAAATGATATCAGATTTAAGTGATTTTTTGTAGAGATGATATTTAAATGAAAATATCTACAAAATAGACAATTTGAATTAGTAAAATACAATAAGGAGTGAGCTCTATAGGGGTGTCTCTCAAATAAGCTTATTTGACGGATCCCTCAATAAAAGTTCTCTGTATATATATAAAGAGTATAGTAAATATATTCGAGCAAAATTTGGTTGGGATTGAATGAAATTTCAAAGCCCTAATTCCTTAAAGCTTGAAACTCAATTTTTTTGATTCCTTGTGGTTTTATGTTTTGAAATTAGTGATATCAACTAGCTCTTTATTTTATATTGACCATGTTGGAAGAAAATTGTTGTAATAAAATTTTATTCTTAAAAATTAGACTCTAATAATAATCCTGCCTATTTTTAAAGCATAAAATAGTATTGACGTGGCAAATTGAGCAAAGGAGCATCGATCGAGTGAGGTCGTTTTGGTTTTTCCTCTCTGTTGTGAGATATCGTAATCGACAGAGTCAAGCTAACATTTTGATTATTTAGGTTTAATTGTTTGACGGTGAAGCACTGAAGCTGATTTGATCAGAAGATTGAGAATTTGTGAACATCGGGTTTGGGATTTTTGCAGCGATGTCAGGTCGTTTGTTGAAGAAAGTTTTGAAGGAACAAGAAGAGGACCAACGCATAGAATCGGACCACGAAGAGGAAGAAGAAGAAGCCCAGCAGCTGAACGGGAAAGCTTCAATCAATCCCTTCGACCTCCTCAACGACGATGACCATGACCTTGACCACCAGGTTCACTTTTTTTAGTATTTTTTGTTGTGTAAATTTTGTTTTCTTATTCAATATTCTTAAGCTTATTAGGGATTTGAGAAACTGCAACAGAGCAAAAAGATGGAATTTTTATTTATTTTATTGTTCAGTATTCTGCATAAGCTGTTTTTGGGTTGGTATTGGATTGTGCAAAAGGGTTTAACTTTGGATGTTTAATTGTCGTTTTGGGTGGCTGCAGGAGGATGAATCAGAAACTTTTGATGAACCCTCAATTGTGCCTCAGCTGAAAACTAAGGTTGGTGGTGTGGTTTCAACGTCCAATCAAAAATCAAAGAAGAAGAAAAAGAAGAAAGGCAAAGAGGTTTCTTCTTCTTCAAGTACATCCAATGTTGAAAAGCCCTTGGATGCGATTCTTGAATCACTCTCTTTGGATGCCCCTGGAAAATCAGCTGACACAAAGGATTGTGATAATTTGGGTAAGCCATGTGCACCCTCTACATTACAAGTGGATCCCAAGTTTTTAAATGCTGAAAATGAGATGCGAAGAATCTTTGGCTCTAAGGTGGTAAGGTCCTTTGAGAAACATGAGCGAAGTGGCAGTTCTAGAATGGCACGAGGTGGAAGACGCAGTGCTTATATTCCTAGAAAAACTATCCTGATCACACCATCAGAGCATTGGCCTCGCTGGGATGGTTCTTTGTCCATGGAATTTCTTCACGTGAGCGAAGGATACCATCACTTTCGGTAAGATTATTCTCTGTTGCTTAGCTATTGTCTTTGAAATGAGTACAAAAACTGCTAGGGCTATCAATTTTTTATCCTGGCAGTTGCACAAGAAAAATTTGTGGATGCTTATATGAAATTAAGGTCAACTGAGAAGGAGTACAGTCTACTAAATTGTTGTTGGTTGGTACCATATAGTCATAATCAGTCATCCAGCTATCTTCATGAATGTGGTGTCCTGCAGTATAAGTAATGATAACTATCGTTGGAGTCAAAACCTTCACTACTCTTTAATGGTAGGTAGACAAAGTTTGATTGCGGTATTACTCTCAAGAGTGAGAGCCAACTCTTACTTCAGCATTGATATTTATGTTTCCTTTTCTTTTTTTCAAATTTTGGTTTTTCCTATTTTTACCCATCCCATTGTTTATAGTCACAGTTTAGAGTTTGTCAGAATGTGTTCAAGACCAGATTAGGAGTTATGATATTTGATCCCACATCTTTTTGGTTCGGTATTGATTCATGCATCATTATCTTGATTTTAATCTTATGTGCAGATATGTACATTCCTCATCCTACCGTCAAGCACAGAGTGAATTTGAAGCTGCCAAAGCTATACATGATATCAATGCCATTGCAAGTGTTTTATTATACCATCCTTATCATTTGGATTCTCTTATAACTGTGGCAGAGTACTATAAGTTTACGGGTGAGCATCAAATGTCAGCAGAACTGATCTCGAAGTGTTTATATGCTTTGGAATGTGCATGGAATCCAATGTTCACCCCCTTGCAGGGTAATTGCCAAGTGAAATACAGCTATGAAACAAACAAGCCTCTGTTCACCGTACTTTTTACTCACATGAAAAATATGGATATGCGTGGCTGCCATCGATGCGCTTTAGAAGTTTGCAAGTTGTTACTTTCACTAGATTCTGATGATCCAATGGGGGCCATGTTCTGTGTTGACTATTTTTCTTTGAGGTCAATGGAGTATGCTTGGCTAGAACGGTTCTCTGAAGAGTATAAAAGTGATAACTCCTTATGGTTGTTCCCAAATTTTTCATATTCCCTTGCCATTTGCCGTTCCTATCTTGAGAAAGAGGAACCTTCAAAAGATGCACTTGTAAAAACTGCTAAGGCTACTTCAACTGATCTTATGAAGCAGGCATTGATGCTTCACCCCACAGTCTTAAAGAAATTAGTGGACAAGGTACCTTTGAAGGACAAGGTGTGGGTGGATATACTCAAAAATGCATTTTTCCGAGCAGATCAAGTAGGAATCCCATCGTTGGATCACCTAATAAACATATATGTTGAGAGAAATAGTCTTATATGGAGGCTCCCGGAGCTGCAAAATTTGCTGAGGGATGCTGCACAGCTTGTGATTGAAAGACTAAGGCATAATAGTAGTGATAAGAAGGATTGGGCATGCGTGAGAAAAGAAGCATTCTCATCTGAGAAAAATGAGTAAGTGTAAAGTCATACTTCAGCTACAATTTCCCTAGTATTTTGTTTATCACTATTGCATGAACTTACAAGTTATATATCTGCATACATTAAGGCTGGATTTGGTAGAATGACTGACTGCCTACTTGTTTACTACAGGTATGCCCACTTGTTGGTTTCAGATTTTGCTTCTTCGGCGCCATCTGCCCCACCTGAAGTTTTGCAACATTTCATGCTTGATCCAAGGATGAGGGATGCTGCGCAGCACCCTGTTGGAGATCCAATGGAGGGTGGCCGTGCTCCCCGTAATGTTGCAAATCGAAATACATTGGCTGTTTTGCTTGAGTCAATGCTACCATGGGTTCATTATGGGGATGGAGATGGAGGTGTTGAGGAGGAAAACCAAGTAAATGGCCATGGTGCAGGCAATGACTAGTATTGAGTCAATGCTACCATGGGTTCATTATGGGGATGGAGATGGAGGTGTTGAGGAGGAAAACCAAGTAAATGGCCATGGTGCAGGCAATGACTAGTGTTGAGTGGAACGGAAGAAAATGCTAATAGAAAATTTAGGGAAAGCCACCTTTTGTTAAGTGACACAACTGTGTTCAGTTGCTGGCGACTTCTAGGGAAATTTTTGCCAATTAGTTTCGTTTTTCTTCATGTTTTTGGCCGCCTAACAGGACCATTTGAACCTTCCTTTGAAACTAATACCATTTTATGATTCAATGTCGTCAATATTTATCCAAGTTAGCATTTTATTCGAATGCCATTCCACTTATATGTCACACTTTGCTCATTCAAAACAACTGTACCAATTTCGAATATGCGCATGAGCCAACTATTGATGCAGTTCCCTTGCATGAACAGCTTGAAATGCCAAGAAATCCGACCAAAAAAAAATTCCAAGAAAAACATGATGTGGCGGAGTCAACTGTGCATATGTCATGAAGAATAGTTCATTTCAGAAAAGAAGTATATTCTTATCGGACAATTTGACAATATAAAATATTTAAAAATGTAAACTTAAATTGTTAATTAGATTAATTTTTGTTTAAATGTGTGGTTCAGATTCACATTAAAACATCATATATGTCTGACAAGAAAACATTACACATGAGAAGTGGTGCAATTGCAAAGAAAGGTTTGAATCATAATACAATATGATATTAGAGCATCCACAGTGGGCTCCCTAAACCATCTCCTTAAAAAAATTTTAGGGAGGAATTGGAAAAATACAACTCCAACCATGCTCCCTATCCACCTCCTAAAATAGGGAGACATCTAGGAGCTCCTAAATCTAAGGAGAGAGAAATGACTCTTAGTGACTCCCTATAATTTAATGCTGCTTTATTTAATGAGTATTTCACATCTTTAATTAATGCTAACTATTTTTTATATTACTTTTTAATAGAGATGGACTAATTACAAAGGAGTTATAGCATTTATAACTTCCTAAACTAGAGAATATGATTGGAGTTTAAATTTTATAAAGAGCTCTTAAAATAACTTTTATATGTTTTTAATTAAAATTTAACTAAAATATAGAGAGCATGATTGTGGATGTTCTTAGAAATAAATAGATAGATTGGAAGCTAGTGAGAAGCCCAATGGACATTGTAAGGGACCTCCATATCCATAAAAGGCTTAAAAGCTTGCAATTATGGCCAGCATTAGCCATATGCATCAGCATTGCCACTCCCTCCAATTTCCTTTTTTAGGCCTTGGAAGCTATCCATCTATTCATCATTGAATCCCATGTGGCATGCGCCCACTCTCTTCTCTTCTTCCATCCCCATACCTCCCTCTCCTCCATCCAAAAACTAATATTACTCCACTCTCCCTTTTCTCTCTCTTTCTCTCTCTCCTCTCCCCATTACCAATTCCACAATAATCCAATTTCTCTCTGCTTTCTAGGGTTTTGAAATTGGAACCAAAGCTAAAGCTGCTCACCTCCCCTGAATACACACATACCCACATTTAACAATAAGGAATCCAATCCTTCACCTTTTCTTTTTCAGAAGAGAATATTAGAGAAAGAGAGGCAGGCTCTCTCCCATCCAAGTGATGGTCTTTGCTCTGCTCCCAAGGCTTTTCCTGGAGAGAGAAAGTGGTGTTGGTGCTAACATGTAGAGGAATTGTCACAGAGAGATATGTTGGCAATGGAGAAAGATTTTGATGCTAAGTTGAAGATTCAGGGGAATTCTTCTAATGGTGCCAATGTTCCGAGATCCAAGAGCTTTGCTTTCAGGGCTCCCCAAGAGCAATTCAGCATTCAAGACTTTGAATTGGGCAAGATCTATGGCGTTGGTTCCTATTCCAAGGTCCGGTTATAAATTTATTATTTTCCGAACTTTGTTGGTTTTTGTTGTTTTGATTTTGTTATCTGAGTAATCTCGTAGACTGGTGGATTTTCATGGTTTGGAAACGTAGTTGTGTGATTGGATGATGTAATTGATATGTAAATGAACGGGTTGCATATGCTATATACATTTATTGGGTGATCAGCTTTTTTTTTAAACGTGAATTATTGGCAATTTATAGTGGTTTATATTCACTTCTAGACAATATCAATTGTTATAAAAACAAAAAGAACAAACCCTGTAAGGCATTGTTTGAGGAAAGTCCTGCTTTTGGCTGTATCTTTCCCAACCTTTCTGTGAGTAAACTAATAGAAACATTGCAAGTGTAATGGAAGGGCAAAAAGAACTGTCATATGGGTCGATCAGTTTCCCTGAGTTGGGATGCTTGAGTACATTGTGTTCTTTACTCTTGGGACTGTAGAGCTTCAAACCTGCATTTGGTTGGTGTGAGCTTATAGTAAATTTTAGGACATAGGATTTTTAGTTGGTCAATATGTTATTTATGCTGGTAGAAGAATTTTGAAGATTTCAGTGGACTAGGGGAGGAAGAGCGTTGGGAAAAGATCAGATTTTGGGGCTCTCTACGGGCTGCAGTGTGTTAGACCAAAATAGTTAGGAGTGTTGGGGAGGGGGTGGTTTGTTGGCATTTTAGGATCCAAATTATTTTACTTTTTAATGTCTACGTAGATGTAATTTTTGTTAGCATTAAGAGAAGTTTGTTTCTTCTCGATGAGAAAAATATTATCATGCTGGTATGTCTTGGAGTGAGATGGAGGCTACCTGAAATGATGTTATTATGGTGGTACTGATACTTTATTCTTTTTTTTCTTCTCATGGTTGTTTTGTGGTTATGTAATTTCTGTCATAATGACCATGTTTCAAAACTTTTATAGATATTATATAATACCATACATATTGTTGTTGAACTGTTTGTGCTGCTTAAAGTTTTTTCCCGGTTCTTATTTGTCTCTTAATGCCAATAAATTTCAGGTTGTGAGAGCTAAGAAGAAGGACACAGGAACTGTCTATGCATTAAAGATCATGGACAAAAAATTCATTACCAAAGAAAATAAAACAGCTTATGTGAAGCTGGAACGGATCGTTCTTGATCAGCTGGATCATCCAGGAATTGTGCGGCTATTTTTTACATTTCAAGATTCCTTTTCACTGTGTAGGTATTCTTGGTTGTAAACTTGTAACCTCTTCTAAGTCACCATGTCTTTTGTACTTGTTTCAGATTTACTTCTTCCTTCTGGTTCAGTGTTTTTGTATTCTCAAATTTTTATTCTTTGTTTGCTCATTCTGGAATCTCATTGACACTGGTTTCTTTAATTTTCTGTGAAGACATGGCACTTGAATCCTGTGAAGGCGGAGAGCTTTTTGATCAAATAACTAGGGTAAGCTTTAAGCTTATAACATGTGCTTTTCATGTTATTGTGGAATTACCTCTGCATCTACTTTTCAATGAGAACAATTCGTTTTATGTTGTGATTTTTCATCCTCAATTGTATATCAAGGAATATGGTGAATATTGTAATTCCTTCTTGAAATTAATGTTGACCTAGCATTACTTCTCTTTCTTGAACTCAAAATATGATTTTTCCGAAAATCACTGATTAGTGAACATGCCAAATAGCTACTAGCTTGAAGTACCTAATTTGCAGTGCCTAACTATTCTGTGTTATTGAATTTGTTTATATGCTTCCAGTTAATGGTTCTCTGCCCCCTCTAGATTGTCATTCTACTGGATCCATTGTTTCACTAAATTGTGTGCAGAAAGGTCGTCTCTCTGAGGATGAAGCTCGCTTTTATGCAGCAGAAGTTGTAGACGCACTTGAATACATACACAGTATGGGATTGATTCATAGAGATATCAAGGTATTTTCTTAAGAATATACTTGTGCATTTTAAGGTCATATGAACATGCTAATAGATTTTCAAATGGCAGCCAGAGAACTTGTTACTTACATCTGAGGGTAATATCAAGATTGCTGATTTTGGGAGTGTAAAGCCTATGCAGGATAGCCGAATTACTGTTCTTCCAAATGCAGCATCAGGTATCTTATAATTTTAGTCATGCGGAGGCTACATGGTTCTTTTTTTGAGTAATATGATGAGATTGTTTTCTGGATGCTTTGTCTAGATGATAAAGCCTGCACATTTGTGGGGACAGCGGCGTATGTCCCTCCCGAAGTCCTGAATTCTTCTCCTGCAACTTTTGGGTAAGGGACTTAAGCGGAGTTACTGGGGCTTGTACTTTATTTCTAAATTTTCTTAAGCTTTTTTTGGTTGAAAAAAAGTCTTAAGCTTAGTGTAAAACTTGTAGACTTTTTGGCTAATTTTGGCAAGTGGTTCGTCTTTTCTTTGTTTCCTTGTTCATTTTGTCTGTTCTTAATAATACATGACCTTTGTAGGATAACATTTCTTTTGCTCGTTTGAACATATCAAAACAGAAATGACCTCTGGGCACTTGGCTGCACCGTGTACCAAATGCTTTCAGGAACTTCTCCTTTCAAAGATGCAAGCGAGTGGCTTATTTTCCAAAGAATTATAGCAAGAGATATTAGGTTTCCAAATCATTTTTCAGAGGAAGCTAAAGACCTCATTGACCGGTTATTGGTAAGCTACCAACTTATACTTATTGCAATCTGCTTCTATTAGTAATCCTGCTAGTCATAACTAGGATTCCTTTAGGTTTTTATTTTTTGGTCAGACCAAGTAAATAGCCATACACCCAGAAACAAAAAGTTTCTTGGTGAATTGGGCAAACGATATTTTCAAAATCTTTATGGGAATTCTTCCCTTACAAAAGCTACAGAGTTATATACCACTTCCATTCTTGAGAATGTTCAGGTATTTTATATTGCATTGACTAGTATGTAGTTCAAGCCTTCACTTCACCATGCAACTGTTACAGGACTTAGATCCCAGCAGGAGACCAGGTGCTGGGCCAGATGGTTATGCTGCACTGAAGATGCATCCATTCTTTAAGGGAGTTGACTGGAAGAATTTACGAGGGCAAACCCCTCCAAAACTTGCATTGGAGACGGGGGTATGACTTTCATGTTGTTTTGGAATATTAATATAGAGAAACTCAACTCTTGCATATATTCTTCCTTTCTTGAGTGAGCATTCTTAGATTGTTTCTTAGAACATTGTGTTTTTATGCTTTTTGTGTTCAGTCAGTTGAGGGTGGTAGCCGTGATAACTCATGGAACCCCTCACACATTGGAGATGGTGCAGTAAGACAAATTGAGGGTAGCAGTGGTGCCACATCTTCTTCTGAAGCATCTGGTCATGTAACTAGGCTCGCTTCAATTGACTCCTTTGATTCAAAATGGTATCCTCTAAACCCTTCTGCCTTGTGCTTCTCATCACTCATTTTTTAATTTCAAAAGAATTATAATCTTTTTCTTGCAAGGTCTGTTATGAGCTCTAGTGTGATAAATACAATGTTATTCTGGTTTGTTGGCAAGAGACTCAGATCTAGAAATATGCTTACATGAGATAATAGCACTTGATTTGGAGGCTAATTTTTTCTTTCTTTAGCATTTTAAGGACTCCCTGTATTGCCTAAGTACTTCCTAAAATCCTTGCAGAGAGTTTATGATATTGCATTTCCTGTTTCTGTTATGAAATCCACATTGATCTTTAATATGTATACCATGCTAACAGGCAACAATTCCTCGAGCCTGGGGAGTCAGTTCTTATGATCTCAATGGTGAAGAAGATTCAAAAACTGACCAGCAAGAAGGTGCAACTTATCCTTACCAACAAGCCTAAACTGATTTATGTGGATCCTGCCAAGCTAATAGTGAAGGGAAATATAATTTGGTCTGACAACTCTAATGACCTCAGCATCCAAGTCGCTACTCCATCACAGTTCAAGATTTGTACGGTATGGCCTTACTGCTCTGTTATCTCTTAGTCACATATCTTCAGTCAGTTTTGTCCCCTAATATTTTGCGGCATGGTCCTATCATTGAGATGATTCTTTTCAAAGTCTGGAGGGCCATGAAACGTGATGCTGTAATGATCTTGGGGTTGATGATATTGCTTCACAAGAAATTAACTAGCAGCATGTTTTTTTTCTTTTCTCTGATACAAGTTATGTCATTTCTCAGCCAAAAAAGGTACTGCAATTTGAGGATGCAAAACAAAGAGCTTGGCAGTGGAAGAAGGCAATTGAAGGGCTTCAAAATAGGTGAAATGCGTGGTTCTTTTGACAGACTTTTTTTTTGGATATTACGATAGTCTGGAGGAACAAGGATGTGCCCCTGGTAATTATTATTTAATGAAAGAGGCTGGGGTCTGCGGATTCATCTTTTTCAAGGTGCAAAGCTCCCGTCCCTCTAGATGCCTAGAACTGAGTATGCGATAAGGGTTTTTTTTGCCCATTTTCATGCTTTGTGTGGCATAATTTTGTACTCTGTGAGGTCCTAATTGTAGGGTCTGTAAAGGGGCTGGGATCGTTACTTGTTTATTGTATTTAAAAAGTATCATCCATTAATGAAAGTTTTAAATATCTTACATTGAAAGATATAATGTTTCCAAGAAACCGTATGGGAAATGAGATTGTTGCATTTTGTTTTTACTTTTTGAGATGGATACAGTTGCAGTTTACTGTTAAAAGTACCAGCGCCATTGGCCCCTTAAAGAGAAGCATACCTTGTTGAGTTTTGAGTTCTCAATCATATATAACTTTCTCAAAAGGATTGAATTCTTGAGATCTGATTGATCAAACATTTCAAGTTCAGCCCGAAGGAAATATTTAAACTTTGTAAGCTTTGGTATGATCGACTCGTAAAGATTGCAACTAGTTTGGTGCGTTATCTTCTATATCTATGTATTTCTTCTTTTCAGCATGCGCACATCCTTGTTTAATTGGAATACCGAGATTAAACTCATGAAGATCATACACAGGTTTGGCGTCGCCCTGAATGACCTCAGTTCGTGAGAGTGGTGGTCTTAGGTTCAAATCTCAGTGTCAGCTCCAAGTTACCCTCAGACCATAGCGGTCGCATATTACACTGTTGAACTGGTCAAAATGGTTTGCAGATGATTATCTGTGTCATTATCTCCATGACTTAATTTATAATCAAGTTTTTCCATGGTCTAACATGAACTGTATATTAGTATCTCAAAGGCTTAATATTCACCGAATCCTGAAGTTTTATATACTTATACGCTGATATAATAATCATAACCGTGAATAGACAAGTAAATTTATTATTTTTCCGCAGAACATATTGTTGAAACCAGGACTATGTAACTTTATTATTGTCCGATGTATAGAATTAGCATACTTTTGTCATCCTTTCAAATTTTAATAATGAAAAGCCTGCCGTGCAGCCAAAGGTATGAAGAATTACATAAATGTCTTCTGTTGACGCTCGGTATATACTGAGCCCGTCTGCCCAATAAAAATGGAACACGTGGACCTTGCTGGCCACTTAGCAAAAATGACCATCCGGACCTCCTCTACCTCGGCCTCGGTACCACCCCACCCCCCCTCCCCCGTCCTCTCCAAGTCCATGCGTAAACCACCTAACCCACCACTTGACCAGATGGGACTCTGCTCGCTTGTGATTGGCTACTCTGCTCACGCCCGCCTTCTAGCAAAACCATAATGAGAAGAGGACATGGTTGAATCCCCGACTATCCACCACCTGATAGGATGGCTTGGTGTGACATAAACGGCTCAGTTCCGAGCCGAGGTGACCGGCTTAGAAATATCTTGTCCAAATTCCCAATGAATAGGGTTTGCCATTTGTGTAAGAGAGGGAGAGATAAACAAAACTGGCAAGAATACAGGTTTTGTATCCGTCCTTGTCTTGTGGAAAAACTGGCAAGAACACAGGTTTTGTATCCGTCCTTGTCTTTGTGGAAATACTGGCAAGAATGTTTTGTATCCGTCCTGTCTTTGTGGAAAAACTGGCAAGAATACAGGTTTTGTATCCGTCCTTGTCTATGTCGTACTCCACATATTCAAGAGATCCCACTTTGTCTCCATCTTCAGTGGCCAGTAGTTCTCATCACCAGCTTCCTTGTTGTGCAGCAATTTCGTTTAGTTCATCGCAACCATGGCTGCAAAACGATTTGCAGCATGTTTTCTTAGGCTGGTTTTGATCTCCCTACTAGTTGCTTATTCATTTTCTTTACCACTAAACTGGAGATCTTTGAATTTAATCAAAAAAGTAAACCGCAAAGGACCATACATTGGCCTTATCACAGTGTTTCCACCAGAAGAGACTGCCTTTTTTCAGATTGGGGCGTTTAAGCCTAATCAAAAGCATCCTTCTGTGGATCTCTCAGGTTGGCACATTTATTTTCTGTGCTACTTTTCTGTTTATTTTTTCTCTTCTCCCTTACCATTTTGAAGAAGATTTTCGCATATTTTAGATCGGTTGATCTGAAAGGCATGGTGTTGCAGGGCGGCGATTCCTGGTGGGAAAGATCCATGACAAGAAAGTAGTCTATGTGAGATGTGGAGTTGGGATGGTGAGCCATGCTACTTCCCTGCACTTCCACCAGTTAGTCCCTTGCCATGGCAAGGGGAGCCCTAGGGCAGGTACTATTAACGTGAATAGTGGCTGCCCTATCCTCCCTTAGCAAAGTGTGTTTCCAGTAGTTTAGGCTTGCCATGACAAATACTATTCAATTTTTTTGGTTTTTTTCACAACTTTGTTTACTTAAACAATTAATATGGATAATATTTTCGGATAAGATCTTTGGGTTCCTACGTATGAAAAATTATTTTCTCAAGATTTTTAGCGGAGGTGCAATATTGACTAAGTATGAAAAATGGTTTTTCGAAATAATCATTTTCTCAAGAAAATTTTTGGCGGCTTTTATTCCTTACACATCAAATAAGAAAACTTGATTTTATGGGATTTTAATATGAAGTATATATTGACTTAATAGCCTAAATCGTATTTTGCACTAAAACCGATTTTTCATATTTTGATTTGGTGAGAATTTGATTTTCTAGTATTTTTATTTGAATCCAAATGGGGGGGTACTTGATTATTCACATTGTAAACTTAAGTAAATGGAGTAATATAAAAATAAATAAAAGTAAAAGGACAAAGACATTTACTTAAATGTTGAAAATGGAAATAAGGTATAGAGAGAAAAAAGAAGAAGTAATTTTTTGGTATTTTTTTCAATTTTTTATTACAAAAATATTGGTTGTTGGTGTTAAAAGTGAAGAGTATTGGTTGGTATTTATAGAAAACAATTTCAGTATTTTTTGGGTATTTTTTTACATTTTTTTTCGATTTTTTTTTATTTTTTATTGGGAACAATGGGGGTGACGTCAGCTCAGCCCGCAGGCAAGCACTCGGGCCGAACCCCACCTCGGGCCAGCCCAAGCTGCTGGCCCCCACCTCTTGCCCAGGCTCCATTTTGTTGCTGGAAACGCCTACAAGACCCACCCCCCCCCCCCCCCCCCCGAGCCCAGCTTGCATTGCTGGAAATGCTCTTAATGGACCAAAAGTCAGCTTCTGTCATTTTTGTCTCTAGAGGGTTTTAATGCATACAAGTTACTAGCCAGTTATATTATTATATCACACAATTCATAAAAGATGAAGAGACATAGAAATTGGTAATTTTTATCCACTATATTTGAGCCTTCAGGATTTTCATTCCTTGAAACCACTTCTCAATCAGATGAATGCTGCTGCAGCAACACAGCAAATGCTGGATCTATTTGACATTCTGGGAATTGTCCATTTTGGCATTGCTGGAAATGCCAACAATTCCTTGTCTATAGGTGATGTCACCATTCCTCAACAGTTTTCTCACACTGGCATTTGGGATTGGCTGGTAAAGTATATTCTGAATCCCTTTTCATCTTTTTATGTGCTTCTACCATTTTAGAGTCCAACGAATTGCAACAAAGTTCTTATTGACAGAACTCAAATCGATCTTTGAATTACGATGAAGCAAGCTTGGACTTTAAAAGATACATTAATGTACCAAGAGGAGATAGCCTGTTGGGACACATTGGATTTAGATATGAACAATTTTTTTCTGAGTATGGGAAGGCCAACACTGCTCGGCCGCTGTTTTGGGCAAATACTACTCGGCAGTGGCTTCAGGTTGCTGCCAACTTGAAGGTCAGACATCCAGATCCCCTCATTTCCATGTCAATCTACGCCGGATTAAACTTAGAGAACAAGAAAAGCAAATGATTGATATCAAAGTCTTTGTCTTTTATGGTAAACTTTCCTGAAAACTAGTTGTAACTTGTGTCATATTATTTCAGGGGATCAAACTGAACCAATGTTTGAATTCAAGTGTGTGTCTGCCACAGAAGCCGCAGTTAGTTGTTGGTCTTAGGGGATCAACAGCCAATATTTTTGTGGACAACGCAGCTTACAGGGACTTCCTTTTTCAAAATTTTCGAGTTTCATCCGTGGACATGGAAAGTTCAGCTGTGGTAATGGTAAGCATTTCGTATACGTGTATGATTCATTTTAAAAAAAAAAAAAAAAAAAAATCACCTACAAAAGTAGCAAATAAGCTGTGGTGGTTTTGGCAGACAAGCTTGTCAAATGGCTTCCCGGTGATCGTCATTCGAGGGCTATCCGATCTTGCAGGAGGACAATCAGGACATAACTCAATTGACACCTTTGGGTCTCTTGCAGCTATAAACGCTTGCAAAGTGGTTATACAATTTATCAAGCAACTGCATCTTGATACTAGGGAACCTGGCTTCCCAAGATGTATACAACCCTAAATCTGAAGGAAAAAGAAAATTGCATGAGGTGAGATGTAAGTACTTATAAGGAGAAAGAACCATCTTTTGTTATTGTAAATGCTTATAGCATAATACAAAAATAATCGATACATCAATCCTCTGTTTATTTTGTTTGGTAATAAAGAACCTTTGTCAAAGTGGTAAGAATGCGTTTGCTACTATAAACCATACAAAGCACGTATGCCATCAATGTCTATGCAGATCCCGTTTTATAATCCCATAATCGAAGTAGGGATACATGATTGCAGCCGGGAGGTCAGGATTGTGATTAAGCCCCAGCAGATGGCCTATTTCGTGCACGGCGACAGATTCCAAGTCTACCTCATTTGGTCCTGGATTGCTACTCCATCTCTCATCTGCATCATAATGGAAATTCCCACCTCTAGGTGGATTAGCGTGCGCGAAAGTCCCTCTGGGGCCATTGAATGCGGAACCATCTCCATGGTTGCCCCTGTGAAATCCAATGGTAATATCAGCTGCTGTAGTCGCAGGGACTTCCTCAAATGTAAAACTGGTCACTTGTGCCCATCTCTGAAATGCTTGTGCACATATAGACCTTACATTCTGTGTGCCAGGGACTTGGTTCACACTTGAACTAAAGCGATACGTCAGATGGGTTTTGGACCATCTTCGCGGTCCAGGGAAGAAGAGCTCATAATGAGCAACCCCATGGATAGACTTGTGCTTATGGTTGTGTTTCTTGCTGCCCTTTCGTGTGCCATTGACAACATCCGGCACACCACATCTTGCATATTTGTGAGAGTGTAAAACTATACGGAGCCAAATTCAGGCTTGAAGTGACCTTGACCTCCCTTTACACCCATTATATGACATATTCTAATACATGCAAAATAAAATAAAATGATAGTATATAAAAAATTTCACAACTAAGCTAATGTTGAACTCCGTTTAACATGACAAAGCAGTTTGCAACTAAGTTATGTAATAAAAAATTGTCTCTGTGAGTCATTAGAAGCATAAGCGCTTTATAAAACCAAACCAATCATATATGTAGCAGTGACCTACTGACAAACTTGAACTTATGGTGGTGGGTTTTGTTGCCAATCAAAAATTAATTCTTCAATAGCTGGTATACCACATCTAAAATTACAGCGCAAATCCAAATTTTGGATTCTCTCCCTCTTGTGTGAAGGTATGATCACGAATATTTCAACCAAAATAGACTGATCACAAAGCTCAAGCAATATTGTTGAAATGTGGCTACTTGCACTGTGATCAAGCATGCATCAAATGCCTCAAGCCTACGCAAATTATAATGATTTTGATATTCACACAGTGTATCAATCAAAACATATTCAAAGTCACCCTCATTAGCCAGTAAAAAGAGAACAAAGTTGGGCTTGGATCTTTTGCTCCAGCCAAAAGGAAACTTCTCATATATATACAGACACTAGTTGAATTATGTCAAGTCATTAAACTAATGTGGTGGGTCTAAGTCTAACCACTTTAAAAAAAAAATTGTAGTATAGCCGAGCGGCTAAACTATTTAATATAAAAAAAATAGGTGAAATGCGTGGTTCTTTTGACAGATACTTTTTTTTTTTGAATATTACTGCTAAAATATGAAAACTATGAGAGAATTTGTTTGTGGGAATTTTCTGTGTATTCTTCTCCTTGTAGGAGGTCATATTTATAATACAACGAAACCTGAATGGGCAAGTAAATAATAAATTCCTAAATCTATTTACAATAGGAAATCAAGAATTAAAGTAAATCAATTATAATTATAATAGGAATTCTTGGTGTGTAAGGAAAGTAAGTCAATATCCACAAGTCACGCCAACACTCCCCCTCACGTTGGTGCATAGATGTCGCCAATGCCCAACTGATCCAGTGAATTGTGGAATGCTTTATTGGAAATCTCCTTTGTCAAAATATCCGCCAATTGATCCTCAGATTTCACAAAAGGAAACTGAAACACTTTAGCCTCAAGCTTCTGTTTGATGAAGTGTCGATCCACCTCAACATGTTTAGTACGATCATGCTGAACCGGATTCTGTGCAATGGATATAGCAGCCTTGTTGTCACAAAAGAGATTCATTGTAGATGTAGGTTTATACCCAAGTTCAGTAAGCAACTTTCTTAACCAAAGAAGTTCACAAATCCCTTTAGTCATGCCTCTGAACTCGGCTTCTGCACTGGATAAAGCTACTACATTCTATTTCTTGCTCCTCCATGTCACCAAATTACCTCCCACGAATGTGAAGTAACATGATGTGGATTTTCCATATGTTACATTACCTGCCCAATCTGCATTTGAATAACCATCAATATTTAGATGACCATGCTTTGAGAACATAAGTCCTTTTCCAGGTGCAGACTTCAAATACCTAAGTATCCGAAGAACTGCATTCATGTGGTCTTCACTTGGAGAGTGCATAAATTGACTGACAACACTCACTGCATAAGCAATGTCTGGTCGAGTATGTGACAAATAGATCAATCTTCCCACTAACCTTTGGTATCTTTCTTTGTTAGTTGGAACTTGATTCGGATATTCTCCAAGATGATTATTCTGAACAATAGGAGTGTCCGCAGGTTTGCAATCTAGCATTCCTGTGTCTGTCAACAAGTCCAAGACATATTTCCTTTGAGAGAGAAATATGCCTTGCTGCGATCGAGCCACCTCAATTCCCAAGAAATACATGAGTCCACCTAGATCCTTCATCTCAAACTCTGTAGCCAGATAGTTTTGTAGCTGTGATATTTCCTGTTTATCATTCCCAGTAATAATCATATCATCAACATAAATTATTAATGCTGTTACCTTCCCTTTTCGATGTTTCAAGAACAGAGTATGATCGGAGTTGCATTGTTTGAAACCATTGTTCTTCATTGCCATGGTGAACCGTCCAAACCATGCACGTGGTGACTGTTTCAACCCATACAATGCTTTTCGTAACCTATAAACTATTCCAGTCTGAGTAGTATTATAACCAGGAGGAATGTCCATATACACCTCCTTCGTAAGTTCGCCATGTAGAAAAGCATTCTTTACATCAAACTGGTGTAGTGGCCAATCCAAATTAGCTGCAAAGGACAATAAGACTCTGACGGTGTTTAACTTTGCAACTGGAGCAAAGGTTTCTTCATAGTCTATACCATAGGTCTGTGTGTACCCTTTTGCCACAAGTCTTGCCTTGTATTGCTCGATAGATCCATCTGCATTGTGTTTTATAGTAAACACCCATCTACATCCGATAGTCTTTTTTCCTTGTGGTATAGTCTCCAATGTCCAAGTCTGATTTTTCTCAAGAGCTTTCATCTCCTCTTTTATAGCTTGAACCCACTTAGGATCTTTTAATGCTTCAGAGACCTTGGTTGGAATATGGATAGCAGACAACTGATGCATAAAAGCCTTGAGTGGTTCAGACAACTTCTCAGTGGATACATGATTTGCAATTGGATACTTGGATGTCTTGCCAATATCAGGTGAATAGCGGTTTGGTGGCTTCCCACGATTTTGCTTGAAAGGTAATTGATATCCAATAGTTTTATTCTCTAAATGCACAAGTCTAGTAGGAGTAGTTACCTCAAGGATATTCTCAGGAGATTAGTCTGTTGGTACTGTTGAGTTAGAGGGGGGTCTTCATCTTGTTGTTCTGTATTGTCTGTAGGTGTGAGACTCGGATCGGAAATATCTTCGTATGGATCAGGTGGGTCAGGTAATTGATCGCTATGAATGGGCGATTGGTCGCTTTTCGGCATAGAGTAATCTTGTGCTCTAGACTCAGGATGATCAATCATTTCTGTACATAGGAGAATTTATTCGTTTTCCAAGTTGCTCCAATTCTGCTCTTCACTTCGTATCTCCCCCTGAAGCGTAGAATTAGATGATGGGTCATGGAAGAACAGCTCTGATTCCAGAAAAGTCACATCCAAAGTGACATAGGTACGTCGAGTAAGAGGGTGATAACAACGGTAGCCTTTCTGATGAGTGGCATAACCCACAAAAACACAACGAAGCGCACAGGGATCAAGTTTGCTACGTTGATTTTTGTGGAGATGAACGAAAGCCACACATCCAAAGATTCGGGGTGTGAGTACCAAAACAAAGGGCAGAGGTCTGTGTTGCGCAAGCACCTGTAAGGGAGTTTTAAAGGTCAATACACCAGAAGGCATGCGGTTGATTAGATGAACTGCAGTGACAATAGCATCATCCCAGTGATGGCGAGGAACATGAGCGCCAATCAGAAGTGCTCGAGCGGTTTCAAGAAGATGTCGATTCTTTCGTTCAGCAACACCATTTTGTTGCGGTGTCTGAGGACAAGTTGTCTCATGGATAATTCCATGTTGTTGGAAGTAAGTCTGAAAGTCATGATTGACAAATTCTCCACCATTGTCGGAGCGAAGAGTCTGGATTTGAGCATTAAACTGAGTTTTCATCTGTTTGTGGAAGGACTAAAAACGGGAAAACACTTCATTTTTATTCTTCAGCAAATAAAGCCATGTCATTCGTGTACAATTATCTATGAACGTGACAAACCATCGAACACCAGAAGGAGCAGTGATAGGTGAAGGTCCCCAGACATCAGAGTGAATTAACGTAAATGAAGTAGTACACTTGTTCGTACTCAACGGGTAGGGCACACGGTGACTCTTGGCCAAAATACAAGTATCACATGTGAAGTCGGAGTCCTTGAAACCTGAGAATAAATCTGGTATAAGATGCTTCATATAACTAAAAGACGGATGTCCCAATCGACGGTGCCACAACCAGATTTGCTTTTGTTTGCTATCAAAGGGATGTGTCACACTGTTAGCCATGCCAGGACTGAAGTCATCGACATAATATAGCCCCCCTCTCTTAGTACCACGACCAAGAATTTTCTTAGTGTGAATATCCTGAAGCAAACAAAAACTCGGGTAAATGAGTACACAACAATTCAATTGTTCAGTAAGCTGACTAACGGACAACAATTTAGTGGATAAAGATGGAACAAGTAAAGTATTAGACAGCGTGAGAGAGGATGAGAGTGCAACAGTGCCAGCCCCTGTCACAGGATAAGTAACACCATTGGCATTTGCAATACAGGTTCGTTGAGGTTGTGTAGTATTCAGAAAATCATCAGGATCAAACGTCATATGATCAGTTGCACCGGAATCAATTATCCAACTCCTGGAATCAATCTTAGTGGAAGTATGGAATCTATAACCAGTACCATTACTGGTCGTATTGCGTTGTCCTCGATCTTTAAGAGTATCCCACCAATCGGGATAGCCATGCAATTTAAAACAAGTCTCACGAGTGTGTCTCGGATCACCACAATATTCGCAATCTGGTCCATGTGTCGGGGTCGTTAGTCGAGAAGTCATAATCTGTGCAGCGGAAGATGTATAGGATACAGGTTTAGTAGGAATTCGGATCGGGATCTGAGCCTGAGTCGGGGTCGGAGTAGGAGTCAAAGTCGGGATTGGGGTCTGAATCAAAGACAAATAAGAGGTTGGGGTTAGAGTCATCATCGGAGTGGGGGTCGAGGTCGTTGTCGGAGTCGGAGTCGGAGTAGAGGTCGTCGTTGTCGTCATAGTCGGGGTCGTCAAAAGAGGATCCTGATTCAGGATTAGATTCGGGGCCAAAGTTTGCATCTGTAGGAGCTGAGCCATCTGGGCACTCAACTCGGTGGTGCTACCTCCATAAGGGATGAAAAAATCACCAACCCCCATAGCGGTGGCGGGAGTGTGAAACTAGAGTCAGCAATTCCAAGATCACCGCTCTGATACCATGCTAAAATATGAAAATTATGAGAGAATTTGTTTGTGGGAATTTTCTGTGTATTCTTCTCCTTGTAGGAGGTCATATTTATAATACAACGAAACCTGAATGGGCAAGTAAATAATAAATTCCTAAATCTATTTACAATAGGAAATCAAGAATTAAAGTAAATCAATTATAATTATAATAGGAATTCTTGGTGTGTAAGGAAAGTAAGTCAATATCCATAAGTCACGTCAACAATTACGATAGTATGGAGGAACAAGGATGTGCCCCTGGTAATTATTATTTAATGAAAGAGGCTGGGGTCTGCGGATTCATCTTTTTCAAGGTGCAAAGCTCCCGTCCGTCTAGATGCCTAGAACTGAGTATGCGATAAGGGTTTTTTTTGCCCATTTTCATGCTTTGTGTGGCATAATTTTGTACTCTGTGAGGTCCTAATTGTAGGGTCTGTAAAGGGGCTGGGATCGTTACTTGTTTATTGTATTTAAAAAGTATCATCCATTAATGAAAGTTTTAAATATCTTTACATTAAAAGATATAATGTTTCCAAGAAACCGTATGGGAAATGAGATTGTTGCATTTTGTTTTTACTTTTTGAGATGGATACAGTTGCAGTTTACTGTTAAAAGTACCAGCACCATTGGCCCCTTAAAGAGAAGCATACCTTGTTGAGTTTTGAGTTCTAAATCATTCATAACTTTCTCAAAGGGATTGAATTATTGAGATCTGATTGATCAAACATTTCAAGTTCAGCCCGAAGGAAATATTTAAACTTTGTAAGCTTTGGTATGATCGACTCGTAAAGATTGCAACTAGTTTGGTGCCTTATCTTCTATATCTATGTATTTCTTCTTTTCAGCATGCACGCATCCCTGTTTAATTGGAATACCGAGATTGAACTCATGAAGATGATACACAGGTTTGGCGTCGCCCAGAATGAGCTCAGTTCGTGAGAGTGGTGGTCTTAGGTTCAAATCTCAGTGTCAGCTCTAAGTTACCTTCAGACCATAGCGGTTGCATATTACACTGTTGAACTGGTCAAAATGGTTTGCAGATGATTATTTGTGTCATTATCTCCATGACTTAATTCATAATCAAGTTTTTCAATGGTCTAACATGAACTGTATATTAATATCTCAAAGGCTTAATATTCACCGAACCCTGAAGTTTTATATACTTATACGCTGATATAATAATCATAACCGTGAATAGACAAGTAAATTTATTATTTTTCCGCAGAACATATTGTTGAAACCAGGACTATGTAACTTTATTATTGTCCGATGTATAGAATTAGCATACTTTTGTCATCCTTTCAAATTTTAATAATGAAAAGCCTGCCGTGCAGCCAAAGGTATGAAGAATTACATAAATGTCTTCTGTTGACGCTCGGTGTATACTGAGCCCGTCTGCCCAATAAAAATGGAACACGTGGACCTTGCTGGCCACTTAGCGAAAATGACCATCCGGACCTCCTCTACCTCGGCCTTGGTACCACCCCACCCCCCCTCCCCCGTCCTCTCCAAGTCCATGCGTAAACCACCTAACCCACCACTTGACCAGATGGGACTCTGCTCGCTTGTGATTGGCTACTCTGCTCACGCCCGCCTTCTAGCAAAACCATAATGAGAAGAGGACATGGTTGAGTCCCCGACTATCCACCACCTGATAGGATGGCTTGGTGTGACATAAACGGCTCAGTTCCGAGCCGAGGTGACCGGCTTAGAAATATCTTGTCCAAATTCCCAATGAATAGGGTTTGCCATTTGTGTAAGAGAGGGAGAGATAAACAAAACTGGCAAGAATACAGGTTTTGTATCCGTCCTTGTCTTGTGGAAAAACTGGCAAGAACACAGGTTTTGTATCCGTCCTGTCTTTGTGGAAAAACTGGCAAGAATACAGGTTTTGTATCCGTCCTTGTCTTGTGGAAAAACTGGCAAGAACACAGGTTTTGTATCCGTCCTTGTCTTTGTGGAAATACTGGCAAGAATGTTTTGTATCCGTCCTGTCTTTGTGGAAAAACTGGCAAGAATACAGGTTTTGTATCCGTCCTTGTCTTTGTCGTACTCCACATATTCAAGAGATCCCACTTTGTCTCCATCTTCAGTGGCCAGTAGTTCTCATCACCAGCTTCCTTGTTGTGCAGCAATTTCGTTTAGTTCATCGCAACCATGGCTGCAAAACGATTTGCAGCATGTTTTCTTAGGCTGGTTTTGATCTCCCTACTAGTTGCTTATTCATTTTCTTTACCACTAAACTGGAGATCTTTGAATTTAATCAAAAAGTAAACCGCAAAGGACCATACATTGGCCTTATCACAGTGTTTCCACCAGAAGAGACTGCCTTTTTTCAGATTGGGGCGTTTAAGCCTAATCAAAAGCATCCTTCTGTGGATCTCTCAGGTTGGCACATTTATTTTCTGTGCTACTTTTCTGTTTATTTTTTCTCTTCTCCTTACCATTTTGAAGAAGATTTTCACGTATTTTAGTTCGGTTTATCTGAAAGGAAGTGTGGTGTTGCAGGGCGGCGATTCCTGGTGGGAAAGATCCATGACAAGAAAGTAGTCTATGTGAGATGTGGAGTTGGGATGGTGAGCCATGCTACTTCCCTGCACTTCCACCAGTTAGCCCCTTGCCATAGCAAGGGCAGTCCTAGGGCAGCTACTATTCACGTGAATAGTGGCTGCCCTACCCTTCCTTAGCAAAGTTTGTTTCTAGCAGTTTAGGCTTGCTAGGACAAATACTATTCATTTTTTTTGTTTTTTTCACAACTTTATTTACTTAAACAATTAATTTGGATAATATTTTCGGATAAGATTTTTGGGGTTCCTACGTATGAAAAATCATTTTCTCAAGATTTTTAGCGGAGGTGCAATATTGACTAAGTATGAAAAATGGTTTTTCGAAATAATCATTTTCTCAAGAAAATTTTTAGCGGCTTTTATTCCTTACACATCAAATAAGAAAACTTGATTTTATGGGATTTTAATATGAAGTATATATTGACTTAATGAGCCATCATTTTTAGCATAAATCGTATTTTGCACTAAAACCGATTTTTCATATTTTGATTTGGTGGGAATTTGATTTTCTAGTATTTTTATTTGAATCCAAATGGGGGGTACTTCCTTATTCATATTGTAAACTTAAGTAAATGAAGTAATATAAAAATAAATAAAAGTAAAAGGACAAAGACATTTACTTAAATGTTGAAAATGGAAATAAGGTATAGAGAGAAAAAGAAGAAGTAATTTTTTGGTATTTTTTTCAATTTTTTATTACAAAAATATTGGATGTTGGTGTTAAAAATGAAGAGTATTGGTTGGTATTTATAGAAAACAATTTCAGTATTTTTTGGGTATTTTTTTACATTTTTTTTTCGATTTTTTTCTTTTTTTTTATTGGGAACAATGGGGGTGACGTCATCGTGATGTCAGCTCAGCCCGCAGGCAAGCACTCGGGCCGAACCCCACCTCGGGCCAGCCCAGGCTGCTGACCCCCACCTCTTGCCCGGGCTCCATTGACAGTTCCACATTCCATCCCGATCAAAAAGTCCACTCTAAACCTCACAAAATATTCTAGGGGCAAAATTGTCCTTTTATCTGATTAAATTAATATTCACCAATTTAGTTAGGACCGGGTCATTACAATTTTGTTGCTGAAAACGCCTACAAGACCCAAACACCCCCCCCCCAGCCCGAGCCCAGCCTGCATTGCTGGAAATGCTCTTAATGGACCAAAAGTCAGCTTCTGTCATTTTTGTCTCTAGAGGGTTTTAATGCATACAAGTTACTAGCCAGTTATATTATTATATCACACAATTCATAAAATATGAAGAGACATAGAAATTGGTAATTTTTATCCACTATATTTGAGCCTTCAGGATTTTCATTCCTTGAAACCACTTCTCAATCAGATGAATGCTGCTGCAGCAACACAGCAAATGCTGGATCTATTTGACATTCTGGGAATTGTCCATTTTGGCATTGCTGGAAATGCCAACAATTCCTTGTCTATAGGTGATGTCACCATTCCTCAACAGTTTTCTCACACTGGCATTTGGGATTGGCTGGTAAAGTATATTCTGAATCCCTTTTCATCTTTTTATGTGCTTCTACCATTTTAGAGTCCAACGAATTGCAACAAAGTTCTTATTGACAGAACTCAAATCGATCTTTGAATTACGATGAAGCAAGCTTGGACTTTAAAAGATACATTAATGTACTAAGAGGAGATAGCCTGTTGGGACACATTGGATTTAGATATGAACAATTTTTTTCTGAGTACGGGAAGGCCAACACTGCTCGGCCGCTGTTTTGGGCAAATACTACTCGGCAGTGGCTTCAGGTTGCTGCCAACTTGAAGGTCAGACATCCAGATCCCCTCATTTCCATGTCAATCTACGCCGGATTAAACTTAGAGAACAAGAAAAGCAAATGATTGATATCAAAGTCTTTGTCTTTTATGGTAAACTTTCCTGAAAACTAGTTGTAACTTGTGTCATATTATTTCAGGGGATCAAACTGAACCAATGTTTGAATTCAAGTGTGTGTCTGCCACAGAAGCCGCAGTTAGTTGTTGGTCTTAGGGGATCCACAGCCAATATTTTTGTGGACAATGCAGCTTACAGGGACTTCCTTTTTCAAAATTTTCGAGTTTCATCCGTGGACATGGAAAGTTCAGCTGTGGTAATGGTAAGCATTTCGTATACGCGTATGATTCATTTTACAAAAAAAAATCACCTACAAAAGTAGCAAATAAGCTGTGGTGGTTTTGGCAGACAAGCTTGTCAAATGGCTTCCCGGTGATTGTCATTCGAGGGCTATCCGATCTTGCAGGAGGACAATCAGGACATAATTCAATTGACACCTTTGGGTCTCTTGCAGCTATAAACGCTTGCAAAGTAGTTGTACAATTTATCAAGCAACTGCATCTTGATACTAGGGAACCTGGCTTCCCAAGATGTATACAACCCTAAATCTGAAGGAAAAAGAAAATTGCATGAGGTGAGATGTAAGTACTTATAAGGAGAAAGAACCATCTTTTGTTATTGTAAATGCTTATAGCATAATACAAAAATAATCGATACATCAATCCTCTGTTTATTTTGTTTGGTAATAAAGAACCTTTGTCAAAGTGGTAAGAATGCGTTTGCTACTGTAAACCATACAAAGCACGTATGCCATCAATGTCATCCCTATGTAGATCCCGTTTTATAATCCCATGATCGAAGTAGGGATACATGATTGCGTCTGGGAGGTCAGGATTGTGATTAAGCCCCAGCAGATGGCCTATTTCGTGCACGGCGGCAGATTCCAAGTCTACCTCATTTGGTCCTGGATTGCTACTCCATCTCTCATCTGCATCGTAATGGAAATTCCCACCTCTAGGCGGGTTAGCGTGCGCCAAAGTCCCTCTGGGGCCATCGAATGCGTTACGAGGTCCATCTCCATGGTTGCCCCTGTGAAATCCAATGGTAATATCAGCTGCTGAAGTAGCAGGGACTTCCTCAAATGTAAAACTGGTCACTTGTGCCCATCTCTGAAATGCTTGTGCACATATAGACCTTACATTCTGTGTGCCAGGGACTTGGTTCACACTTGAACTAAAGCGATACGTCAGATGGGTTTTGGACCATCTTCGCGGTCCAGGGAAGAAAAACTCATAATGAGCAACCCCATGGATAGACTTGTGCTTATGGTTGTGTTTCTTGCTGCCCTTTCGTGTGCCATTGACAACATCAGGCACACCACATCTTGCATATTTGTGAGTTTAAAACTATACGGAGCCAAATTCAGGCTTGAAGTGACCTTGACCTCCCTTTACACCCATTATATGACATATAAATACATGCAAAATAAAATAAAATGATAGTATATAAAAAATTTCACAACTAAGCTAATGTTGAACTCCGTTTAACATGACAAAGCAGTTTGCAACTAAGTTATGTAATAAAAAATTGTCTCTGTGAGTCATTAGAAGCATAAGCGCTTTATAAAACCAAACCAATCATATATGTAGCGGTGACCTACTGACAAACTTGAACTTATGGTGGTGGGTTTTGTTGCCAATCAAAAATTAATTCTTCAATAGCTGGTATACCACATCTAAAATTACAGCGCAAATCCAAATTTTGGATTCTCTCCCTCTTGTGTGAAGGTATGATCACGAATATTTCAACCAAAATAGACTGATCACAAAGCTCAAGCAATATTGTTGAAATGTGGCTACTTGCACTGTGATCAAGCCTGCATCAAATGCCTCAAGCCTACGCAAATTATAATGATTTGATATTCACACAGTGTATCAATCAAAACATATTCAAAGTCACCCTCATTAGCTAGTAAAAAGAGAACAAAGTTGGGCTTGGATCTTTTGCTCCAGCCAAGTCCATGCGTAAACCAACCTAACCCACCACTTGACTAGATGGGACTCTGGCCGCTTGTGATTGGCTACTCTGCTCACGCCCGCCTTCTAGCAAGACGCGGAAAACCATAGTGAGAAGAGGATATGGTTGAATCCCCGACTATCCATCACCTGATAGGATGGCTTGGTGTGACATAATCGGCTCAGTTCCGAGCCGAGGTGACCGGCTTAGAAATATCTTGTACAAATTCCCTATAAATAGGGTTTTACCATTTGTGTAAGAGAGGGAGAGAGAAAAAAAACTGGCAAGAATACAGGTTTTGCATCCGTCCTTGTCTTTGTTGTACTCCACATATTCAAGAGACCCAACTTTGTCTCCATCTTCAAGCAAAACAACGCTTGTTCTTCGTACTTTGACCATAGAAAGTCTGTGGATCAAACATCTTCAGTGGCCAGTAGTTCTCATCACCAGCTTCCTTGTTGTGCGGCAATTTCGTTTAGTTCATCGCAACCATGGCTGCAAAACGATTTGCAGCATGTTTTCTTAGGCTGGTTTTGATCTCCCTACTCGTTGCTGATTCATTTTCTTTACCACTAAACTGGAGATCTTTGAATTTAATCAAAAAAGTAAACCGCAAAGGACCATACATTGGCCTTATCACAGTGTTTCCACCAGAAGAGACTGCCTTTTTTCAGATTGGGGCGTTTAAGCCTAATCAAAAGCATCCTTCTGTGGATCTCTCAGGTTGGCACATTTATTTTCTGTGCTACTTTTCTGTTTATTTTTTCTCTTCTCCCTTACCATTTTGAAGAAGATTTTCGCATATTTTAGATCGGTTGATCTGAAAGGCATGGTGTTGCAGGGCGGCGATTCCTGGTGGGAAAGATCCATGACAAGAAAGTAGTCTATGTAAGATGTGGAGTTGGGATGGTGAGCCATGCTACTGCCCTTATGCACCAAAAGTCAGCTTCTGTCATTTTTGTCACTTGGGGTTTTAATGCATACAAGTTACTAACCAGTTATATTATATCACACAATTCATAAAATATGAAGAGACATAGAAATTGGTAATTTTTATCAACTATATTTGAGCGAGCCTTCAGGATTTTCATTCCTCGAAACCACTTCTCAATCAGGTGAATGCTGCTGCAGCAACACAGCAAATGCTGGATCTATTTGATATTCTGGGAATTGTCCATTTTGGAATTGCTGGCAATGCCAACAATTCCTTGTCTGTTGGTGATGTTACCATTCCCCAACAGTTTGCTCACACTGGCATTTGGGATTGGCTGGTAAAGATATTCTGAATCTCTTTTCATCTTGTTATGTGCTTCTACCATTTTATAGTCCAACTAATTGCAACAGAGTTATTATTGAAAGAACCCAAATCGATCTTCGAATAACGATGAAGTCGCGAACTTGGACTTTAAAAGATACAATGTACCAAGAGGAGATAATCTGTTGGGACACATTGGATTTAGTTATGAACAATTTTTTTCTGAGTATGGGAAGGCCAACACTGCTCGGCCGCTGTTTTGGGCAAATACTACTCGGCAGTGGCTTCAGGTTGCTGCCAACTTGAAGGTCAGACATGCCTCATTTCTATGTCAATCTACGCCGGAGTAAACTTAGAGAACAAGAAAAGCAAATGATTGATATCAAAGTCTTTCCTCTTTTATGGTAAACTTTCCTGAAAACTAGTTGTAACTTGTGTCATATTATTTCAGGGGATCAAACTGAACCAATGTTTGAATTCAAGTGTGTGTCTGCCACAGAAGCCGCAGTTAGTTGTTGGTCTTAGGGGCTCGACAGCCAATATTTTTGAGGACAATGCAGCTTACAGGGACTTCCTCTTTCAAACTTTTCGAGTTTCATCCGTGGACATGGAAAGTTCAGCTGTGGTAATGGTAAGCATTTCATATACGTGTATGATTTATTTTACCCAAAATAAAAATAAAAATAAAAATAAAAAATACATAAAAAATAAATAAATAAACCACCTCATTTTCACCTAAAAAAGTAGCTAATAAGCTGTGGTGGTTTTGGCAGACAAGCTTGTCAAATGGCTTCCCGGTAATCGTCATTCGAGGGCTATCTGATCTTGCAGGAGGACAATCAGGACGTAACTCAATTGACATCTTTGGGTCTCTTGCGGCTATAAACGCTTGCAAAGTAGTTGTACAATTTATCAAGCAACTGCATCTTGATACTAGGGAACCTGGCTTCCCAAGATCTATACACCCCTAAAGCTGAAGGAAAATATAATTGCATGTGGTGAGATGTAAGTACTTATGAGGAGAAAGAACCATCTTTTGTTATTGTAAATGCTTATAGCATAATACAAAAATAATTGATACATCAATCCTCTGTTTATTTTGTTTGGTAATAAAGAACCTTTGTCAAAGTGGTAAGAATGCGTTTGCTACTGTAAACCATACAAAGCACGTATGCCATCAATGTCATCCCTATGTAGATCCTGTTTTATAATCCCATGATCGAAGTAGGGATACATGATTGCGTCTGGGAGGTCAGGATTGTGATTAAGCCCCAGCGGATGGCCTATTTCGTGCACGGTGACAGATTCCAAGTCTACCTCATTTGGTCCTGGATTGCTACTCCATCTCTCATCTGCATCATAATGGAAATTCCCACCTCTAGGCGGATTAGCGTGCGCGAAAGTCCCTCTGGGGCCATCGAATGCGGAACCATCTCCATGGTTGCCCCTGTGAAATCCAATGGTAATATCAGCTGCTGTAGTCGCAGGGACTTCCTCAAATGTAAAACTGGTCACTTGTGCCCATCTCTGAAATGCTTGTGCACATATAGACCTTACATTCTGTGTGCCAGGGACTTGGTTCACACTTGAACTAAAGCGATACGTCAGATGGGTTTTGGACCATCTTCGCGGTCCAGGGAAGAAGAACTCATAATGAGTAACCCCATGGATAGACTTGTGCTTATGGTTGTGTTTCTTGCTGCCCTTTCGTGTGCCATTGACAACATCCGGCACACCACATCTTGGCATCATCATCTGTTTCCCCGTGCTGGTGTCTAGAGTTCCAGTGACTTCTAAGTGATAGCTTTTCTGGTATGACTTGATGGCAGACTCTAGAATGTCATCAAACTCGTCGTCGTTGGCATGCTTTGAATGATCATAATTCAGGTAGCCAAATTTGGTGAGGTATTTTTTGAGCTCTTGCAGCCCGCTCACATTTTGACCCTTGTGGCATCCCTCCAAGTGTTGGATGAACTTGAAGGGGTCATGCTGATCATGAGTAGATTTGGAATGAGAGTTTTGAGGTAGCAACACAAAGATGAGGAAAAAGGCTACACAAACTGAGATGGTTTTTGAGGCCATTGCAGGCATTTGGTAGCTAGCCAGAGAGATGAAAGAAGGCTTTGTTGTGTTGGTCCTGGCTCCCTTGCCTCTATTTGTAGATGAAGATTGCAGCATATGAACAAGTGTGTGCCTCGTTGGAAGGGGCAGGGTTTAGTTTCCATGTACTCGTTATAGAACTTGGTCATTAATGGAGAAATATATAAATACAATGGACTTGGTCAACTAAGCTAATGTTGAACTCTGTTTAACATGATAAAGCCATTTGCAACTAAGTTATGTAATAAAAAATTGTCTCTGAGAGACACTAGAAGCATAAGCGCTTTATAAAAACCAAACCAACCATATATATGTAGCAGTGACCTACTGACAAACTTGAATTTATGGTGGTGGGTTTTGTTGCCAATCAGAAGGATTAAATCTTCAATACCACGTCTAAAATTACAGAACAAATCCAAATTTTGAATTCTCTCCCTCTCTTGTGAAGGTATGATCACAAATATTTCAACCAAAACAGAATGATCACAAAGCTCAAGCAATACTGTTGAAATGTGGCTACTTGCACTGTGATCAAGCATGCATCAAATGCCTCAAGCATACGCAAATTATAATGATTTTGATATTCACAGTGTATCAATCAAAAACATATTAAAAGTCACCCTCATTAACCAGTAAAAAGAGAACAAAGTTGGGCTTGGATCTTTTGCTCCAGCCGAAAGGAAACTTCTCATATATATACACACACTATTTGAATTATATCAAGTCTAATACGGTAGGTATAAAAAAAAAAAAAAAAAAAAAAAAAAAAAAAATAGTAGATACTCTTTAAAAAAGAAGAAAAGTAAAAAAGACCCTCATTTTTGCATTATTTTATACTTTATAGATATTAATTTGCTAGTTTCAACATATCCAAAGCAAATATTCAAGAGAAAGAAATTTCACAGTAAATCATTATGAGAGTTCAAATTTTTTTTTTGGTGTGGGAATGTTTGCCTTTGATCAACTTTATTCTAAAAAAAAAGGCCAGTAAAGCCGTGCGGCTATATCAATCAAAACATATTCAAAGTCAACCAAATTGGTTTTTTGGGTCTGAATAAAAGTCACCCTCATTAGCTAGTAAAAAGAGAACAATTTGGCTTTGGATCTTTTGCTCCAGCCCAAAGGCAACTACTCATATACATACACACACTAGTTGTATTATATCAATTCATTAAATAAACTAATGTGGTGGGTCTAACTAATAAAAAGATGTTTACTTATTAAATCTTATAATTACAACACAAATGTGGGTTAGACTTGGACAAAAAATAAATAATGTGAGTTAGATTAGTTGGCCAAAGTAGTGTTAACATCTCATTGTACTTGGATTAATAACTCTCCCTTCAACCAAACAACTGTCGACTACGAAATTTGAAGAACTAAAAAGTAATTCACAATCATATTATAAATAAATTTAAATGGAGTTTAAATACACCAAAACTATACAGAGCAGAGGTTAGGTGGGTAAGTCTGCTATTACATGGGATCTGACTTTTTTGTTGGGTCAAACTTCGCAGCCCACCAAAAATATTGAGCTCAATCACAAATTCATATATGCACCTCTCCTCCTCTGTGTCGCATTGAGCAGAATTTTAAAGAGGAAAAGAAGAAAGACACTTTCTTTTTCTCTGTAAAGGAAAAAAAAAATGGCGCTCTCACGGCTTCGACACCCAGTGATCTCTCGCGCGCCCTCTCTCTTGAGAGCTCGCCTTCTCTCCTCATACACCAGATCACTCACTCGGTACACTCTCTCTCGTCCTCTGTCAATCACTTCCGATACATATGTTCATTTCATGAATTGTATGGGATGCTTTTAAAGTTAAGTATTGATTTTTCTGAAATGGGTTGGTGGAATGTTGTTGATGGTTTTGGTATTTGATTGAATTTAGATTGGAATGATGAGAATTTTGAGATTTGGGGAGTTGGGGATTGGCGGGTAAGTGTTAAGAGTGTCTTTAATACTGGCATACTTATCAGTTTGAGTAGAGGCAATTTGTAATTGCAATGTAGGGACTGTGTGTTTTTCACTAATTGATGAGAATGTGCGTTCTCTGTTTATGAAATAGAAATGGGTTTTAGTGATTTTCCTAATTGGAGAGGGTGTTAATTGTTAAACCAAAGGATTCTGTTTCACGAAGTTGCTGATTGAATTTGAATCTAGTTTTTCAGCATTCAAGGAAACTCTTTCAATATGAACACATCCACCAGTTCTAGGATTAAAGCGGGTTTCTCTCTTTGCACTGTACTATGTACATATTATTTCTCTCACGCATAAGGATTAGCTGAATATGTAAATACGCGAGTGGGGTTTATTCCTTTGAAAAAGTATAAGATAAGATTTTTACTATGGAAATCATGGTATCAAATTTCACTTAAACTATGTGAGAAATGATCTTGATTCAACACTGTGGTCACTGGTGCTCTTTAGCTTCAAACTCTTGTTCTTGTTTGAATAATTGTGCGCGATAGGTCTTTTTCAATAACTTCCTTATTAAAGAAAAAAGTACGTAATTTAAAGCATCATCTTATGGTATTTTATTTTTGTTTACTAGTCAATGGTGCTATCACATTTTCGGTCATTGATTTTAAAGTAAGTTTGGGATGCTGGTGACAATACTACTACTTAGTCTCTATTTTTGTTTGATGGTGCAGAACTTTCAGTGTGCAAAATTCTACTACGCTTGGTGATAATACTCTGTCAAGGTCTGTAATTGTTGACCTTTTACATGGATGTTATTGCAAAATTCAGTTCTGGTTGCATAATTCTGTCATCCATATATCCACCATCATGGATGGATGATTACTTAATTATACTGCATCAAGTTCTTGATGTTTAATTTGATGGTGGCCTACCGTTTTTCAATGAGAGGAGGCCAGTTTTGATAACCACTTGTTTTCCCTAGTTATTTTCATCTTCTCTCTCTCTCTCTCTCTCTCTCTGCTGGCTCTTCACTGACAATGAAATTGATCAGGCCTGCAACTTTGTCCATGCTCACTGGAGTTCACGCTAAACTATCAAAGCTCAAGGTGAGTGTTTGAAATGTACATTAGCACACACCTATTTATAGGTATATTATTTTTTGACGCTTTTATAATTTTCAGCCTTGGACGGGTGTCAAGTATTACTCAACTGCAGGTATGGCTTTTCCATTTCGTTGCAAGTCTCTTCTTTTAAAAATTAAAAGGTGTCTGGACTTGGTATTGTTGTTCTGCATTTGGTTTCTGGACTTGATTTTGTTCTTTTAGTATTTTCATAATGATGAGTTTTGTAAATAATATATCATCTATTGTGAGAGGAGGGATGCAAGAGACTTTCCAAATTGTATTCTTAGGATCTATGTCATGGACACCATTCACAGGGATGGTACCACTTTTGACGCATGTTGGATGTGAATATGTGCTTGGCATGCGTCTTACATGTCTCAGATGTGCTTCAATACGTATGTAGCAGTATTGGGGTTGAGCAAAAACATTAACGAACTGATTAATCGACCAATCCAATCCAAACTGAAAGACTGCAAGTAATTACATTTCAAAAGTTGAGTTTATTGCTTTGGTGCTTGGTTACTAGGGAGAAATAGAAGATATTATGAACCTTCAACTTTCTCTCATTCTTGCTTACCCCAACCAACCTATTTTCCATTATTGCCTTGATTATTCCTTCCCTTTCTCCCTCTCTCTGCTCCAACCCTTTTCACTCCTTGTTGCCTTGCAGTTCCTTTCTCTTGTTCAATTTCTTAACAAATTGAGAGAACTTACCAACTCTTCTCCTCTACAATTTTTCCCTATTCATGAGAGATGGCAAGAGATCAGGTCTCTAGAACTTGGCCTCCTCTTAGTGATGACACTTAATGCATCTGGCCATGTTGGCAACTGTGACGTGCTATCAGAAACAATTATCTGCACTGGACTAACTGATTAAAAACGGTTTGGATTGGATTGGTTCTCTTGGATTAGTGGTATTGTCTAAAATTTCAAAACAATGCTTATCTGTTCAGTTTAATTGGGGGGCTAAAAGCATTGGTGCCAAGCTCACCGATGCCGAATATCATGGCTATTTTGGTCTGCTTTGAAATTTAGCTAGAGGAACATTTATTATACTTGTGTTGTCAATGAATAATATTCTTCTGTCACTAAGTTGTTTGTGATTACAGATCCTTTGCATGTTGTCCTCACGATGCCTGCGTTATCTCCTACAATGGTAAGAATGTGGGAAACAATTTTACTTCTAAACATCTGCCGTGTGTCACCCTAAATTTTTATTAGCAAGTTTATGTCACGTTCTCTTCTCTCACTTATTTATTACTAACTTGCCATTTTTACCTGGTAGAGTCAAGGTAACATTGCAAAGTGGAAGAAGAAAGAAGGGGATAAGGTAAGTTCTACCAACATGTTCACAAAATGAGTGTTCTAGGTTATGTTTCATGTGAGCTGATTTAGTAAGTGCACAAAGACATACCCCTTCTTACGATATAGCAGATAACAGTATGTTGGTTTTGTAAGTAAATTGTGTTCCTGACTGCTGTTTTGATTTAACAGATTGAAGTGGGTGATATACTATGTGAAATTGAAACTGACAAAGCTACCGTTGAATTTGAAAGCCTTGAAGAAGGGTAACTCTTATTCTTATTCTATTATTATATCTCTTAGAATTTGGCAGTATATGATGCATGATTTATGTTACCTTTGGAGTAAAACTTTATCTGGTCCCAATTTTCACTCCAAATGTTTTGCTTGGCATAGACAATGAAAATGTTCTCCTTCTAGAATATTTGTAATTTTGTTATTGTTATTATTTTTCATCTTTGATGTTAAACTTTGCAAATACTTTAGTTATCATTCCTTTTTTATATTCCGTAATTATGTTATATCATGTTTTTTTAACTAATATTTACAGCATAACGCAAGAACAGTTTGAATTATGTGATGCTTACTGCACTCATATGGTAGTACCTTTCTTTATTCAACTTTCTGTTTTGCAGATTTCTAGCCAAGATACTGATACCTGAAGGGTCAAAAGATGTGCCTGTAGGACAGCCTATTGCAATAACGGTAGTCTGGGATTATTCTCTAGCCATGGTTGCTTTACAAACACCCACACCCACATATGAATGGAGTTTTAATTCAATTGTAACAACAATATAATCATTCGTGTCATTCAAATGACAATTTTTTATATTTTATATTTTTAATTAAAGTATTTTAATGAAAAATGTTTAATTTTTGTTTTAATGTTTAAGCATTTACTTTGATTACCACTCAAGCATTTAGTTGTTGTAGACACTAATTTGTGTGCATTCACAAGGTTGAGGATGCAGATGATATCCAAAATCTCCCTGCTAATGTGGTGGGTGGATCCGAGGTCAAAGAGGATATACCACCACAACAGAATGTCAAAAAGGAAGATGGGGTACAAGATACAAGTTCTGTGGGCATAAACACATCAGAACTTCCTCCTCACATTCTTATTGAAATGCCAGCTTTATCCCCAACAATGGTAAGGAAGTTTAAATCAGATTTTCTGCTATGATTATAGATGAGTTTCCTCCTATAGAACTGAATGCTGCTTTTCTTGTGTTACTGTTCAGAGCCAGGGAAACATTGCTAAGTGGAAAAAGAAAGAAGGAGATAAGGTTAGTTATGTTTAATGTAAGGTTTTAAATTTTCGTTGGAATACATTTTCGTCTCAATTCTTTTAAAACTTTTGACCATATCAACACGGACTGTTTTCTTGATCATATGTGAAACAGATAGAAGTGGGTGATGTGATATGTGAGATAGAGACAGACAAAGCAACTGTTGAATTTGAATGTCTTGAAGAGGGGTAATTTTTTATTTTTTCCCCTCTCATGCTGATTTTATCTGTTGTAGAACTTAGCTTATGCTCCTTTTCTCTGTGTCCCCACTGTATTAATTATTGGTTGTAGTGTAGATTGCCATTGAACAAAAATCGTGAGGACATGCTTTAATTAGTTAAAATGCATTATAACCTAGGCTATTTTGGATACATATCTTATTAACATATGCCTATATGTGTTCAACATGGTAAATGGGATTTACGAAGAGTCTTTCTGTAAACTACTATTGAGTTGTCTAAGAATTCACTGTAAAATTTTAAATGGAGAGAACATGGGAAATGAGGATTTTCGTTTGCAACTTTACATTGTGTTATCCAATGTTTTCTGCATAACAGTTTAAGATTTTAGGTTCATGTTCAGCTGTAGGAATCCTGATTCTAACCAAGTAATAGTGTGAACGTTTTCTCTTGATCATTCTGCTTCTGCTTTGGTGAATATCTTGAAAAGATGAATATATTATTGTTTATGAAGCAGCTCTTTTTATGAGTAATCTTGAAATTATCTTTTTAATGGAATCTTGGTTGTAGATACTTGGCTCAGATACTGGCACCAGAAGGTTCAAAGGATATAGCTGTTGGCCAAGCAATTGCAGTAACAGTAAGTTCAAAAATGCTTGTAGGACTCTATGATCTGTCTCTTGCTTGTCCTTTGGGACTAATTTGCATCTAATTCGATCATAAAATGGCAGCGACCTTCTTTATGCTCTCTCATTTTGATTAGTAGATAAAGTAATTTAGTTCTTTGTGAGTTGGTTAATTTATGATACACTTTCCTGATTTCATGCCTTCAAACAGTTACTAGCGTCTTAGGACATATGAAAATGTTAATTCTGTCTGTTTGGCAAGGTTGAGGATGCAGCTGATTTGGAAATTGTAAAGAATGCTGTTTTCAGTGGTTCAGCTGTCAAAGAAGAAAAACCAATCCATCAGGATACTAGAGATGCAACTAGATCAGAAAAAACTAGTGTTAAAAGGATCAGTCCAGCAGCAAAGTTGCTAATTACAGAACATGGATTGGATACATCGTCATTGAAAGCATCAGGTGCTCATGGTACACTGCTGAAAGGGGATGTTTTAGCTGCAATCAAGTCAGGACTAGGATCTACAATAGTTTCATCTAAAGAAAAGACAACTCCATCTGCTCAGGTGCATCCAAAGACTTCTGCCCCAACATCAACAGAGTCAAGGTCTTCAAAGCAGACAGATTCTTTTGAAGATTTTCCCAATAGTCAAATCCGCAAGGTAGGTTTCATTGACTTGATAGTTAGATTTGGGCAAAAGAATTTGCTTATTTTGTCAGTTTTGAATTAATTCATCAAATTTCATCTGTCTGTGTAATTGACAAGTATCTATCAAATCAAAACAAAATTATGTCCACGGCTTTAAAGCCAGCTGTGCTTGTGGCAGAAAGTGTGGAGTTTAAATCAACATGATTACAAAGGCTGTTAGGTGTTTAGCATTTGCATGCTTAAGGTTTATTTTTTTAAATTTTTTTTAATCGATTTATACAAAACTATTATGAAGTCCAAGATGGTTAGAAAAGTCTGGCACTGCATGAGAGAGAGATGCATGTAAGGGCCTCAATACAAATGCATCTATGTATATATCTGACAATGAGATAAATAGGTATTCTGTTTTATTATCAATTCTTTTCTATGTGTCATAATGGGATTCATATTTTGTTGTGCAGGTTATAGCTACGAGATTGCTGGAATCAAAACAAAACATACCTCACTTATATTTATCATCAGGTCAAGTAACTATTTGATGAAGTCTTTTTGTTAATATAAATTAACCTTTATCTAAAATTGTCAATTTCTTTGATTCAGATGTTATACTGGACCCTCTTCTTTCTCTTAGAAAGGATCTTAAAGGTATGGATTATGAACTTCAAATTGTTCTTATTCTTGATCCTTGAGAATTCTTGAATCAAGCAAATCATTTCTTTCTATGGGTTTCCTTAATTGCAGAGCTGCATAATGTTAAAGTTTCAGTGAATGACATTGTCATCAAAGCTGTAGCTGTTGCACTGAGAAATGTACCTGAAGCAAATGGTAATGGCACATGAACATGTGATACTTTTTCTTTCCAGTTTTTGTTAAATTTTGTGTTACTTGAACATGCTTATCAGAGTTTTTGTATTAGTTTCTGTGGTCTTTCATTTTCCTTTTTCTTTCCAAACTTTGTTTTCATTGAAGTCCATAATAAAACTAGAAACTTTGATACTTATTCTGGAATTTTGATACTGGGGGCCAGCCATTTTCACTTTTATCAAGTGTAGTTTTAGAGAATTCCACGATTCACGGTTCAAGTCTTGGAGTAATTTTTGTTTTTGTCTTTTTTAACTTCATATTTTGGTTATTATAGTCTCTCAAATTTTTTGATTTTGGTTTTTCTATTTCAATTCAATACTCTGGAATGAACTTCTAATCAAATATTAGACGACAATAACACATTTTTTATTGTAATACCCAACAGCTTACTGGGATGCTGAAAAAGGAGAAGTCTTTCTTTGCGATTCTGTTGATATATCGATTGCTGTGGCTACTGAAAAGGTAATTTTCTGATTATTAGTGTTTAAAGTTGTTATACAGCATCTCTTATATAAAAAAAAGTATTATACTGCATCCAGTCACATGATAGGGTATTGGTACAGGGTCTGATGACTCCAATTGTGAGGAATGCAGATCAGAAAAACAATATCAGCAATCTCCTCAGAGGTACTTACAGTAATTTGAATTTATTTTTTTTTTTTTTTTTTTTTTCCCTTTCCATTTATCTATCTGAGAATGTGTTCACACTTAAGAAACAGGCATTACTTAATGTGATGCCCTCTAGTCTCTGGCTTTATGGTAAGTTGGAACTGTGAGAAATTTGTGGCAACTCAAATGACAGTCAATCCAATATAGAATTATGAGTTGAGAATCAAACTTGGTCTAGGTCCATCATTTTCCTTCAGGTTTTTCATTTTAGAATTTTATTTTCGGAAGTGAAGTCATATTAAACATTTCTTCAAATTTCAATTTGGTCGATGATATTTGCTTCTCAGGTCAAGGAACTAGCTGAGAAGGCACGAGCAGGAAAGCTTAAGCCCAATGAATTCCAAGGAGGAACTTTCAGGTGAAATTTGTAGTATTATTAGTTGCTGTATCTATGTTTCGTTTGTTTAATGCAGTAGTTATGAAATACTCCTCATTCCTTGTGCAGTATTTCAAACTTGGGGATGTTTCCAGTGGATCATTTCTGTGCAATTATAAACCCACCTCAGGTTCACTCTCTCTCTCTCTCTCTCTCTCTCTCATGCATAGTTAACATGCCTTAACTGTACAACGTACAGATATTCTTATGGGTGGTATCTCTTTTGTAAATTTTGCTTTACTTCTTCAGGCCAGTATCCTTGCAGTTGGCAGAGGGAACAAAGTTGTTGAACCAGTAATTGGAAGTGATGGTAAGATATTTTGTTGATTATATTCTACTTAGCAGTCTAAATTTGATGCATTATGGAATGGGGATAATAAAGTGAACTTCCCTCACCCCAGGAATCGAGAGGCCAGCAGTTGTCACTAAAATGAACTTGACATTATCGGCCGATCATCGCATTTTTGATGGCAAAGTTGGAGGTACATAACGCTGCAATCTTCTTCCAAACTGTAGCTTAAAAAAAGAAGACATGAAATACAATCTCCTATTATATTTCTTGACATTTGCTTATGAGGTCTAATCCCAATCTATCTTGCAGGTTCTTTCCTCTCAGCTTTACGTTCAAACTTCAGTGAGATCCGAAGGCTTCTTTTGTAATGGCAGGAGAGAAGCCTCAAATTAAGCTAGGAGAGATTTCCCAGAAATAACCATGGTGGCGGTTCTCTCTCAAATCACTTGAGAAAATCAGAGTATTTTTGCTCCCAGCATATCCATCTTGTACATTCGCATTTGTTGTGCCATCTTGATTTGTAGAACTTTTTTGTCACATGAAATTCAATTTGCTTGGTGACAGCAAAATCATTGAGGTACCATGGGTGCAAAATTTTGCTTGACTTCCCATCTAATTCCAAATGTTATCTTCCCTGTAATAAAAGGGAATAATGTACAAACAAGGCACAGAAAAATATCAAGATTTTTCAAGAATAAATTTCCTTGTTAATTTGCAAAATTCGGTCCTTTTATTTTGTATTCATGTAGAGTATTTCGTGTTTGTATGTATATGTACTCTCTTAAGGCCAGAACAACAAACTACTATCTCAATTATTTTTTCAAATGAATAAATCATTTAATAGTTGCGGAAGATAAAATTTTCTCTTAAGAAACATGGTCACAGTAAATGTGGGTTAAGTCTGTTGGTCAAGACAATGTGCTCATCCCCTTGCACTTAAGGCACGCGACAAACGCTACTCGAGTTTATAACCGAACGTATATATGGTTGTAGGTGTTGGACTTATGGATATTGTAGGGAGACGAGGCCCACAACCCAGAAAAAGATTCAAAAGAAAGTCTAAAGCCCATGCCACCACAACCCACCTCGAAATCCTGGCTTGCTAGCTAGCTACTTGTGTGGTTAGTGGAACATTGCTCACCAGCGGTTGTGCCCAATCAATTTCAGTGGTTCAAATGGTTTGAAAGAGAGCTGCAAATTACCATTGACAATTGGTGCACGGTTTGATTATATTGTAATTTGTAACCAGTTTTTAATATAGCATTTTTGACGTGATGAATTATATTGTAAATCATTTTTAATGGAGTATTTTTAATGTGATCAATAATGTGGTCCATCATTTATAGTGTGGAATCACTCCGTTCGTAAATTAGATATTTATGATTAAATTATTAATAAGTTTCCGATGAGATTAGTAATGTGTCCATTTTGTATGAAGGTGAATAATAGTGCACTTTAGTTGGTCACAGAATAGAGGCAAATATTTGAGGTGGGGCCGAAGAAGACTACTTGGTGAGGAAGTTCATGAAGACTACTTCGGGAGAAAGTTTTAAAAGCCTATTGGACATATCACCGTTCCTCCAATCACAGCAACCCAGCAATGACAATGCAAATTACAGTGGAATCTGGAAAAGGTTAGGAAGTGGAAAGCACTTTTCCATAGTCAATGTTTGTTTTGTAGTTTCATGCTTTTCCACAATTTTGCCTGCTTTGGTTGTTTAGCAAAATTTACCTTATGCACTACCGTCTGCTTTGTTTACTGAGAGCAGAGAGAAGCAAAAAAGAAACGCAAAAGAATGTTACGCTAAAAAAATTAAAGTTTAACTTGAGTTTAAATTGACGCAGGGGCTGATGGTGTAAGAATTCGTAACTTTATTTTTGCCAATTTTTAAAAAATATGGACCAATCTATTATATACTCTAAACCACATGAGTGGAAAATGTAATTACGTCTTAAATTTATTCGTTAAATATTGGCTACCTGTAGCAATGTGTCATATCTTTAAATTTCACTTTAGCAATGTGTAAGGATCCGCCTAGTAATACTATTCTTATTTTGTTTCTATTTTAATGTGGAAGTGGAATTCAATGTAGGAACTTTACTCAAAGAACAGAAAGATTTTTGAGGGAGATTTGATGAAAACAACATTTAAAAAAGAAAAAGAAAAAAGCGTGACATGTCAGCAAAACTTGTTTGGGAAGTTCAGGACTTAATTCCTTGGACGGATTGGGGTGAGTTTTGCCTATAAATACAACTTCACTCTGCTGATGCCATTGCAGCTTCTTCTTGCTTGTTGTATCCACAGAGAGAGAGAGAGAGAGAGAGAGAGAGAGAGAGAGAGAGAGATGGACTGCGGCTTCAGATTCCGTCCCACTGAAGAGGAACTGGTGAACCACTACTTGAGGAAGAAGAAACAGGACAAAGATTTTAAAGTTGACCACATCATCCCTGAGATTGATATCTGCAAGTACGAGCCTTGGGATTTACCTGGTAATACATGATTGTTTGCATATCAATCTCAGCCTTGGGATTTTTCTTGTTTCAAATTTAGATATTTTGTTTTGTGTTGCATTTGCAATGCAGGGCTGTTCACAGAGCCAGAGTCGCCATATCAGGATATGTTCTTCTTCAGCCCAAGGGATTACAAGTACATCAACAACAGAGCTCGCACCAACAGGGTCACTGAGCGAGGCTTCTGGAAATCACAGGCAAAGAACGTGTGATCAAGGGTCCTCGAGGGTCCATTGGGAGAAAGAAGACCTTGACCTTCTATGAAGGTCGTGTGCCTCAATGTAACAAGACCAACTGGGTCATGCACGAGTATTATCTCTCTGAAGATGAAGACATTCCAAATCCTAAGCTGGACCAGCAGGTCATTCTCTTTTGGCTTAATGTTTCATGAACTAATGCTTTTGATGTGTGTGTAGTCACTGATCTTATAAGAAATGCAATTGCTTATCATTCTGATATGGGGTCTTCAACTTATGCAGAGGGATTTTGTTCTGTATCGCTTGAGGAAAAATGCAGATAAGAACGTAACTTCAATATGTGCTGTAGCTGAACCTGCATATGCTGAATGGCTTGGGATTTCGGAGGAGGTGAGATAGATTGCTCTGATACCAGGAAGGAAGGAAGTTGAGATTCCACCCCATAATCAATTGGCAACGAGAGGAGTAGACAAACTCCCCTCAATACGTGTTATTGGTTTTGGAGTGAAACCTCAACTTCCTTCAATACAAACGTCTGATTATGGGTATACCCAAACTTGACCGCTCGCTTGTTTATGATTCTTAATGCAGGAATGTCCTCAGCCAGAAGAACTGGAATTAGTCTTTCCTGCACTTCAGCTACAGGATAACGTCTCGGAGGAGATGGAGTTTGAGATTTTTAGCAAGAAATGACCTGCTGCTGGAGCTTACTATATGTATTAGTATTAAATCTATCTCTGCCATTTTATTTTCAATTGTACCCTTGTGTTGTGAGTATTGTATTATACTGTATTTGGTATTTCCATATTTAGTATTTTAATTCTTAATCTCACTAATTTGACATTTAGTTTATTGCTTCAACAATGGTAATGGTCATGCCCCCTTATTGAGTCAAGTCGATGGGGAAAGTGAGAATCCCCATCCTGAAAATTATAAAATATACTAAAATGAAAGGTGAACCCTTGTGCTTGCATTTATCCTTTTTTCAAACAAAAAAGTACCATTAATTTTTTGAATTAAGTAGACAACAGAATTCTTATCTATATCAGAAATGAAAGAAAAAAGACGCCTTCTAAATTAAAACATTATGAAACTAATTATTTTTATTTATTATTTTATATAAATATAAATTTATATTATTTTACTATTATGATGTTAATTAAAATTCTTATAACTTATAAATCTTATAAAAAAAATTAGAAACAAAATTAGATTACTTTTATAATTAGACCGATTCAGATTTTTTATTGTATTGTTTGATTACTATTATTTATTTGTTACACAAAAAAAACTTTTAGAACTCCCGGTAGAAAGAGATTTCGCTAACGAAAAAGCTTTCAATGCTGCCCGATATCCCTTCCTTTTCCAAATATTTTTACGAATCCGTTTTTTTGAAATAGAGGTGCGTTTTTTTGGAACTGCCATTAAAAAATTATAATAGGTTCTTCGGTTGGATGTGAAAGACATCTATTGTTCAAAATAAATTTTTCTTTACTGTTCTCTATCTATTTATTCTCTAAATTATACTCCCTTCATAAAAAAGGGGGGTGTGTAAAAATCGCATAAAATATTACTAACAACAATCCCCTATGCCAAATAGAATAGAATTGATTGAAGTTGATAAAATACAATACAAAAAAAAAGAAAAGATTGTGCGTTTAGTTTTCTTTCTATTTTCGTCGTGTTACATTTATACATGTAATAAAATACATCAAAAGTTTAATAACCCAACCCCTCTATCGCTTAATTAAAAAACTTAAATAATTTTCTATTATATTAATTTTAATTAATTTAATTGGTCAAACTCGAAGAAAAAGTACACCCAACTTTAATTCTCAAATTAGAGTGGGACTAGTAGTTAATCTGTTAAAAGATACAAATATATATAATTTTTATAATTATTATTATTTATTTTTTTGTTTCATTTTTTTTTTTTTTTTTTTTTTTTTTTTTTTTTTACATAATAAAGTGTTGGATATCATAGCATTTCCTACAAATAGCTTTTATTGTAATGGAAGACAATCAATTAGTTACAAAACAAATTGTTTAATGATTCTGAATAACCGAATTACGTGCTGTGTATACAGGGTTGATGCCCTGCACTTTAAATTAAGTTAGGAAAGATTTCTCAGAAATAACCATGGTGGCGATTGAGAAAATCACACACTAATTTTGTCACATGAAACTCAATTTGCTTGGTGACAGCAAAATCATTTGAGGTACCAATGGGTGCAAAATTTTACATGACTTCCCATCTAATTCCAAATGTCATTTTCCCTGTAATAAAAGGGAATAATGTACAAACATGGCACATAAAAAGATCACCATGATTTTTCAAGAATAAATTTCCTCATAAATGTGCAAAATTCGGTCATCTTTTTTTGTTTTGAATTAATGTAGAGTATTTCGTGTTTGTATATATATGTACTCTCCCAAGGCCAAAACAACAAAATACTCTCTCAATTATTTTCTCAAATGAATAAAATAAAATTTTTTTTTTGGGGTCCTAGTAAATCATTTCATTATGTTTGTTTAATAGTTGCGGAAAATAAGTTTCCTTTTTACTAATGTTTGGAATTCGGTTTTCTTTTTTTGGGGTTGAATACTTGTTTCAATTTTTTTTTTTCCGGGTCTAATGTTCATTTTTACTAAGAGGTTGTGTTAAGGCTTCATAGACACGGTTTGATTATACTGTAAACCGACTTTAATAGAGTTGTTCTTATGTGAACAATAATGTGGTCCATAATTTATATATGGTGTAGAATCGCCCATGTATGAATTACACATTTGCATTGAAATTCATTATCAGTTTTCGATGTGATCAGTCAACACCAATGCTAATGCAAATTAAAAGGGAATCTAGAAAAGGTAAGGAAATGGAAAGGAGTTTTCCATAGTCAATATTTGCTTTGTAGTTTTCATGCTTTTGCCTGCTTTGGTTGGTTAGAAAATTTTACTTTATGCACTACTCTCTGCTTTGTTTATTGAGAGTACAGAGAAGCCTGTAAATTTCCTTGATTTAATTATTGAGTGAAAATGAAGTGTATCCAAGCCTGTGTATTTGTCTTTAGAAGAATCTAGATAGTGGTTTCTGAGTGAACCTTGAAAACCCCATTTGTTCAAGTAAATAAAAAAAATATAAAAAAAAAAAAAAAAAAAAAAAAAAAAAAAAAAAACCTAAAGTTAAAACCGATAGTGTAAGGATTCATAACTTTGGTTTTGCCAATTTTTAGAAGATATGGAACAATTTATTACATACTCTAAACCACATGGGTGTTACATACTCTAAACCATATGGGTGTTAAAATGTAATTAGACCTTAAATTTATTCATCAAACATTGTCTACATATGTAGCAATATGTGTCATCTATTTAAATTTGACATCACTTTGGCGACGCAACATTTGTTAGCCTGGTAAAAAAACTATTCATATTTTGATGTGGAATTCAATGTACGTATGAAAAGGACCTCTAACTTACTAATAAAAGACCAGAGAATATTTTTATGACTTGATCGAGGGAGATTCCAAAATGTAAACTATTCTAACAAGCTAACCCTCCAAGAAAGGTTGATGAAAAACAACATTTAAAAAAAGAAAAAGAAAAAACGCGTGGCGTGTCAGCAAAACTTGTTTCCCTTAGGAGGGATTGGGGTGAGTTCGTCTATAAAATACTTCACTCTACTGTTGATGCCATTGCAGCTTCTTCATGCTTGTTAGAGAGAGAGAGAGAGAGAGAGAGAGAGATGGACAGCAACTACAGATTCCTTCCCACTGAAGAAGAATTGGTGAGCCACTTGAGGAACAAGAAACAGGTTGACCACATCATCCCTGAGATTGATATCTGCAACTACGAGCCTTGCGATGTGCCTGGTAATCCATTAATACTGTATATGATTGTTATGTATATACAATCTTGTTATGTTGTTAATTAAACCCCAAAAAAAATAAAAAATAAAAACGTTCTTCTTGTGTTTTTAGTATTTGGTACTTGAAGACTTGAATTGGGTTGGTTTCAAATTTGGATATTTTGTTTTGTGTTGCACTTGCAATGCAGGGTTGTATGCAGGGCTGTTCACAGAGCCAGACTCGCCATATCAGGATATGTTCTTCTTCAGCCCAAGGGATTACAAGTACATTGACAACAACTATGCTCGCACTAACAGCGCCACTGCGCGAGGCTTCTGGAAAACCACAGGCAAAGAACGTGTGATCAAGGCTCGAGGGTCCATTGTGAGAAAGAGGACCTTGATCTTCTATGAAGGTCGGGTGCCTCCATGTCCATCTAACAAGACCAACTGGGTCATGCATGAATATTGTCTCATTGAAGATGAAGCCAACCCTACTCCTAAGCTGGCCCAGCAGGAGCAGGTCATTCTCTTTCATCCATGATTGTTATATATTTTGTGCTGTGTTTGGATTGTGCAGCATCAAGTTTTGTCCATTGGCTTAGTGTGTTTTCAAGAACTAATGCTTTTGATGTGTGTGTGATCACTGATCTTATAAGAATTGCAAGTGCTTATGATTTTGATAAGGGGTCTTCAACTTATGCAGAGGGATTTTGTTCTGTGTTGCTTGAAGAAAAAACAAGATAAGAAGGATACTTCAATCTTTGCTCAACCTGATGAATGGCCCTTGATTTCTGAGGTGAGATAAAGAAGTTGAGGTTTCAACCCATAACCAATTGGCCGTGGGAAGTGTAATTGGTTTTAGAGTGGAACCTCAACTTTTGATTATGGGTATATCCAAACTTAACCACTCGCTTGTTTATGATTCTTAATACAGGAATATCCTCAGCCAGAAGAACCGGAATGAATCTTTCCTGCACTGAAGCTACAGGATTACACACTGCAGATGGACACAGAGGTGGGAGATGTTTAGCATGGGACCTGCTGGAGTCCTACTATATGTATTAGTATTAAACCTATCTCTGTCACCTTCAAGTCTCCGTAATATGTCTTAGTATTAAACCTATATTTTTCTTTTCATTTGTATCCTTGTGACTATTGTATTGTATTGTATTGGTATTTCCATATTTAGTATTTTAATTCTTAATCTCGCTATATCAAATCACACGTGAAAAAAGAAAAGAAAAGGATATTTTATTGCTTCAACAATGGTGATGGTCATGCCCTTCATGCTCCCTCATGCTGGGTAGGGCTGGTGCCTTGCTCCTTGACAGCTTGTTAGGACCAATTTTTGGTATATTGGCAATTTTCTGTTACAAAAACATAGAGTAGGTCTTTGAGTGTAACCTACAGTTTTCAAGTGACATTCTGCTATCTTGGATCAGTGTGCCTCAAAGACAATGCCAAGGTATGTTTTGCATCCATGCATTCATATTTTCATATTTGCTTGATCATCAAAAGTGGCTGTAAGCGATATATGATTTCAGTCTTATATAATCCAGTGCCAGACATCAATGAGTTTTTAACGTTTGTTTTATATTCTTTAGATTGGTGATTATTTAAGCAAAAGGGCTCTTTTGTCTTTACGGTTGGGTTTTTAATTAAGTGGCTTTATTTGTTTTTAAAGAAATAATTTATTTGTTAAAAAGCCCATTTTTGCTAGAAGCCTTTTTTGGTCTCTGACTTAGTTTTAAGCGTGTAATAAAAGAAAGGAACTTAGCCATTTTGTGGGGTGTCTGCAACGTTGAAAAGTGTAGAGCGACAAAATATTTTGCAGAGAGGTTTTTGAGAGTTCATATTGAAAACTCATGTGGCTGTTCCTTGTTAGCCTCCATGAGTGATTAAATAATCTTCTTTTCATATATGTGTGAGTTCATGAGCATTATGCATGTTGGTGATCAACAATCGTGCCTTGAGGTGTGAGCAACCGAGACCAGAGTTGTGCCATCTCTTGTTGACAAAGGAAGACAAGATCGCTGGTTGGGTTGAGTAGCAAAGGCGAGTAGGCAAGTCTGCCTTGCGAGCCTTAGTCTTGTGAGTTGGGACTTGTAAGACCTTTTTGTATTCTTTCTCATAGTGATTTGTTCTCCGGCATAGTGCCCGCAGTTGTTTTCCTCATCTTGAGGTTTTTTACTCCGTCAACATATCGTGTGTCCCTTGTGCAATTGTTTGCGTTTTTATTTGAATTTATTCTGCTGCGTATTCTGGAATTTTTGCTTACAGGATTGTTACAGTATTTCAATCATGTCGTGGTGTTTGAGTATTAAGAAACAGATCAGTTGGCCATTCTAGGGAATTTCAATTGGCATCAGAGCAGGTCACTAGACGTGCTTAGTGAGATCGTTGGGCTGTGCTAGAATGAATCGTGCATGTGGGTCTGTGGCTCGTCCTCCGTTTCTTGATGAGAATACTAACTATGGGGCTTGGAAAGCTAAGATGAAATCTTTTCTGTGGGCTCAAGGTACAAAGGTGTGGACAACTATTGAGAATGGTTGGGAACCTCCAACAAAGGAAATTAAAGGGTGTGGAAAAGAGGTTGAAGGTGAAGGCCAGTCGACAACAAAGGTTGTAATTAAGCAAAATACAGAGTGGACTGATGAAGAAAACGATATGAGTGCCTACAATCAAAAAGGTCTTAACTCCATCTTCACTGCGGTATCAGCTGAAAAATTTGAGTTTATATGTCATTGCAAAACCTCAAAGGAGACTTGGGATATTCTGGAAATTACTCATGAAGGAAATGCCACTGTCAGAGAATCCAAACTTCAACAACTGATGACTAAGTTTGAAAATATGAAGATGCTGGAAACTGAAAAATTTGCTGAATTTTACGCTAGATTGAGTGTGGTGGTGAATGCTTGCAGCAACCTTGGTGATGCAATTCCTGAACACAGAATAGTGAAAAAGATTTTGAGATCTCTGCCTATGATGTATCACGCCAAGAAGACAGCGATTGAAGAGTGTAAGAATTTGAACACTTATAAACTTACTGAGTTAATTGGTTCTCTTACCACTTATGAGATGGAATTTCCAGAAATAAAGAAAAGCAAGGGCATTGCTCTAAATACAGTGAAAGAAGATGGGAGTGACAGTGTGTCAGAAGAAAAAATGGATTATGCTTTGCTTACAAAACAATTTCGTAAGTTTTTGAAATCTAAGAATTCAAGGTTTGGTGAACAAAGAGGAAATTCAGGTTCAAGTACAAGAGGGAGTCGCCCTCGTGAGTTTACTTCTGACAAGTTATCACATACAACCAAAACTATGGAGAAAAAGGGCTCTAAAGATTCACTGAAGTGCTTTGAATGTGGTGGATATGGACACTTTGCCTCTGAATGCGCAAATAATTTGAGGAAGCAAAATAGTGGGAAAAATAAAGTAATGGCAGCAACTTGGAGTGATAGTGAGTCTGATAATGATTCAAATTCAGAAAATGAAGATCAAGTTGTTGCTTTCTTTGGGAGAATTCATGTCCAAAAGGATGAGAACTCTGATGTTGAAGAACCTGAGATAGAAGTGGTGATGAAGCAATTCAACAGTCTCTATGATTCCTCTGAAAAACTGAAGAAGAAAAATGCAGAGCTTGCTGATCAAGTGGCTTTTCTACAAGACGAACTGACCAGGACTGAAGCTGCCTTTCAATCCCAGCTGAAAACAGAAGAAAATCTGCGTGGGTCTTTGCTTGAAAAAATTCAGATGCTCCAAGACAAGTACCAGCTGCAGAAAGATATGAATGTTTCTCTTACTTTCGAAAGGGACCATGCTAGTGCTGAATTAAAATTAGCAACAGAAAAAATATTTGGTATGACCATTGGTGCAGAGAAGATTGACAGGATGTTAAGTCTGGGAAAAAAGGCTGGTGATACGAGAGGTTTGGGTTTTGAAAGTGAAAAGTCTAAGCAAGAGGTCAAAGCTGTGAAATTCATCAAAGAATTCTCTTCTACTGAAGCGAAGGTTAGCCCAAAGAAATTTATACCAATCTGTCATTTTTGTGGAGTTTTTGGTCATATACGGCCTAGATGCAATGTGCTTAGAAAGGAGAAGAGGTCAGCTTACTACTATTCTCCAAGAAATTTTAATCCATCTCAAAGAACCAAACTAGTGTGGAAAAAAAAGGAGGAAAAGTGCTTGGTGACTTTAATGGCCTTATCTGCTAGAAAATCTGATACATGGTATTTCGACAGTGGTTGTTCAAGACATATGTCTGGTGATAAATGTTGGTTTACAAATTTGAATACAGAGTGTGTGGAAGGCTCTGTGACATTTGGAGATGGAAGTAAAAGTAAAATTTTAGGGAAAGGAGATGTTGAGACACTTGGCTTACCATTCTTAAAAAATGTCATGTTGGTGGAAAATTTGCAGGCAAATTTGATAAGCATCAGTCAACTTTGTGATGATGGTAGCAACGTGTGGTTTGATAAAGATCAATGTTATGTCGCTGATTTTCAAGGAAAGAAGGTTATGAGTGGCATGAGATCCAAAGATAATTGCTATTGTATTCAGGTGAATGAGAACAAAAGTCTTGTGTGCAATCGCGCTACTGATGACGTGATGGAACTGTGGCATAGAAGACTTGGTCATATCAACTTTCGTGATCTCTTGAAGCTGTCCAAGAATAAGTGTGTCAGAGGTCTACTAAAGCTGAGTGGTAAGTCTGCAGGAGTGTGTGGTGCGTGCCAATTAGGTAAGCAAGTCAAGAGTGCTCACAAAAGCATATCCTACATATCAACATCCCAGCCATTAGATTTGCTGCATATGGATTTAGTTGGTCCCATTCAGACTGAGAGCATAGGTGGAAAGAAGTATATGTTGGTGTTGGTGGATGACTTTACTCGGTTTACTTGGGTTGATTTTCTTCGTGAAAAATCTGATGCATTCAAGAGTTTTCGTGGCCTATGCAACAAAATTCAGATCGAGAAAAATGCTTCACATGTTACTGTCATGAGACTTCGAACATACCATGGAACAAAGTTTGAAAATGTAAGCTTTGCTGAATATTGTGAAGAGAAAGGAATAAAGCACGAATTTTCAGCACCTATTACACCTCAACATAATGGGGTGGTTGAGAGGAAGAATCACACCTTGCTTGAAATGGGACATGTGATCTTGACAAGTGCTAAGATAGCGAAGAAATTTTGGGCAGAAGCTATTAGCACAGCATGTTATACAACAAATCGTGTATATCTTAGATCGCGCACAACTTCAACTCCTTATGAGCTTTGGAAAGGGAGAAAACCTAACATAAAGCACATGAGGGTTTTTGGGAGCGTCTGCTATATTTATAGAGATAGAGAAAACCTAGCAAAGTTTGATACAAGAAGTGATGCTCGCATCTTTTTGGATTATTCTCTCACTAGCAGGGCTTATAGGGTGTTTAACAAGAGGACATGTACGGTAATGGAATCAATTAATGTTGTTGTCAATGATACTGATATGTCATTTGGTTCTTGTGCAGATGATGATGAGGATATTATTCCAGTAGCTCCTAGGCAAGAAGAAAAAGACAAGGTGGCTAACATTAATGATGAAGTGCATGCAGAAGAAAATATGTTTTCACCTCCTCTTAGACCTGGTGCTCGGCAAGTCCAAAAAGACCACACACCATCTGATATTATTGGAGATTTAAATGATCAAAGAAAGACAAGAAGCCAAGTCGTTGCGGAGGTAACTCATTTGTGCTATGTTTCCAAATTGGAACCAAAAAATTCAAAAGAAGCACTTCTTGATTGTGATTGGATCATGGCTATGCAAGAGGAGTTAGACCAGTTCACTAGAAATGATGTGTGGTACTTGGTTCCACGTCCCAAGGACTTGAATGTGATAGGTACAAAATGGGTTTTCAGGAACAAAACTGATGAAAATGGTGTTATTACAAGAAATAAAGCAAGGTTGGTTGCACAGGGATATTCCCAGGTTGAAGGGTTGGATTTTGATGAAACTTTCGCTCCCGTGGCAAGGCTTGAATAAGGTAGATTGCTTTTAGCTATAGCTTGTCATATGAGGTTTAAACTACACCAGATGGATGTGAAAAGTGCGTTCCTAAATGGGGTTTTACAGGAGGAGGTATATGTAGAACAACCTGTAGGATTCAAAGATCCTTACAATCATGATCATGTATATCGTCTTAGAAAAGCTCTCTATGGGCTGAAGCAAGCTCCTAGGGCTTGGTATGATCGGTTGTCATTCCATTTGCTGAATAAAGGGTATGTCAGAGGAGCTGTTGACAAAACTCTGTTTGTCAAAAACACCAACAAAGACTTGATTGTTGCTCAGGTTTATGTCGACGATATTGTTTTTGGGTCTACATCTGAATTTCTTGTAAAAGAATTTACTGAAGTTATGAGCAGCGAATTTGAGATGAGTATGTGTAGGGAGCTAAGCTATTTCCTAGGCCTGCAAGTCAAGCAACAAGATCATGGTATCTTCATTTCTCAAACCAAGTATGCAAAAGACTTGGTAAAAAAGTTTGGTATGAGTTCTGCCAAACCAACAAGGAATCCCATGGCTACACACAACAAAATTGATGCTGACCCTTCTGGAAAATGTGTAGAACAAACACTTTACAGAAGCATGATTAGAAGCCTCTTATATTTAACAGCCAGTCGACCCGACATCTCATTCAGTGTTGGTGTGTGCGCTCGCTTTCAGGCAAATCCAAAGGAGTCTTACTTGAATGCAGTCAAGAGAATCATCAGATATGTAAGTGGTACTCCAACTTTAGGTGTATATTATTCATTTGACCCAAATTCTGAAATTGCAGGTTACACCGATGCCGATTGGGCTGGAAACGTTGATGATAGGAAGAGCACATCTGGAGGGTGCTTTTATATAGGTAATAATATTGTGTCTTGGCATAGCAAAAAGCAAGCTTGTGTTTCCTTGTCTACAGCCGAAGCGGAATACATTGCTGCTAGAAGTTGTTGCACACAACTACTATGGATGAAGCAAATGATGAGTGATTACGGCATTCAGCAAGGTACTTCAACTCTTTTTTGTGATAATCTGAGTACAATAAATATTTCCAAAAATCCGGTTCAACACTCACGAACAAAACACATAGATATTAGGCATCATTTTATTCGTGAATTGGTTGAAGAAAAGGTGGTAAGTCTTGAGTTTGTTTGCACAGAAAAACAATTGGCTGATTTGTTTACAAAACCATTAGACACTGTTCGTTTTGAAGCTCTCAGGAAGTCTCTTGGTATTTGTTCCATTGAATGAACTCCCTCTAAATTTTTTTTGCATTCACATTTCATTGTTGTATGCCCATGTCGAATAGGTTTCTTAGTTTCTGTTTTTTTTTTTTAGCCTTGTAGTATATCATTGCATTGCATTTTCAATTTGTCATAAGCTTGTATTTCTTTGAACTAAGATTGGGTTTTCTAGTCTGAGTACGGGACTAACTGTGAGACACATGCTCTTAGTTGGCAAATATTTTTCTATGTTAGTCTCTGGCATTAATCCTTGCTTGGCATTTTCACAGCATTTCCTTAGTTCTTGCACATGCACACCAATATGAGCTATGAATGCCTTTGTTGCAAGATTTCACTTTAAACGACAATGATAGATATCTTTGGAGCTTGACTCAGGTTATCCCAAAGTAGCCGGACCTTTTACCTAACCAGTGTCGAGGGTCGCGTCGAATACGGGATGGCTTGGTCCATATTATTTTCAAAAACAAAAAAAGCAAAAAAAAGTGTCACAACTTTGAAGCCTTTTGACTCGAGTTGCTAAGCCCATGGAGTATCCTTGATATACTTAGTGCCCTAAAGTCCTCTGGCTTGGGAGCATCTGGCCTAAGACTTGTTACAGGTCATTAGAAAGCTTAATAAAGTTGTGGACTGTGCTCCATAAAAAATATATATATATAGAAAAAAAAATACAGCATCATTGTGAATATGCTGAATTACACTTGTATGCACTATCATTCTTATCTCTATTGGTTCATTTTCACACCAAGGACCCCCTGTGAATTTTTGCTAACCTTGATTATATGGTGTTACCTAACATGGAGAGATATTTCACAACACTTGATGCTGTGGGTTCTCATTGTTACTCTTCAATTTTGACTTGATATCTCCTTACAAGCTTTGCTTAGCAATCTCGTTTGTGACAATGGTTTGAACACATTCATCTTGTGTGCCTAATTGCTCATTCATTATTACTTGTGTCTTTGCATACATTCATGGGAGAATTCATAATATGGAATTTTTGCCTACATTGTTCTTCCTGGGAGTGGTTATTTGATGTGCAAGTGGTTATTTCTTTAAGGGGGAGTTTGCCATTACCTATCCAAAAAAGGGGGAGTAAACATTCTGAGTTTTATTTTTACATATTGTATTTTCAACCATACATGCTTTTCACTGGTTATTTTTTGGTTTAGTGGTGCAGAATTCAGGTTACCTTTTCTATTGCAAGTGGTCATGTTTAAGGAATTCTTTTCACTCACTTGTAATTGGTTTAGGGGGAGATTATTAGGACCAATTTTTGTAACTCGAGTTTTTGTATAGGAAATGCCAAAGGGGGAGATTGTTATGACCAATTTTTGGTATATTGGCAATTTCCTGTTACAAAAACATAGAGTAGGTCTTTGAGTGTAACCTACAGTTTTCAAGTGACATTTTGCTATCTTGGATCAGTGTGGCTCAGAGACAATGCCAAGGTATGTTTTGCATCCATGCATTCATATTTTCATATTTGCTTGATCATCAAAAGTGGCTGTAAGATGTACATGACTGATATATGATTTCAGTCTTATATAATCCAGTGCCAGACATCAATGAGTTTTTAACGTTTGTTTTATATTCTTTAGATTGGTGCTTATTTAAGCAAAAGGGCTCTTTTGTCTTTACGGTTGGGTTTTTAATTAAGTGGCTTTATTTGTTTTTAAAGAAATAATTTATTTGTTAAAAAGCCCATTTTTGCTAGAAGCCTTTTTCGGTCTCTGACCTAGTTTTAAGCGTGTAGTAAAATAAAGGAACTTAGCCATTTTGTGGGGTGTCTGCAACGTTGAAAAGTGTAGAACGACAAAATATTTTGCAGAGAGGTTTTTGAGAGTTCATATTGAAAACTCATGTGGCTGTTCCTTGTTAGCCTCCATGAGTGATTAAATAATCTTCTTTTCATATATGTGTGAGTTCATGAGCATTATGCATGTTGGTGATCAACAATCGTGCCTTGAGGTGTGAGCAGCCGAGACCAGAGTTGTGCCATCTCTTGTTGACGAAGGAAGACAAGATCGCTGGTTGGGCGTAGCAAAGGCGAGTAGGCAAGTCTGCCTTGCGAGCCTTAGTCTTGTGAGTTGGGACTTGTAAGACCTTTTTGTATTCTTTCTCATAGTGATTTGTTCTCCGGCATAGTGCCCGCAGTTGTTTTCCTCAGCTTGAGGTTTTTTACTGCGTCAACATATCGTGTGTCCCTTGTGCAATTGTTTGCGTTTTTATTTGAATTTATTCTGCTGCGTATTCTGGAATTTTTGCTTACAGGATTGTTACAGTATTTCAATCATGTCGTGGTGTTTGAGTATTAAGAAACAGATCAGTTGGCCATTATAGGGAATTTCACAGCTAGAGGCTCATACCACCGAGGCCCAAACCCAGCAGCTTTCCTCGCCTCTTCATTGAAAGGAGGCTTCAAAGTCCCCCTGAAAATACGACCTCACAATTGCATGAAACTTTTTAATCACTTCATCTTCTTCATCATCAGACACCAGCCTCATGCAAAGATACTAACCACTTCACTCCAGCAGCACAGTGGGTTATTTCTTCAGGGTAGACCACGCTGTCTAGCATATCAGCTGTTGTGTCATCACCTCCGTTTCGGAACCGGGAGATGTTTGTTGGCAGCACATCGAGGCCTCTTGCCTCATGCACGCAATGCTCGACAGCCAGGGGTGCGGTTAGGTCTTTGGAAGTGGCAGCGGCAGAGGCCCATAGGCCGTCGCGAGCAGGCAATGCTCCATAGAAAAAACCCCTCAAGCCGAGCTGCGACGAGAGTGAAGTGACGGCTTTCGTCCTGAGACACCTTTACGAAATCCGTGAAGAACTCTCTTGGCATCGCCTCTTGCTTGCCAAACCTAGCAATTATGTCCAACAAAAATCAATACGAATATACTATTAATATAACCATGAACAAGATCAAATCAGATTTTCAAAAACTAAAGACAATTGATTTAAATAATTGACTTATCCACCAGTGTTCGAGTCCCGCTGCCAGCAGCAGTTCTGTGTTTGATGGATAATCTGTAAATTCCTCTATAAATACGAAAAGATTTCTTTGTAAATACGAAAAGATCTGGGGTTTGCCCTGGCCCTGAGTGTGGGGGTAGCCTTTCCCTCCCCTAAACTTTCTAAGATAAAAAATAAAAATAATAAAAAAAAGGTTTTGCATGACTTCCCATCTAATTCCAAATGATAATTTACAAACATGGCACAGAAAAAGATCACTACAGTTTTTCAAGAATAAATTTCCTTTTTAATGAGCAGATTTTTGTATTTTTATTTTGAATTCATGTAAGTATTTCGGGTTTGTGTGTATATATGTACTCTCCCAATGCCAAAACAACAAAATACTCTGTCAATTATTTCTCAAATGAACAAATCAGCTCATTATGTTTGTCTAATAGTTGCGGAAAATGAGTTTCCTTTTTACTAATGTTCGGATTCAGTCTCTCTCTTTTTTTTCTTTATCTTTTTTTCTTTTTGAGTCGAATACTTGTTTCATTGCAAGACAAAAGAGATTGTGCTCAGGCTTCATAGACACGGTTGTAAACCGTCTTGATAGAGTTGTTCCGATGTCCACGTATGAATTACACATTTGCATTGAAATTCATTATAAGTTTTCGATGTGATCAGTCCATATCTTTATCAAAAGTTAGATAATAATCTGATTTACTAGAAGAGGTCCGATGGCAATTGGCAAGTGGGGAGCATCTAACAGAAAGAAGAAGAAAAAAATTGTGAATGATGCAGAGAATGGAGGCAAATATTTGAGGTGGGGTCGAAAAAGACTACTTGGTGAACAAGTTCATGAAAGACTAGTTGGGGGGAAAGTTTCAAAAGCCTATTGGAAATATCACCGTTTCTCCAATCACAAACTCTAAAATATTTTTATTATTATATATAAATACAGAGAAGAATAAAATCAAAACCATTATCACTTGGCAGTGCCAAGATTGTTAAATCTCTCTTTTATCTTTTTTTCGCTAAAGTTGCACTAAAAATTCTTAAGTTAACATGACGTTTAAACTGAACAGAGAGGCCGATGGTGTAAGAATTCGTAATGAACCACATGGTGTTAAAATGTATGTAATTACTCCTTAAATTTATTCGTCAAATATTGTTATCTACATGTAGCAATGTGTCATTTATTTATTCAAATTTGACATCACTCTGGTGACACAATTTTTGTTAGCTAGCCTGGTAAAACTATTTCATATTTTGTTTATATTTTGATGTGGAATTCAATGTAGGAAAAGGACCTCTTAACTTACTCAAAGAACAGAAAAGACTTTTATGACTTGAGGGAGATTCCAAAATGTAAAGTACTCTAACCTCCAAGATGGGTTGATGAAAAACAACATTTAAAAAAGAAAAGAAAGAAAGAAAAAACTCGTAGGTTGAGTTTGTCTATAAAATACAACTTCACTCTACTGATCCATTGCTGTTTCCTCTTGCTTGTTAGAGAGAGAGAGAGAGAGAGAGAGATGGACAGCTACTTCAGATTCCTTCCCACTGAAGAGGAACTGGTGAGCCACTACTTGAGGGAGAAGAAACAGGTTGACCACATCATCCCTGAGATTGATATCTGCAAGCACGAGCCTTGGGATGTTCCTGGTAATCCATTAATCTATCTCTCCTAATTTCTTACTTATCTACACATTTCTCATTAATACTGCATGTTTGTTATGTATATACAATCTTGATCTGTTGTTAATAAAAATTACTTGAAAAAAAAAATTAACGTTGTGTTTTTAGTAAACTTGAATTGGGTTGGTTTCAAATTAGGATATTTTGTTTTGTGTTGCATATGCAGGGCTGTATGCAGGGCTGTTCACAGAGCCAGAGTCGCCATATCAGGATATGTTCTTCTTCAGCCCAAGGGTTTACAAGTACAACAACAGCGCTCGCATCGAAAGGACCACTGCGCTAGGCTTCTGGAAAATCACAGGCAGAGAACGCGTGATCAAGGCTCGAGGGTCCACTGGGAGAAAGAAGACCTTGACCTTCTATGAAGGCCGTGTGCGTCAATCGAAGAAGACCAACTGGGTCATGTACGAGTATTATCTTGTTGAAGATGAAGCCAACCCTAATCCTAAGCTGGCCCAGCAGGTCATTCCCTTTCATCCATGCTTGATTATTTGCAAAGTTTGTTATATATATTTTGTGCTGTGTTTGGATTGTACAGCATCAAGTTTTGTCCATTGGCTTAGTGTGTGTTCATGAACTAATGCTTTTGACGTGTGTGATCTTATAAGAAACGGAATTGCTGGTAGTTAATGGCTTAATGTCCGTAGGTACTTATGATTTTGACATGGGTTATGCAGAGGGATTTTGTTCTCTGTCGCTTGAAGAAAAAAGCTGATGATAAGAAGCATACTTCAATCTCTGAAGCTGAACCTGCGTATGATGAATGACAAAGGATTTCAGAGGTGAGATAGCTTGCTTTGATACCATGAAGGAAGTTGAGGTTCCACCCCATAACCAATTAGCAATAGGAGGACTAGTCCAATTCCTCTCAATATGCGTAATTGGTTTTGGAGTTTGAGGTGGAACCTCAACTTCCTTAAATATTGAACTTCTTATTATGGGGTATATCCAAACTTACCTTAAATATTGAACTTCTTATTATGGGGTATATCCAAACTTACCGGCTCGCGTGTTTATGATTCTTAATACAGGAATTTCCTCGGCCAGAAGAACTAGAATTTATCTTTCCTGCAGTTCAGCTACAGGATTGCATGCTGCAGATGGACACAGAAGTGGGAGATGTTTGGCAATGAAAATAACTATATTACTTGTATGAGTGCTCCTGCTGCTACATGACCTTCTGGAGTCTCATGTATATGTATTAGTATTAAACCTATCTGTGTCACCTTCAGTTTGAAAAACACTCTACCCTCTACAACCGAATAGCATATGTATTGGATCCATTTTTCTTTTCAATTGTATTAGTATTTTAATTCTTAATCTCGCTAATTTGAAGATATCAAACCACACGTGAAAAAAGAAAAGAAAAGGATATTTTATTGCTTCAACAATGATGATGGTCATGCCCTTCATGCTCCCTCATGCTTGGTAGGGTTGGTGCCCTGCTCTTTGACAGCAAGAGGCTCATACCAGCGAGGCCCAAACCCAGCAGCTTTCCTCGCCTCTTCATTGAAAGGAGGCTTCAAAGGCCCCCTGAAATACGTCCTCACAATGGCATGAAACTTTTTAATCACTTCATCTTCTTCCTCATCAGACACCAGCCTCATGCAAAGATACTTGAACCACTTCACTCCAGCAGCACAGTGGGTTATTTCTTCAGGGTAAACCACGCTCTCTAGCAAATCAGCTGTTGTGTCGTCGCCTCCTTTTCGGAACCGGGAGATGGTTGTTGGCAGCACATCCAGCCCTCTTGCCTCATGCACACAATGCTCGACAGCCAGGCGTGCTGTTAGGTCTTTGGAAGTGGCAGCGGCAGAGGCCCAGAGGCCGTCATGAGCCGGCAAGGCTCCATAGAAAGAACCCATCTCCTCAAGCCGAGTTGCGAGGAGAGTGAAGTGACGACCTTCGTCCTGAGCCACCTTTACGAAATCCGTGAAGAACTCACTCGGCATTGCCTCTTGCTTCCCAAACCTAGCAATTATGTCCTACAACAATCAATACGAATATACTATTAATATAACCATGAACAAGACCAATTCAGATTTTCAAAAACTAAAGACAATTGATTTAAATAATCAAAATTCAACTTAAAAATTGAATAAAATAACTTGGAATTGACATGATTGAAATACCAAACAACAGTATGAGACAGAAAGCTAATTTGCATAGTTTTTCTCCAATGCAGGATGAGTAATGCGAGATTGTTGCAGGATGCGTGCCGGTTGATATGTAACGTGCCCGTGGCGATCAATTGGCACTCACACTACGCAACTTTCATCCTGCATTGGGGAAACCTCGCGTATTGAAATACGCCGCTACGTTCCCTAATCAGGATTTTCCTAAATCCCAACATGAATGTATCTCCTTTGTTTTGTTTTGTTTTTTTTTCCTTTATTCCTTCTCATTTAAGAAGAGATAAGATAAGAAGATCAACTGGATGTGACAAACAATGCAACATACTCTCTGAACAAATCTTACACAACTAGGTTTGGAAATGAAAACTTCAAGGCTGAGAAAAAGCCATGAAATACAAAACACCAATCTCAACTCAGACACACAATATCAAATGCATAATTAAACCACTAAATCAGAAAACATAAATGGTCAGTTTATAATTTTTTTTGTTTAACATTAAATCCATGTCTTTATCAAATCTTACTCTTAGCCCACAATTATTTATTAATTATTTTGTTTAAGTATGAAGAGCCAAGAGATTGAAAGCTCCAAGAATCAATGCTTCTATTGATTTTCACAAATAAAATAAAATAAAAATGAAAAAGGCCTTGAAAGGGCCCAAGCAGCTAAGGGCCAGCTCTACAGTACCCAAGACAAGTCAATAGCCCAACTCTCAGTGTGAGCGAGGCTATGCACTATGGCCTGCCTGCTCTGCAAGCTCCCGCCTTTTCCCAGCTTCGGCATCAGCCCCGGCGCCACCAACTTCACCTGCATACACTCACACGCATTTCATCAAACACTTGGCGCACAAAAGCAACACACACTCCAGCACTGTAAATTGACAAAGCCTACGCAACGTTGCTGAGCCTGGCAGGACGATCCGGTACGGGAAGGTCCACGGAAGCGTCGTAGGCGCGAGTGATGGCCCCTCCGAGCCACTGAGCGGCCACCGAGTCGCCAACTCGGGCCTTCTCGAACGGGTCCGCCGTGTTCAAAACTCGGAGCGCCGCTTCCACCAAGCTCTCGTCTCCGCTCATGTTTTTTTTCTTTTTCTTCTGCCAAACCTAAACAACTTTTTGTGGCTAGAAACTTTTACCTAAAGAGAAAAGTCCGAATTTGTTGCGTTTAATTCGGGTCGGGTTCGCGGAAAATTTAATTTGCCAACCAGGACCTGAGGTTGGAGGTAATTGCATTTTGTGATAAGCGTCGTCTGTGACTGTGTTGTTGTCCCTGACTCTGTGGGACTTGAGCTGCAGGGATGAGTCAGCACGCGGGCCCGAGGGCCGAGTCGACTCACCACCGACTCTACGAGTTCGCGAAAGCTGCACTCACCAGGATCTTCGTGCATCCTTACGCTACGGTCTGTTTCTTCTGCCCTAGAAATCTCAGTCTCTCTCTTCACAGGCACAGTTTTGTGTTTGTATAATTGAGTGATATTTGTGGTGGTGGTTTTCAAGGTGTGTGAATTGTATTGCGGTGGAGGAGTTGATGCAGAGAAATGGGACGAAGCTCAAATTGGCCATTACATTGGAATTGGTATGGTTTCGTGTGTTTTCTGTGTATATTTTTGTACAATGGCTGAGTTAAAAATGGTGGTGCTGCTTGTTGCAATGGGTAGATGGTTCATCATCTGGAATAAGCCAAAGAAGAGAAGCATGGGAGAGCCAGAGGAAGGCTTATACTGCTGACTTTTTTGAGCTTGACCCTTGTATGGTCAGACTCTCTTTCTTTACTCTTACACTCTTACTGCATTGTTTGTCTTTGTTGTTTTTGCTGTTTTTGCTTCCTTTATTTGAAGATTTAGAATCAGGTGGCTTTATTCTAGCATGAATTGGGTGTCTTTGTTGGTGTTACTCTTCGTTGGTGTTCAATTTCGTTATTTGCCAAATAACTGTTGTAGTGGAGGCCTTCAGAGGAGTTGGTTTGAATGAAAGGATAACGATTTTGGGAACTGGTGATATACGATATCATTTCTATAGCTTTAAAGAAATTGACCTCATGAGCCATATGGTTGAGCAACTCACGACGTTTATAACTCACTTTGGTGGACAATTTAACCAATGTAACTCCATGAATTCTTTAGCAGTGCCTTTAAGAAGTTTCCATGAAATGTGAAAGTAAAGATTTTGTTGTCGTTTGAAACCCAAAATTGTCACTAGCAAGATACGAAGTGTGCTGACTTAAATTATTGATTTCTCTCCTTTGTTTCTGTAGTTACTCTTGATTTCGCACATAGACTGTTTTTCCATAAACTAACAATTAAAATTTTGTCGTAGTTGGTACTGTGCAATTTCAGTCACAGGTTTCAACTGTATCTGATGACTGTTGTTCGTTGACATTTATCCAGGACTCAACTGATATGAAATATAGCTCTAGATGAGAAATTTATATATATGGGTTGAAAATTTTGGCTGCTTTAAGTTGCTTTGGATAATTTTCTGTCTTTTCAGTCCTGCATTATTTGACAGTGGATTGCTTTGATAGGAAGATGTAGAGATACATCTGAAAGATCAGACAAACCCGGCAGATTTAGTTTGCTGCTTGAAGAATTTGCAGGTTTCTAATATATCTAAAGATTTTCTTTTTCTTTTCTTTTTAATGGTCGTGTGCTTGTTTCTTTTTTAGTTTTAATGATACTTCAGAATTGCATATTCCGAATCTTAAAAGCATTTTCACTTGCAGCTGTGTTTTGAAACTGAGGAGAGAGCAAGGAAACTATTGTTTAACGTATCATCCTTATTGAAGCCGGGGGGTTATTTTTTTGGTATTACTCCTGACTCATCTACAATATGGTATGGAATATGCTTTAAAAGGACCTGTTGTTTAATTTGTTATTTTATATCTTAAATTTATTTATTTGGTTAAATTTGAACATTTGTTGAATTGTTTTGATATACATGGCCCTCTTATACGTGAAACATCAAAATAGTTCTAATTCAGCCTTGGGGCAGGGAAATAGTTATTGCTAGATTATTTGCATTTATGTTTTCTTACAGGGCAAAGTACCAGAAGAATGTTGAAGCATACCACAATAGAAGCAGTGGCATGAAACCGAACATTGTTCCCAACTGCATTAGATCAGAGAACTACATGATCACCTTTGAAGTTGAGGACGAGAAGTACGTATAAGTTTGAGATATTAAACATGTATCTCTTAGCTTTTGTTTTCTTGGATGATTTTGGGTGCTCAATCTTTTTCCCTCAATGAATATACTTCAAACTTTCAGGTTCCCGTTATTTGGAAAGAAATACCAGCTGAAATTTGCTAATGACATCTCTCCTGAAATTCATTGCTTGGTTCATTTCCCGAGCTTCATCAGGTTTATTTTTGTTTCTGTTATAATTTTGCTTTCAAACTTTGATTCTGGTTGTAGGTTGTTGTATTTCTTAGTGTGGCATACATAGTACTTTCTGGCATTACAAGATTCCCTCTTTTTTAAAGCTTCACACATGGAGGTTCCTTATTTTAAGATGGTTTTCTGACTGATACTTCTTCTTTGGTTTGAAATTAATTAACCATAATCGTGCCTCTTAAGTGAATGGATATTTGAAAATTTAAAATTTACGCCAGAGTAGGAATGGTATGTTTGACTATCAAGTGAATATGGGTTTCAACCATAGCACCATTTAACCAACTCCTTTACTTCGTGGCACACACATGCTCCCTTTGATTGGTTGTCTTTTACTTGTTTAATGCCTTAATGGTGATTTTCAATTGATCTTGATTATCCGTTTCTGTTGTAAGTTATTCAGGTTAGCCAGAGAAGCTGGTCTGGAGTATGTGGAGATTCAAAACTTAACAGAATTTTATGATGACAACAGGTTTTGAATTTTTGTTTTCTTGTTAAATTTTTCACAAGCATGACTCCAGTGTATTTTTCAAGAAAAAAATAAATTCCTGTGAATAAAACCTTAAAAACATAGTTATTATTTTCTATTCATTTTGCACAAGTTTGTTTAAACTTATCATGGCTGATTTTTCTTCTTTCCTATTTCACTTTTCTCTGTAAGAGCACAATTTGCAGGCATGATAATGAATTTTGGTCCAAACCTTGTGGATCCTAGAGGAAGGCTTCTTCCTCGATCATATGATGTGTTAGGTAATGCATTTGTTGCCATTTGTTTCTACAATGTTGTCTTTTGCAACTTGCTCTATGTATAGTTTCCCATTTGTTGGGCATTTTCCTTTTGCAGGTCTGTATACCACATTTATATTTCAAAAGCCAGACCCTGATGTTGCTCCCCCACTTACGACACCATTGCTGCATGATGTAACTTACATTCAGGATGAGGCAAGTATTTTAAAATTTGCTAAAAATACATTGAAATTGGGCCTACGAAGCATGACTAGTCTCCTAGTCACTGAAAAATCAACAATTTTAATCCTAATAATCAGCTTGTTTTAAGGTAGATTTGATATTAATAGTTATGATGGAAACCTCGTATTGTGGTGCTCTTCAGTGCTTTTTCCTTTCCTTCCTTTCTTTTTTACTTTTTATATCTGTGCTTGCTTGGCTTGAATTTTCTTATTTATATGATTGGACTACTACTCTAATTTTATTTTTTCTGGTTTTCTTTTGATACTTTAGAGAGAGTGGCAAGTGCCAGTGACGACTGTCTGGAGAGATGATGAAAAGAGCGTACCGGTAGAGCCACCTCCTGGCCTGGGCAAGATTAGTGAACAAAAAGGGATTTTGGGTCCTGGCCCTGCTGAGTTGCGTTTTTCTGAGGCACTTTGACCTGGTGGTCGATGGAGGCAACAAGAATGTGGATGGAAAAGACTGATTTTTAACAAAGTTGTTACAGTAGTGTGGCATGTTCATTAATTTCCTGGGTAGACTCTGTTTTTAGTACTTTGATGATTCTCTTTTTCCTCATGTAATGCAGGCTTTTGAATTTGACAAGACTTTGTATACTAGTAGGTTAAAGCAAATGCAATAATTAATGATTAAATTATTTGAACTTCAACGTTGCTAAATTCCTCTTTTGTTCCCTCCCTCACCAGAAAAACTTGTATGAAACGAGGATAGCATTACTTCGCTATTTCCAACCAATCACAGATGGCCATGTGGAAAATTATCATGTGTGGCATGTCGCGATTGGCCGGGGATAGCAACAGAGTGTTATCTCCGTTTCACACAAGTGTTTCTCCCTCACCCACAGTAAACGGAGCTTTCAAGTCCTTAATATGTGTTAACTGATTTCATAATTTGGGAGCATTAAAGATTGGGGCTTGTTGGGCTTCTACAATATTATAAGGAGAAAAGAAAAACAGTTATCGTTTGAAAAAATAAAAAATAAAAAAAGGAAATATATTGATTTGCACGCCCAGTGGGACTCGAACCCACAATCGCCTGATTAGAAGTCAGACGCCTTATCCATTAGGCCATGGGCGCTTGTTGCTAATTCGTTCTCGTCAATAACATTTTATTTTATATTTTTGTAGAAATTCACCTTGTCGATAGAGCGGTTAAATAGTTGTGTATTTTTCAACATTTTTATAAGAATAAATAGATACACAGAAGAAGATGACGAGGATGGCCGTTGGTCTACCTCTGCTTGCGTGCTGGTTTTGCATGCTGCTTTGCATGGTGAACACTTGTTGAGCTGTGGCACAGACAGCTTAGCTCATCACCTTGTGCTTGCGTACGTACATGATGTCATTTCTGGTTTAGATGAAGGCTCCAATCCAATCCTTTCATTTAAAAATAATAATATTTCTTTTCTTTTTTTGTTGTTATAGTATTAGTACATAATCAACCAAAAAGAAAAGGGGTCTCTCACTAAAATAATTTTTTTATTGAGTCTATTCATATGACACTTTAATGCTTTATTGGCAGGTTTATTTAATTGAAATGAATAAAGTAAGAAATTGGTGAGTTTAGGAATATAGAAAGAGTCGTAAGAAATTAGAATTGGATCAACTATTCTCTTTCTAGTTTATTCAATTTCTGGTTTGATGTTCTTTCTTAATAAAAATTTCTGGTTTGATGTTATTCAATTACATATTTTAAAGTGAAATTGAAATGGTTTTTTAATTCCTTATGTACACACGTGGAAGAAGTTGGAAATTGAAATAATTTGTTTTCTTCTTATACCTATTCTTAAATAGCCAATAAATACTAGATACAAATTTATTCATAAAATTTGAACATCTAACTTAAAATCAATCGATAATGAACAAAGAGGTTCAACATGACAATGAACACAGGTCTCAACAGTCACTAATCCCATATATATTTTTGAAAATTACAAACGAGATGGGAATTTCTCACATATACACTATAAGAGTGCTATAAAGATTAAATATAAGACCACTAATTTACACGTCAATAGCATTTTTCATTAAGATTAAATATAAGACCCGTTGATGTCCCTAATCTTATGTTAGGTGGGCTACATATCTGATAAAACTATGCTCCACTGTTCTTTGATTAAGCCATTAAGCATTTGATTCACAAGGAGACGAAGTGTTAAATGCCAAAACTCCGGCCAACAGTGCGTGTGGGGCAAAGAGTCTAACAAAGCTGCAAAAGCCGTTCAAGGAAAGAAGAATTGTGTCCTACACATACATAAACCTGCAATTCATTTACACTAATTCCACTGTTTTAGGACTGCAATCATTCTTAATCCTTTTTAAATCAACGTCAAAATTAATTATTATGTAATGTAATAATTATTATAAAAAAAATCATTAGACAACAAAACCAGATATCTCTCATATACAGTGTACACGTATGCTACCCGCCAACGCCACCTGTCTCCTACCTCAGGAAGTTTCCCATTAGTTGTCCATCTCTCTCTCTCTCTCCTCTCTCTCTCTCTCTCTCTCCCCCCCCTCCCTCTCTAGTTCTTGTGTGCTTAATGAAAGATATACCACCTTCACATAGTGACAGGCTTTTATATTTTCTGTTTTATTTTTTTTGGTGAGTGTAATTAATTGAGCATCAAGAATGAAAGGTTCTTCACCAAAAGCAGGAAGCAACAATTATGATTACTCTTTCAAGATTTTGTTGGCTGGTGATTGTGGTGTTGGAAAGAGCAGTCTTCTGCTCAGCTTCATCTCCAACTTTGTACAAGACCTGTCTCCCACCATTGGTATTTCTTCTTCTCTTATTTTCTTTGAATGCCCTTTTTTTTTATCTCTCCCAAGATCTGCATTTCATGGTTAAGTCCTGTGAAGTGCTGATGTTCTGTATCTTTCTGTTGCAAATTAAGTACATGTTGGTTTCTTTATATTGGTGGCAATGGCATGCTTCTTTTTGATAGTTTTAATAGATTAGTTTTGATTTGTCTACTTTTCTTGTAATTTTTTGTTCTGAGGGGTGAGGGGGGGAAGAGATTACAAAGGTTTTCTTGTATTTTTCATGAAGCAATATGCAAAATCTGTGACTAGAATTGGGGTGTTCATATATGTAGGTAGACTAATTGGTGACTAAGTTAAGAGCATCGGAAATTATTCTTCCTACCTTAATGTGCAATTTCAAGGAAAATTGTAAAACTTTTTACTTTTCTTGTAATTTTCTGAAATAGTTAGTTTTAGTGCTGATATGCTTTAACAACCATTTCAAGGTGTGGATTTCAAGATCAAACAGCTTTTAGTTGGTGGGAAGAGATTGAAGCTTACAATATGGGACACAGGTGTTCATTATTTGCCCTCGTTGGATTTTTCACTGAATGCTAAATTGTTGATTTTACATAGCTTTTAAGCTTCTTTTTTTCTTCTGCAGCTGGACAGGAGAGGTTTGGAACAGTTATAAGCTCTTACTACAGAGGTGCACATGGAATTATTCTTGGTATGTCATTGCATTCACGAAAATAACTCTTCCGAAAAAATATTAATCTTTTGTTTCTGTTCATGGGCTTGGTTTATATTTATTTTTTCTCTAGCAATAGAGCTTATTTGTGGTGGACAAAATCTGACCGATTTGTCATTTGATTTCAATCTTAGTGTATGACGTGACACGGCGAGAAACCTTTACAAATTTGTCGAATATCTGGGCAAAGGAAGTAGAGACGTACTCCACTAATCCTGAGTGTATCAAAATTCTAGTTGGGAATAAAGTTGACAGGGTATATCTTAAACGTTACATACTTCCTTTATTTTAATGTATTCTGAGTTTTAATGTTCTTCAAAGATGCTGGGGATATCTCATTCCTATGTTGTTTAACACTTTCCAGGAAAATGAGAGGGCTGTAAGTAGAGAAGAGGGAATGGTTCTTGCACAGGAGCATAAATGTCTGTTTCTTGAATGTAGTGCTAAATCTAGAGAAAATGTTCAACAATGTTTCAGAGATCTCACATTGAAGGTATACATTCTGTCTGCAACATATATTAATAGCTTCGTATGACCTATTTAGAAGAGAAAACCGGTAGTCATAGATACCTCTGAGAATGGATTTAGAACCTTAATTATATAAGTTGAATTTCAATTGTCAGAGTAATGACTAATTTTCTAACCCTTACTTCGATGTGGCATGCTTCAAGGCTTTCATCTGATTATGCTTCAATCCTAATGTTTGAACAGATGCTGGAGGTGCCAAGTTTACTGGAAAGTGGATCTGTAGATGTGAAGAGACAAATTTTGAAGCAGAAACAAGAAGACCAGATGCCTTGCAGTGGTAATTGCTGCTCTCAATGAAAATGTTAGAAAACAACAGCACAAGAATTGGTGTGTAACGACAGTTCGGCGGCCTATGCTCTTCAGAGAGCTTTTCTAAAGAAATTGTCATCACTTCCATTACAATTTTAGCAACTATGGGTTCAGAAACAGTCCTGGTTGTTTCTAAGTTGAATTTAGCTTACTCAGAAGGTGTTAAGAGTTTGCTTAGGGTATTTCGAAAAATACACATTACAGGTACTGGTTGGATAAACAATATAAACAGTGGCCCTGTGTGACTATTCATAAATCTCTGTAAATTACAAAAAATGTACAGGAACTGCATAAATACAGAAAATGGCTTCGATGTACACACAAAAAGTGGTATTTTGCATCCTTAATTCAGTCTTTGGTGTTTTTCTTCAGTTCTGTATTCATTCATAGTCCAGCGTTACTTGTGCTTCAATGGTCTGCTATTATGGTAAATGTTTTTTTTTTAATAAAGTTTTTGTTGATGAAAAACGAAATTTATTAATATCAAAGCAAATTACAATAAAATGGAACAAAAGAATATCTATCGAAACAGTACAATCTTACAACAGAACACCCTCGGGTATCAGTAAAAATCCTACAGAAATAGGACCAAAACTTATACACAGTCCCTATCTAACAAATGGTCCCAGACTTCCTTTGCACCCATACCTCCACCATAATTCTAAATTATATACATCCGAGGATATCTGAGACGTGAGCACCATCTCCACTTGTGAAGCTTTTCAATCTGCCAATCAAACCATGCTTTGTGTGAGCTTCTTAGAGGTTTGTGAATGCATTCCACTTGTGAAGCAAAAATCCTCAACTTGCAGTTGTCTTGCATTTTTCATAGCCTTAGAGCCCTTTCTGTTTTGGTTCTTCCTTTAGCGACACGGTTGAAGCAGGAAGTTTGCCTGAGAATCTGAAATATTCAACTGAATATGGCTGATGACAACAGTGGCCTTGCAAACATATCACAGATTTGATTAATGTGAAACTAAGCTCCTTTTTAATCACCAATAATCTCCACAGGAACAGCAACCATCTCTAAAATGATGGAACCGATTCAAGTCTCTGACAATGATCTCCCGTCCGTAGACTCTAGATATTAATTTGGTGGCCGTGTGACAATCTCCACAGATTCGAAGGTTCTTCGTCACTCGAAGAACTACTCCAGGACTAGTATTAAGAAGTCCAAAGGCAATGGCAAGCTTTTCACTGTGGGTTGTAAGGTTATGTTCTTTCTCCTCCTCACTAACATCATGCAAAACAAAGCTAGTGTCAGGTACATAACCGGCTGCCTTAATCTTATTCGGTAACTCTTCCAATAAGACCTCATAAATTTCCTTTGCTTGAGGGTGAGATGTATCTCCACCAAGAAACAGATGGGCTTTCCCATTGACCTCTATCCAACTGCATCCAGGATTCTTCTTCATGCCTTGAGATTTTAAAAGCGCTCTCAAATCGTCCACCTCCTTCCACATGCCAGCGTCAGCATATATATTTGATAGCAGGACATAGTTGCCACTGTTGTCTGGTTCCAAGATGAATAGCTTTCTAGCTGCAATTTCAGCAATTTCCAAATTGTGGTGCTTTCGACAAGCCGATAACAATGCACCCCAAATACTTGGCCCTGCTTGCATTGGCATTTTACTCACAAGATCTATTGCTTCCCCCAAGCGCCCTGCACGACCCAACAGATCAACAACACAAGCATAATGTTCCACTCTGGGTTCGATAGAGTATATTGTCTTCATACAATTAAAGTATTTCAGGCCAACATCAATGAGCCCCGAATGGCTGCATCCAGATAATAATCCTGTGAATGTTATGTTATCAGGTTGAAGCCCAGCTCCGATCATGTCCTCAAAAGTAGACACAGCTTCTGATCCACGTCCATGGGAGGCATAAGCTGTTATCATAGTATTCCATGCAACTAAACTATTTTCAGTTTGACGTACTCTTTTGAAATACTGACGAGCATCAGAAAGGCTCCCGCATTTAGCATACATTGCCAGGAGCGCTGTCTGTATGGAAGTATTAGAGTCCAAACCAATCCTGCTAGCAAAATTGTGAATTTGTCTCCCACGCTCAAGGGCAGCTGAATGTGCACATGCAGGAAGAACACTCATTATAGTCACCCAGTTGGGCTTAACCTCTGAATCTTTTCTCAACATCTCATCAAATAAAACCAATGCTTGCTCAGCAAGCCCATTTTGAGTGTATCCCGATATCATAGCAGTCCAAGACACAATGTTTTTGCATGGCATTCGTCTAAACAAATCCTCAGCAGAACAAATCTCTCCATCTTTCATGTACCCCGCAATCAATGCATTCCAAGAAGAAACGTCTCTCACAGTCATTTTATCGAACAAACTACGAGCATCGCTCATTTCACCACATTTCACGTACATATCAATCAAAGAAGTCCCAACATACATATCAGACTCCAACCCAATTCTCAAGCTGAGACTATGAACACATTTTCCTAACCAAATGCTCGACAAGTTAGCACAACACTTAAGAACAAAAGGGTACGTAAAGTTATCACCTTTAAGGCCTAAACGATGCATTTGACCATAAATTTCAATCGTTTTCTGAGAGTAGCCACACAGAGTATATGCCCGAATAATCGAATTATACAAAAGTGTAGATGGGTTATTTACTCTATGAAAGATATTAACCGCTGAGTCAAGATCATCTGAGCTTGCATACATTGCAACCATCTTGGCCCCAAGGAACGCATTAGGTTCGAGCCCACGCAAAGCCATCTGGGCATGGACTTGTTGGCCTAGTTTCAACAAGTTCTGGGCAGTCAATGACTGAAAAATGGGTGCATAGAATGAAATGCAATTTGGGTCTTGTACTAGCAGTGATTTTAGAAGTGTACGCATACGCATTGTTGCGGACAGTGAGAGCAATGGCGCACTGCATTTGGGTAGTGAAGAACATGAGCGTTACGTTTATTTGAGCAAAGCAAATGAACCCTCTGTTAATAGTATAGCCGCACGGCTATAATTAGGTCCTTTCTTTTAAATTTTTTAAATAAATATTACAGCCGCTCGGCTGTACTTGCCTCTATTTTAAATCTTTTTTAATAAATAGTATAGCCGCGAGGATATACCTGGGTCCCTTTTGCATTCATTTATATTTATTTAGTAAATCGTATAGCCGCCCGGCTATACTTGGGTCCTTTTTGAAAACTTTAAAAAAATATATATAGTATAGCCGCTCGGCTGTACTTTGGGTCCTTTTTAAAATTTTCCTTTTTAAGCTCGACTATACATTGGGTCTTTTTACTTTTTCTTTTTAATAATTTTTATAGCCGTGCGGCTATACTGTCTACTTTTTTTTAAGGTTTTTTTTAATAATTCGTATAGCCGCGCGGCTGTACTGGGCCCTTCTTTAATTTTTCTTCAAAAATAGTATATCCGCGCGGCTATACTTGGGTCTTTTTTTAAAAATAAATATTTGTTTTTAATAAATAGTATAGCCGCAACTATACTCATGTTAAACTTCTTCTTCTTTTTTTTGGTGAAGAAACAGGGCTAACGTCTAACAAGGAAATTAAATAATGGTTCGAGGCCTACAGACTCCAAGTAAATCTTCACTAAGAAATGACCTAATACTGTCAGGAGGGTCCTAGAAAGTTGACAGACCCAACTCAAGACATGAACCCAATTCAGCTAGTTTATTTGCTACCATGTTGCACTCATGATATACATGATGAATAGAACAAACCTAGTTTTTGTTTATATAGTCATGGCATCCCCACAACATAGTAGCAAGAGGATGAAGGTCTTCCACATTTTTGTTGAGCAGGTGTACCGCGATCGCTGAGTTAAACTCAAGCACAACTGCACTGGAACCTATATCCCAAGCAATTTTCAGTCCAAGATTGACAGCAAAGCCTCTCATCCACTGCCGAGAACTATCTCTTAGTACACTGTACACCCCCAACAGCAATGCGTCCATCCTCACCTTTTCCGCACTCGTCGGTATTGATTTTAATCACTCTTTCATTCGGATATTGCCAAGAGAGTGCAGTGAGAGAGCAGGTGGGTTTTCTAGTTTTTTCAATATTGGCCTGTGTCCAATCTGCAGCAGCCATAAGAATGACGTGTCTGGGGTTGTTGGGAAACACAAACCCACGATCAAAAATATTTTTGTTCCTCCATTTCCAAAGAAACCAGCAAGTGAAAGCAAACATGGTTGACCACTCCACTCCATAAGCCAAAATTGTAGAGTTGTGTAAATTTTTTCCAAGCCAAGTATGAAGATCAACAGCCTGCAGCAAACTCAGATTCATAGCGCATACTCATGTTAAACTTCATGGCGCATAGAAAGGCTGAAACCGTTTGTGGGATTGCTCAAAGTATGCATCTTTGATTCTTTGAATCCCTAAAATTGGTCTATTATTTTGGGGAAAATTGGACCTGGTCAAGCCCTTAAGACAATTTAAATATCTTATGGCTCGAAGTCTGATCCAATTCGAGCTTGAACTTTTGGGCCTAACCTTATTTTTCATATTTGTTTTAGTACAAGTGATAGTCTAAACTAGAGGAGAGTTTCTCACACATATTATCACGGTGTCATAGAGTTCAAACTTGAGACCACTAGTCTGCAAAATCCAAACCCTTTTTCATTGGGCTAGAGACCATGTTGGCTTATTTTTCAAATCTCTAGTTTCAAAGCAAAATATAAAGGTTTTTTTTAAGAAAAATATAATAATCTATATTTTTTATTTTAAAAAACATGGTAAAAAGACAAATGGGTCTTCGAAATGTAGAGAATTGAGAGCATTATCCAAAGGAGAAAACAGGATGTAGAGTCTTTAGCTAGAGTAGATCAAAACAAGGCCATACGACTAAATCGTCTAACCTGCCGGCTTTGATTTATATTGGTCACTAATGTTTGTTGTGTGTTTTGACAAAAAACAGACATAAAAAGAACGTTTCTTGTGGTACTACAAGTATTACTATACCTGCATTATTAAGAAGAACTTGATATCACCGATTGATACCAATTCCCAGCTGTTTCCTTTCCTAATTCCTGGTTTGTTTTCTTCCCTCTCCCTTTAATATGACAAGAAGCTTCACCCTTCTAAGCCACCCTTGTTAGTTACATATATATAAGCTACATGGTCTATTTGCACACACCAGAGACCCAAAAAAAAACAGAGAAAATTTAAAAGCTGCATTGCATTTTCAGGCTTTCCAATATGGCCTCCACGGGCTACCACCGGCGTTTGATTAAATGCGCAATGTTGATAGCAGCAGCTCTTGTTGCTCAAGCCAATGCCATTCACATTTATCTAGAATGGAATGTCACCCTTGACAGCACAATCAAGCCTGTGTCCCAAGATCAACCTGTAAGAACCTTTGGCTTTGTAGTTAGCTAGTTCATGTAAGTTTGATTTGCTAATGCTTGTTCTTAATTTGCTTGAGCAGGTGATCGCCATTAATGGATTGTTCCCCGGACCACTTATCAACACCACGACGAATGATTTTGTTCATGTCAACGTCTTCAACAACATGGATGAGCCTCTGCTCTTTACTTGGTATGCAAACAAGCAATTTTGGATAGACCATATGTTGGTCTACAAAAGCCGTTTTAATGAACTAGGAGAAAATGGTGTTGGTGATGCAGGAATGGGATACAGCAAAGGCTAAATTCATGGCAAGATGGGGTTTCCGGAACAAACTGCCCGATTCAACCCGGTACAAACTGGACTTATGTCTTCCAGACCAAAGACCAGATTGGCAGCTTCTTCTACTTCCCTTCCATCAACTTCCACAAGGCTGCTGGAGGATTTGGACCTATTCGTGTCATCAACCGCGACGTCATTGCCGTCCCCTTCCCCAAACCAGAAGCTGAATTTGATCTCCTTATCGGCGACTGGTTTTATGACAGCTACAAGGTCTTTCACTTTAAATTTTGTTCATGAAAAACATCAATTTGCTTCATTTTTTTTTCTTTTTTTGGAGGTTGACACTTTTCTTTTTGGGCCTGGTTTTGGAACAGAGTACTAGAGCAATGATGTGCACCCATCTTGGGGCTTACTACACTATCCCAGATATCATTTTGATGAATGGCAAAGGTCCTCTGGGTAACCCCATGTCAAAAGCATATGAATCCTTCAATGTCACACAAGGTACATTGAGTTGAGTGGGATAAAATAGCTTTTAATCGTCGACGAATTATATTATCAATTGCTGAGTTCAAACCTCATAGACGACAGACAATTAACGACGGCGTGATATTTGTTATGCAGGGAAGACTTACAGGTTGAGAATATCAAATGTGGGGAATGCATTGAGTTTCAATTTCAGGATTCAGAACCATCAGATGGTGTTGGTTGAAACAGAAGGATCTTACACTGATCAGATTGCTTTGGATTCTCTAGATGTGCATGTTGGCCAATCATACTCAGTTCTTGTCACAGCAAATCAAAATGATGCTGATTATTACATGGTGGCATCTCCCAAGTTGATCAACGCCTCTGATTTTACCAGCCTTGTGGGCATAGGGGTCTTACACTACTCCAATTCAATCTCACAAGTTAGTGGGCCCCTGCCAGTTGGGCCTGACCCTTTTGATCTTCATTTTTCAGTCAATCAAGCCAAATCTATTAGGTAATATGAACAAAGTTGATCAGCTTAAACATCTGCTACACACAATCAGCTTGCTATAAATTTTCAAAAACCACACTCTAATTTTTATCAAACACATTCTAATTTTCATCAAACACATTCTTATGTTCCCATTTAATTTTTCTTCATGGTGAGCAGGTGGAACTTGACTGCAGGAGCTGCAAGGCCTAACCCACAAGGGACATTCAATGTGTCAAACGTGACCCTATCCCAAACCTTCATCCTCCAAAGCTCAATTGCTGACCTTTATGACCAAATACCACGTTATGTTGTCAACAATGTGACCTATAGCACTCCAGAAACCCCATTGAAGCTCGCGGATTACTATGTCAATGGCACCGGCGTGTACCAGCTTGACGCTTTCCCTGTTCAATCTGTCAATGCCAATGCTTCGTGTGGAGTGTCTGTGGTGACTGGAATCCACAAAGGGTGGATAGAAATTGTGTTAAAAAACAATTTGGATGCGATGGATTCCTGGCATTTGGATGGTTTCGGATTTTATGTTGTGGGGTAAGCATCAATATTATGGCACATATGTTACATTATTAGACCGTCAATATGTCATTCGGATTAACAGTCTGACAACATTACATATGTCACCGATGTACAGATTCGGGATTGGAGATTGGACAGCGAAATCACGTGACACGTACAACCTCTTTGACCCTGTGGTGAGATCAACAGTTCAAGTGTACCCTGGAGGATGGAGTGCAGTGTATGCATTCCTTGACAACCCAGGAATGTGGAACTTGAGGTCACAATTGCTGAAGCACTGGTACCTAGGACAAGAACTCTATGTGAGAGTTCATGATCCTGATCCTAACCCATCTAAGGAGCGCCCACCACCTGAAAACCTCCTTCTATGTGGTTAGTGCATTGGATTTCATGATTAATTAAGCACTTTTGTTTCTTTAACATAATTAATTCAAAATTCTAATTAATCATTGATCTTATTGCTTCTTTTTGCAATTGCAGGAATGTTTTCCGATTCTCCTCCTCCAGCTCCGGCTCCGGTTCCGGCTCCACCGTCATCATGGAACTGACCTTAAATATAAATATAGCTGCATGATGAGTACATACAATAATGCCCAAATATTTATGTGCAAATATAAATTACCACATGTAAACCTACAGATTATTATTTTTTGGGCCGCGTTGTACTCCAACGTTGAACTTAATTCATTCGTTTTGTTTGTGTAAGTTTCTGTGGTTGCATGTTGGTAGGTTTTTATGGCATTGTTCCATTAATAATAAGCAAAGCTAACCACATAACTTCAAATTGAACTTCACTTCTCTTTTTGCCCTTTTATTTTATTTTATTTTTCCTAGCTAGGGATGAAGGTGGATTGGAATATTAATTAATTTTTTGATAAAAGGGTAGCTATTATTTTGGTCCAATATGTATTTTCTTTGACAATTGTCCCCCAAATGATTGAAGTTGACCTCAAATATAATATGTTCGTACTTCCTACAAATCATAGTTTGACATATATGTAAAAATAATTCATAAAAACCACACATAAAAAGAAAAATATCTACGCATATCAAACTGTGATTGACATGAAAGTAGGAGTTCCTTCTTTCAGGGAATGAGGCAAGTATTTTTCACTCATATATATTTTTATATGACAGAAAATAAAGTTAATTAACATGCAAAGAAAACTATTTAAAAAAGAAGACAAAAAATTATACGATATAACATACGATGCACAATGCAAATGTCACACAATCACCGTGATACAAAAACCAGATAGAGATGAAAAGGAACATAACATTTCGTTCCATACACGTTGGATTAATATAGACATTTAAAATAAAATTTCTCCTTTGATAAGATGATGAAATTACACTTTCAATTTCTTTTTTATAAGAAAATTTTGAATAAAATAAGAAGATAATTTAACGCAAATATAGCACTCTGTTTTTTCTATTGCATAGAAAATATAGCACTCTTTTTAATTAGAGTTTAACTGAAATTCAATCATCTCCTTCAACAAAAGTCCAACTCAATCAAAACCTCTCCCTAATCAAAAGTCAAATTAATTAATCACATGATAAGTCATGTTATAGATAATTAAAATTGAATTAATCTTAAAATTTCTGACGCCTTTCTTGTATATCTTCATATTATGAAGCATAAATACATAATAAAGTGCTGAGAAAAACAAGGTAGCCGTAGTCTTATTTAATTCTTCTTGCATCATACTTTGTCTCTCAAACTCTTTTTTTTATTCTGTCTTCTCTTGGCGCTTTGTCAAGTGCCGTAGCTATATTCTTTATTGCTGTCACAGGCGCATATAACTATGCCATTGAACCAATATTCTGCTTAGCTATCTGAGCCCTTTGCGTGAGATCAACACAAGGAGGGTTTTTTTTTGTGTGCAGGATTTGCAAGCATACAGAGAAACTTAGTCCATGCAATATGGCATGGCCCAGTGGTGATCGTTGTCGTCGTCCATGGCTGATTGGTCCTGCAACTCTTCTTATGTTCCTTGTGTTGGCAGTTTCTGCTGAGGATATTTTTCTTGACTGGCATGTCACACTTGACACAAATATCAAACCGGACCAACCGGTATGAACAAACAATCCCCAAACCTCCAGAATTTCATCTGAAATTTGTGTTGAACTTGTGTAATTGTCAGGAAAATATTGAAAAATCTATATTGTTGCACCCCAAGAAATGAAGCTAGATTCTGCTTGGGTACTCTGTTTTGGGCTGTTTCATCTTTGTTTTGAGGTTTTTTTTACGTTCATTTTGGAAATGCAGGTTATTGCCATCAATGGGCTGTTTCCAGGACCTCTTCTGAATGGCACAACCGATGATGTTTTTCATGTCAATGTGTTTAATGAAATGGATGAACCCTTGCTGATAACTTGGTATGCTCAAATCTCTCTCTCTCTCTCTCTCTCTCTCTCTCTCTCTCTCTCTCTCTCTCTCTCTGTATAGTGATTTATGTCAATATGTTCCAAAGTTATAACAATTCCCCAGGAATCTTAAATATTGATCAATATTTCTCTTCCAAATATGAAAAAAATAAAGTAACTCACCAGTGCCTGATCCTTATAGTTAATATATGAAGAATCCAACACCTGCCCTGTCCCTTATAATCTAGGTAATATTTTTGACATTTAGAGGCTTATAGCCCTAAAGATTAAGGAGGGTCTTTTGGTGCAGGAATGGCATACAACAAAGACTGAACTCTTGGCAAGATGGAGTTTCAGGCACAAACTGCCCCATTCTGCCAGGTGAAAACTGGAGTTATATGTTCCAATTCAAAGATCAAATTGGCACTTTTTCCTACTTTCCCTCTCTCAGCTTCCACAAAGCTGGAGGAGCTTTTGGTCCAATTCGTATCAATAACCGCCCGGTCATCCAAGTACCATTTCCTAAACCAGAAGCCGAATTCGATCTTCTCATTGGTGACTGGTATGACAGAAGTTTCAAGGTATAATTCACATCCAATCTCCATGTTATAGATCATCACATATCAATATCTGCAGAAGTGAATTTTGAATAAGATATATAAGTACAATTATGTTACCTAAATGTAACAGGATGTTAGGTCCATGATGAGCACAAGTCTCATGGCCTACAACAGCACCCCTGATAAAATCTTGATGAATGGAAAAGCTGCATATTCGGCCCCTCCTACAGAAGCCCATGAGTCCTTCACAGTTGCAAAAGGTACATACAAAGACTAACATAATTCAATATTATCTGTCCTTCTAAACATACTCTGACATTTAAGCTTTTATATATGCAGGCAAGACCTACAGAATTAGGATATCAAATGTTGGGACTGCATGGAGTTTCAATTTCAGGATTCAAAAACACAAAATGGTTTTGGTTGAGACAGAAGGTTCCTACACAAATAAAATCACATTGGATTCTCTTGATGTGCATGTTGGGCAGTCCTACTCTGTTCTTGTCACAGCTGACCAAAATGCTTCAGACTATTACATGGTGGCAAGCCCTAAAATGTTCAATGCAAGTGATGTGACAAGATTTGGCATTGGTGTGCTGCACTATGATAGGTCCACCACACCTCCTAATGGGTCTCTTCCGAAGGGGCCTGACCCATTTGATCAAAAATTCTCCATCCATCAGGCCCAATCCATTAGGTAGTAATAAACACAATCCATTAATTTTGAGTTGAATGCTCTAATTCTATCATGTTATTATATTATATATTCGTCATTTTGTAATTGAACATTTTTGCCTTGTGAAGATGGAACCTGACCACAGGGGCTGCAAGGCCTAATCCGCAAGGAGCCTTCAATGTTCATAATGTCACACTCTCACAGACCTTCATACTCCAAGCATCTACAGCAGAGATTAATGGCCTACCCCAGTTTACTGTCAACAATGTGTCTTACTTAGCCCCAGACACACCACTAAAGTTGGCTGATCAATTTCTCAACGGGTCTGGAGTATACAAGCTCGATGAATTTTCTACTAACTCTAGTAATTTTGAAACCGTACGTGGAGTTTTCGTTGCATCTGGGAAGCATAAAGGGTGGATAGAACTTGTTTTCCATAATGATTTGGAGGGCATGGATGCTTGGCACTTGGATGGCTTTGGTTTCTATGTTGTTGGGTAAATACTAGACCCTAAACATTTTGTTAGGGCTGCGTTTCTTGTCACGCAAGTAACAAGAATTTATAACATATCAGACATTTCATACCAATAATTGTGTTCTGACATTTGTTTCTCAGATTTGGAACTGGAAAGTGGAGCCCTAAATCGCGCTCTAAGTACAACCTTTATGATCCGGTTGTGCGTTCTACCGTGCAAGTGTACCCCGGTGGATGGACTGCAGTTTATGCATACCTTGACAACCCAGGAATGTGGAATTTGAGGTCACAGCACTTGAAAAATTGGTATTTGGGAGAGGAGCTTTATTTGAGAGTTTATGATGCTGATCCCAACCCTGCCAAGGAGAAGCGTGCTCCCAATAACCTCCTTCTATGTGGTCAGTGTTAATCAATTGTAGCCCCATCTCCTTAATTTCTCTAGCTTAAATAATAATGGTAGCTTCCTTTTTTTTAATTTACTTTCATTTTTGCAGGAGAGTTTGCTCCTTTCCCCCCGCCCGCTCCACTTGTGCCTCCTCCTCCACCTCAACCTTCTCCACCTGCACCTGGGCCATCAAGTGCACATTCTTTGCAGACAGCAGCAGGGTAAGAGCTAATTATTCAAACTAGCCACTGCTTTCTTCTTTTTTTCTTGTTTTTTTTTAATATTCTTAATATTGCTTATAGCTAACCTATCATTCTTTCTTATTTTTGGATGTTTGTAGGTTTCACATTGCCATCATCTGCATTGTTGCAACATTCTTTCAGATATCTAGAAGTTCATCCCATTTTTTATGAGGGGCACCAAAGGGGGCCCTTGAAGTTAAGACACTTTTTTTTTGGGAGATATTCATTGGACAAAGTCCCAGAGCATGTGTACTAGTTCTTGGATATTTTGATTTATTATGTTCTGTAGCATAGATGTTTGATTTGTCCCACAGTTGCTGATGTTATGGTGTACCTTAAGATATTGTGGCCAAGTAATTCATTTAGATGATTTCAATGCTCTGCCTTTTCTTTTGTTGGAACAAGAAAAGTGAGAATCCCAGACCAACCTTATTTTCTATAATTAATATTGAATTTCAGTATAGCATACTTAATTAATTAGTTTTAACGGTCAAGTTAACGTCAAAATCATATTGCAATAAATTTTCAGTTTGGAGGGTACTTCATTGTTAAAATTGAAAATGCATGAACAAACATGCTTTAAGGTACAATTACAGTGTACCAAACTGAAATTAACCCTATAAATTTTTAGCAAATCAACACAAAATGTGTTGATGTAAATGGTGGGAAAATGTGAACAAATACGATATGAATCATTCAAGATGGTGCTGATAGGCTGATAGGATTATAGTGTGTATTTGTGTATGATATGGGTGTCTTGATTGATTTTTATGTTTTCTTCATCATTTTTCGCATTTGTTGATGTCCATTTGGCGGTGCACTTTCGACTCCACGTTTATTCATTGAGCTTTACACATGCTTCCAAATTATTTCGGGCCTATTTCCTGTAAAGACAAAACTTGAGTCGATATCGGGTTTGGCAGGAAAAAGCCCGAACTCTTGTGCGGTCCATTTAGAGAAAAACTTGGTTGTCCGGGTGCGTGGTTGTTTCTTTATAATTTTATCTCTCTTTATCACGTGACGAGAAATAAATTAACACCCAATTCATAGGTGATTTATAGAACCGGTACATGTGAGTTTTTCTCTCATTTTTAACAATTTATCTATCTATATATATAAAGCAAAAGACTGAGAATGATGAAACATTCAAAATACTAAAAAATGCTCCTGGTTAATGTAAACATTAAGAATTGAAATTATTAATTAAATGAGGATAATATGGTAAATTCACACTTTTTTATATTTTAAAAAATTAAAATTAAAAGAAAAATCAGATAATTGATTCTATTTTTATGGAACACAACTATCCATTATCTTTTTTTATTCTAAAATAAATTTAAATTTTTTTAAAAAAAGCCTCTCGCAGGCGCGGAAGCGCGTGCGGAGATGCTAGTGTGAGATAAGGAAAAATTGAATCTAGCACCTCCAATACAATAATAATTGCTCTTAACCACAAATATTGCAGAGATGCTAGATAATTAATGGAACATTAACTCATAATTACTCCCCGCTATATCACAATCCACATGAATACTTTTGAGCTGTGCCGTTTAAACGAAGTTACATACAACGAACACTAGAAGCCATTAGGTAAGACAAACTTTCTTGTTAAACCACAATGCCCAAGTTTGGGTGGTATATATATACATATATATATATATATATAACTGCCAATTCCTTGGTGACAATTTACAGCTCAATGTGATGAAGAATCGCACATTTCGTGGTAAATATTCTCACTTTTTTTTTCTTTCTAATATGACCAAAATCCATCTAGTTATCACCCCCTTTATAAAAAGATGAATTAAACTTGACCACTTTGTGACAAATTTCACACCTCAATCAGTATAATATTTTATGCTAATATGATAATGACCAGATTCCAATTAAATATTTATAAATAAAAAAAGTCAATTTTTATGGCTTTTTGTGAGTAGACTTTTTTCCCTTTTGTTTTTGGTCCTTGTAATTCTAATTTCAATATATTTTAGCTTACAATTTTTTCAGTTTGATTACATGTCATGTTCTAAGCTTGTTGTGAACACTATCTCTCTCTCTCTCTCTCTCTCTCTCTCTCTCTCTCTCTCTCTCTCTCATATGAGGCAGACAAGGACACCAACTCTACTTAGAAACAGCTAATTGATGCTTAACAACGCCATGATACAAGGACGAGGGCGAGGATTTGGTACAATTGTGTACGAGGCTCGTTGTCTTGTTTAATACTGTCTTTAATTCGAATGGTTATTATCGCAACTTTGTGCTTACACGTGATCTAACCCTTCATATTACCACAAATCTTCAATTAGTTAGCCTAATAAGTTTCCCAATATCTAATTAGGTACGTCCTCCAATCCATCGCCCACCAAACCCTATCACCATTACTCATAATAATTAGCATATCAAAAGCTAACAAAAAATCCTCCACCATTTCGGATTGGCATATCAAAAGCTAACAAAAATCTTCCAACTACGAAATGTGCATTGGACATGAGCCACTAATACTACATGGGTTGTCGGGATCACATTTTCTAGTGGCAGCTAACTGTACTTAACAGCATATAATTCAATCCAAATTTCTAATTTCTCCGATTAATTCATTTTGTAGAAATGAACTCATTATTCATATAAGCGGGAATACCACATTGTGAGAGATGTGATCAGTAATATAACTAATGCAATGTGGGTAAATAACATCTTTTTTTTCCCAAGCTACAAAATTGCAAACAATTGCTTTAGATATAAGGGTTCCAATTGCAATGCTAAGATCAAAACAATGTAATTTATGAATGTTTAAATTGAAATTTAGGGTTCTTTGACAATGTTCAAACTTTCAGAACCCAACAAAAGAAAAAAGAAAGTACTTTGTCAATTCCTAAGTTTAAAATCCTAAAACTGATGGCTTTGTGGGTCATGAAACAGTGGATCATATCCAGATATTGCTTATGTGGTAACAGTGAGGAAGTAACAAACCAAGAGGTGGACAAAAGCAAAGAAAGTGACAAAAATAGCAAGTAGATAAAATATTTTTAGTAGCATATATTTTTAATTGAATAAAAGAGAAAAAGTAGGATGGGTGGATTCATGTGGGAATTGCAGTAATTCAGTGGCTTTTCTATGCTTTTATTCTATTCTTATCACTTACATTAATGAGAAAAAATAAATAAATAAACAAAGGAGGGAGGGCCAGGGGAAGGCTTTCTTGTAAATGAAACAATGAAACTTACACCACCCAGATGACATTTATTTGGTTGTAATGGTGGTGACAAATTAAGCTCTACCTTGCTATCTGAATCTCTAAGTGTAGAAACAACAAAAACCCAATTGAGATTTGAAAGGCAGAAAGAAAAAGTTGCTCATCATGATCATGCACTTTTCAGCAAGAACAGAACATTAACATTTGCTTTAACAAAGAATTTGATCAGAGTCCATATATTTCTTTTTCATTTTTTAAACAATGGTCATGAAGATGAATCAAAAGAATCAAAAGAATGGTCTAATTTTGAATAGTATAACAAAAGAAGTTAAAAGAAAATTAAAGTGGCAATTCACATCAAGTTTGACCTTTTTGACATCAATTTTTGGAGTGAAGAAATCACTAAAAATTCTTAACCTTTCTTTTAGTAATGACAATCCACCAGAATTTGTGTTCTTAACCTTTCTGGTTGCTGCTGCTGCTGTTGTTGTTGTTGTTGCTGCTGCTGCTGCTGCTGCTGCTTTGATGTTGCAAACACAAATTTGGATTCTCTATGGTGATCATCTTCGGGTGCTGGAAGGTTGAGATCCAAATCCAAAGACAACATGCTTCTCTGTTTCTTAATGGGTTGTTGTTGATGTTGATTTTGATGTTGCTGAGGTTCAAAGGCAGGGACTGAGGGAGCTGTCAATGCTAAGGTTGTGTTGGCTGCAGCTGGCGCTCTGTGGCGCCTCATGTGGCCTCCCAAGGCTTGCCCAGATGTGAATTCTGCCCCACAAATTGAACACTCATGTACTTTGGAAGAAGACTTGTTGCTACTCAAGACCAACCCTCTGTTGCTCAAATGCAGAGAAAGTGGGGAAGAAGATGTATTGTTGTTGTTGTGGAGAATGCTGTTCTTGAATAATTGTGTGTCTTCTTCATCTGATGGCAACAACCCAATTGCAAAGTGTTTGTTTTTCTGATCATCCCCAGTATTTGCCTTGGGCTTCTTGTGGCTGGCCCTGTGCCCTCCTAATGCTTGGAAAGAAGGGAAAGTTCTGTTACAAGTCTTGCATTCATACGCATAATACCCTCCTCCTGCTGCCACCGCCCCCGCCTTGGCCCCGGTGGGCCCCACCGCGGTTGTTGCCTCCAAGAACCTTCGACTTGTAGTGTTGTGATCGTTACGGGGTTGGTGGTGGTGGTGGTGAATGGGGGAAGAAGAAGCGGCCCTGGATTGGCCTTGTGCCAACAGAATTAGGCAGTTTGCCATGTCCTCCTCTTCCTCTGTGGTGCTATCTTGATATTCAGCAGATGTGGTGGGAGACAAGTTGGTGGCACTATTGATGTAATCGTTCTCGCCGCCTCCATCACCGCCACCTCCATCACCGCCACCGCCATCTTCCGGGGACGATGAGCTTGTTGGGATGGCAAAAGGGATTGGAGATTGGGGCCTCAAGCGCTTTGTGCGCTTACCCTTGATAATAATGTTGTTGTGTTGTTGTTCCTTGCACCCCATGATGACTTCCTCTTGATGAAGACGATGATGATCACCACCACCGGCCGCTTCCATGGCAATTGCTCCTCCTCTACCTTCAACAGACTTGGAATTTAGAGCTTAAGAGAGACAGAGAAAGAGATAGAGAAGAAAGAGAGATTTAATGGGTAGGGAGGAAGCAAGGAAGGGAAGACTGTTATTACATTATATATATAGCCAATGATATGACATGTTGGAGAGACTCAACAATAATTATAAGGCCATACACCAAATACAACACTAACTGTGATTTAGTCCCTCAATCTCTGTTGAGCTTCCAAGGTATTTATAAATTTTGGATTTTTTTTTTTCGTTCGAAATTAATTCATCGAAGAAAAAAAAACCCGAAAAGAAAAAAGAAGTTGTTGTAATTTTAGAGAGTGAGGTTTTAGTAAATGTGTGTGGGATAGATAGACATTAAGGCAAGGAAAACCAAATATAACGGAAAAGAGTTGCAAATTTAGAGATTGAGAGTGTAAGCCCCAAAGAGAAGAGAGGTTTTTGTGAAACGCAAAGTCCGTTTCATGCTCTCTTTCTCACACTTTGCCAACGCACTTCACCAAATTGCAAACAAAACAAACAAAACAAGCTGAGGTTGCACCATATTCACCATGCACCCTCATAGATCTTCCAATCCTACTCTCACCTCCACGGCGCGTGTACTCCACTTTCCAATTCCCCAAAACACTACTAGCTAGTAAAGCCACCTAGCTAAGCTCTTCACTCTCCAACAATCAACTTGTACTTGTCCCACAAATTAGGTGCAAAGTCTAAGCTTCTGATAAACTACTAATTAATAAATGCCTCAAGTTGTTGATTGAGATTTAAGGAAGTGGGACTTTTTAAAATCACTTACCAACTATGCCAAAATTATATTTTTGCTTTTCATTTTAGTGAGATGTTAATATTAAACTAATTATTTTTAAGTAATTAATCCTAATTCTAAATACAAGCATTTAACTCTAAATTCCTAATTTCAACTAAGTTTGGTAGTCGAAACTTTGAATGTATACACTTCTCTTAGATAGATTATATAAATTATGGAGATGGGTCCAAAAAGAAAAATAATATGCCCACCTAATTACACGTTTTACTGTATAGAGTATTTCTACAATGACCTATATCTCATGTGTAACATAGAATTTATTAGATGAGTAATATTTGAAAAGGAAAAAGAATGAGCATTAAATTATCCGTTTTGAGTGTAAAGATAAGTGTTTCACCACTAAAACTATAACTCTTTTCGTATGTAACTTAATATTTAATGATAAAACATAACGCATTTAGAAATGAAGAAATTTTGAACAAGTATGTTATAGATTAATTAAGCAGGAATTTAATCTTACTAGTCGAAAACACTTGGAATTGAAATCTCACATTAGATGATATTGGCAATATTTTTCTTTTTTGTCAAAGATGAAATGGTGGTGGAGCCTAGAGGTTAGCAAGGCGCGTGGGTGAATTTACACTCACACTTTTACTAACACGTCTTGTTGAAGATACTGCAAAATACAGGCTGCAGATACACATGTACATGTGTACATACATATACTATTTTATACAATTTGAGAGAGAGAGAGAGAGAGAGAGAGAGAGAGAGAGAGAGAGAGAGAGAGAATTGGAATTTACAAAGTGTGTTGAAGGGAAGCAAGCAAAGGAAAGCAAAGGCAAAGGGCAAAGGCTGAAAGAAGGGTTACTTTGCCTCAACGATTTGTGTATTGAGAAGATGATTGGAGTGCAAGCCTGGAACCACGGAATCTGCGGTGCTCCCCCCACTCCCACTTCTCTCAACATTTGCCATCTTTTTTTAAAAAAACATCTTTGTCTTCTATTCTCTATTCTATGTATGACACTATATGCTGTCAAGTATAGTGTCATGCTTGCATGACCACACATTACATGCAATTCTTGTGTGTCTTCTTCTTACTTTTTTGAGGTTTGGAAGAAAAACTTGGTTACACCGGTTTCTTACACTAGTTTCTTGTTGCATAATGTGTGAGAAAGACACAACCGGTGTACGAAACTAGGGATACCAGAGTTTATCTCGGATTTTGTGGCCAAACTTAGCAACTAGTGATTTAACCATCCTACCTTCGAGGGTTTTCTTTTCCTTTTTTAAGGGAAATTACATCCCACTAAATCTGAATTCCTCTAAATTCATGGCTTTCATGATGATCAAGATCTATGGGACAATTAGATTAAAGTCATACTTACAGCTCAACCGCTAACTATGTATAAAGATTCGATTGTATTAGTAATCACTCAGTCGGAAATGGAAAAGTCAAAATCGCCATTCCTAAAATAGGTACCATTTTGCCATAAATGTATATGTATCTCTTGGTTTTCTGTGCAATGTAAAGTTTTAATCAGATTAACCCTAACTTTTTAGAAAACATCATACCCATCTTCTTCTTCTTCTTCTTTGATCCGATTGTTTGCTTTTTCTCTTTCTTGGGTTGAAATATTTCACGTTGAATCATTATTTTGGTGTGTATCATAGTCTAAAATATCGATAATATTGACGAAATATTGAGGATATTATCGTTTTTTCAAATCATGAATATTTCGAAACGTATTCATACACATATCGTATAAATATCGACGATAATATTGGAAAATATCGACGTCGATAATTTCGCTCACACTTTAGCAATATTTTGTTACAATATCGCTAAAATATTGAAAATATCGAAAATATCGATGTATTGAAAAATAAATAAATAAATAAAATAAAAAAAATAAAGGGGAAAAAAACACAAAGGAGATTCAAGATGTTTCCTTTTGTAAAATTAGTCATCCTTGGTTTGCTTTGTATTGTTGCGTCCAAGTGGTATAATCAACTTAAATTAGTTAAATCCATCATACAATGCATTTCCTTCCAATTTTTTGTGATAAATTAATAGATAATTGACTAAATAAGCATCCTCCAAAGTTTCAATAAAAATTTTCAAGTTTTTCTTACAATTTCCGTGGTTTTTATTCAATTTTTATCGAAATCGATAATATCCCGATATTTCCATCGAAATTTCCGTGTTTTTGGACTATTGATATTTCCGATATCACCGATATTTTAGACCTTGGTGTGTATTAAATGAAACAAAGTCCTCCCTTTTCCCTTTCTCTCCGTTTCATGGTTTTTATTTTAAAATGATATTTAATATATTTCACGCAAAATAAGCAGGATCTTTTCTTCTTTTTTTGGCCAAAATATCATTGATAAAAGCCGAAAAACTCGATTACAATAGTCACACAGACAACCAATTACACCTTCAAACCCAATATACGTTTTAATATGGTATAAAAGATAATCACGGCTACAGTACACCCCCAGTCAATAGGGTACAAAAGATAATCATGGCTATGGTACTCTCCCAATCACAGCTCTAAGGGCTCAAATTTAGCAGCAAAACAATGTAACATGGCTTTACTCTAGCGTCTTTTTCACAAAAAGCCCAAAAACCCCCAAAGTGTATAATATACTATAGAAAGCGAGTTTTTTTTATTTATTAATTTATAATTTTTTATTTAAAAGAACATTTTTTTTATAAAACCCAAGTGCCAATAACCAAACCCAGTTGCACCAAGTATGTTTGAAGTTAGGGTAAGCTGGTTTGCTTCTCAACATGTACTTCACTATAAAATTAATGGAAATTAACAATGCTGCTAAATATTAATTAATTTTAAAACACAGAAGTAATATGGATAAGTATCTTTGTGAGTGTGTTATTACATGATGTGCATTATTATGCACACTATTTTGTCTGTAATCAATCAGTTCATGTGTGCTGTTGACCCTGCAGCCATATCTTTAATTTATGGGACACCTCTTATAGTTATACAGGATGTATAAGCCAGTCGTATATATTGCCCAATTAGCTCTACGATTATCAAATTATTAATTAATCTTAAGCTGATCATCATTGGGGTTTACTGAAGGCAATTATTGTGGTTATTAATAAATTAATATCTTCAAGAACTAAATAGAATTGAAGTAACACTCATTTTATCAATAGAAGGAATATTTTAAACTGAATATTTTTTTTATGTGAACTGACTAGCGAGTGTATGATGCGCAAAGATCGATGAAAGAGTCGAATTTGGGGACATTTTTGGAGGAGATGAGTTTGACTCTAAAATCGATCTCTGCGGGTTTGAGTCCAAATCCAGATCTGAAAATTTCTGTTAACAAAATGGAGCATGGCATTTTTTGCACTTTTGGATGCCGATATGAGATCCTACACAAACAAAACAAGAGTGAAGAAGACCAATGGAAGTTGCGTTGCATGGAGATAGTGGAGGAGATGGGTCTTTGTAGATTTGCAAATGTTGTTCTTAGAGTTGAACTGAATTGAACATATGTCGAACTTGAGGGGCATTTTGGTCTGGAAAGAGTTACATTAGTAAAACCCAATAGCAAGCAACTGGATTATTGGCCTAGTTAATTACATATTGGTTTACAAACTAAAATGGCAATTACGTATTCGTATGCAATGGGTATATAATGTATATAGTATTTTACCCCTGTATATATACAGAGATACGTACATATATAAATATATATACTTTATCAATAAATTAATTACCAAATGCAGCAAGATGCAGGCATTGGCATCAATAATTAACAAATTAATTATACTTGGCATGAAGAGGTATCTGGATATGGATATATATATATATATATATATATATAAGGTTGTGTGCGGCACGTAAGGTCTCAAAAACCAGCCTAAGACGAAATTAAGCGGAGTACGCTTTGGTCATTGGAGAAGCAAAGGATTATATTCTTCTGCTGATCATGAAATAATCATGGCTTCCTCTCTCTCTCTCTCTCTCTCTCTTGTAGCCAAGGCTACCTCTCCACCCAGCCATGACTTCATCTGTACGTACTGCTACAAGACAACACAAACCATACATATACTAATGTTCAACTATATAATATAATTGCTTGCTAACCAGTATTGAGCAACTATGCCAGTGAATGTAACCGACTTTTCCATTTTTTTAATGCAACAAGTCATCCATGAGAGAGAGAGAGATAGAGAGAGAGAGAGAGATTTTGTGGCTTCTGAGCCACTCAATGGAACATGTTTGTTGCAACTAAGCAACCCAAAACACCAAAATGATTAAATATTTATTCAAACTTTCAATGTGTAACAGAATGAATGAATGAATGAATATGTGTATATATATGTGCATCAAATTATGAGATCAAATTCACAACACAAGTCACAAGGTTTTTGTTTTTGTGCACAATCAATTTTAGGCATGCACAGTAGAAAACATAAGATTAATGATTGGGATCTACCTAATTATAATGCAGACAGAGAGGGTTGAGAGAGGTAGATCCAATAATGATATGTATGTTCCAAATTTTAGTGAGGTCACTACTCTCTCAGTCTCTGATTAATTATTACGGAAAAGACATCCTTTTCCCTCTCCCTCTCATGACAAACAATGTGTTTGCTGAGCTTGCGGGCATGCTTAATCAAACTAATTAATTAACAAGTGATCAGCACGGGTCTAATTTAAAATGGTATAATAAGTTCATTATAGCCAACGGGTCTAGCCGAGTGGAAAATGACATTGATTTGCAGTGTGTGAGAAAACCTCCCTCCGCCTTCTTAACTGGTCAAAAAAAAAAAAGTTCATTATATATCTTTGTAATTGTAATTAACATTTGGAATTAAAATATTGCTCCTAAAATAAAATTCACCTTTGCTAGATCTGAGTATCAATATGACACAGTCTATACCTGGAAGTTCTGACTTAAAATGCTCACTGCTAGCTAGCTAGTTGACCCAATTTTCTTTTTTCTTTTTTCCTCCTTTTTAGTCATTTTTTTCTTTTATTTATACAGAGAGAAGGAACTAATAATTTGGATTATTTACAAATATACTTAATTTTTGGAGCTGACTTGTGAGTAAAATATATTTTCAAAAATATAATGTTAAATTGTGGATAATTTAAAAGGATGACAATCAACTAAAAAGGAGCTTGACAAAAAAATTATAAAATATATACAGAAGCCAAAGTCATTGTCCAAAAAATTGAGTGGTTCAATATGAAATTAGTGTTGAAATTAGATTTAGAGAAGGAATATAACATATCCCTGCCACTGTCATTCTCCAAATTCAGAATTGAATCAATATGAAATTAGTGTTGAATATGATTTTTCTCTTTATTATTGCTCTCTCTCTCTCTCTCTCTCTGTCTGCTGCTACTTGAGAGTGGAAGTGGTGGGTGTTAAATAAAATTGAAAGATTACGACTTAATTAATTGAGATTTTCAAGTGTATTTTTTTGCTTTCAAGGGACACAACAACCACCCAATACTCATATTACAACGACCAATTTCTTCATGCCTACATGTGCAACTCAAACAGAGCAAGAAACAAATTATTAAAAAAGATTAAGCTTTAAAAACCCAAATTATATAAACAATTAAATTAAAACATCTGTTCTTAGGTATTACACTCACTTTTTCTTATTTTGGTGATTACCACAGCAATAGATAATAAATAAATAAATAAAAAGGGGAAGTTTATAATTTTATTTTATTTTTTGGGTATTAATATTATTGAGGCATGTGCAACAAGGGAAAATTGGTAGAGGTCTGAAAAGCCAATGTGGTGCAGATTGATTGCTCAAAACAAGGCATGGGAGTGGGCAATAGAGGTTGCAATTTGCAAATAGGTTCATGAGAATGAGACACGAGATTTTTAATCAGCACAAAACATGACCTTAGGCAGGTTGGGTTTATATCAATGTGGGGACATTAATTGCTTGACATCCTAATCAGAGTTTGGGCTTCATCAGGAAGATAAACCTAGCCCAATGATTTGCTAAATATAAAAGATAAAAAAATAAAAATAAAATTATGCCAGTAACAACTCCATCAGAAAAGTATTTCCTAAAAAGAAAAGGTTGCACTCTTGATTTGTTCGCGAATGGGGTCTAGCCAAGTAAAATGGTGCATCGACTTGCAAATTAGTGATCTCAGATTTAAACCCTAATAGCAACGTGGCATGTGTGTGAGTACCCCCTCCCCTTATACTTTAGACTATCTTTCTACTCTATTTTTGTAAACTGCTTCGAAGGTGCAAACCGAGCTATTGCCTTCTTGATTTATTAAACAAAACTCGTCATACATTATCTCAATATTTAGAGAGCGCATTTTGTGCATTGGTAGATGCAAATAGAGTTACCCAATTTTTATACAACTTTTGTTTCTATATTTTTTCAGTTTTCCACTGAATACTTATGAATGCCTAAAAAAAAAATCATTGGGTTTTACCTCTCCCACTCCTCCACAGCAGAACCAAAACCACTAATGTTGAGGCTAAGTGTACACCAAGTAGATATGAACCACACTCTGGTCAACCATGTTACTCAAAACTTATGGCATCCTTAGCGGACCATGTCTACAGCAGAGCTACTCAAACTCCCCTAGGCTCAACGAACACAGACGTAGTCCTTGGAGGCACAGTAAAACATCCTGCAGAAGCGTTGTACGTAGATCTCTTGACAATTTCATCAGTTGACATTACCTAGACAAAGTTTATGTTAAAGAGCTATAAGAAAACAAGTCAAGGAAGTCTACACTTGAAGCAACTTCAAGTGATATGAACTCAGCAACTAGATATCAGCTGGAAGAAAGAAACAATATGAAAATAACAGCCTTAACCCCAACACGTGAATGATTTACCTGCTCAGGATGCAATTGGAGAGTCCTAGCCTGAAGAGAAGGACTTGCAAATGACACCTCAGTTGGACATGCATTGACGATAACCACAATGTATGAGTAGCTGTGCAGCACAAATGTTTATAAATGAATTATTCTACCTGTCATCGGCATCATCAAAAAATTTAAGGTTTGAGATATTGATACTGACATTGGATCCAGCTGAGATAACCCAGGCACTCCTTCATGACCATCTTCAATGCTCATTACTATGACTCCAGGGACCAGTGAAGGACCAGTATTGTGGAAACGTACCCGTTCCTAGAAAATTGAATATTATGTATTAAAACTTGGGGAGTGAATTTGGTTTGTTGTCCCTCAGTGTTTGCATTCTCTGAGCATTTTCAGCTCATAATCTTCTGCTGTTATACAACAAGTATGGATATACTTTTCCTTCAATTTCAATTCCAGGATAAAAACTTATTACTTTTGTATTAGAACATAAGTGTGTGTACAAGGCCTCTCACCTGAATAGCATTTGCTGTCCTCAAACGGAAAAGTGGCGAAGAGTACCTAATACGTAACAAATTTGAGAAATTTTCCACAGCAGCGATGATGTGACTCTTCTGAGGCTTAAAGGATGGATCTGCTAATCTTGGCTTGAATCTGAAAAAAAGAAACAGAACCAGAAATTATTAATGGACAAAGTTTACCAGTCACTCTAAAGGGTCTGATGCCAGATACACCATTAGCAAGGGTTTCTGCATCAAATGTCAACCTCACTAAGAGATATACAGGATCAAATTATGTGGAAATACATTAGTGCTTACAGCGGCCAGCTCTTTTCATTTTTCTCTTTTGGAGGAAGGCCAACACCCCAATTGTTAGAACTATAAGTGAAGTCCAGCCTGAGATTCATACCAACAAAACATAACATATGAGAAGGACGGAGACATGTTACAGCTGGCATTCATTACTCAATTATAAAATATGACAAAGGAGTGGGATTCTACTTGAACACAGAAAGCATCCAACTTGAAACTTGGAAGTGGTCTTATGATGGAGATCATATACCCATTCTAGAAGTTAAAAAATATGATTGCCCAAAATATTTTAATTTTATGTAAAAATCATAATTTAGATAGGAACTTGAGAACTAGAAATTGACCTATTGAACCAATCACCAGAATTGTACGAGTCACGATCAAGTGATTTTGACCGGAGTATCTCATCGCCGGAGTGGAAAAATGGTATTCCCTAAAATTAGGAAATCATTTAAATAATGATTGATCATACAATATACCAGATAATTAATTATAGAAAAACTCATCATTAAACATATAAATAGTGCTAACAGCCTGCTAATATTGACATCATAAAATCACAGTCCCAACTAAGGTTAGTCAAGCTTGCTGAAAATGGTCAACTAATGAAGTCGGAATATATTTCATTTGGGGGTACTATACTAAGTGTCAATGCGAGTTCATTCTACTTGAAACAAATGTTAAAATTTGGATCTCTCCGTTACTCACACGGAATCCATAAGAGGCTGTTCCCCCAAAATGACCTGAATTTAAGAAACGTCTTGTAACCAATAATAAGGATAAAAAGACAAACTCGCCAGCCTTTTCATAAGTATCACTTTATAGTACACTGCAACCACTTCATAGCCTAAAGTCAACGCAATTGTGTAAAACAAACATCATATAGAGAAAAATGAAAAAGTACATGAATTTGTAATTAATTAACTTTTAATAGCATTTAAAACCTGTGCTAGTGCTATTATACTTGTCGCCAAGTGATTTATCCTGCATCTCTCCTCTACAGAAATTTCCATTGGAGTCTACAAGTAATGCATTGAGTCAGAACAGAAATTAAAAATCTGAAGTAAAATAAATGCTGTAGAAGTACATTGATCATACCTTCAGACTCACTATGTCAAACAGAGTTTCATTGTCATGAGCCGAAACATAATTGATCTGGAAAACAATCCAAGTAATCAATGTTATGATTTTTCCATGTTAATAAACATCAGTGTACCTTTAAAACATCAATATGAGAAAATACATTAATATTGATGATCCTAATGTTGATATCTATTTGGAGGGGCATATGAAGAGAGAACATTGATGATCCTAATGTTTATTCTTTCCATAATCTTTAGAGAGTACCCTTTGATGAAACTCTCAATGCCACGAGGTATTTTTTTCACTTTCCTTATCTCAAACTTTCTAAATATTGGATTGGACTCTGGATTCACTAAAAATTCATCTAACATCCCTAGTCTCCAGGGTTCCTTAACTATCTCATTGGATCCTCAGGGTTTCCATTTCTCACCGGCTAGTATCGAAATGACATTAGGACTTGCTAAGCCCAGTTGACCGCGGGCACTCACCTATTGATCTCAAATCACACATTCACTAAATCGGTTGAGGGTATAAAAATATGGCTCAAACAACATCAAGTATATTCAAACTGGCGATCATAGACACAAAATCACAAGAACTAAAGTCATGAATTCAGATGTGGATCCTTACAGTTTCAGTAGGACATAAAGTATATGCTACAGGTGTCCCACCATATGTCAATATTTCCGATCCTTTTACCTGCAGAAATCAACATATATAAATGCCAAGGTAGTTCATTTTCAGCTAAAGCATCAACAGAAACGAATGGTATGGTGTAACTGTGTAAGAGACAAATCATTCAGGTAAAAATAACACTAGAACAAGGAGCTTCTGTGTGAATGGTAGGAATTCATTGCTCATGTCAGATTAATGGATTGTATGAGTTATTCCAGGCTAAAATTAAATAACTGAAAAAATGGATTGTGGCATACAGCCATATTCAGCAATAGTTGCTGCAATCTATGATTTATGGGAAGAGACATGGAAGATTAGACAAGAGGTCAAAACAAAAGAACAAGTTGTTCATCAAATCGTAGATGAAATCAAAATGAATTAGCTCTCTTGTAGCAGAGAAATCTTCCAAGCTTAGATCACTAGATTAGAAGCTAATTAAATTTTGTCCAGTTATCCATTGTTCCCAAAAGCAGGGCCAGACCTGGGTTTTTGGAGGCAAAGTGCAAGTTTAGATATTAGACAATATACTGCAACAAACTTATCCTCTGGAATTAATGTATACCTCTTTCCCTTCACAATTGGTTAGAACAAAGTCCCTCAGATTTGCAGCCATGCCAACCTGAATTACCATACTTGAATTAGATATAATCACATAAGAAAAAAGGAATTATGGCTTACAACGACTTCTGCAATATCACCCAAAGGAAGAAAATAAGATGTGGATCCATATGTCATTTAAATAGTTACATAAAGGTTTACAAAAAAAAAACTTCAAAGAGATGAGAAATGACATGAAAAAGAAACTTCAAAGTACCCATCCACAGAGAACTTCGTTTCTGACTGAAAGTTCTTATCCCCCAGTGGAAGAAACCTATCAGTTCTAGTCTGCTAATACAGCAGATTCCAACAATACAGCATTGTTGCCATCTAACAGATTTTCGTGATCGATTTGTACAGTGGACTAAGAAAATAATGGAATCCAGTGTCTGGTCAAAAAGAAAATGCTAGAAATATGAGAATGCACCGAGATGAGATACCTGAATGTGATCCTTTGATTCAGCAAGCATGTGTTCTGCAACAGCTTCTGGACCATGATCGTGACCATTAGGCTACACAAGCAAAGAATATATCTACTAACTATTAGTACTGAAACAATGATATATTCTACACAAGAAAGCACTTTTCCTCATAATAAGATTCAAAAGTGTAGTAATATCCATATTACTACTTCAGTTATACAAGTTACAACACAAGATGTATGAATAGAGCAACGCTCTTTTTCCATATATGTTGATCATGCAAACTGCAACCCACCTTATCCCCATCTTGAGTGATAGTGCGACACACCATGTCAAACTATTTCATAAGGGAGCACCCACTCTATTCATACATGCATATATAGTATATGTATGCAACTTAGCACATGTTAGCAAGAAGCCAGCATTTAATTTGAAGTATTCTTACAACCTGATATGTGACCATATACCTGCAAGAGTAGTCCAGTCACAAATCCTTGCTGAAGAGGATGGCCAAATGGAGATCCACCAAGTATCGCATCCCGTATTCGATCATTGAAACTAATAGATTCCCAATACACAGGTAATAAGAATACTCAACATAATAAGGCAATTCTCTCTAGATAAACCAACACATAGCTATAGGCACTAGGCAGTGAGAAAAAGAAGGGAAACGCTAGTATATTTAATTCCCACTGAATTCACATTTGACTAAGACAAGACATTCCAGTACAAGGTTGAAGTTAAACCAAGGTACCTATCTATTTCTGTGTCTCTTCTGAATATTTGTTAAGGAGAGAAATAAATCAAAAAGAAGTACTGATATTAACCCCATACAATCCCATTTCCTAGTTCCAACACAGTAAGGAAAACAAATGTTACTCCATTAAAAGGAAAATGAAAAATGGTACCTCCCAATTCCAGTTCCATGAATGTTCAACTGTGAGGCATTTATTCCGCGCCCATTGTTGGCAACTTCACCAAAATCCCATCCTTCACCATATCTTGATAAACGGGGTAAAAAGGGAACATTGAGCCAAAATCATGCTATATATTCAAGAACCATAAACAAAACCACAGGTCCATAAAAAAAAATTCAAGTACCAATTTCCAAAGCCACAATAATAGAAAGTGTCTTAAATGAAAATATTGAGTAGCTCGAAACTTACATATAGATACTTGAACCATCAACTCCATCCCTTTCCTTTGTTAGGCTGCAGAGTGCATCTTTTGCTTTCACCTGTGCACAAATTAGTAGGTTTAGGCCCATGGCTATTGCACATCCACTCATTGCACCATGTAACTGGCTTATTAGAGCAACATACCATTGTTCTTCTCATTATATGACCCATAAGATCAAACCGGAATCCATCAACCTGCCAAAATAGTCAGATGATTAATCATTTCAGAATCTCCCGTTAAAACTTAGAAAGGATAAAAGTTCAAACCTTTTACAATCCAACAATAAATCAGTACACATTATACATATAAAATAATAATAATTCATGCTGACCAGGGATAAAAGAGTTTTCATTTCAAATGTGACTATGAGAAGCTGCTTTGAGGTATTTAAGACACCATTTGACGGGTTAACTCTCACCTTATAATCAACTGCCCAGTGCAATAGATCATGAACAATTAAGCGCTCAACCATAAAATGCTCACTAGCAGTGTTGTTCACACAGGTACTATGCTCAATAAAGCCATCTGTATTTCTTCTCAAGTAGTATCCTGGAACAATCTGTAAATAAACTTTAAATCACAACAGAAGATTGGACAAACCAATCAGGAAGAGATATAAGACAGGACAGCAGTCTATATGGGATCTAAAGACAAATCATGACCTTATCAAGAACAGAATTATCATCAACTGGCCCACTACCATGCAAGTGATTGTAAACAACGTCCAAGACAACGCGAAGGCCAAAACGGTTAAGTGCCTGCAACCAGCAACCAATATAACCTTTTTCCCATTATTTTTCACCCAATTAAACAGGAGACATACAAGCAACCACTATAAGCAAAAAAACAGGAAAGTCAGAGGAGAAGAGGGAGGGAGGGAGGGAAAGAGAAATTATTTTGTATCTCCTGAAATACAGCAAGTCAATGGAATTCGAAAAAGAAAGCATATAGAGCCAATTAGGAAAACAGATGCAAAACTTAAATTGACTGTGCATTACATAACTTAATTATCTACGTCACTCACAAGAAACATTAAACACAAGATTCTTGGCACAGTTAGTGAAGTGACAACACAATATCCAGACCTGAACCATCTTCCTAAACTCAATTGCACGGTATGTACCATTTGCATTACTTGCATAGCTTCCTTTAGGGACCCCCCAGAGAACAGGGTTGTACCTTCAAAAGACAGAATGAAAAATAAAGATCAAGCCAAAATGTAGCTTAAATTGACAATGAAAAACAAACTGGCAGGAGCATACCCCCAATTATACCCATCATCATTTTGGATAGCTGTAATTAGAGCTTGCTGCTCATCTGAATCTGAAGGAAACTTTTCAAGCACCTCAGGATCTGGCCATATGTCATACAGAGGAGTGGTTACAAGACAATTTAACTACTTTAAGCCCAACCACATTTTATTTCTGCAACACCAATCTATACACAGATAACTCGTACATCATAATCTGCTTGGTATTAACATCAATGCGAAAGGACCTTTTCCATACAAACTGTATATAAACATTACTCAGCCACATATATGTTCTATAAGAAATCACCAACTACATCAAATTCAAAGAAATTCTCAAGAGAGAGAGAGAGAGAAAGAGAGAGAAGAAGAAGAAGAAAGAAGCAGGAGTACTGAAAATAATTCAACTTTGCAGTAATAATGAACTTTTCCAGACTGGAAAGCATATCTACAACCAAAAAGAATATTGTTTTATCTATTTTTTAAGTGTAGGGATTGAGAGAGAACAATGAATTCCCTTACCTACACTCTTCCAGTTCTCCTTCTCATCATCAACACCTGCAAATTGGAAGGCTGGCAGTAGATGAACATGAGTTATACCAGCATTTGATAATTTCTTCAAATGAATTGCACCAGCTGAGTCCTTCAAGCATTTAAATACATACTGTTAATTGGTAAACTCTCATAGAATTTACTTTTCCTTTCATCCATCGTGTAAGATCCACACGAAACTGAATAACTAGAATGCTTACAAAAGATCAATCAGATGAAACAAGCTTGTTCAAGACACACAAACAAAGGAAACTAAGCATGACCTGTTCCGGTGTGCAAAGCTTACCCACTAGACATTCACTCATGAAAATGTTTCTTTACATTTTAATTCTTAAGTTTTTAATTAGTATACTTGGGTAACACCCCTCTTAATACAGAAAATTTCATATCTTCTAGGAACTACATCAATCATCAGGGCAGAATAACAGAATTACCTGCAAAGTGAAGGCAAGATATCCACCACGAAATTCAGGATGCACAGCCTGGTCACTGGCACTGTAATGGCAACTCAGTATATTAAAATGAATGTAAACCTACAGAGTTCATACAATACCAAAGCTATAATCATATGTGGAGAAACGAACACATATTACTCATTAAAAGTTAAACATAACATATATCAATAGAGATCTCTTTCTAGAAAAGTGGCTGAAAGTGGCATCATATTTCTTTTTGTCGCAAAGTGGCATTATATAGATACCCAGATTTATGTTGCATCAGATGAGAGAAGGGGAGAGAGAGAGAGAGAGAGAGAGAGAGAGAGAGAGAGAGAGAGAGAGAGGTTTTGAAGTGATAAAGCATAAAAATTGACACCAGACGTCTCTTTCACCAACAACTCTTCTATGAAGCTAAACACAACTTGAAATCCTATAATGTGTAATCTTTAAGTTGTTTTATGATTTTCATACATAATTTCTGAAAGTAAGAATTGAAGCTGAGTTCATAAATACTATAAATCACATGAAAACTAGTGATTACCTGAAATCTCTTATGTGCAACTCATAAATACTTATGTCAGAAAAAGAAAGTATATCAGGTTTCTCATCTACCAATTTATCCCATCCTTCAGGTTTTATATTATCAGAATCAAGATTGACCAACAATGTCCGCCTGCTATCTGATGAGAGCCTGCTCCAACAAAAATTACAAAATATTAAATCATGGGAAATATCAATGTGCAGGCATATAAATCAATGTCCATGACTAATTACATACTACCGGATAGCAGTGCTGCATAACTTTAGAATATGAAAACACCTTAGGTATTATCGGATAACTGTTGGCTAAATGAGACAACCAGCATACCCTCTGGCATATGGATCGTTTGCATAGCATTTTTCAATTCTCAAGGTGCTAGGATGATATACAGACACTTCATACACGTAATAGCAGCCTTCCCAACTTTTTGGTCCTTTAGTACTCCAAACACCATTAAATTCCTCAAGTTGCACTACCTCTAGGGGACTCCCACCTGATGGATCCTTATAAATGCAAACACATACTTCCTGCTTTGGAAAAACAAATGATTGCTTAAGCAAGTAGGACCGAGAGAGCATTATTAAAAAACCTTATAAAATATAAGATACCTGAGCCGTAGGCGCCCAAAGGTAAAGTGACACTGATTGTTTTGAATAAAGTGCACCAAGGGGACCATTATATGAGAACAAGTCATCTAGGATACCAGGTAATTGCAGACCAGTAGCATCACTGCACCTTCCATCAGCTGTATAACATGAAAACAGATAAAACATATATTCACTGGCTGGAAATTAAGCAACTGCAATTGAACTATTATGTTGATCAATATGCACACAAGGTAGTGACTCTATGTTCTGTTATAAAAGTGTTAGAAATGGTGAGTTTTATGTATTTCAGCACTCTCCATCGCATGTAGGCCTCAACACTCCCCTCATGTGTAAGGCTACAGATCAAAATTTGAAAACAGACGGTAATAATCAGTGTTCAAATTTTTCTTCACCATTTTATAAGACTTAGGAAGACAGTTGCTAATCTAATTGTGCATTTATCATAACTGACTGGCAAAGAACAAATGCAACAACATTCTTACAATTGAAAGTAGCTACAGCCACTTGGCATTTGAGAAGAGGTTTGGCGTCCAAATCAGGGGGCACATTAAAAGCTCTGTAATCTTTGATATGAGGAAATTTTTCTTTCACCTAACAACAATCATTTTGATACATGGTCAGTTCTAAGAAGTGTTCAACTTATCAAGAAGTTACATTAGGCAAAAACCAGCAATAAGATGGTACATCCAAGCAAACCACAAACGACCAACAACAACCATTGATAGGTCCAAAATAAAAATAAAAAGAACACTGCTTCAACAGAAAACATAGCGTCTTACATTTTCTGGAAGCCCGTGTTTATCTTCTTCAAGCTTAACTTTTACATCCTCACCTGTTAGCAAAGAAGTCTCATCATACTTGATGCTTAGATTTGAAATAATTATGATTCACTACTGAGTAAGAGTTGGTAAAGTCCTTACCTAGAATTCCATCACTTGTAAGAGATAAAGCAGCAGTTTTACTAGCCAATAAATAGCAGGAACCATTTCCAACATACACATTCCAAGCAATAATTGATTCACTAACCCAGAATGCCCTTGAATACAACAAGCTACCCTGCAACCCACCGATCATAACTTAGCACGAAGCTTCCATGGTATGGCCATATCATAATTCAATTTACCATTTTAATCATTCGTTCTTTATCTATAATGTCAGTGACTCCAACCACAACAGTAAAAAAGTTTAATCCTTTAATTAAAACCCACAACAAATTCAAATTTATTCATCTTCTGTTTCTTCAAATTGGCCATTTTTTTAACTACTTGGGTTCCAATAATGAAGTACACTTCAAATTTCTTGTCTTTTGGTATCAAATTTCAATGCAACATTAGCTTCCGAAATGCACGGAAAACACTCTGGAAAATCTCAACAGGTTTTGGGAGCGAGAGCAGAACCTGAGAGGTCGAAGTGGACTCCTCTGCAGACATGGATAAGGAGGAGGCCGAGCACTGCAAATTGGGTTTTCTGAAAACCTTGGCGGAATGGAGTGGAATTGGGAGAAAGGGTTTCACTTTGGAGGTGAAACGGCGCCGTAGAGAAGATGAAGGGCACGTGGCGCCGCGTCGACGAGGGAAATGGCAGTTGACAGTTGGAGCAGTTGGTGATGGGTAAAGAAGAAATGGAGAGGTATATAAAGGCATTGGTTTTCCTTCAGAGAAAGAGTCTGTGTGAACCTCTGAATTTTGCTGGCTTTCAGATCATTTCTGTTGCTCTGCCCACTAAAAATTCTTTCATGTTCTTCTTCTCTGTTTTTTTTTCCTTCTGTAGTCAGTTTTATTCTAAATTGCTGTTGATAAATGATTGGATATTTAAGAGAAGAGCTAACCAAAATGACAAATTGTTGTTTCCAAAAATGAAAAGACAAAGGGTGATTTTATTGGCACCCCATTAATTGCTCTTTACACCCCATACTAATTTTAAATATAAATAACCTATTTTACCTTTGTACACAATTACCGTTAAGGACAAAAAAAATTAAAATTAAAATTAAAATTGCTCACTACACCCCACATATGTTCCTGCAACCCTAGTTTGATTTTTTTCTCAAACTATCATGTTCCTAAACCCTAAACCCAAGATTTATAAGTTTATACTGGTGAAAAAATATATTGTATTTATTCATGAAGGGTGAGATTGAAGTTAGAGACGCTTCGAATGAGGTACGAGTTTATTTTTTGGCGTTTTGCAAGTTTAATATTTCATAACAGTCGCTGGTTGTGTTCAGCACATCAGTACCGAACGCGACAGATAATTTCGGTGGGATGCCACCGAAACTTTGCACCTTTTTCGGTTGGATTTCACCGGTGAGAAACTTAATATTCGGTGGGGATCCACCGTAAGATGGAACGTAGTTCAGTGGTGTACTACCGAACTTTTACCCGCGTTTCAGTGGCATCCAACCGAAATTTATTTATTTTTTCAGTAACTTATTGCCAACCACAAATTTAATCCAAGCTATTTTGATCTTACTCCCATTGAAGGAACAAAATATCCAAGCTATTTTGATCTTACTCCCATTGAAGGAACAAAATCAAGGTGACGCCCCTACTGAAGGCAACAATGTGGGAACAGAATGTGTAATGGACTATAGTGATCAATTCACAACTTACAATGTGTTATTACCATATAACTAATATTTTGTTTTATTTTCAGCTCTATAAGCCTCGCGAAAACCAATCAGCATTCGATACATATATGCATATAGAGAAATTCCCTAAGGGTATTAGGAAATATATCACTCACCAGACTGAAGTTCTTCCGGATGGTAACTGTGGATATAGAGCCATAGCTATGGCAATGAGATTTGGTCATAATGAATGGCGTAGGGTACGCAAGGATTTGTTGCAACAACTACATGATATGTCTTTTGTTTTTAAGAAGTGTATTCGGGAACATAAACGATACAACGAGATTGAGCGAGCGCTAAATTATTTTGATGATGGATTTGCACCATTCTTTTGTTGGATGACCATGCCTGATATGGGACATATTATTGCCACACGTTATAATGTGGTTTTAATCCTTCTAAGCATGCGTCAATGCCTTACATTTCTTCCTTTTTCAGTTCAATCAAGCGAAACCAAGCTAAATGAGATTGCCATTGGTTTTGTTGACGATGATCACTATGTCCAGGTATGAATTTATTTGTTTACGCAACATTGGTTAATTTTATATGCTATGCGTATATGAATGGATTCTTGTTTTGTAGGTTCATTTGTCTCCAGATCATCCTATTCCACCAGTTTCTAGAATGTGGCATGAACAAAGTGACATATGCAATGTAACACATTTGTACTCGAGGTACCAAGCACGTGTGGATGCTTTTCAACAACTTCCGGGAATGGAGAATGTAGCTACTACAGATACCGTCATCCTAATGACTGATGAAAATGCACCTGTTACATAATTGAGATTATAGATCTAATAATTTTATTTAATTTTTTTTCACATGTAACCTGAAAAATACATCTTTGTGTGCATAGTCATTTAGAGTTGAAGGAGAAAGTTGATAAAATAATGCAGGAGTTTAACCATAATCTGTCGCAGAACCTCCAAAGTTGAAGGAGAAAATAGAAAAGGTGAACACAGAGATTTATGAGGAAATTGAGAGAGTCTGTGGTGGCCACATAGATTTCTTATCACTGGCCGAATACATGATGTACTCCTCTGAATTTGTGTCTGAAACATTGGAGAATCGCACCCGTAACCATGACAAACTCACATACTCATCATTGTATTTGTGCAATTGTTCAGTAGCCTCTTCATCAGTCACTCCTAAGTACTTAACTAACAACTCAAAATTTGTGTCGTCATCATCTCCAAGAGGAGCAACCGCTGCACCAAACACAGGAATGCCTAAAATAGATGACACATCATCCAATGTGATGGTCATCTCACCAAAAGGCATGTGAAAGGTGTTCGTTTCGGGATGCCACCTCTCAACAAATGTAGACACCACAATCTTATCAGCATTCCGATAAGAACACCTAATAAGGTGCTCTAATCCAGACCTCTGAATGTACCCTTTGAATATATTATTATTTGGATTACCCCACCAATTCCACTCACGAAAGGTAGATGTTTTCGACATGCACCTAAGGGGCTCACGTTCCTAGTTAAACAAAAAAAAACAAAATTAAGGTTAGTTACCATGAACCAGATTTATATTCTACCTTCTATTGTCACAGTAAAACGACTTACCTGGTTATTCCAAATTGTAGCTGCTATGTGAGTTTTAAAACTCGTAAGTAAAGATGGATCAATGGGACCTACTCGAGATGGCTTAGTAGGCTCGGCATGTACCTCAACATTACTATCCTGAGCAGTAGCTACATCTTCAACCTCTGCGTCAACATTACTATAATCAGTAGGAACTACATCTTCAACCTCTGTAGTATCCTCAATGTGATCTTGGGGAGCCGCTCTCTGTCTCCTCGCTGAGGCCGTGGGACGTTGTCTATTAGGTCGTGATGATGAAGCTTTAGTAGTACCCCTGCGAATCCTCTTCATATCTAAAAATAAACAATATTAAGTACACACTCAGTAACGTATTCGGTACATAATCACTGAAAAAGGGAAATAAATTCGGTGGACAATCACTGAAAAAAGAATACATATTTGGTGGAGTACCACTGAAAAACCAAAAGAAATTCGGTGGGAGTCCCCTGAAAAATAGAAACAGATTCGGTGGACTACCACCGAAACAAGGTAACAATTTCGGTGGTAACCCACCGAAAGTACAGGTTCAATTCGGTGGACTACCACTGAAGCAATGTAATCATTTCGGTGGCAATCCACCAAAACTAGAATCCAATTTCGTAAAACCAGGTTCGAACTACCCAGAACCTTGAAATTGAAATCAAAATCAGTATCAGACTTTGGCTTTTCAAAAGTGAAATCAAATGTAGGCTTAATCAACACTTAGAAACGTAAATATATAAATCAAATTTGAAATCAAACCTTGAATAAGGATTTGTGAGAACTTGACCTTCAATGGCTTTTGGGTTTGCAAAGATGGAGATGGGTGTGATGGTTCTGTTTCAGATATGGTTCAGGTTTGCTGGAGGCGATGGCAAAGGGCTTCTTCGATGGTGAGCAAAGATCTGCGATGGCAAGGGATGAGTTCTTCGATGTTCTGCGATGCAGGCAATGGCAAAGGGCTTCTTCGATGGAGGTTGGTGTAAATGGGATGGGGTGTGCGATGGAGTGTGTCTGCAAGAGGAGAGAATTTTCGGTGGGGTGTGGCTGGATATCAGATGGGGTGGGGTTTGATTTCAGATGGGGTGTGGCAGAAAGGGAAGGGGGTTTTCGATGGGTGGTTAGAGAATGGGGTTTATGAGGGCAATTTAGGGAAAAAAAAGGGGTTTAATGAGTAATTTGAAATTTTATTAAAATTTAGTGGGGTGTAAAAATTATGGGGTGTAAAGAGTAATTTATGGGGTTCATATAGAATTACCCAAAGACAAATTGCTACTCACCTTCTTCCTGACTGTTATATAATGTTATCCTTGAATTAGTATTTCACCAAGATGACAATTTTTTTTTGGACTAGCCAAAACGACAACTTACAACTCAAAAGAAAACACAGAACTGCGTGGCAGCCCAACCTCATTTGCCAAGGTGGGTAGAATGGGATTCATTCCCATCGCTAGAATGGACGTGGGGTCACAACAAATCTGATTCTTGATGCCTGATGTTGAAAAGAATTGTGTGGGATGGGAAAGGGATGAAAGGGAATCAAATTTTTCATGCCAAAAAATACCCCTCACAGATAATTTTTTTTCATATGAAAAACTGTAGTCTTTGGAAATAAAACATATTTTGTTTAGGGGCATTTTCTTAATTAAAATGTTTTTCATTTCGTCGTCATGATGAATAGTAAACAACTTAATTGAAATGCATGACTTATATTCTTGATTAACCCGATTCCTGCACGATGGATTGTAACTCATAGGTACAGAACCAGGATTTAATGTTTGAAGAGACAGTGGATGGATTGAAAGAAAACAAAAATAGATGGACAAGAATATTTAACTTGTTATTAAAGGTAGATTATTTTGAGAATATAATTACTAATGAATCATAGAGAAAAGTATGCAAATGAGGTGAGTGACGACAATAATGCCACTTAAGATCAAATTTAGACAAAACTGACATACAATAGTGAGGAGAGGACTTGGGAGGATGGATAATAAGGCCCGAATTTTAAGAAAAATAAAATTAAAAAGTGATTTTGTCAATTACCAAAATGCACTTCACCTTTCACACCATGGTCGTGGCTTACGCTCCCATGCCGGACCCTATTTAGAGAATCTCCAAGAGGCAAATGAAATACGCAAAATTGTACTATAACAACTTTGGTGACATGTTGTCTAAAGCCATCTCCAATCATGTTGGGGTTAAACTCAAATTTTCACCCTCCAAAATACAACTATTCATGTATTTTCATGACTCAAAAAAAAATTTCCTCAAACCCTACAGACTCAGAAATTTGAGTTCGCAACTTTATTAAATTGTTTAAGAATGATTAACCCCTAAAATTTTTTTTATTGTTACTTTTTCTTGACAATATTTTTGTTTCAACATTTGTGATTTAATTTTCTAAACATTTTAATCTAAAGAAATTGAAATTCCATAAATATAACATTTTTCTTCACTTAAAATTAAAATGAGAATGACATTTGTAGAGTTTGAGAGTGAAATCTCATTTAGATAAATTAAAATTATTATTTTAATCATTTGATTTTAATTTCAACCATTGGATCTTCTTTTTCTCGTTAAAATCAAGTTGGAAAAAATCTGTGCCGTTTATATCTATTTGAGAAAGTTTGAAAAATCACACAAGGTTGGTTCCCATTGCTTGACACGTGGCCAGATTTTAAAGGCTCCAAAAGATTAGATTAAAAAAAAATTATTAAAAAATTTTTTTAAAAAAAAACAAGAAGATGCATCATTGGTTTTCAAGGGGAGCTGTTGGATTCCAACGTCCCTTTGATGTGAGCCTTCCACACGTCTAGCAAGTTAGCTTTGTCCTGCCATTCCTTCACGTGCTGCGCAAGTTGGCTTCGTCTTGGTGCCCACAGAAATTCACCCAGACTGGAAAGTTGAGCCAAATTCCGCCCAAGATTTCAGTCTGACCCAAATTACCACTCCTCCCTATACATAGTTGGAGAAGGTTTTTAGGGCTATAATCCTAAAATTTGGGTTTGGCCCTCATAGTTGGAGATGGTCTAAGCATTTGCCTCATGAATAAAGTTGGTCACCCCAAGAGACTAAACAATGTAAGTGTACAAATTGGGCCAATTTGTTCACTTTGAAGTAGGCAATATTGAGTTGTTGGGAAGAGCAGGTATATTTTGCCTACCCATTTGCCTCTTCCCCTAGAGGCAAGGTAAATGAGGTTTGCCTGCTATTTTGCCTCTTCTTTTGGAGATGTTCTTAGCCGTGACACAACAATGTTGTAAATGTGTCCAAAAGTTGTGGGGCCTAATTGTCAAATTCCTCACTCAGCATGTGCATTCATAATTATCATATGGCTCAATGGTTCAAGGTTCAAACTAAAGAAAGCAACATCCACAAACTTTTACTTCCCTTTAATTTTTATTGACTTGTTGCCTTAAGTCTAAACCAAACCTAAACCCTATATTCTGGAATAATTCCAGTTAAATTTGGTCTTAATTTGCTATTACAACTAGTTTAATTACCAACTGAACCTTCTGCATCATAAATCTAATTAGATGCCTTTGATGGGATTATGGCAGACACTCACAATCAAGTTGTATGTTTGGTGTCCATGCTTCACAAAAAGCAAAATCTCTGGGAGATTTGTGATCATTTGTCATGCTCATATCTTCCATCATTATGCTACTTTGATTTGATGTACCAAGAAAAAGCAAAAGTGAGATGAAATAGCAGGAGCACAATTATGGCTTTTAATTTAACAATACCATCTTTCTGAAATTTGGTTACCATAATTTGGAGATTCTAAATTGATCTCCCATTAATTTCACATCAACTACAGAATTTAGAGCAGCTAAATGCTGAAAGAGATATAGATTCAAGTCTCCATCCAACATATATATGCTAAATCAAACGAGTTAGGATTTTTCATTTCTAAGACTGGCTGGTGTTTGAAACAATTTTCAAACTGAGGCATTGTGGCCATCCATTTCATGCTGCTACCTTGCATGTGTGACAGTGTGAAAAAGATGGGCAGCCTTAGAAAATCATGTAACTAAAAAGTAAAAAAGCAGTTTTGGTCAATGCAGAACAAGCTTTTGGTACTTGGTGATGGGTGAAGAATCAGAACCAGGCTCATCACAGTGCACCAGGCTTCTCTTGTTGCTGAAACAGCTAATGTTACTGCTAATGCAAGAGTCTTGGTGCAGAAGACGCTGCCCCGTTGGGGGAAAGATTGCAACCGGTGGAATCTCAATGGATTTGAGCTGGGGAGGAGGGTGCTGCCACTGAGGCAGAGGTCCAGCCAGGAGAAGGTTTTGAAGGAGTGGTCCGGCTTCGATTACTGCTTGCAGTAGCTTCCCCTTCTCCGGCAATACTAATGGCTTCTCAGCTCCCAATTTTGAGGCAGCTTGTGGTTGTGGCGACAATGGTTGTGGGATCGTAATTCGGTCTGAATTTGGTGATGCAGTGATGGTTTCATCAGAGTCAGAAGAGGCAAAATGTTTGTTGTTTGAGTCCCTGCCTTTTGATTCAATATCCTCATTTTGTGCAGCAACTACTTCTTGATCTTGTTGTTGTTGCTGTTTTTGCAGCTCTTGTTGGAGCATGAGCTTGTCCAAAACTAGCCTTCGGCATTTTGCTTGAGCCTCATCTCTCTCTTGGACGGTTCTGCTTAGGAGATCTTTGAGCTGAACAAGTTCTTCTTCTCTCTTTGCAATCTTCTCCTTCGCTGAGAAAATTGTTGTCTCAAGCTCCAAGGTTGTGCACAGAAGAGAATGCTTCAACTCTTGTATCCCCTGCAGCCAAATCAAGAAAATAAATTAGACATGTTCATACAAGAAACTAGCAGAAAGGGCCAATTGGGTCTTTTTCAACTTGAGAAAACAGAATTTCAGAAACTTGACAAGAATCAAATACCTCTTCCTGATAGCAAAGTTCCCAAGGACTGCACTGAACTTCCATTAGTTGCAAGGATGCAAATGGCAGAGGCTAAGGCAAATGTTGGTGGTGGCTTACAAGTACTTGGTTTCTGCTCCCTTTCCTTGGTTTTTCTCTCCTTATCTTTCTCTTCATTCATATGAGATATGAAAGTTGAACAAAACACAAAAGGCCAAAAGCATTTATAGAAAGGTCAATTGCGCGCCAAGTGCATTCTTTGTACCCTATAAATGTACACGAGGACTAAAAAAATTGTAGGAAGAAATCTGAAATTTGCAGTGAGACATAAGTCTTCGTCAGCTACACCTTTTACCTTATCTCAGCCGCGCATGGTACGTGCACATGCATATTTTTACCCAAGACTGATGTAACACATAACACGTTTATTGGTTCTATTTTAAACTACACTTCTCTTAAAGAGGTGGCGTTTTAATGAAAAAATTGCATGTTTACATGTGACGGATGTGACGGGTTTCAAATAGGGGAATGTAACGCGTAGCTTAGTTGTTGATTACATTACTCTTTACTAATCATATCTTTCACAATGATACGAAATCGCTACTTTTTAAAAGAGAAACAGTAAATACAATATTAGCTTTATTATTCCATGAACTTAAATTTATGTTTGGTATAGAACACCACCTTCTCGAATTAAACATCAAAAAGAAAAAAGTCATATTTGATGAATGATTAAAGCCATTTGATTTATAACACTTTTTTCCCTTTATATTATAAGCTCAAGTGTTCTTTTTGACTCTTGAGGATAAAAATGGGACAGGGCCATGTATAAATGGTTGCTATGTTTCATTTGGCCGCCCCCCCATTGCTCAAACTTTGATTCCACTAATTGGTAATAGTAACCAATAAAGAAATTGCGGCTCTAAAAACATAGAATGTTTTCTGGGTTAGGTTGTTTTTGTTTTATATATAGAGTACATATTATTTTATAACTTTTGATGATTGTATTTTTCGGAGAATACTAGAAACCCTATATTTTATTCATCCCTGAAAAAAGCTTATAAAATTGTTCTGAACATATCATTAGAGTAATTTATAAGATATAAAAAAAGTATCCTAATTGGACTCGAGCACATTCTACAAATTTCAACGCTTTTGATTCAAACTTTCATTGCATAAGGGATTGTTAGGAGCAATAGTCCCTGAATTATAACTCAATTTGCATGTGTTATTTGTGAGTAATTACACACACACTCGAAATTAAATTTAAATTTTATACATGATCAGAGTAACATGAAAGTTTTTTTTCTCATTACCCTTGAGAAAATGTTGATCATGAAATGCAAAATGTGACGCAACAATATCATATGTGTGGTATGTGTGTAGAATTGAAATGACCTTTCTTTTTTTCTTTTTTTTTGTCTTTAACCAAATGAAAACTTCACAAAATTGGCAGAGGAGATAATGGTAGGGTCTTTAGGGTAAAAAATTAAATTTATCCACTGATGAAAGGATTAAAATTAACAGGAAAATGTGTTGATCATGCATTCAGATTTTAAGATTTGTCCAAACAATGCTTTGCGTGTGGGTCCTCCAACGTCTAAATGCCATGATGAGTCCACCATCTCCAATTCGCCATGCCTCAAAACACATTCACATGCACACATGCAATTATATTCAACACAAATATAAATAAAAACTCATGTGGGCTCTCGTGTGGTGCAATTAAAATGTGACACATCACAGGATAGGAAAAAATGAATATTTTCTTCCATTTCTCCATTTTTAGAGAGCACGACTTCACTCGTATAGATTTGATGTAATCTTAATTCATTTTTCCACCTGCTTTTATCCCTTGAGCAAATCTTAATCCTAGTTCTAATCGTGATTTACAATTTATGTTGTTCGCCTTTCTTTTTCTTTTCTTGTAAGTTATGATATAATAATCTTATGAGAATGTATAAACGTTTTGATTCCCTCGGTTTATTGTTAATTAATTTTACATCCAACGATACGCACGTTAACACGATACGAAAACCAAAAATCTTAACTTCAACATGTGGACATGAGAAAACTAGCGAGGTCCAACTAGTCAAAAGGGTACTCACAATTCCAATATGTTTCAAAGTTTGTTGTCAAAACGAGTAGCTTTTTTCGGTTTTGCTTCAAGTTGGGTGATTTGTTTAGAGTTTCCTTTTTCTAGTTTCGTTCGTGCAAGAACGCGGATTGGAGTTGTAAAGGGTGATTGATGATGATGTAAGATAAAGAAAAGAATCGACCTCTTTTGTCACTTGCTTTGCTTCAAAAAGATCTTTTGCATGTGATTAGAGCGATCGGTGCTGTGGGGCCCAGCGCTTCACATTCTCATAATTAGATCATAACATCAACTTATTCAAGATTAGTCCACATCATCAGAATAATTAATAAACAAAGGAAATAAAAAAAATCATAACCACCGGTGATTCGATGAATGGTAAGAACAAAGTACTGCAAGGAAAATTTACTAAAATCATGATATCTGAGAAATAATAACATCTTCCCCTTCACAAAGCAACCACTAAAATGATGGAGTATTACAGCTACAATTTGAAATGTATCAGGTTGAGCATTCTAAACCAACATCTGCTGATGATATCAAGAGAAACTAGATCAGCATGAAACTTTACAAGTTTAGAAGCACTTACAAAATAAATGCTCATTCACATTTATTTATTTGTGATTCAATAAACATATCATTTCTAGAGTTGGACTTAAGTTGGAGCTTCTTTTTAAACTAAATCATCGACGAATCGAGGCAATTTCTTCAATAAGCTCTCGCATGTGAACATTTTTAACATACAACTACTTAGGTAATTTGGTAAGAACAAAGTACTGCAATGATGGAGGAGTAATACAGCAAAAGGATTGAGCATTCTAAACGAACATCTGCTGATGATATTAAGAGAAACCAGATCAGCATGAAACTTTACAAGTTTAGAAGCATTTACACTAAAAAGAGAGTAATTTTATATCACAAGACTATATCAAAAGGCACAAAGACAGGAGATGACAATTACGTGTTTGCTTTTTATGTTACCAAAAGAATGTAATGCCAAGTTGAGAATAACTGACTCAGAAATCTCTCCGCATCTTCACTTTAATTGAAATTTCCTTGTATGACGTGATCTTCTCAGCTGCTCGTCGCAGTGGCCTTGTAGATGATCTTCGACATTCCTGACCTTCAGATCTTGGGGCACTGTATCCTTCGTCCTCTTTTTCCACTGAAGAACATGTTGGACCATTTTCATGAACCACATTATCACATAGAGAGACAGGAAATTTGTCGCCGTTGGTCTCAACCGAGTCTTCAGTTGCTTCCTGTTCTTCAGTTTTAAACCTTGCAGACTGCCTTGTCAAACGTCTATTAGGAAACCATAAAGAATTTGTAAATATAGTGAAAACCTACTGAAAATATATACTTGCTTAAAACAATCGAACATACACCAACAAACCTTTTGTTTTCAGGCTTCTCCTTAGCTTGGACTGCTTCAATAGTAGGAGTTTCTTTTTCTAGTAATGAACATGTTGGACCACTTTCATGAACCACGTTATCATGTAGAGGATAGACAGGAAATTTGTCGCCGTTGGTTTCAAACAATTCTTCAGTTGCCTCCCGTTCTTCAGTTTTAAACCTCGCAGATTGCCTTGTCAAACGTCTATTAGGAAACCATAAAGAACTTGTAAATAAAGTGAAAACCTACTGAAAGTATATACTTGCTCAAAGCAATCAGACATACATCAACAAACCTTTTGTTGCCAGGCTTCTCTTTAGCTTGGATTGCTTCAATAGTAGGATCTTTTTTTTCCACTAATGAACATATTGGACCACTTTCACGAACCACATTATCACATAGAGGAGAGACAGGAACTTTTTCACCATTGGTCTCAAACAAATCTACAGTTGCTTCCCGTTCTTCAGTTTTAAACCTTGCAGACTGCCTTCTCAAACGTCTATTATGAAACCATAAAGCATGTGTAAATAAAGTGAAATCCCACTGAAAACTTGTACTTGCATAAAGTAATCAAAACATAAACAAACAAACCTTTTGTTGTCAGCCTTCTCTTTAACTTGGCCTACTTCAACAGTAGGAGTGCCCAAAGCTGCATGCAAATAAATATGTGAAAAATGTTAGCACAGTATCAAGATCCCAGAAAACAATGAGACGCCAAGTTAGAATTTACGCAGATTGTTTGGTTGTCGTTCCCTTTTGGTACAAGGCCCATTCTCCTTGTCTGCTTGCAAGGACTCCCCTGCCTCAGCATACTTAGCTGAATATACCTAAGGGTAGTGAAAGGGAATATGTAAACAATAAATAGGTCAATGAAAACTTTCAAAGTTTAATTAAGAAACCACACAGGCATCCACAAAGTACCTCATTTTCTGTATTTTGGCATGTTCCTCTTTTCTCTCTCTCCTAGGAACACGGGTTTACAATTCAATAACAAAGTCTATAACCTTACAAAACTGACTAAAGTCTTAAGTAGATAAACTGACCTCAGCCTCCAGTTTTCTCACTTTGAGCAAACCATTTCTGCATGCAAGTTCGTGCTGGAGTGCCTTTAACTGAAAAGTAAAAATAGATCATTGTTACTTCATGCTAATTTACTTGAATTTAAAATAGAAAGTGAAGGCATACACTATTCAGACTTCATCAGTAGAAACATGACTTACCCTATCTTTACCTAAATTGAGTTCCTGCAAAATCGAAGTAGAAAACCAATTCTAAAATCAGCTGATGAAATTAACAGGCATCTTGGTAGATTTGAATGATCAACAACTAAAATGTGCAAAAAGTACCCCTAACATCTGGCTATTTGCTTGGGCAAGTTGCAAATTCTGTTGCTGTACTTTTTGCAGATTGATTCTCAAGCTCTGTAACTCTATTCTGCTCAATTCAATGATTTTGCTTCCAAATAGAATTAAGGAAACCAAAGAAGCAAAACATGCCAAACCAGATTAGGAATATCAATCAGAGAAATACACAATAAGTAAAATAGATAGCCAAGGATACTTTCTGTCAGCAAGAAGTTTCATCAGTGTCCCATTTTCCTGTGGATTTAGCAAAACCAAAGTAAGCTAAACCAACTACATCATCAACTTATTTAGATATAGGGATTATGAGAGATGCAACTAAGAATGTACCTTCTGTAGATTGTCAACATACTCTTTATTTGTAAGTGAGTCAAATTGCTGCTTCACCTGTTGGATTGCTGGTTTAGGCTGCTGATGCAGCAAGTTGCTTATATCAGCAAGCCTCTTCCTCGAGGTGCTTCCAATTGAAGATCCCTTTGCTATTTTCCCTCCTTTTATCTTGTTATCTACACCAAATACCTCTGTCATTTTCAGCAAAGCCTAACCTTGCAAAAAGCCCAATCCATAATTGGATACCATGAAATCAAAGAAGAAGTATACGAGAATTCCCAAATAATGGAAAGCTCCCCCGACTCAATCAAGTAGCTACACTAGCTAGCTGCAGTTAAAAAAGTCTTCTTTTCCTACATTTTCTCAGTAATCAAACAGAACTTATCTCAAACTCCAACAAATTTCCACTAGATTCTACACAAATGAACCCTAGAAAACCTCGATAGCTCCAAACGATTCTCAGAACTTCAACAAATCCTAGCCCTATGAATCCCAACAAGCACAAGAATTCGCGGTTGCAGTTTCACAAACCGTAACCCTCAAACATTAATTGTTAATCAAGAAATGAAGCTATACCGCAAAATCCAATGCTTATTCATGTTGATACACAAACACTAGCAGAAGATCGTTCTTCAAATAACCTAAAAAGGACTGAAACAAATACAAACAGCTCAAAGAAAATCATAATTGGAGAAATTTACCTCCGGCACCGCTTTCTGTGCCACGAACGATGAGACCTTCCATCGTGAAACCCGAGCTGAAGCCCTAATCTCTCTTTCTTTCTCTCTCTAAAATCTCATTTCCTGCGACTGTGAGATGTGATGGAAAAGAAACGCCGTCGTTGGACTGTATTGGAAATTGAACAACGAGGGAAAGAGAGAGACTGTGGGAAGATTAAATTCGTAAATATGTTGTGATAGGCTCGGGACACCTACGGCTTTCCGAAGCTAATATCAGCCTCGGAGGACCAGAACTCAAATCAAATTGGGCCAATGGCCCAAAACAATCCCATTGGGCCCAACTCAATTCCATTTGTTAAGACCTAGCCCAAAAAAGAAAATACCCAATTCGCCAACCCAAATAAATAAAAAATGTGACAAGTATCATTGTATGTATAGGGAAGAGGCTTGCTTAGAACAGTTGTCCGCTATTTCTAGCGAAATGTTAATAGTTGATACATGTCAACCTCATTCTGTGATTTGTATACCACTAAAGTTAGTATTAATAGTCCTTAATGACAATGAGCGGATCTTTACTTGCTAAGAAAGCTTCCATGAGATCGTTCGCAGCGGGTTATTATATAGGAAAGAGGTTTGCTTAGAAATATCATTGTATGTGTAAAGTCAGTATTATACAAATATCATTGTTTTTCTAATGTAGGGAAGAGGTTTGCTTACAACACTCGTCCATTATTTCTAGCCAACTGTTAATACTCGATGCATGTGAATCTTAATGATAATGAGCGAATCTTTTCTTGCGAAGAAAGTTTCCTTGACATCGTCCGCAGCGGGTTATAATACTGACGTGGTGAGTCTAATCACTTTAATTAAGAACATTATCTCATATCATTATTTCCCAATGACAACGAGGTGTGTTACGTAGGTACAATGGATGAGATGAGAGGGAAATGGGCAAGGCATAATGTGACACATGGTTTTGGTCGTATAGTCTTACCGTGGGCCATGTAAGCCATAACTCAAAATTGACTCTTGTGTGTTTTATCTTATGGCCAAAGTCGGGATAAAATTCAGATGTGTAAGTTTGATTCTTGTGGGCCCTACGCATGATACAACATATCACAAGCCTACATTTCTTTCTTTCCTCGTTGGTTTAGAATCTTTCCACTTCAAAAAGCCAAAGAATTCATCATAAAATGCTTCTATTCCCTTCTTTTTCTTTTTCTTTTTTCAACTTACAATTATCTAATTAATAACTAATCGGATGAAAGCTTTCTTGTTCCTCCTTTTCTTTTCTTTGATTTTTTTTGTGTTTTATTATAATTTTGACTCGAAAAGCATTTTCTTATCTCCTTATTTCATGTGAGAGAAAAAGCTTTATGAGTCATGCAAAAATTTGCAAAGCATGGAAACACGCCTAATTTTATTCGACTTTCTTCATGTTAACACAATGGATCGTACTTTTCTTCCTATCAAGACAAATAATACAAGTAGACGATTAAGCACAACTTGCACATTCTTTTTATCCCAAACGCAATTTGCAGGTCTCTTTCTCTAATGAAACCCAATTGGTATTCATACAATAGAATAGACATTGTATAGATCAAGTTGGAGTACGTATCAAGATATATGTATACAAAGTTTTAACTTTGCACTTACAAAAAGAAATGTGCATTCCTCCCCTTATAGTCCTTCCCGTTTATTTATTTGTTATTTAATGACATATCGTTTTTAGAAGAGAATCTTACTCATAACCGAACACTACTGTGGCGGTATTCCAAATCAACCACGTATTGTCGTACGTTTTAACTTTCCCACATGAGAGTGCATGATTGACTTGGAATACCTTCATGATGACATCCCATTGCACGAAAATTCTACTCCATTTCTAGACTTTGACTTAAGATGGAGCTTTTTATTTAGTTATATAACTTAAATAACATTAGGCGTGTAGCGTGTTTCCATGCTCTTGGGGCATTTTTTTAAAGGGTTTGGTATCAAGAACATCTTTGGCAGTGTTTAGTAGAAGGAATTAAAAGTGTTTATGGGTTATAAAACAAACACCTTCCATATGCTTATTGAAGAAGAAACCTTAAAGTATTTCCCAAACAAACCTTAAACATTATGTTTCTTCTTGAATATATATATAGCTTCAGTTGAGAGACATCAATATAGGGCTCACTACGTAATATATTTTAATAATCCGAATTGTCTAGTTTTCAAGTCTTCACTTATAGATCATCATCTCAAAAATTCAGGCAAATTAAAAAGTATTAAGGCATCTAGTTGGAATCAATAAAATAGACGAACACGGTGCTTCAACAAAAGACTATAATAACAATCATCTAATTGATTGGTCAAATAATTTCGGATTCAAGTGATTTTTTTTGCAGAAATAATCTTTGAGGGAATATATAACAACTAAACGATTTGGATCATTGAAATACAATACGTGATGAGCCCTACAAAAATATCTCTCAAATAAGCTATATATCCACCATGCAATAAGGCTGCATTTACTTGTCATTGTTGACACAATTAACTTATTGTTAGTCCTATATTGATCACGCGCATTTCACCATCAACTAATTGAGACAATTACTACAATCCAACGACAGTTTATAATAATTTCAAAAGCTTGCATTGTCATATGACCAATAATATGAATGGCAATGAGTCAACATACACTGCCTACTACACTAGAGTAGTGATGATGTAACCTTAATTCGTACGTGACTTTATTAATGTCACATCCACATAACCCTTGTGTTTCAAATTACTATGCTGTCATTGAGTTTAAGTTTTTCACATTTTATGAACATTTTGAATAAAACAATGCAAACAACTTAGACTATATTATTTATATATATATATATAGTTGTTCTCATATGTCGATATCCGGATGTTATTACCGTAAGAACGTCATTGTAAATATGAAAGAATACATGACGTCTGCAAGATATTAATTAACGTTTGAACGTCTGTATAGGAGAAATATATTTTTAAAGGAGTGATAGAATTAATTTACATTTTTGTATAACACGATCATGAATTCTTGGTTGGGGGGTGAGGGCCTTTGTAAAAGTAGCCTTCTTCGATCTATTAGATTGATCTTTATGCCAAGTTTATTAAAGAGAAAAGTATCTCCTAACTGATCACGGGAAACACGTACTAGACCTTGAAACTGAAATGCACCTAATTATTTTCAGTTTCACTACTTTCTTACTCTTGTATTTTGTATATTTTCCCGATATTAATAGTTCCGTAACACAACATATTAGATTGTCTGTCATTACAAAAATTGAAAATTAAAGCCAATCATTATACATTTCTTTCTTCAAATCACAGTCACAGCCGATTTATTTGAAAAATATCGAATTGTCTTGTCTCCATCATCTTTTGTTCATTTTTTCTGGAGAGGATTATACGACGGAAAACAAAGTTTCTTGGTTTGTTTAATGTGGAAAAACAAAATGTTGAAAATATATTCTTGTCTCCATCCTTTAATTAATGCAACGCTCACTTAACTTGACTCCTATCAATATATAATTTTTTCGTCATAAAATTATATTTTTAATTGTTTCTTTTGTTTACTTTTTTTTAGTAGTAACTTTGATGTTGTTGGTGCTGCTAATTAATCACAGTTTCTGGTTGCAAAATTTATGAACTAGATTTTATCAGGATGGTTTTGAATGGATAGATACTTTACTATAAAGAAAGTTTTTTTTTAATTGTTTGTAAGTACATCCTATTTATGGGGCTTTAAATCAATGATCAAAATAAAAAAATAAAATAAAAATTGTTCATTTTTCACAAATTATTATTCATTTAATTACTGATATCTTCTTTTTTCGATACAAGCGATACCGAGGGAGGGGGAAATTGAAACCTAAGACCTCAAGTGCAGGGGTAAATACTCTTAATTAGTTGAGTTACAAGCCCTTTGCATTGGTATCTTTGTTTTCGATGACCAAACAATTATGACATATTATAAAGATAACCTAAAATATAGACGATTCCGATCCTTCAAATACATTATTAGGTAACCCGAAGAAAAATGTATGAACTTCTGTTAAAATAAGTACATCATCCGCATACAAAAATCCATACCACAAAATGGCTAAAGAAGATGAGCTGTAGTGTTTCGTCCAGGTAGAGCTATAATTGTGATGTGGGTAGCTAGCTGACTTGCTCACCTTCTTAAAATTTTCATTTGGCATTAAAAATTATATATATATATATATATATATTTTGCAAAATACTACCTCTCGGGGTCCTCACAAGTCACAGCATATAATAATATCACACCTATTTATTTATGTGTGAACAATTATTTAGCCAAGGACAAAATTATATTAATTGTCGCTTTCTAGGAAAATATTTTATATATAATAAAAAATATAAACGAATATCACTCTACCGACCTAAATGCAAATTGCATTAACAAGTACAAATTAAACAATAGTAATATATTGCAGTAATAATTAATCACATATGCAACCCAGGATGCAGGTAAGGTCGGTCTTATTAATGGAAATATAATATATATATATATATAGTGAAGTTTTATTGAGGGACATTTTTACTCTCTGTTTGGTTGAAAATTACATAGAATTCTAAAATGACGGAATTTAGATTCCATCATTTCAATTCATGGCAATTGAATACTTCACTATTTAGATTTATGTATGTCGAATTTTGTAAATGACACTATGAAAATTGTGAAATTGCGCCTATTTTGATGGAAATTGAACTCTGAATTTGATGCCCCAATTTTCACCATTTTTTCCTTGCTTCTTTTAATAAATTTTGTGCTTAAGTTACCAAACAATGGAATTGTCTATTTTTCTTCTTAAATTTTTGACTTTTAGTTAAATTCTGAGTTATTTTCCAATGATCCAAATGGAGGGTTATAGGGTCCATCACACATTGTTTTTCAATGAACCGAACAGTGTAAGTTTTAGATATTCCCTCAAAGATCATATCTGCAAAAAATCACTTGAATCTGAAACTATTTGACCACTCAATTAGATTTTTGTTAATTTATTTTGTTATTAGCAATTAGATGCTTTAATGATTTTCAATTTTTATGATGGTTTGCGAGGATGATCTATGAATGAAGACTTGAAAAACGGTTTTGTTGGATGGTTTTTTTTTTTTTTTTTTTTTTTTTTTTTTTTTTTTTTTTTGTATGTACCCTAAAGGGCGTCCCTCAAATAAAATTATTTGAGAGATCCCTCAATAGAATGGGACTATATATATACCAACATAAATTTATATAGTAATTTCACTCAGGAAAATGTTAATTTGAATTATTTATGTAGTGTATAGTATGGTCATAATAAATTAGACAAAGACATCTATCTATTATTGCATGTCCTATTCATATGCCAAATATTCCTACATGCATCCTCATCAGCAAGTTCCTACATCATTATTTGCCAGGATATCATTTTCCTTCATTAGTATTTTTTTTTTATAAACAATTTTTATTAAGGCAAAATTGTAGCAATGGTCCCTGGACTATACCCCAACTTTACTTTTCGTCCCTCACATTGATAAATTATTACCGTTGTACTTTAATTATGCCTCCAGCTTCTAGGTGTCAAACGAGCCGTGCCGTGTTGGCCCATTTAGTAAAATCATTGATCTCGATCCGGCCCAAAGCCCATGTTCACATTGAAACAGGCGGGGCCGTGCTCGTGCCGTACCCGTGCTCGTGCTCGGGCCATACTCAGACCCAGGAACCAACCCATTTAATTTGAAGTTTTTTCACTTGATTTATTTTTTTTCACTTGATAATTCAAATTATAAACATTAACAATATAATTAGAGGCAAAAAATGATGAATTATTTGAAAACATTAATCAATCAAACATCCAAAACAATATAAAAGATGGAGGGCAAAAAGTGTACAATTCCACTAAGTCCACTTCAACTTTTCATATTTAAACAACTTATTATTTTATATGTGAAGAAATGTCTTGCTTTGATTATAAGATAAGCGTATATGTCATATGTACTGATTAGATATCAAGTCCAATGTTATTAAATTAATTTGTAGTTGATATGTTTAATTAATTAAGGATCCAAGAAATTTCCCTAAAATGAAATATATCAAATATATGTTTATGATTATAAAAAATAAAAAAACCATATAAACAATGATATTAGATGTCAAATTTTTGCATTTGACATTTGAGAAAGAAAAAAAAATTTAAGTGGGCCATGCTTGAAGCGGGCTCGGGCCAAGCCCGTCCCATGTCGGGCCGTGGGCCGGCCCAATCCATTGGACCTCAATTTTTATCTCAGTCCGGCCCAAGATTTCGTATCGTGCTGAGCACGGCCCATTACTATTTGTGTTCGTGCCGTGCCTCATTTAAACGGGTTGGGCTCGTGCTGTGCTGGGCCGGCCTATTACAGAAACTGTCATTGCCGTCATCTCTGTCAAATTTTCCGTTAAAAAAATGATGACATGGCATTGACAAGTCCTACTTGGCATGGGCAAAAATGTATTTCCAAAAAAAAAAAAAATCTCTCTCTCCAGCCCGATTCCTCCCCCCTCCCAATTGGGTCGGAGGTTCACTCTCAACTATGAAAAATTTCTAAAGCTTCCTCCCAATATCCATTTGAACTGCAAAACACCATATATGGTAAAAGAATCCGGTAACAACCCATCCATTCGTAACCTATAGAGGCCAAGGAAGGGATTTTGGAGGAGGTTGGTGGTGGGCTGTGTAGCTAAAGCCATGTTTAAATGATTGGTGGGGGCTGGGAAGAAATTGGTGGGCGGGAGAAGAAATATGGGTGAGAAGGGGCCTTGAAAAATGGTGTATTTTGATCAAAAACCAATGCAAGAAGAATATATGAAAATGGGACAGACAATGCAAGCGGCCCACCTAGATACCCATCAACCCTCTGCTTCTCTGTTTTGATCAGATCTGGGGTGGAGGATGAGGGCTGGGGTTTTGGGCTCGTGGGTGCTGGGGTTGCGGCTACGGTAGAGGGTGGTTGTGGGATAGTTTGAAGGTTGGAGCTTGCAGGTGGTAGTCATGGGGAATGGGGGAAGAAGAAATCGTCGGGGGAAGAGGGAGAGTGCACAGGAGGGGAGGAGACAGAGAGAGAGAGAGAGATTGAATTTCCCAATTTGTCCTTAATTTTGACAGAAAATTTAATTAAGTTGACGGAAAGACTAATGATGCAACATGAGATCTAATTGATTCGACCGTAACAATACGAAAAGTAAAATTAAGGTATATTCCAGGGACCATTGCTACAATTTTGCTTTTTATTAATTAGTTTAAATATTATAAAACATAATAATAACACTAGATTATTGTCTTCGTCCCATGAATTAGCTGCTATCATTAAATTAAACCTGTAATCCATTATATGCCCAAAGCGATGAATTAGAATAATTAATAATCAAGAAAGACAACGCAACATCCAAAGCTCACAACAACCATGGTGCTTATTTTGTTTATTAAAAGAAAAAATTTATTGTGGAAACAAACAACTTATGATGGATAACATTTTAATTTCATGAACCTAAATATTTATCAACAACTTATGATGGAATCTAATCCAGTAGAAAATGACATTGACTTGCAAATTATTGGTATCATGTTTGAAAATTAATGACACCTTAATAATGTGTGTGTGAGATACCCCCAATCTCTTTAAAGTTTAGACTATCGTTTGTATTAAAAAAAAATTATCAAAAATTATTTCATGATTAATTTGGGGATTATGAGTTATTGATGTGCTTGCAATAAAATGAAAAAATTATTGTATGTAAGAACAAAATCCCTTCTCATAGCATTTTCTACGGCCTCGTCAAAGGCTGGTGGGTGCTGTCTCCAGTAGAAATGCCAAAGTCAAGCAGCAAATTAGGGATCCTAATTTCAGTCAACAACCTTAAGGAGTGCTTGTCAATTTACTTTTCCAAATAAAATATGCTTTCTTGTCAACCTTTTTGGTCTGTAAATGTTGTTGGTATATGAAAAAAAAAACATAAGAATCATCACACAATAAAAATTGGCTCTTCAAATTGCCAGGTAGATAAACAAAATACAATTTAAAGAGTCAAATTAGCTTGTTATGTTAGAAATGTTCTTAATTTTGTTTTTGGCTTATTTGAGCAAATAAAAGAAATTTGAAAACTTTTGTTTTGAGGTTTTAAATTGTAGTAAAAGTTGTTTGAAACGGGAATAACACTGTTTTAATATTCGATCAATCACAGTATACCAAATGAAAAAATTATCTCGCGTGACATAGCGTAATTGACCGGGTATAACAAAATAATGGAGGGAAGAGGACTTTTAGGTGAACCCAATAATCTTCGCTGGCTTTTCTAGTAGCAAAAAGGCGCTTTTTATAACAGCAAGCCCGCCTTCGCCTTCACCTGGCAAAGCCGAAAGAAAATTGCCGAAAGCTGCAATCTTTGTTTTGAGATCAACTGCTAAACAAACCTTCAATATTTTTCTAATCAAACCAACAAATGAAAGCGAAAAGAGTTCTTGTCCGCACTCAGAGGCGGGAGGTTTATAGGTTGGAATGAGAACATTCATAACTTTCAGCAAAGAATCTTAATCCGCAGGCAAAGCAGCAAGAAAATCTAGTTTTAGAGAACAAGAAAGAGCAGAAAAGAAAAGGCTTTTAGCATTTTGGATAAGCTCTCTCTCTGAATCTCCATCGGAATTTTTAACATTTTAAAAATATTTTGATTTGGCTTTCTTCCCATCTATCCCTAGATTAGCAAGCAAGGTAAGAATGTGAGTGACTGAAGGTGTCTGCAAGGGAGATTAGAGAGTCATTATATTTCTCTCTCCTACTCCTCATCTTCCAAGTTCCTTGGTTTATCCTAATCACCAGCCTACCGCAGCCAAAAGCCACCCCCCCCTCTACCCCAATCTTTCCTTTCCAAAACCCTCCAAACCCTAGCAGAAAAGTGAAAACATTTTCACAATTAAATTATTGCAGTGTTTCATTATTATAATAATTATTTATTATATAAACCATCTCACATTTCCCAAGATTTGCAGCTTCCCAAGTTGTTGTTTGTTGTTAATACTGGGCAGCATTTGAGAGAAAGATATCTCTCAAAGAAGAGTCTTTTTTTATACAGAAGCATAAAAACACAACAGCAGCCAACAACAAACAAATACCCTTTGGCCTCCCTCCTTATTGTTCTTTCTTTCATCCTTGCTTTCAAGGATGCTTCCTACCACCTGCATTCTCTTAATATGCCTCTTGAGCTCTCTCTCCCCCCTCACCAAAGCTTCTTCCCTCAACCTCACCCTCCCTCACCAACACCCCAACCCTGAAGCTGTTGCTCAAGAAGTACAAAGGTAAGCACCAATGAGCCTCAGTCCCCCCAATCATTTCACACAAAAACACACACAAATTGAAAATCCCCATCTGGGTTTTGCTCATTTTTTGATTTTACAAAAAGGGTTGGCTCCCATTTTTCAATCAGTAGGTGCTCAACAGCTAAAACCCCTGTCTGGGTGCTGTACATTCTAGTGTTAATGCTCTGGGCCATTCTGTTTTCAAAGCACTGAGCAAAAATCCCAGCTGGGTTTTTCTCAAATCAGGCCCCTTTTCTTCTTTTCTGTCCTTTACTCAAGCATTTTGAGCTGTAAGACCCAAAACCCCCATCTGGGCATTGCTCATTTTCTCTGCATTTCCCTCATTTTCCCTCTAACAAAGCAGAGCACTCTGTTTTTTTTTTAACTGTTCATGTTCAGGAGAGTCAATGCATCTCTATCCAGACGCCAAATGCTGTCCCTCGAACTCAAAGAGCAACAACAATGTCTAATCGGCAACCCAATCGACGATTGCTGGCGCTGCGACTCGAACTGGGCCAGTAACCGCCAAAAGCTCGCCGATTGCGGCATAGGGTTCGGCCAAGACGCCATGGGAGGCAAAGGAGGCCAGATCTACATCGTCACCGACTCGTCCGATCGGGACCCAGCCAACCCAGTCCCGGGCACGCTCCGCCACGCCGTGATCCAAACGGAGCCCCTCTGGATCATCTTCTCCGCCGACATGACCATCAAGCTCAAATGCGAGCTCATCGTCAACAGCTTCAAGACCATTGACGGCCGGGGCTTCAACGTCCACGTCACCGGCGGCGGCTGCATAACACTCCAGTACGTCTCCAACATCATCATACACAACATCCACGTCCACCACTGCAAACCCGCGGGTAACACTAACGTCGCCTCCAGCCCCACACACGTCGGGTGGCGCGGAAAATCGGACGGCGACGGCATCTCCCTCTTTGGCGCTCGCAAAATCTGGATCGACCATTGCTCGCTCTCCTACTGCGCCGACGGCCTGATCGACGCCATAATGGGGTCCACAGGGATCACCATCTCGAACAGCTACTTTGCCCACCACGACGAGGTGATGCTTTTGGGCCACGACGATAAGTACTCGCCGGACTCCGGAATGCAGGTGACGATTGCGTTCAACCACTTCGGTGAGGCGCTGGTGCAACGTATGCCTCGGTGCAGGCGCGGGTACATACACGTGGTGAACAACGACTTCACGCAGTGGGAGATGTATGCTATCGGCGGTAGCGCTAACCCCACCATTAACAGCCAGGGGAATCGGTACACTGCTCCCCAGGACCAAAACGCCAAGGAGGTAAAAATTGTAAATTTCTGTAAAGTTCGGGTCTTTTTTCATTTTTTTACTTCTGGGTCCGCGGGAAACCTGAAAAAGGGTAAAATGATTGTTTCTTGATATTGGGAATTGGTTCTTTGGCGGGTCCCACTTGGAATGGTGGCGCGTGGGGCTGTAACACTCACGCGCTTCCATGTTCGGCTTGTCACTTGGAGCATGCATGTCAAAATGGGAAATGGATTCTAACTATAGCTCACTTGCATGGCGGTGCTTGGGATTTAGAATGTATCACGCGCTTCCAGGTGGGGCTGGTTTTGTTGGATATGAAAATGGGTTTTGGGTAGAAGAGGGTTTTACTGTATATCTTGTCCGTGAAAAATTGTTTTGAAATTGAAAGGACAATGATTATATGATAAAGGAGGGGAGGCCTATGTCATACAGAGAGAGACGGTAGTGGCTGACAGTGAGCATTTGCAGCTGTTAATTTGGCATGACCTGTTGACCGTGATGATAGTACGAAGAGCCCTAATTCATTTATTTAATGTTTGCTGTGTGAACAATTCACAGGTAACAAAGCGCGTGGACACGAACGAGGGGGATTGGTCCGACTGGAATTGGAGGACGGACGGGGACATAATGGTAAATGGCGCGTTTTTTGTGCCCTCAGGGGCAGGAATGAGCACTCAGTATGCGAGGGCCTCAAGCACAGAGCCCAAGTCGGTTGCCCTCATCGACCGCCTCACAAACAACGCCGGTGTCTTTGGTGACCCCAGGTAACACAATTTACTCTTTCAACTGTATTACCTGTCACATTAACTGTCGTAATGAGGGCCTTAATGTCTTCCGAATATGAATCTCATCGTAAATTACCAAAATGCCCCTGCTTTGCATATTTGGTTGCTGGCATTTTGCATGCATCCTGCTTGCTGGGTTTTGGGTTTGAGAATAATAAAAATACAAATAGTGTGAGAAGAGCAAAGAGAGAGTGAAAAATGGAGCTGGGTTTTTATGGGGTGCACGTGATCATGCAGGGCAGTGGGAATCTAGCTGCTGACACTGCAGCTTTACAGTTCAGTTGTTCATTGTCTTGGCCAAAGGGCTCAAGGCCATGGTTATTATTAACTTATTGGGGTTTATTTATTAGTTAAATAATTTTGGGTTTGTTTTAAATTTAAGTATGACCTTGGGATTAGATTTGAAGCTTGATTTTGGCAGTTTTATTCTTTCTAGGTTGCTTGGGGGGTTTTGACCATTTTCACTCTCAAAAGACCATCTTATTTTAGAACTCCCAAAATGATGCAACTTGCAAGGGACAAAAGGCCAACGGGTGTGAAAGATGATAGCCTACATTTGCAAAACTATTATACTATTTTACAACTACCCTGAATACCAAATCTGCCCACAGTAGGGTAGGGGGCCTAGGTTTGTGGTGAGATAATTAATTACTGTAACATCGCCACCAGCCAATGGTGTCCCCATCAGAAGCTTGTGACGTTATGTGTTATTGGTGAATGTGTGTGTCAAGGGAAAGGTAGAAAAGTTGCAAGTGGGGGCTTTTTGTCTTTGGGTTGGCTTGGGTTGTAGGAGACCCAACCCAGGTCATGGATTGGTGCGTCTGCGTTGGGAAGGTGACTCCGTTACATTGTCTTCATTTTGCTTTTCAGCATGTAAATGTGGGGTCCTTGTACAATTTTCAGAAGTGAGTGTGGGCCCACTTTTGATTTTTTTTATTATTCATTGGCCCACTCCGGATTTGATTTAACCAAAACAAGGACAGCTTGCCCATGCATAGAATTGGCCCAGGTCCTGAGTCTTGACCGTGAGACCTTTCCTTCTTTTCTTTCTTTTTCTGAACTTGACCGAGAGGTACCTGTTTCTGATCCTTTCTGTTTTAATTTTGAGTTAATTTAGAGATTTAAAGTCTCTAAAGTATAAATTATATAACTATTCTTTAGGGATTTAAAGGTAATCAAAATGTCACAAACTTATAAGAATTCAGATAGATGACGGAGTTTTTAAAGTCTGGAGGGTGACAACATAAAAAGGGGATCTTGGACTGACCCAAAATTATTGATCAATGAGCCGGAGCCGGCCCAACCCAAGTCCATGAGCCATGAACTATAGTGAACCAAGGATTGTGGGTTGTGAACCGACCCAAGTTGGGCTTTAGTTGGTGTGATATGTGAGGATTCTTTAGGTCGTTTGGCACCGACTGTTTGTAGAGTTTATTTAGAAATGTGAGGTAAATCTTAACATGGAAATGACAAAGACTTTGATTCAATCTGGTGATTTTGTATGTTCTTATTCGTGTACTTACTACTAGATAGTGACAAGGTCATCTCATGCATGTCAGTGGAAGTTCTTAAGACTAGGAGATATATTCTCTCTTCAAACCTTGCATTGGCTCTCATGAGCCGGAGCCGGAGCCAGACCAACCCAAGTCCATGAGCCATGAACTATAGTGAACCGACCCAAGTTGGGCTTTAGTTGGTGTGATATGTGGGGATTCTTTATGTTGTTTGGCTCTCATAAAAATTGACAAAGCTGGCACAAGGGTTTCCAGCTGTTTTTACTACTTCCATAAGAGATTGCTTCTCTTTCTGTCAAATTTTCGTGGATCTTTTTGCTACCTTCTTTACCAATCCTTTATCCCAAAATGGCAAATGCAATTCCAACTATTTGAGAAAAGGTTTGCCAAAATAAGCGAGCTCAACCCACAGGCTCCTCTTATCCCATGTGAGACCAACCCCTTACCCCAAATTTCCGTTCTCAGATTTGTTTATCACTGAATGCTAAGGACAGTCGTCCTCACGTGCGTGGCCAACTCTTCACAATAATCTCTTGTTCATGTCCATGGGGACCTCATGACGTCTTAAAACTTGTTGCAAAGTGTTCAGTTACATTTATTTCCTTTCCCTCTATTCTTCTGTTAAACCATATGCCATCATTCATGTCTTGATCTAAATAATTTTCTGATTTTGGTTGTTTCAACTATTGTCATGGTATAGGAGCAGTACCAGCGTATCACACCCCGGAGAGGACGGCGGTGGGACCATCACCGATGGCACTAACACAGGAAGTGAAGGGTCCAGCGGCGGTGACGGAGACTATTTTGGAATGATATTTGGGAACGGTGCTCCACCAAGCTCTTCATCATCTTCAAACACAATATTCTTGTCTCTTCTAATTATTTTTATTTTGTACGTTACCATCAACCATGGTGGTGCTCTATTATCATTACCCTTATTATTAACATTATTATAGAATTCAAAGAAAATATCATTATCAGATAAAAAGAGAAGAAAAGGGAAAAATTTCTCAAATGATTTGATTGCTTGGTTGGTCCCCCCACATCCTTTGTTATCTGTATTATTTTAGTTTTTTTTTATGGTCCTTCCTTAAGATGAAAGCTTTCATAGCGTTTCATCACTATCCGTTTGACTTTGAAGGCTCTCATGTTTTGGCGGTTCAGTTGGATTGAGTTTTGGGTAGGCTAACGTTACGTGGAGATGGCCACAAAAGAAAATAAAAAAAGAAGATGGGATATGATTGGCTGAGATGGCATGTCAAATTCGGGGGATTTATTTGTTTTTGGCTTCAAACATTTTCGTTGAATTTGAGTGCTTTTCATTGAGTAATAATAATGTAGTTAACATGGCATGTCTCCATGTCTTGGAAAATTGCCAAAAGACGATGGGATTTGTAGTGCCCTTCGAATCTTTTATCTTAGGCGCCCCCCTTTCTTCTTTTATGCTAAAGTATAACGTGCTTGTTTGAGTCCGTTCGTTCACTTGTGTGCTAGTATAACAAGGAAACAGAAAGCATATGCATGTCTTGTCAGCTGTATCTGTAAACGATAAGAGTTTCACGTGTACATGGGAAAAGGGTGATTTCAAGTTAAGAGGAAAGCTAGGGAACTCAGCCGTAGATCAATGTCCCCACTGTGGGACCAATACCAATCGACATAGTCAGACGGATGCCAACCAACGATTGATGGTAAGCTATACCACGTAGACTGTTCCTAGCAAGAATCAAATTAAAAGCCATGATGGTTTGGAGCTTCAAGCTTTAGGAGTAGAGCGACCTATACGCATGTAGACGACTGTTTCTAGCAAGAATCAAATTAAAAGCCATGATGGTTTGGAGCTACAAGCTCTGGGACTGGGAGTAGAGCACTTCTTCCTCGCATGCACGACAAGAGTTCCGTTCTTGTTTTCCCGTTCCTTTCCTCTACACCAAAAATAAAAGACCAAAATGGTGAATTTTGTACTACATAATAACATGAAGGATCATTATATAAACTAGTTTCGGGTGACGGATTAGTTCCTCTTGAGCTTTGTGCTTTTCACAACCTTCCCTGAAAGCTACAGCATTTTATGGTTTAACCGGATTTGATTAATCGATAACAAATTCGAGCCAAAGACAAGTATAAGCTTGTCAAAGAACAAGATAACACCAAGTAGTTTGATGAGGAAAATGAACACAACCTAAAGTGAAAAGTAGATATGAAATGAAGTATACACATAACTTTTCCCGGTTAGGAAAGAAGGGGAAACAATGGCAAAATCTTCGCAAGCATTCACAATCTTCCATGACATTCATTACACCTTGTTACAATGTTTATATTTTACTCCTTTCCGAGTTATTTCATAGCCTTGGTAGGACTTCAACATTGAAACAAGTTTGAAAAAAAAAACGGAACAAAAAAAAAAGCCATTTATGTGAAAACTTTTGAGTTGTTTGTGTCCTATATTTAATTAACTAACCAATACCATATCCTCTCCCCCTGCAGTTGCCGCCACTGCTTCTATTCTCTTCCAAGTCAATTCTCGCTGCTCTTCCATTTCTCTGGCCCTTGTCTCTTTTTCTAAATATTGTTCCTGACACTCTTCAAACAATTCTGGGTCCATTTCCTGGAACATCCGTCGCACATTGGCTGTCAGCCCATGGATAGCCTGGTTCCAGTGACCTTGTGTGTTTTTCTCCAATGCTTCAAAGATTAATGGCAATATCACGTTCCGGTTCTGAGAAATTAAACTTACAATGTGTTCACTGTTCCACAAGTAAAGAGCTCGTTCGGCAACCTGCCAAGCATCTTTATATTAGAAACACTTTTCAAATAGAATAGTTACACAACTAGAGAAAGAAAAAAAAAGTACGTTATAACATTCTGGGAAATCCCCAACACACATTTTCATTAAGCTTTCTTAGTCATAGATAAGAAGATATTTTGTTATGTGATGGCAAGGAAGAGGCATGTACCAATTGACTCCAACACAATAAGCAGCAATACAGCAACACCATAACTTATCCTTTAAAGAGGGTAGACAAATGTGAAAACTAGAGACATTGCCTAGCTTTGTTCAGCTAAACAGTGTTCCTTTTCTCAGACCGAGAAAAGAGCAACTGCGTAGCTTAAATAATAATAAAAACATGAATTTCATGGTTAAACTGTGGCCTGTCTAAGCATATGTATTTGCTGGCTAACCACCTAACCCTCTTTGCGAGCAAGAGCTCAGATTCAAACAAAAGTATTGTAATCAATGACGTGCGGGCAAAAATGACAGCTCACACAACCTTATTGTGTTTCTGTTGAACTTCAATATAGAGGCAAACTAAAGAGATGATTTAAAAATAAAATAAAAACAAACTAGCCATATGGAGAGACAACTAAGAATATAAGACTGCTTCAAAGAACTTACCAAACTTACTAACAATAGCATGTTTATAACCTATTATCAGGTAGTTCTTGTATGGATCATATCAACCACCATCAGAAGGGGACCAAGTGAAATTAATGTCTACCACAGCCAGAAAATTACACACAATAACTATGGAGACTCCTGAAATCTATTGTCTGAAAGAGTGGCACATGAGTATCCTACGCAATTTCAACACTTTCAACAGAAATGCTTACACGTCAAGCATTCAGACCAACTTTGAATGACACATAAGTCAAAGGTACGAGCTACAGTATTAGCTATATATTCTTTACAAAATCACATTTTGATGGATTCGTTCTCATAAAGTTTAAGTAGTCTCACAGAAACAGTGGAAGGGGGAAAGAAATGTCCAAGTGATGGTAATACTGTACACTAAACAGGTCCAACAACTTATTATCTATTTCATAACTAATGCCATAGTTTTATCATATAATTTACTTTTCGGAAAAAAATCACACTGAAAAATGCACAAACAATCTAATCGTAACTACCAGGCTACTCATATAAAAAACAGTCTTTTGAATTCACCTGAAAATGAGGGCTATTAAGGCAGCGCCCAATCTGTCTAAAAAGCGGAAGCATACATCTCTGAAACTCAGCAGCCTGCGTAGCTTCCAAAACCTCTTCTAACTCTGCAAGAAACAGAACCTCCTTCTGACAATTGGTGACCGGCCAATACTTCAACAACCCCTTGACCACCAATTCGGCCAACTTATAATCCTTGTCAACAAACTGTATGATACAATAGGCTAACTGGTGATGATACGCGGATATGCACTTGGGTTTGTGCAGAGGAATAAGTGCTCTCACAAGGAACAGCTTATGCTCCTCTTTCATGGGCAAAGCAAAGCCATTTATTATACTCCCTAGAATCTCTAACAACTCTCCAATCCCACAATGCCTCTGTGTCTCAAATATAAACCTATAAAACACATTATTCATGGCCTTCCTGATAAAGGGTCTGTGAACCATAAACTTCCCATAAATTCTATGCAAAAGGGTTTTCAAATACTCGCGTTCCCGAGGGTCCTCAGAATCAAACAACTCCATTAACCTCAACACAAAGACGTGATCAATGTAACGTTTAGCGACTTTAGCATCGGTTTCTGGTGAGGCAATGTACCTTAACAAGAGTTCATAGACGATTTGCAGGTGAGGCCATGAGGGCTCCTGATAGGGCTCGTCCTCGTCGGGTTCGAGCAAGTCCGAGGCCGGAGGCAAGCATCGGAAGATGTTGAGTGACACCATGCGAATGAGCTCCTCTTGCATTGGACCGGTGAGTTTGCACGAACTGGAGTCGATGAAGTCCACGAGCTCCATGAGGGTTTGGCGCTTGAGCTCTTTCTCGAGAACCCATTTGAGAGAGTTGGAGAAGTCGCAGTAGAAGGAGCAGAGTTGGAGCTTTTTGAGGAAAAGGGCCGGGCGGTCCAAAACAGCGACGTCTCGGAGAAGAGGAAGGGGTTCCATGGAGAGGGATAGTGTGATGGGTTGTGACTCGGGTTCGAACTCAAGATCGGTGGGTTCGGGTTTTGGGGATTTGCGGTGGCCGCGTTTTATGATTTTGAGCATTTTTTTTAAAAAAATTGGTTTTTTTTTGGGTTTAAAGGAGTATTGGGGAGAGATAAGGACGACCTAGGAAACTGAAAAAGAGAGGAAAATTAGGGTTTGTGGATGGGGATAAGGAGGGATTTGGGGGAAGAGATATTGGGATGAGGAGATCATTTGGTGTTTGGGAGATGAGAAAATTTGCAGAGTGATGGGAAAGTTTGTGGGAGTGGGAATTGAGAGGCCACCCCTTGCTTGGAACTGAGGGAGTAGTACGATTGACCATAAATGGAAACTTTTTGATTTTCTGTTAAAAGATCTCTTTTTCATTTGGACAATTTGCTAAAATATCACCTTTTAGCGCCTTCTGCTTTCCCTTCTCCCTCACTTGAAATTGAGCATACAACGAAGTCGGCTACAAGTGTAAAATCGATCAATTTGAATTAGCATTTTGTAGTGAATTTAATTTTGGCAGGAGCATCATGATTCAATTTTCGGAAGCAATTTTATTTTGAGAAAAGCTTGTTCCATAACATTATCTGTTTCATGCTAAGACTTGAATGTTGACAAAGAGATGCATACCAAATATCAACCATTGTCAATAGATACAGGGGTTTAATAAGTTACGATCCTTGTAGCTGTGCGAAAGACAAAGCAATATCTACACCATTTAAGTTAAAAACACTACTTTTTTTGAATAGTGATCTGATCACCACCCTCCTTTGCCACTTCCACCATCAGATCCCTTGCCCCAAGAGCTTGCGGGTGCTACGGCTTTGCCCCAGGAATTAGTCGGTTTTGCACCTTCATCGGTTCCTTGTTTTGCCTCACCACCATCAGATCCGTTGCCCCACGAGCATGCTGCTGCTGCTGCTTTGCCCCATGAATTGGTTGATTCTGCACCTTGATCGGTTCCTTGTTTTGCCTCACCTGATTGATTCCAACCAGAGGACTGAGCCCCACTTGAAGTGCTTGATTGCTTCCAGTCGGATGATTTACCTCCTCCAGCAGCACTTGGTTGGCCTCCAGTACCGCCTCCAAATCCTGAACCTGTTCCTTTGTTCCAACCTGAACCCTGGTTGCCCCAGCCCCCATCTTGTGTGCTTGAGCTTGGTCCCTTGTTCCAGCCACCATCTTGATCAGTGGTTCCTTTGACTTCTTTGGCTGCAGTCGATTGTTTCCAGCTTGACGACTGGTCCACATTAGAAGCATCTGATGATTTCCAATTGTTTGCCCAGCTTCCGCTCGCTTCATTACGAGAGCCTGTTCCTTTGTCCTGAGTGGCAGCAGTATCTTTAGCCTCCACTGTCTGATTCCAACCTGATCCTGAACCGCCAATTCCTTTATTCACATCAGACTGGTTCCAACCAGAGCTCTGGCTAATACATCCGCTAGATTTCCCACCCTGCCAATCGTTCTTACTGCCACCTCCTTGGTTCCAACTTCCTCCACCATTGTCTTTTTTCCATCCCTCAGCAGCACCGTCTGCCCCTTTGCTCCAGCCTGATGAATTATTATCAAAAGAATCATTTCTATTGCTCCAACCACCACTTTGATCCCTCCCACGGCCTCTTCCTCCGTAGCCTGTACCACCAAACCCTCCTCCGTCTGATCCACCTGTACCACCAAACCCTCCTCCGTCTGATCCTCCTCTACCACCAAACCCTCCTCTGTCTGATCTACCCCTACCACCAAAGCTCCCTCTGTCTCCACCTCTACCACCAAAACCCCCTCTACGTCCAAAGCCCCCTCTATCTCCCTCTCTCTCACCACCTCCACCTCCAAAACCCCGTCCACCTCTAAAACCTCCTCTGTCTGAATTTCCTCTACCTGAACCACCTCTCCAATTTCCACCACTTTGATTATTATTGAAATCTTCAGGTTGGTCTCCATTCCCACCATCTATTGATTGACTGCCACCAAAAGAATTTGCTGAATTCCAATTGCTTTTACTGCTCCAATTAGAATTCTGATCTGCATCACCAGATCCTGAGTTCCAACTATTTTTCCTTCCCCAGCCAGAATCTTTATTGCCGCCAGTGTCACCAGATCCGGAGTTCCAGTTGCTTTTCTTGCCCCAAGTAGAATCCTGGTTCCCACCTGAGGAATCAGATCCAATGTTCCAATCTCTTTTCCCACCACTACTAGAATCCTGATTGCCACCAGCCTCACTAGATCTGGAGTTCCAACTGCCCTTTTGGCCCCAGCTAGAAACTTGATTTCCTCCATCACTTGACCCACTTTGCCAAGCTTTAGTTTGACCCCATCCTGACATTTGGTCTCTGTCAGAAGATTTTGGAGCATTCCAAACACCAGATTTGTTACCCCCTGTTGATTGTTCTTCAACATTCTCTTTCCCTGCCCCCCATCCTTTGCTCCAACCTGATCCATTGTTCTCAACAGAAGCATTTGGATTCTTCCAACCACCTATTCCATCAGCACTCCTATTGTTTTCCCGATCCTTGTTCCACCCAGAGGATTGATCCTGACTGAATGACCTACCCCTGCCAAATTGATCTCTACCTCCTCTTCCTCCTCTTCTTCCACCAAACCCATGAGCCCCCTCAAAGGATTTTGGCCTTCCCGAGAAGTCTTGCTGATCTATATCACCCTTATCCCCACTCCCTTTGCCCCAACCACCAGATCCTTGATCACCGCCAAAACTTTTTGCTCTCTTCCAACCATCATCTTGATTCCCCACTCCGCCAGACTCATGTCCTGCTGTTACATCAGCTTGTTTACCCCATGAAGACCCTCCAGCTTGTTTACTCCAAGAAGAATCTCCTGCTGGTTTATTCCAAGCAGAACCGCCATCTTGCTTATTCCAAGTAGAACCTTCACCTTGTTTATTCCATGTAGAATCTCTGTCTTGTTTAGTCCAAGCAGAACCTCCATCTGCTTTACCCCAGGAAGCTCTTTTATTGTCATCTACACCACTTGGTTTCTTCCAACTGTCATTCTGATTCTCATTACTAAAAGCGCCTTTAGGTTTTGCCCAGCCACTTGCTTCATCTTTGTTTCCTGCCTCTGATTGGGGCAAAACCCCGCCTGCATTACCCCAGCTTCCTGTCTGAACATCTTCTGCCGGCTTTGAAATTTTCCACCCTGCCTCACCAGCACTTGATTCATCTTTAGTGCTCCAGTTCCCTGTGGCTTTACTGCAAGAATCTTCTTTAGTTCCCCAACCGGCTCCTTTATTCTGAGCCTTACCCCAATCAGACCCATCACTACTGACTGCATTTCCTTTGTCCAAAGGTTTCTGTTGACCCCACCCAGAACTAGCAATATCACCAGATGTTGCATCAGAATTCTTTTCCCATGATCCTGCTTCAACTACATTTTTACCTTTGCCCCATGAATCCAGTTGGCTATTCCCAGCAGTAGCAGTACCAGAAGGTTCTACTGCCTTCTGCCAAATATCCGATGCACTGCTGTCACCCCCAGTTTTAGCACTAGATTTACCCCAAGAGTCCACACCTTTTCCCCAGCCAGCACCTTGATCATTGTTATCTGTTGCTGCACCCCAGGACGAAATTTTATTTGGAGCAACTTTGCTCTCCCAAGAATCATCTACAGGTTATGAAGGAAAATGAATGAATCAGCTTTGGCTAAGGGAAAATCTATCATCAAAGACATTGCTACTTTTAAACTTCAGAACTGAACATACCTTTCTTAACATCATTTCCATCCTGACCAGAAATGGACTCCGACTGAATCTGGAACCATAAAGAGAACTCAGTGGTTAGGATGTTAATCAAATACATGCACAAATATAGACGGTTTTTTTCTCTTTCTTCGGGTGTGGGAGGGGTAAAAACCTACCGAAATGCCTGTGGCAGAGAAACTTGGCCAAGAATCCTGCAAGAATGCAGTCATCAGAATAAGAATATACAAAATGGCACATGGAGGGAAAACAGATCAAATAAACAAATAGGAAATGTACATTTTGTAAACAGCAAAAAAATATAATGTTTGTGGGGTTAGGTCACTTCATTCATCTGCATTATGCATCTGATGAAAATCAAGGCCTCACCAAACTGAGGCATTCATTTAATCATTTTTGAGTCAAGGCAATCAAACAAAGTACACCAAATAACAACTGGACGAGTATTACTGCAGTAAGCAGAGCATTGTACACATGAAATAAAAATTTACAAAAAAAATACAGATGTACTAGCTTTCCATTTTCCACGGTGACTTTCAATATTACATATATATATATATATATATTATAATGAGAAAATTACAAGTGATTGTACACAATACGAGCCATTCAATAAACATGTCAAAGAGAAAAAAAAACCACAATGATTAATATGATCCTACAATTAACATAAATTCATAAAACCATAAATGAATTGTGCTCAAGAGTATGATAAGCAATGAGGAGTTATGACTTCTATATATTGAGCATTGTGCTACAAATAATACAAAGTAGAAGTGTCAAAAAGGGGGTCAACCTCCGCCTCCACCAGTAGTTATTACAACCTACCTAATTAATTTGTAAACATTTGTATGGAAAAAGATTTTTCTTGATAAATTAACGAGCATATTAAAAATATATATTGAGATCCTTAAAAGATTTTTCATGATACCTAAGTTATGTTGTAAGCGAACGTATGCGAAAAGATGGTGCACGACTTCTATTAACTTGTAAATTTTGAGATGCTTCAGTAAAAGTTTTACCACAGGAACTCTACTTTCTATACATCAAAATTCAACTAAATCCTGACCAATATTGCTGTATTAGGCAATTGCCAATTTATAGTATCTGCATGAGGAGATTGAGTGCATAATTCACAGGACCAAAATGTTACCTTTCACCAGATACCCCTCCAGCATTCCACCCATTGCCAGCACCGCCAGCTGATGCCCCAGCTCCATCTGTCCAATCTTCAAATACAAGAAGCACCATAAGTCACACTTGTTGAGGGGTAAAGGCCAACAGATATATATATATATAATATATATAAAGTGTTCTTTTTCCGGATAATCTGGCATGTTATGATGTCAAACTGTCATTCGGAACAGATAGATCATCATTTGAATGTGGGTTAAGCTTAACAGTTTTGACAACATAACATGTCAAATTGTCTGGAAAGAGAACATTATCCTATAAAATAGCTCAAGATAAAACTGAAGTATCAATTAAAGTAGAAACTTCTTCCAAGAGATATACACCTTTAGAGCCTCCTTCATTTCCAAGCATATCAAATGGTTTTAAACTGGACTCCGGATCCTCACTTTGCAGAGAAATAGGGTATTAGCACACTTAATGAAAAGAAAATGAGTAAAGAACGGCTTGACACAAATGATTAATTGATTAAAAAGAAGCACCTAATCAGCACAGAAGAGCTCTTTCCACGAACTTCAGAAAGATGCTCACATTTAACTGCATTACATCGCAACGAAATATTATGACAACGGTAGAATCGCATTCAATGATCAACCAACTAATTATACCAAGTACTTAATTGATATTGACGAACCTGTAAGAACCTTCTGCTGAGAATCAAGCTTAACAGTGATATCAGCACGGCGTATAGCCAAAATGCGACAGAGGTATCCCTTCAAGGGACCCACACGGATTCTCACGGTTTGACCAATTGAGAAAATTCCATCTGTATCACCCCGATTAACTGCATTCAAAATAATTAATGAGCAGGAGGCAGAAACCTTGATAGTTACAGTTGATAACTTACAAAAGAGCATTAACACTCATGCATACAGTTACTATCTCTTTCTAGCCATGGCTTTTTTGGCGATAGAGGGGATTTAGGAGATGACATGAAATCTTCAAAACCTGGACCACCTGAATCCCCATCCTGAATGAAATGAGGAAGAAATATCATTACTAAAACCTTCATGCTAAGATTTAATATACCTTACAAGACTACTTCCAAAAGAGAAAAAAGCTTCCAACCTTTTCTTTGCAAGCATCATTATAAAGCTTAATTTTCTCACACATATGAGATTTTGAGCAGAAATAACCACCATTTTCTGTCTCGTTCTCATCATACAAGAATATGGTACCTCTATAGATTTGCCTAACAATCCCCTGCCTATCCTGAAAAGTGAGATAAAGCAGTGTAAAATGTTCCACTCTTTGGAGGCATATGTAACTCATTAAACTCCTTTTTCACATTCTAAGAATGATTTCAAATTAGTGTCAAACCTTCAATGGTCCTTCCAACACTTTGACAGTATCACTAACGCATATGGGCTTCGTGCGCCGATCTAAAGCCGTAAATTTCATATCAGAAAGAACATTCTTTAGCTCACGCTTCTGAACAATCAGAACAACAGGTCCTTCCAGCCCCTCTTTCAGAATCTAAAACACATTATAGAATGTAAGTAAGCAATATTAAGGATCTGAGCACATAAACTAAATATGTACCTTGTAACTATCATCTTTCTCCATGCCTATTACAAGACCAAAATCTTTCCGACTGCAATAGAAAATAAGAAAAGTAAACATCATTTCAACGTACATAAGCAGTTCATGGAGGATCACTAAGGCCACACAACCAGTTCATACAAGACTCACCCAAGACAAACAAGATCATACAGTTCAAAGCAATTCCCACCAGATCCTGATGAACCCACTCCTTTCCCCACAGACCCTAATGAACCCTCTCCTTTCCCCATAGAACCTGATGATCCCTCTCCCTTACCCATAGAACCCGATGAGCCCTCTCCTTTACCCATAGAACCCGATGCGCCCTCTCCTTTTCCCATAGAACCCGATGCGCCCTCTCCTTTTCCCATAGAACCCGATGAGCCCTCTCCTTTCCCCATACACCCAGATGAGCCCTCTCCTTTCCCCATAGAACCCGATGAGCCCTCTCCTTTCCCCATACACCCAGATGAGCCCTCTCCTTTCCCACCCCCTTCCTCAATTTTGATGGTCCGTCTTTTCTTTTCCTTACCATAAAGCTCTGTCAGCCACTCCAAATTATCACTTTCATTGTTCTCAGAAGACTTGAATTTCAGTAGCTCCTCTTCTGATGGCATAACACCCCAGAAGCTTAATGAATCTATTGGTACTTTTTTGTATAAATATCCATCCTTGAACATCAGACCATCAAGAAATTCAAACCTCATGCCACTTTCACGATCATTCCTGCACTGAATGAGAGGGCGGAACTCCCTACACATGAAATAAATAAATAAACATTGACCAGAAGCTAGCATGAAATAATGAACTACAAGGCAAGATTTTGTGTCATACTCGAGTTCGCTTGAGTTGATCAATCTCGGTGCAGGAGCGGGGACTTTCTTTCTAGTACCTCCCCCACCCTATAGAGTGAAAGGAATCAGTACATCCAGAATCTTAAATCATATTTAGATTCTAAATAAAATTTGGATTGCAAAGTTGCAGATACACAAAAACATCACATATTACAGTAGATCCATTTAAACAAGCATTAGAGGAAATTAGACTGCTTGTTTTGGTAAGTGGTAGAATCTGCACCTTCCTGACATAAAATTTAACAGACATTAAATGTATAAATCAGCTTTTTATGGCGATAAACCTACATGCCATAGCCTTTTATGTATGACCCTTAGAATTTGCTTTGCTTGTTTGTCATTTGTGTCCAGTCGCATCAAAGAAAGAACAATGAACAAAGCCAATCTATTTGTGTCTAATTCGTACTTATTAAAAGTTCCAACACGTTTTTCCTATAAGATGTTCTTTACTTGTAGTGCGCAAACACCATTCTAAAGATAACATCAGAAAGAAAATCACAACCTTCCTATGATGGGAATGGTTGAAAGGTAAAAATGATGCAGGAGCATCTACGGCCTCATAAAGCTCCCACATTTTGGGAGATCATATCATCAAGCTGAAACAAAGGTATTTGCATCAACAAAGTTCAATGAGGCAATTGTTCTTAGAAGCAGCTTTTAGAAAGAAGTCAAAGTCTAAAACAAGGATATTTAAAGGGTAGTAATTATGTCACTGGTATTTAAAACTCTAAGTTCTCCATGGGGATAAAAAGAAGCATTTGAGGGTAAAGGAGGTGTCATGGTTCCACTCCATCAGGTTAATACAAGGATATTCACAATTGTGTCCGGGGTAGAAACCGCCCATTTAAGGTACAATATCAAAGCTAAGCTCAACCCAACTATATTGACAACTGGTCCTAGAATTTCTTTGCAATAGAAACCTGGACTTTGAAACATTATTCCTCTAGAATACTCAATCTGGCAGTTCAACTAACCCTTCCACCCAATTTAAGGAATATATATAACAGTTATTAGTCATCAATTATAAAATTAAATGGTGGTTCTGGAAAAATATTTATAACAACAATAACCATCACCAACAAACAGAAAGAGGACAACATGGGATAAACAATTCTCATTACAAATTTTGCAGCCATTGCTTGTAGATCGATTCTTGGGATCAGCTTTACTGTCGCTCGTTTTCGTAAATCATTCACGAACACAACCTACAGAAACAAAATCCAGATATCGGAAATAAGTGTCAGCGGGTTAAAGCAACCCAACCTAACTGGGGAAAAATTATACCTGTGCCAAATCACCCTTGTAGTTCCCACTCTTCACGCGGGCCCACATGCCCACAGTAATTCCATTGTATCTAGTCCGAGGAGACAGCAAATGAGAAACTTCATTATTTGGAACTGGCATTACTCGGGACGAATATATGCTACAAATTCCTTTGCATGCCTAAGAAAAACAATGACAGTTCAGATATTAGCATATTAAGAATAGTATTGACCAAACCCGCAACTTTTCCAATACTGACTAATAAAATGATAAGCTTTCTACTACATCCAAAAGATAGATGACCTCATTAATATCAGATTGCTTGTCAGCTTCGATGAAAACAAAACCCTTGATGTGCTCAACAGCAAACGCAGAAATTATCTCCAGTTTGGTACCTAGCGATCGTAAGTCAACAAACTTCTGCATCATACAGAAAGCTGAATGCCTCTCGCGTCCAACCTACAACCCAAAAAATTTGAGTGAGAAAAGATAGTGTTTCCTTTTAGAGAGAGAGAGAGAGAGAGAGAGAGAGAAGAGAAAAATTGTTTAAGGAGCCATTTCAGAATTTTTCAACAAAAGAAAAAGTAACAAAACATTCAATGTCATACCATGCATTTCACTTTCCAGATGATTGGATCCTTAACAGTAGGCAGAAGAACACTTCCGTCAACTGACCTTTTGTTCTCATAATTATCTTCGGCATAGGTAATATAGCTAGAACCACTCCTGTATCGTTCTTCCATCATTTTTTCAAATTCTTCACCATCCACATCCTCCTCTTTAGGAATGAATGGAAGGTTATGTGCTTTCCCTGGTTCATTCTTGACTATAGGTTCTGTTTCAAATTCTTCTTCCATAAAATCTGTTATCAATAATTTCATAAGCAACTGCTAGTGTAAACACAGATTTCATAGGTGAAATTCACATACTCGTTATTATGATACTTTTGCACATCTAACGCATATGATATATTAGATGACGGTGCTAATATGACATATCCTTAGCATCACAAAACCATGCATGTGCAAGTGGATCCCAATCTCTAACAGGAAATGCAAAAACACCTGACCGAGCTTAACAAGGAGTAATAAAATAACCAAGACTCTTTGCAAGGATACATGACAAGCCCAAAATATGGTACACCAAGAAAACACAAGTTAACTATGGAAATAAGCAACTAACCAATAATCTCTTCTATTGCACAACCATCCAGAACAAAGTTTAATTTTTTTTTTTTTTTTTTTTTTTTCGTATGCAACAACCTTATAGGAGGTTGGTAAATCCAGCACTCAACCCTTTATGTAAACTTAAGCCAAAAATTCCCATTCTACCACAAGTGCAACTTGTTTCGATGGCATTCACAACCAGAGCAAACAGACGACTATTAAAGCCATCACTAACCCTTACAAAAGCCTGAAACTGACCAGATTACGACAAAAAAAACTTACAATTTTCAACAATCCCCAGCAAATTGCTCAAAATCCATATCGGCGCACTATTTATGAAAAATGAAAATAAAAATGCAAAAACTCCACGAGCAACTACAAAAGCCAGCACTTCAAACCCAAAAATGCACGAAAGCTAAAAACTGGTCTATGCACAAAACAAACTCTAAAAACAAAAATCCATTCTCAAAACCCTAAAAATCCGAACCGAGAAGAAAATGCGTGACCAAAAAAGACGTCAGAAACAGTATATACCGTCATCGAAGTCACTGTCGTCGCCGTCGTCGGCTTCCGCAGCGACATCTTCGAAGAACTTGAGGACGCCGCGGTCGGTCCTCTTCCGGCCACCGCCAGTCTTGTCATCGTCGTACTTACGCTTGCCGCCGGAGGATCCACCTCCGGCGATCCCCTTGCCCTTCGACGTCATGACAATGCGAGGGTTTCAGGGCAACAATTTCCCAATTGCATGTAGCGAGAGAGAGAGAGGCCTTTCGGTTTCGAAGTTTCAGTCTGGTATCACTACTGACTGGTGAATTGGCCCCGGGCTCACACCTTTTTATGCGTAGGTGGCACCTCCGAAATGGAATGGGTTGTTACATGCGATTTTACCACTCTGTCCTTCTTCAGGGTTTCGATTTATGGCTCTTTTCCATAATTGCGGTCCGTGGGTATTAATGTCAAGTCGATTTTATGCTGTGTGAAAAGTTGAAAACAAGTGTCGTCTGTCGTTACAAATTTGGATCTTTTTAAAAAAAATAGAAAAACATGAAAATTAAACTTAAAAAAGAAAACATTTTCTGAAAACGATGTTTTTGGGTAGATTGGTGAAAATAAAATGTTAAATTAATTTCCAGAAAAAATGTTTTCAAAATTGAAATAGTAAATTTCGTTTCGTTTTGTTACAACAAGGGCTGGAACTTCAAAAGCCCAAAACACTACGAATTTGGAAATAAACGAGGCGCTAGGACTATAGCATGTTCCCCATCCAATGAACAAATAGTCCAAATCAATGTTGAACCCCAAAACATTGTCTCTCTTGAGAAATTCTTTGGACATCAGCTGGATCATGTAAGCCGTCCTCCCACCCTCACAATCAAGCGGGGCCTTCCAGTTTGGAGTTTCTTCTGGCCCATTTGGATACGATCTCAACTTGTGTTTTTTTAGTATACAAGGGAGAAAGTTTCTCCCACACACAACTTATGCCATGGGGATTCAAACTTGAGACTTTTGATATGCAAATCAATGCCCTTTTTCACTGGACTAGACCACGTTGACTAAACGACATCAACTTTATTCGTACTAGAAGTGCACGACCATGCAGCACCACCAAATTTTTCGTCCCTATATCCATCGGCAGAACTAGTGCAAGGGCTGCCCTGGGCTGTAGGCCAAGGAAGGTTTTGGGAAAAAATAATAAGTAAACATATATAGCCTAATATTTTAAACTAAAAATAAATAAAATATATACAATTGCATACCCTATTAACATCAATAAGTATAGTTAGAGGTCTTTCACATTTGTATTTGGTGTCAAAGTTTGTCTCAACATCAATTTTAATCTTTTTTCATTAATGTATCTTCAAAAGATAAGCATTTTTCTAAATAAAATTCACCCTTTTGTGAATAATATGGCTCTAATTCAATTTTCGTTTTTCTTGTGTTTACAATGCAACTAACGTAATTTATATGATTTAATGTATATTTTTATTTCTAAAAAAACTTAAAAAACTTTTAGTACCAAAAAATATTATCATTAGATTTTAAGTTAATAACTTTAGCTCATTGAAAAATTCTTAGGCACCTGCCTATATCATCATATTCTTCATACCATTCAAAACGACATCAACTGCCTATATCATCATATTCTTCATACCATTCAAAACGACATCAACTTTATTCCCACTACTAGGTGTGCTAATCACCATCATCACTAGCACAAAATGGACAAGCACATTACATTTCCACCACTCTCTCCCTCTCTCTACACTAGCGACTCAACACGACACTACAAGTCAAAGCCTTAGGATGCACAAATGCATTTTATGCACTAGTTAGAATTTGAGTCTTAGAGATAACAAATATATAAAAATAACCAAGACATAGTTGATTCTTCGTAATTAATGAACCCACAATTTTTATTTTATTATAAAGGTACGGTAAGCACAATTATTCTACAAACCAAGATTTACGCTTATAAACGATTCACAGTTGCTCATACGCCACCTATTACGGTATTATCAATGACCCCTAAGTGTGCGAGGTACGTTTTGAGATCAGTAACCTCCACTTGCAGCAGTTTTAGCAACCACTATTCCTGTCTAAGCCACTCTCACTTCATCTCTGAACTTCTTATAAATATCACTCTTATAAAACTTCCTTGTCCTAACCACCAAAAGCAGTGAAACAAGTGCACCAAACAACGCCACCACAGCAAGTATAATGAAAGACAATTTGAAGCACTGCCCCCCAACACAATTCAACTCCTCCCCCACCTTTCTCTGAAGCCCCAAAGCTGCCATTTGCTTCTTAGCCTCCTTGTCATACAAATACCCTGTGACCCTCACATTGAGCAAATACAGCCCAATTGGGCTAGCCAACCCTCCAAAATTGTACAAAGTGGAGTAATATTTAAGGCCAAAAAGTTCAGAAATTAGAGTGAAAATCAAAGGCCAATGTGCACCAAAACAGAAACCAGTAACCACTGAAGAAACATAGAGGCCATAGGGGACATTGAATGCAATTATGAGATGGCCAACACATGAGAGCAACAGAACTGCAGTGAAGATGAGAGGGCGAGGCCATTTGTACTTGATAATGAACATTTCTGAGCCTATGCCAGCAACAATCTGTCCCAGAAAATTCCAAATGCTCGTAAGCGACACGAAATTTCTTATGCTTCGCAAAGGGTAGCCGAAAGAAGTTCCAATCTGCCCCAAGTTGTCCATCATGGTCATGGTTCCTCCAAGGCCACAAACTGTTGCCAACAACAAAGTCAGCATTTCAATGCTGAAAAGTGCTTGCAATATTGTGAAGTCTTCACCTATCTCTGGTGGGTTAAGTATGTCCTTGTTCCAAGATGGAACCTTTTTGTATGTTGGGGATGAAATGGCATCAGGGTTTTGGCCTTCGGTTACAATTTTGACAGGTGAAGGATCAGAATCTAAATTCAGGGACATCGATCTCTTGCTCTGCCAAACTTTATATTCTTCCATAATAACCACAGCAAGTGGTAAAAAGAGCAGAAAAAGCACAACAGCTGCACTTCCAACATACTGGCTCTGGCTAAACCTGAACCTTTTCTCAACAACAATTATAATCAACAAAAATGCTGCTAGGCCAAGAGATATATAAAGGAAATTATAGAAAGCTCTGAGCTCGTTCGGGCGGCGACTAGCCTTGATGATCCGAATGGTTCCAATGAAAATCAAAGAGAGAGCAGTTGGAAGCCAAGCCACCACCAAAGTGAAAGACTTTGTGTCATCACCATAGGCAGCATGGTAGAGCTGTGAGATCACAGCTGCGCTTATGCCGGTATAGCCTTTGAGAAGGCCTAACACGACACCACGGCTTTCTGGGAAGTTCTTGACACATGTAACAAGGGCTCCAGTGTTGGTGAAAGTATGTGAATTGGCCCCTATGGACATGTACAAGCACATGTGCCAGACTTGAGGCTTTGGGATTTTTTGTGTTATTGCAAGCCAGATCATGAAGTGACCGAAAAAGTTTAGGACCGCACCGATTGATAGGACCACCCACGGGGGTGTTACCTCATTGATCAGGCCGGACAAGATGCCAACGTTGGCGCCTAAGTCCTTGAAGAAACTGATCAAGTTGAGTGTCGTTTGGTCGTATCCCAGCACGAATTTTATGTCGTTGGAGTAGAGGCCGAACATGTAGCTTGCCCCTGCAGTGACCATCATTAGAAATGAAGCAAACACCATGAGCCATCTTCCTGTGAGGACTTGGAGGAAAAGGCCCTTCATGTCCACCCAACTGCGTATGCCTGTGCCGCCACTGCCATGATCAGGAGCTCTCATTTTTTCTGTTTATGGTGATCACATAGTAACAATGGCTTGATATATATCAAGTATGAATGGACGTAAAGCTTAAAAAGTGTGTGTGTGTGTGTGTGTGAGAGAGAGAGAGAGAGAGAGAGAGAGAGAGAGAGAGTGGGAGAACTGTGCTGCCTCAAGTCAATATGTAATTGTGGTTGATATTCGAAAACAATAATATCAAAAAGGGAAAAGTTCTGTTTCAACTCATCCAATCATAAGGAAAGGATAATTAGAAAACAATACTACCAAAAGGGGAAGAGTTCACTATGTTGAGTAAATGGATCTTTCATAATATATATTTAGGGGATTTCTTGACAGACAGATGGAGATACCATATACTAGGATCATTCAAGACACAAAGAATGAAGGTATACAACGAATTATAGATATCTATATTTCTGAAGATAACATTGATCAGAGAGAATATAAGCAATATTATTCTGCACAACTTGTTTCCCTTTTCTTTTATTCTTGAATCTGGGACTGCAAAAGCAGATTAAGGATGTTAATCGCGCTTTCCGCTTGTGCTAGAGATGTGTTACGTTCCCATTGGATTGGCGCAGCAAAATAATCGGAAAGATTAATTAAGCATCATCACCACTCAAGAGCATCTTCCATCCAAACTACATTATACTCATCTGTAGATCAGTCAGATAGCATATTTAATTTGCAAAAGCTTGTGCCACCACACCAGGTTCAACCTTGAGAGAAAATCCACATGTTGATAACGACCATACTTTGCTAGCAAACCTTTAACATCATTATTAGTAGTTGCATTTTCTTGCTTTTGCTTTTGCTTTTCCTAATGGAGCTTCAAAATGGTTGATGGCTTTTGCAATCTCTTTCATGTGCATTAAGTTCCTCTTTTTTGTGATCACTTTATTTTTCATGCTGATTTGGTTTTGTATTTAGTACATAATTTAGCTGCATAATTAATTCAAAGCCACCAGGCTTTGCAGAATCAGATTTTATTAGGAGATTAACAAAGCTCAGCTTCAATCATTGACCACTTTACTCCTGAATAATACATTTCAATCACTTCCATTGTTACTTGTCACCCACTTTGCTGCTGGATTCCACTAGTTATTACTATACCACTTAATTTTTCAACCCTAGTGCCAAATTAGCCACATCTTCTCTCTCTCTCTCTCTCTCTCTCTCTCTCTCTCTCTCTCTCTCTCTCTCTCATGAGCATGCAACAGTCTGAATAATGATCATTTGAGACTGATTTCCATTTTGAACCAAAGAAATATCTGTTATTGTAAAAGTCACAAAGATTGCATTTATTTGAAGAAAATATATACATACATATCAGAATTACAGAGATCAAACTCACCAAGTATATTTCATGCATACATCTCAATCTCAGCTTTTTAAATCAATCTTAGCTTCCAACTTTGGTAGCCCAACATTGGGGTTTTTGGCCACCACTGTTTCAGACTCTGCTGCTCTTGTCTCATCTTTGAACTTTTTATAAATGTCACTGTTATAAAACTTCCTAGTCCTAAACACCAAAACCAGGGAAACAAGCACACCAAGCAATGTCGCTGCAGTGATTATAATGAAGGGTAATTTGAAGCATTGTCCTCCACTGCAATTCAACTCCTCCCCAGGCTTCCTCTCCAATCCCAAAGCTCTCAATTGCTTCTCTGCCTCCCTATCATAAAGATACCCTGTGACCTTCACATTAAGCAAATATGACCCAAGTGGGCAAGCCATTGCCCCAACATTGTTGAGCGTAGAGATATGCTTGAGCCCGAAAATCTCAGAAATTATTGAAAAAAGCAATGGCCATACCCCACCAAAGCAAAACCCTGTGATTATTGAAGCTACATAGAGACCATTTGGGACATTGAAGGCAATTAGAAGGTAACCAATGCAGGACAGAAAAAGGGAGAAAGTGAACATGAGAGGCCTTGGACACTTGTACTTTGTGATAAAGATTTCTGAGAGCAAACCCACCATTACTTCTCCAAGGTAAATCCATATGCTTGCGAGTGACACAAAAGTGCTTATGCTTTCCAAGGAGTATCCTAGGGCAGTTCCAATCTGACCCAAATTGTCCATCATTGTCAACATGCCACCTAGGCCACACAATGTGGTCAAGAACAAAGTCAACATCTCAATGCTGAACACTGCTTGGAGTATTGAGTGGTCTTCTCCTATCTCTGGTGGACTAAACACATGTTTCCAACTAGAAAGCTTGTTTTGGTCCACATGGGTTGAATCTGGTGATGGAATTTCAATATTTGCAGTGCTCAAAGATTGCTTGGTCCTCCAAGAAATATACTCTTCTGCAACAACAACAGCAAGTGGTAGAAAGAGCAAGAAAAGCACTATAGCTGCACTTCCACCATACTCAATTTGTGTGAAATTCACCTTTTTCTCTACTATGATTATAATTAACAAGTACCCTGCCAATCCAAGTGAGATATAGAGGAATTTAGATAACACCTTGTAATATCTCTTCTGTGGTATAACCTTCATTATCCGAATCGTACGAAGAAATATCAAAGAAACAGCTGAAGGAAGCCATGCCACAAACAAAGTGAAGGACTTTGTGTCATCACCATAGAAAGCATGGTATAGCTGTGCAATCACAGCTGCACTCAGGCCAATGTAGCCATTCAAAAGCCCGATCAAGAGGCCACGGCTTCTCGGGAAGTTCTTTACACATGTGACAAAAGCTCCTGTGTTGATGAAAGTATGTGAATTTGCTCCCATTGTGATGTACAAGCACATGTGCCAGACTTGGGGCTTGGCTATTTTTTCTGTCACGGCAAGCCATATCATGAAGTACCCAAAAAAGTTGAATGCTGCACCAATTGATAAGACCACCCATGGGGGTGTGACTTCATTGATTAGGCCAGAGAAGATGCCAACGTTGGCCCCCAAGTCCTTGAAGAAGCTGATCATGTTGAGGGTGGATTGGTTGTAACCAAGGACAGATTTGATGTCATTTGAGTAGAGGCCAAACATGTAGCTTGCACCAGCACTAGCCATCATTAGAAATGAGGCAAACAGCATGAGCCACCGACCTGTAAGAACTTGGAGAGCAAAGCCCTTGATGTCTGCCCAAGTGCCATGAACCCCCATTTCTCTAAATCACCTTCCCCTGTTTTTTAACCCGTAATTATACAAAGCGTGAGCTGAGAAAAACAGGCACAGGACGATCATACCACGTTATCATGATATGACCATTCAACAAGAAAGCCATGTACTACAAATGAAAGTTTTGACGTGTGGATGATCTCTGCCTCTTTGGAGCATACATACATCACAGATAAAAGATACAAGTGCCCCTTCAATGCATATTGTGTCACATTTATTGTTTATATTAAATTGTGCTAAAATATCCATGTGCTGTGTGGATAAATACATGCATGATCACAAGCTACAAATATGCAAATTAAATTAGGAAATTAAGTCACCATCTAGATAAAAGGTAAAGCTTTTTTCAATTAAATAATATAATATATGAGCAGAACTAAAATGAAACCTGTCCAAAGCCAGGGCAACCTAGAGGTAACAGCAGCTCCAACTTGAGCAGAGTTGTTTATGGCTTCTTTGGATTTGGTATTCTTGGTTCAAGCTTTGATATGCCCTCTGAGTACTCAATTATCTGGAGTTTTGAGTAAAAGAGTAGTTGATTATACGCGTTCAAACTTGAAATATCTTCCGATACAAAGCGGAGAGAACTATCACTAGATTAGTAGCTAGTAGTGGTTGGGTAACTGAATGTTTTTATTATTATTATTTTTTTTGTTCTCTAAGAGCTACCTTATCACTAAGAATTTTCTTGTTTTGGTTGAGTGGATGAAAATAAAGAGAAAGAAGAAGCAAAACCAAAAATCTCCATCTTATGAAAAGTCAAGCAAAACAAAGACTTTTCCAGTCAATCAGCAGTTTATTACTTTCTTTATTTTGTTGGGAAGTTGGGAAAATTAAGAAGGCTAGCCCTGCACCCTTGCCATTAATATGAAGTGAAAAAATGAAGAAAAATTAAAATCCCATACACTGCAATATTATATTAATCAAGGGATTAATATAATAATGCATGTTTAACATATTAATTATCAATAATTAAAACCATTATCCATTGTTTAAACACCCAACTTATTATTATTATTTTTATCTAGCCACCTTTCACCTCTGACAGTCCAATGGGGTTTGTGGCCACCACAATTTCTGACTCTCCGCTCTTCCCTCATCTCTGAACTTCTTATAGATGTCACTGGTATAAAATTTCCTAGTCCTGACCACCAAAACCAAGGAAATAAGCACACCAAGCAATGTCACAGCAGTAATTATAATGAAGGACAGTTTGTAGCATTGTCTCCCAGTACAATTTAATCCCTCCCCAGGCTTCCTGTCCAATCCCAAAGCTTTCAATTGCCTCTCTGCCTTGCCCCAACATTGTTGAGAGTAGAGCAATGCTTGAGCCCAAAATCTCAGAAGTTATTGAGAAAGTTGTTTTGGGTGTAACGCATGCATGTGGAACTCTATAATTGAAGGTCTCCAACATGTATACATCTTAGTCGGAAGAAAGAGAGGATCATCATTCACTCATACAAGTGAGTCAACTTAATGTGAAGAATTTTGAGTTTCTTTTCTTTATTTTCTTTCTTTATACAAAGAAATGTTGCTACCAAATTGCTGACGTAAAAAAAGAATTACAGATCAAAGTAGCAGCCATTGAATGAGAAAAATACGAGAGAGTGACACACTTTGAGTATGCACTACTACAAAAATCGCAATAGAGGACGGTAATCCACCGTCGTGTATCCGGTTTTTCAACCGTCGTGAAATCAATTGACATCTTTTGATGCATAAATCCCCGTCGTCCATTGTTTCTAAAGATGACGCTTTTACTAAAAACCGTCATTGTTCAAATGTAAATATGACAATCTTTTGTTAAAAACCGTCGTTGTTTATGGGTAAATCTGACGGTTTATAAATAACCATCGTTATTTATGGGTAAAAACGACGGTACTTTGTTAAAACTGTCGTCATTTAAATACAAAGATGTCGGTATTTTAGTTAATTGTAGATAAAGATGACGGTATTGTGTTAAAAAGGGTCATTGATTATATGCAAAGATGACAGGATTTACATGAAAACCGTCGTCTAAGAAGTTCCCATTATGTTTGAATGTGAATTAATGCCTAAAAATCGCCATTTATTAACTATGAAGACGACTGTTGTATTGTAAATCCGTCGTCTACAACAATTTTAACTAGAATTCCAACTATATTGTTTTACTAATGAATACATACACTCAAAAATTGTTTATTTCATAAAACTTGAAGATTCAATAATATTACATAGTTAATCAATCTTTATTCTTATCACATACATACTTCCTATAATAATGGAGTATACTAAATTACATGATTCCTAAAATCAACATTTTCTGTTTCCCTTTTGGTTCTATACTCAACATATAGCAGACTGATGAGATAAGCAGTCCAGCTTCCCACCAACCCATAAAAAAGCTGAAATAGAATCCCATATAGCAAACCCAGTTGGGAAAATGAATATGCATGGTAGTGTGAGAAGCACTTGAGCAACCTGCATTAAAAATTCCATTAAAACCAAATTAAGATATATAAACATAATTAGCTACACACATTAAATACACAGTTACATTAGCACAAATGACCACATTTAAGAACTAAAATGTGCAAATTTGAAAAATCAACTACTTAAATGTGTAAAAAGTACCCTAATATCTGGTTAGTTGATGTACTATTCGCAAGTTGCAAGTCACAAAAAGGAAAAAATTTCAGCTCTACTAGGACAAACAATATTAGCGGAAATTCTTTCCTAGCAATTATTCTCTTCTATTTGGTTGATGAGAAATGTATTGGAAAATGATTTATCAATTCAAGAACCCAAGAAACCAACCCCACAGCTATATTGAAAACTAATGCTACCATAAGCTTAGTTGTATAGTGTTATCCATTTCTTGTGATCCGACAAAGTAAGAATCTCACATGAGAGATTTTCCTTGGAGAAAATTCAATTCAATGGCCTCACAGCTGCTAATGTTAGGCCCACGTTGCATCTGGGCTAACCTCCCATTCGATCAAAATCAAAGGGATGTAAGTTGTAACTGGCCTTTTAAACCAGTCACTCTCTTCTCTTGTTAATCATCATTTAGTCTGGCTATACAACTGAAGTCTGTTTTTTATGAATAGATTGTCAATATGTCATTGATAATGTGTTCATATTATTATCGCTAACGAAATGTACTGGCATGTTATCGATACAATATTGATGTACATCTTCTCTTTAATTAAAAAAAGGGACATCCCGCGGGTGGTATATATCTATTACTAGCTTTACTTAACATGTATCATGTATTACTCATGAAATACGTTCAATTATACATGTTGATTACAGATAATTATATATGAAGTAACACATTGTACATGCTGACCGAAGGTAGTAGCTAATGTTGGCAAATGCCGGATGCAAAGCTTGTGTCTGTCAACCCTAATTCATTGATTCTATTTGTTTAAAGGGATGCTACCAAATGAGTTTAACTTTGGCATGCACTTGTTTATTTTAAGAAAAAGTTTCGTGCAAATCAAGAGACAAGGCCAGTTTGTTAGCAACCAAACCTATTGATTTAATAATCTGTATATACAATTTGGGATATCGTTTTTTGCTCTCCTAATTATAGAATTTGGAGTTAGGTTTATGGGTTTACCCGATAAGATCGGTACACATGCATCGCCCTTGCTTGTATTGATGGGTAGCTACAAATAGAAGAAGATGGTGGAAAGCCCAATGAAATGCAGGCAGATATGGAATCTTGGAAGATGCTGCTTTCAACTTTCAAACGATTCAGTAATTCAGAAAAATATGTATGGAAAGAAACAAAACTAACCTGTCATAGGATTCCAAATTTGTAATAGGATTTGTTTATCTTGTTAAGCATGCTTTCCATCGCTTGTAGGGTATAAATCTCAGGCACCCAATGATATTTGTATAAATCCCCATTTCCCAATCGCTTGTTCTTAAAAGAAAAATGCGTTTTACACCAATCGTTATTTGATACAATTTAATTACTGAAAAAAAAATCTTATATTCAAATCTTATCAACGACAATTAATAATAAAATAAAACGTACATAGTCGAAAATGAAATTCTTTAGTAAACTCCATCCCTGCTAGCTGGAAAATTGGGGATAGAGACACAAACTGACATATAGTTAACAAGTTATGTGTCCCCTTCTGTATATCTATGTTTCGTTTGGACTATGTCAGACCAAAGAAAAAAAGAAAGATGCATTGGTCTCCTTACTATTATTCTTTTGTTATTTAGTGTTTTAAAATTCAATTTTCAATGTTCATGTACTTTGAATTTTCAAAAATATGAAGGGATTTGGACAATGAAGAAAGCAACCTTTTCTCATATACTATTGACAAGTTGGAGAAATTCAGAAAGCTAACTGTATAATCTTTTTGCCATTAATGAAGTAAACAAACAAAAACAAGAAAATCTCACACAAAATGCCATAATAAAAATCATACATGTCAATATAATTTTCTTTCCAAAATCTGTACATCTCTAACTTCATGGCATGTAAATCTCTATTTTGATCTTCCGTTAGTTTCTAATGGGTTTGCTCCATTTTGATCTGCCATGGCCATCTCAGTCTCAGCAGCTTGTGCTGCCTCTCTGAACTTCTTGTATATATCACTCTTGTAAAACTTTCTAGTCCTGATCACCAAAATGAGTGAAACCAATGTCCCAAAAAATGTGGCTGCAGCAATCACAATGAAGGCCAATTTGAAGCACTCTCCACCAGCACAATTCAATTCCTCCTCTGCTTTTCTTACAAGTCCCGAAGCTGCTAGCTGCTTCTTGGCTTCTTTGTCATATAGATGACCTGTGAGCTTCACATTGAGCAAGTATAGCCCAACTGGGCTAGCAGATGACCCAAAATTGTACAAAGTGGAGTAGTATTTGAGGCCGAAGAGCTCAGAAATTATGGCAAAAAGTAGAGGCCATTGGGCACCAAAACAAAACCCTATTATGATGGAGGCTACATAGAGACCATTTGGGACATTGAATGCAATTAGAAGGTGACCAACACAAGAGAGCAATAGGGTTAGGGTGAGCATGAGAGGACGAGGGAATTTGTATCTTTTTAATAAGATTTCAGACCCGAAACCCGACATGACTCGACCCAGATAATTCCATATGCTCACTAGTGACACAAAAGTGCTTGCGCTGCGTTTTGGGTACCCAAAAGAAGTTGCAATCTGACCCAAGTTGTCTATTGCTGTCAACGTGCCTCCAACACCACAAATGCATGCCATGAAAAGAATGAGCATGTCAATGCTGAAAAGTGCTTGCAGTATGGTGTAGTCCTCACCTCTGTCTGGTGGCCTGAACATGGTTTTCCAACACGACGCGGTGGGTGGTTCGGCCTCTGTTGTGGTGGTGGCGAGCGTTTCCCTGGGTCGTGACAGATCATCAGACGTCACTTCTGGTTGAGGCTTCTCCGTAACTATTTTCAAGTCCGAACCGCCGTTCAACTCAACTTTCTTGCCTTCCCAGATCTTAAACTCCTCAATAATAACCACAGCAAGTGGGAGGACAAGCAAGAAAATAACCATGGCAGCACTTGCACCATACTCACTTTGATTGAATGTCACACTCTTCTCTACTATGATCATGATCATCAAAAACCCAGCAAGCCCAAGTGAGATATACAGCATATTATAAAACACTTTGAGCTCATTGGGTCGCCTAGTGACCTTCATGATCCGAATTGTACGCAGAAAGGCAAAAGAAATGACAGCAGGAAGCCACCCAATCAACAAAATCAAAGCCTTGGTGTCATCATAATAAAAAGCATAATATAACTGTGTGATTATAGCACCACTGAGCCCTACATAGCCCTTCAAAATCCCCAAAACAGCTCCACGGCTTTCTGGGAAATTTTTCACACAAGTGACCAGAGAGCCAGTGTTTGCAAAAGACTGAGAATTTGCACCTATACAAATGTAAAGGCACATATGCCAAACTTGGGGCCTGGCAATTTTTTTGGTCACAGCCATCCAAATCATGAAGTACCCAAAAAAGTTGAGCACCGCACCAATTGATAAGACCACCCATGGGGGAGTGACCTCGTTGATAAGACCAGAAAGGACACCAACATTGGCACCCAGGTCCTTGAAGAAGCTGAGGAGATTGAGGGTAGTTTGGTCATATCCAAGCACAGATTTGATGTCACTGGAGTATATGCCAAACATGTAGGTGGCTCCAGCAGCTGACATGATCAAAAGAGAAGCAAACATCATGAACCACCTTCCATTGAGGACTTGGAGGGTGAGGGCTTTGGTGTTTCCCCGACCTCCTCCTCCACCAGCTCCAGAAACCACCATGATTTTTGGTCTCTGAATTGCACCACCAAATCTCTCACAAGTTCGTTTGTGAAGTGAAGAAGTTGGGGAGGTAAGCAATATATAGAGGCAAAAGACTGAGAGAGCAAATAAAGACAAAAGAAAAAATAATCTCCCAAAAAATAAAATAAAAGAGTAGTGAGACCAAATTTTTACTTTTTTATACAAGTATCGGAGACGGAAATGGAGACAGGTGATGGGATAGACCCAGCTAGATTATAAATTTAAGTAAATGATAAGGACTGAATTGCAAAGGAAATAAAAAAAATAGGAAAGAGGAGCTATATCCTATTCTTATAAATGTGATCTTATCCATCAGAAGAAGAATGAAGAAATTGTGAGGAGGGTGTTTGGGAGGTAATAATTTCAGGAATTGTGGGTTGTGGTGATAGGAGGAAAATTTGTTAGTTTTGTCTTTGATGTGTCAAGTTGATATGGTTTAGTTAGAGCATCTCCAAGGGAGATGTCAAATACCAAACATCAAATTTAAATTTGATAGCTGATGTGGCAATTTGACATTTTATACAGCTTTACACTCTACCCGATATGTCAAATTAAATTATTATTTTATTACATTTTAGTGTTGATTTATTTTTAATTAAAAAGAAAAGAAAAAATAATAAAATATTCATTTGACATTTTGCTTTTGGGATGTCAAAAATAACATCTCAACCTCCAGCCTTCATTCCACATCAACTTTGACATATTGGTTGGAGTGATGTGAGATATTATTTCTAACTGTTAAATATCTATGTGCCACATTTAACACATCGGTTGGAGATGCTCTTATAACACGCACCTTGTTTTAGACCATTGACTGCCCAAATATCTAATGCATGGGAAGGCCACCAACTTGGACACAACTAAGTTTTTAAACCCATTTTAATACGTATCTTTTTTTTTCTTTTCTCCTTTTGATATTGGATAAGAAAAGTCGACAAATCATAGCCAAAGGGTTCTCACCACAGTGGAGATGGTTTGCCCCTTCTCTTATGGCATCACCTCAGCCCGAACTCCAGAGTCGAACTCCAAAGTAAACACTAAAGTCTACAACGTTGAATTATTATTTATTTTTTGTTTATTATCCACAAAACAATTAATGCATGTGCTGGTTTCCGTCCACCCCAGGCACGAGGACAGTTCACAAGTGGCATTGCCAGCAACAATTTTTTTTTCTTTGATCAAAGTCAATTGCTTAGGCATTGACTATTGAAGATAATGACTGATCGAGTATATAGATCCACGAAATTATATAAAATTAAATACAGACCGACTCAAAGCTATACAACTAACGAGGTTGTGGATTATCTTCCAACTCTCAAGCTAGGTCACGCCCATAATCCTTGGAAAAAGCATATAAAAGTAGAATTTGGTTCATTTTGATTCTATTTTACAACAAATACATGGGGGTTTATATGATAGACCTATACAAACCTTAAAAATATTCTAAATCCAAACTTACTCAATCTTATCTGTATATAAGTAAGCATTTTGGAAAAAGTCTCGTTCACTCGTTAAATAAAAAACATAATCAAATCTCAATCTTATCGCATTCTAATATCATACAATAATTTCTCGTTTTATCGTATTGTAACATAGAACTTCCTCCAATATATATTGATGATATTTTGAGACTTTCTCGGGTCAAGGCATGTAAGTTTTTCCATATATTTTATGAGTTTGCCTTTTCATTATTATGAGGTGTCATATAAATAATAAATAGAGTTATATTTAAATTAAGATATTATGAGAATTTTATTCAGATAATGATTAAATGGAGTAACTGTTACAGAAGATGGATATCATCCATTATCTCCACGTTTTGGCTAGCAGTTGTCTCTTAATAGGAGAGTCAGTTGTAAAGCAACTTGGATAAAAGGCTTAGTCCCTGCTCTCATATTTACACGTTCATATTCTGTATGCTTGTCCTATTGAAAGTCTTGACATTTTGGAATACTGAGAGGAGAAGATCATCTTGTATATCTGATTATGACTAATTCAAGTAAGTCTTATCTCTACTTGTTTTATTGTTTAATTGTCAAATTTGTGTTATGGTGTGGTTTAAGTGCTAAATTGGTTCAAGATTATTTTGAATAAAGTAAAGTTTACAAGGCATTCATGCTTGAGCTAACTTGATAGGGCTTCCGGGAATCCTGCTCATCATTGTCTGTTGTTTTTAATTAGTCATGCAATCTATGTGGATCGTGCTTCTGTTACTGAGTTATTTATATATTTTATATTTTAATTTTCTTTTGTCAATTATGGCAATGAGTAGGCCTAGTCCTCATAAAATTACATGAATAGCCTTGTTGACTTGGCCCTTGCCTTCTATATTGGCATTTTAGGGCATCTATGACGATGCAAGACTTGAGCAAATGACAAGCGCAGCAGCTACTTTGATTGAAGGGCAGGGTAAGCGTGCGCTTCCACCAGTCGTGCACTACAAACATGTATAACTTGTCCTCTGTTTATAAGAATCCGGCGTGTCTACAAATGTTTAACAAATTACTTTATAGTGAAAACACAAACTGATAGTCTAGTTTCTTGAAAAAGGTCATTGTTTATAAGAATCCGGCGTGGTCTTAAGTTCGAACCCTCATAACACCTTAATAGTGTGTATGAGAAACCCCCATTTGCTCCAATATGTTGTTTTAGTTAAAAACACAATATACATCTAAGTTACGAACATCAACAATAGTCCCTAGACGTGTACCCAAATTTAAGTACAACAAGAGCAGAAAGAGATTTGAACGATAGATGGGCAATTACAAAACATGGACCTACACGGTTACACCTATGGAGGATGCCATTAGATACAAGTCCACTCTAACCCTTTCTATTTCCTATTTGTCAATTCTCAAGTTGCCATTAGACTATCACCATTGACTTGGAATTAAGTTTAATTGTACCGCGTACAGGCATCACCACCATCAGCTATATAACCGCTCATGATTTCCTCTTTTCAATGCAAAATCATGGGACAACTTATATCAATTTTGATAGGCCTCATAATTAACCCTTTCTTATTATATATTCTCAATAAATAAAAAAATATTTATAACCCAGTCTGTCCATGCGTACGTGGCTCTACTAATTTTGATGAAAATGGCAAATATGTAATTGATTCAAATTGCCTACTTTCCATGACCAATAACCATCTTAGTGAATGTGATGGATTGGATTCTTCTTCTTGTATGACTATTCTAACTTGCTAGAGGGCCAGCCTTTGCTTCAAAGATCTAACTTCTCCTTATCATATTTTGATATTTTAAATTGATTGATATCCTTTTTAATGAATATAATGACATATGTACAAATATAGCTAGACAAAGTGTAAAGATTTGGAAGGTGACTTGTATGGTTGATAGGGTGATCTTAACATTATTGTCATTGTATCCAATTAAATAGTAAGGTGGGTTCATCCTGCATTACTTCATTCAATCCACAAACCCAATTGCCCAATTGGCCTTCATTTGAAAAGAAAGGGGGAAAAAAAAAAGGATTTAGAGCTCGGCTTTAAAGATAAGATGAGAGTTTGATTCTTACTCTCATCTCCACGTATGTGTGTAGATACATCGAAAATTAATTCCAAAAAAAAAAAAAAAATAGTTGAAATTTATTAAAAAATTGGTCATCAAACTCTCATATTCAACACAGACGAGCAGAAGTTCACTCCTGTGAAAGCTACAATAATTCAATTATGCCAGCAGCCAAACGAAGACTTATACACACAAACACACGTACACAAAAGTTGGATAAATCTTGAAAATTCAGAAGCTTAAAATCATGCTGACGAAGGAACCATAAGGCTTATTATACTTCTCCCTCTTGCTCTGCATAAAGATCAACTTAGCTAGTCAACTCCCAGGAATCTCAGGCGCTGTTGTTTTCTAAAGTTTGCTTTGGAAAATAGATACAGAGACGCAGAAACATTATTCAAAAGGCCAGAAAGCGATTTTGACTTTCTTTCTTTGAGAGAGAGAGAGAGAGGGCAAGTACAGAAGTAAAGAAGTATAATATATTGCCTTATTCTCTCAGAAGTGTGAGATCCCAGTCAATGTGTTTACACTTAGAAAAATAAAGAAAAGTATAAGCCCACGTGCTTGTAAGTCCAGTTTAATTTAATATACAATTAAACTAATCAATGATCTTGGAAATTTATGAGCTGGAAAGATTGCTTCTTTCTCCAGATTTCTGGATGGATTAACTTAAACAAATCATTAAAATGACTAATTAAAGGTGGTTCGTTCTAGATGCTTATCTATGACATCTGAACCAATTACATCACTTTGTGCCATTATAATTTCTATAATATTCTTGGAAGTTTCGACTTGACTTGACTTTGGGGTTTGGCTCCTCATAAGCCTCAAATTCAGAACTCGTGCTGTATTCTCGTGTGCCAGTCGGTGTTTTGGGTTTACTTGTGCAGCAGGGAAAGTCATTACGCATGACCAATCTATATACTGTCCTACCAGTGGGAATATTTGACCCAATTACTTCAAATCCAAGGCACCTTGGAAAAGAAAAAGGGAAAGCAGAAATCCAGGGCCACTTGGAAATTTTTCTTTCTGATGAAAAACAAGGTTAAAACACTTGAACATACTAAAGAAGATGCATCATAGCAGAAAAACTCCTTTTTCTCATGCCCTGTTTTGCTCCACTCACACTGCAAGAGAAATCCACTTCTCTACAACTCCGCCAGCCAATAAGAAGGGAGATAAAGAAAACAGAGACTAACGGATATCATTTAGTGCTAAAATTGTTCTCTTTACAACGCAAACAAACAATGAGACTTTGTAATAAATTTCCCAAATTTCATTTTATGTCGCTAAATTTGTTTGTCAACCAGTCAGAAAAAGTGTAATAACTAAAATCAAACAGAAAAATACTGAATTAAATTACATCCATCAATCCTACGTAAAATTGTATCCGCAACATCCCACATCAAAAACCTAAAAGAGCATAAACAGCTACAAATTTCATGAGAATAGCCAGGCCAACCAACATTTAGTAGCGGTCAAAGGAAGATGGGCGCCCTCCCCTGCTGGGGCGATCGTAAGGACCTGCCCTGCTTCTGTAATTTCCTCCCTCATCTCTTGCTGGCCCTCCACTTCCATATCTGTCGCTTCCACCTCTTGCATCCCTATCATAGCCTCTATCTTTGCCATAACCATTTTGAGGATAACGATCAGAACCACCATATCTATCACTTGCAAAACGATCACCAGCCGGATACCTGCAAAGAAAAGCCACATAAAGTAGAGCATACTGGATGATGCTTAAATAAAAGGGCTTCTTATCTATTATTCAGCACAATTATATCTAATGCGATAGAGAATGAAAAAGGTGACAGTGGAACAAGCAACAACGGAGGAACTGTTACCTGTCACTAACATAGCGATCACGGCTCCCATACTTCTCCTCCCTGCTGTCAAAACGGTCCCTCTCTCCATAACGCCCTCCATCATAACGGTCATCCACATAGCGATCACGGTCTCCACCAAAGCGATCCCCACGGCCACCAGCCCCAAACCTAGAATGGGATGAGAAAGAACCTCCACCTCTTCCACCACCAGCTGAAGGGCAATCTCGGGCCCAATGTCCTGGTCGCCCACACTTGAAACATTCATCTTGCCCTACAGGTCTATCTCCTCCCCCATAGTTTCTCCTGCCACCAGTCGAGTAGCCTCCTCTATAGCCATGGTCTGAATCCTCCCCTCCCCCTCCCATTTTCGGTTGAGCTTTGTTCACAGAGATGATGCGATCACCAAGCTCCCGCCCATGCATCTCCCGGATTGCATCTTCCATTGCTCGCCGATCTCCAAATGTAATAAACCCAAAACCCCGAGGACGATTTGTATCTCTTTCCATCATGATCTACAGAAATACCACATTAGTCATTTCATATTAATGAGATTCATCTCTTCTAAAAGCGAAACAGGACTTTTGGAAAGCTGGGAAAAGAATTAGGAGACAATGAACATTCAACGTGAACATACAAACTAGTTTTCTTATATCACTTACAACACATTTGAGAATGAGATATGGATTTAAGCCTACAATTTATATTAGCAGACATCCTAACTGGTAATTAATATTTAACAAGTTGATAACTTACTTTCTCTTTGTTACTATGGATAACAGGTTGCAATGTGGTTAGTACTGAAAAAATTTCTGATAAACAATAGAGGAATCCATCTCTGCTGACCTTGACTTCCAACAAAATCCAATAATTACATCCAGCATAAACTGATACCTAACCGACCACAAAGTCAAGTGCATCTACTCTCAAACAGATAAATTGAATTGGTCATCAGTGCTTGCATTATCTTTGTGATATGGTTAACTTCCCACAGACAAGTCCTTAATCATAACACAAGACTACCAGAAATAACGATAACACTTTAAACAACAGGCAAGCATCCATCTTGTATCCACGAAATCAATTTTCCTCTGACCAAAGCTACGCAGATCAGCCAGACAAAGGCAGCTATTGCAATATTCAATCTTTCCACCATTCAAAACAAACCATATAGAACACAAATACACATCAAGGTATCCCAAAAAACGGTATCTTTTTTGCAAGCTATGCCCAACTTGATCCATAATTACCCTATCCTCACCAACTTTCACCAAGTCAATAAAAACCACAAGATTCAGTCAAAGGCAGCAAAGATACTGTGTCCAAGTGTCAGCTCAAAATAGCAGAGCTGATGAAAATGCTGATCATCTCTTTCAACCAAAAAACTTAGACTTACTAAGCCCATTAAAACATACCCTCGGAGTCCTGGAGATCCACGTTCTGACAACTTATTTGGATAGGAGATGTTACAACCTTTTTTTATAGGAGATGCTCTGACAATTCTTAAGTACTTTCAATTATCATAATATCACCTATTAAAAAAATCTACATCACTGTGTCAAAAGAATTGTGTGCCCATGCCCAGACTCCGTATTTGACCAGATTCAGAATTTGAGGAGGCCAGAAGTATTACTCCACCAAAGCATCAAATCTTAAATCAATATTGGAACTACTGATGAACTAGGAAGCATCAATATTTGGTGTAGCATTGATGTTGCTGAATTCATCTTTCACATGCAACATGATAACCCAAAGCATTGAACCTCTGATACAACACTGTTACTGGCACCTGCAAGGACTCTAGCGATCTGAATAAGGTCTCATAAGATCCACTGAATGGGTTGCATAAATGTTCCCACAAGTGAAGCGGCCAGACTAAGTGTGTTGGAGGCTTCATGAGACATAAAGCACCACGAAAACTTATCCACATACGACAATCGACTATGAAATTGATCTTGATCTCTTGTCCCTCGCTAAACCAGTAATGTTAGCATAATTGTCACAACAACAACAAAAAATCAATAAAAAGTTCAAACTAGTTCAAACAAAAACTGACGTGGCTGAAAAGGAGGCTCAGACTTCATGAGAGCTATACAATAGCAGATGAGATGATCCCATTGCCAGAAAGGAGCAGTTTAGAGTCCCTAACTCTAGTCCGCATCAAGCATAAAGTAACTAAACTAGATGCTTCGCAGCCTCACAAAATCAAGAATTTGAAATATCTGAAGAACAACTAACAAGAGAAAACAAAGCTTTGTGATATAGCAGCCACTATGAAAACTGCATAGCCTATAAAACAACAAATGACGAGTTGACAGCAGATAACCCTCTGGATTCTATGACAACAAAAACAAATGAACATAGATGAGGAGACGCTATTCAGCTCAATAATCTTTCTTGGAAAACAGACACATCCTTCACCATCATGTTTGAGTCCAACTGATACAAAATATGGCCAAACCATTTACTTTCGGAGCATTTGTTCTAATTAGATAAAAACCTTTGTCGAAGCAAAAGGATGAAAATCACTTGATCAAACAATGAACATTTCAGACTTCGGCTGCAGAGCCACAGAATCCAAACAGAAAGCATACTTCCTACAAGAAAGAGAAACTTCTCAAAGTTGCCACATCAAGTGAACAGATGATTAGTCGGCCCATCCTCAAAGGATTACTTATATGCCAAATTTCCAACACTATCACAGGATTTTCTGCGGATCCCAACCACAGACCTTTTCATGACTAAATATTTAGTTACCAAATAGCAGGTGAGACTAAATCAAGCAATTAACTTGAGCAGCCTTGTACCCAATTCCACACATCCAGATACCATCTGCTTATGTTTATACTTCCTGGCTTGAGAATCATAATAACCATCAGCTATAATCTAGTCCCAAAAACTCATACTAAGCTTCAGCAGCTTGATGCAATCACTCTAACAAAAATATCTCTACGAAAACCCATCTACGTACAGCATCAAAAGATCATAACCAGCATTCCAGAAAGACATGAAAACAAATAAGGAGCATTAATATACAATGAGAACAACAGAAACTGATGAAATAAAAGGATAAAATCAAAACAAACATAAGTAATCGGTGTTACAGACATAGGAATTAAGTACCAGTGCTAATTGGAAAAGTAGAATCAAACATATGCTGAGGTCAGAATGGCATAACCAACAATAAAATCCTCATTAAGTAGTTTATTTATTCCATACTTCTTAGCTATGGAGGGGCACTTGATGTGAAATATAACGGGGTAAACCAAGCTCATGTAATTAGTGGAAAGAGCATGATTTGAAATTCAAAAACGAGGATCAATCAAACAAGTAATAAACATGCCTTTAATCTGCTGTAATACAAAATATTTCATGTATTATAACCATAGAACAGCATTGTCTAAACTTCCAAAAACGATAACACCCATTGATTCTGAATATAAAAGACTATATACCAAAACCAAAGGCTTCCATGAAACTTCAACCAATTTGTACTCCAAATGTCTTGGGTAAGATACTCATTTAAAGAAAATGCCCAAAAGAACTAGAAGGGCGACGAATTTCGCAAACAAAGAGTTTGACTGTCTGTCTTCTAAAAATAAACCATAGGGTCAAAATTACGGCTCAAACTGATTGAGACAGAGACAAAGTTGTGTCCTTTTAACTTACTAAAACCCTAAATTGAAATGGGTCTTAGACCACAAGCATAAATAAAAAAATTAAAAAAAAGGAACCCTTTTGATATAATTTGCAAGCAAAGTAAAGCAGCTGAAGCCTGAAAGTGCATGCCTCTATCAATTGTGACACAACTAACAGATAAAAAGTTTTGAAAACATTAGGGTTCAAATATATTCATGCTAGGAACCAAATTGAGCGTTACCTGAGCTTCATGGACTTTGCCGAAACGCTGGAAAGCGCTCTCCAGCTGACGCTCCGTGACGTCCCACGACAACCCTCCCACGAATATGCGGAAATCTTCCTTCCCTGCCATCTCTCTCTCTCTGAAGAGTGTGTTTCTTCTTAACCTGTGAACTTTGTTGAGCGAAACCCTAACCGCTTCGAATACCTGGATGCGGTCGACTTCTTCTATAACTATGCTACGCCTCCTTCGATTTTTCCTTTTCCTATTTTTTACAGGAGAATTTATATCATTTTAAAATTATTTTTGGGTCAATGTTGCGGACGGTCTTGGCCGCCTGATGGGTAGACCCGTGTGAGAGAGGGATCAGCGGTAGAATGATTGTCTCTTGTATAAAAGGAAACCGCTTCTTTTTTTTTTTGTTTTTTTTTTTTTTTTTTTTTTATGATTAAAATTACAAGACAAACTCTCCCTAAGTCGGCACAACCCAAATTAAAACGGTCAAAGTTTAAAAGTGGAGGTAGGGTTAATTTGGGAATGCCATGGACAAAGAAACAAAGTAAGCTTATCTAGCTCAAGTGGTCAAGAGAGCACACAAGAAGTCCTAAGTTCGATTCGATTCTCCCGTCTTTTTATTATGGTAATATCACTTATATGAAAAGTAACAAATAAATAATGGACATGATGAAAACTGAAGGTTGGTATGAAATAATTATGTCAATTTTAATACGAATAATCAAAATTTCCAACTGTATTTTTTCGGGTGAAAAACACCAACAATTGGTATGGTAGGAATTAGGTGTGGACGTATTGCAATTTGGTTTGATTTAGTCCTCAAACCGCATACTGAACCAATGAAGAATCATAGTTCGGTTTACGCTTAAAACTAGTAGCATAAGTGAACTGAACTAATCTACTTAAAACTAGCAGCATAGGTGAACCAAACTAATCTATTTAGCGACCAATGTGACGGCATTTTTCAGTCTTGAAATCATTCGGTCTAGTTCGATCAAGATTACAATGTTTCTAATGTTAAATCCAAACCAAAACGTTGGAAAATCCATTTGGAGAAAAGAAAAATCTGTTATTGATTTGATGCGCTATTTGGTTGAAGAATAAATAATTGCAAATAGTTCGTTACATATTAACTGAAATAATTACATGAATTGACATACTTAATGTACACGACGACTATACATGAAATGGCCAATGCCATGTATTATCAACCAGCGATTGAAATATATGTTGAGCTAGAGGGAGGCTTCATCCATCCATCCATCCATCCTACTATTGGTCAGATAAAAGCGGCAGCCTCGTAACGCTGGTACCTCCTCCACCGCCAGTTAGTGATTTTGAGTTAATCACCTTCAGAAAACTTGAACTGGATTTTGCAGCTTTAGAAGAAGATTTCTTCTTGTTTAATCTCATGGGAAGAATCTGCAACCTGGGATTCGTCTCAGTACCTGAATTTTCAGCAGCCAACTGATAACTTGCCACTAGCTCTAGCTGCCGGGCAATTATTTCGGAGCATCTTGGGAGAAGCTCTACCGGCTCTCCACCAGGAATCACGATATACTCGATTGCAAGTCGAACCTCCTATCAAAAACAAAAGGAGAAAGAAAATGTGTATTAAGCATGTGATATATATGTAGGGGGACATGAATGGAAATAATTTACAGACAAAAAACAGAAATGTTCAATGTGAAGTTGAATGTTATCCCTTCCTTGGAATATTTGGCCATGTAGTATGGGGGTTACAACAGAGAGCACAAAGGTCAAATTTCTCAGACGATGCAAATACATACATACATAGAAAAGGAAATATACCTCCAATGCATCAATCTCTTCCAAAGACGGTTTTCGTTTTGGGGCATCATCTTCAATTTCAATGTCGAAAGGATTCTTGACTAGCTGCTTTGGGGAAGACCCAACTGATTCCATTTCAAGAATCATACGAACTGCCTTGACCATTTGTGCCATGGTATTTGACTGCAATTATGGACACCAAATATCTCAATGAGACACGAAGACGGCGTGTATACAAGCCTATATAGACATAGATACACAAACGGAGAAAGTTTAAAGACACACGAGGATACTTACCTTCATGACAAATACAGGCAACTGGTGGAATTTTGCTACACCTCGGATCCATGGATTCTGCTTCATTTCAGAACTGGATGCTATTATTGCATCTGCTGTTCCAATATCATCAGTTACCTCTATTTCATCTTCAAGCCCCATCACCTTTGCTACTTGTAGCAGGTCGGCCTCAAGGATCTATAGTACATCAAATAATAAAAAGAAGGGTTTAAATACAAATCATCTGGATTGTGAAAAACTGTCTACTATTCAATAGCATTCTGGCAAAATTCATTATGTTGCTCTTCTTAACTGAACTGCATACCCAACACTTAATTGAGCTTATGTAGGCTCCAATTTTGCACATTACTTTACAAAACGTCAAAATCTGAACTAAAAGTAATGCATGACCTTCATTCTCATTTCAACGAGTGTGGATTTGAAACTTCCAATTGAAAACATAAAGTGAAGCCTAAGAAAGCAATTTACCTTGTATGTATAGATACACACTGGTAACCTTTGTTTCTTCAAAGATATATTGCTGCCGGGTTTTTTGGAGTGATTTTTGGACCAATTAGGAGAATGATCTAGATCTTCCCCATCAGACTCTATGTCAGCAGAAGCATCAATGTCTTCATTAACAGTAAAATTAGAAATTTTTAGACAGTTCTTTTCAGGTAGTGGAATAGACTTGCGAGAGTCATTAGCCTCCGCATCAATACGACGGGCTTCAAATAAAGGAGTTTTTCCTGTACCCAAGAAAGATTTCAATTGGATTCATTGTTGCCCTAAAAACGTCACTTGTAAGAGAAGTACACAGTAAATAAACCAGTTAAGACATTAATTGGGATTCTCCGAAGAAGAAAGCGCAGAATACCAGCCAGTATAGCATCCACAGTTGCATCTAATCTGTGATGCACACGATACTCTGTTTTAGATATAATCTCAACAGCACATGTAAATGTAGGAGGCCCCTTTCTTTCAAGAATTGTCTTCTGAACCTTCCTTTTTCTTGCTTCTTCATCACCGAGAGTAACACTCTGCATTCAGATGATAACTGGTATAATCAATCGACATTTCTTATCTGGGAAAGCCTTAAATTGGTAAGGTCCCAACACAAAGTGGAAAAGATCATTTATATATGACATCACCAAGGAGAACTAATAGCACTTTGTAAACCTAGTAGATTTAGCATAACTTTTGTTGGAATATATACCTATATATCCAATATAAACGAATACAGAGTGGCAGAAAAAGATATTGCATTGCACCTCTATGCCACCAACAAGGATTTGTAGAGAAGGATTCTTCATTATGTTGTCTATCGTCATTCCATGTGCTGTTCCAACCAGTTGGACTCCTCTCTGAGCAATAGTACTGGCAGCCAATGCTTCAAGCTCTGTTCCAATTTCATCTATAATTATGGTTTCGGGCATATGATTTTCCACTGCTTCAATCATAACCTGTGTAAAAGTTCAAAAGGGGAAAAAAATATGATATGGGTGAAAGAAGTAATGCAAAATTTACTTGGGAACTAAAAGAGCAGTTGCTGACAACAAGTCATAGAACTTATTTCAACACTCACATTATGCTGCATATTAACATTAGGAACTTGCATCCTCCTTGCACGACCTATTCCTGCATGAGGAACATCTCCGTCTCCACCAATCTCATTAGATGTATCCACAATCACAACACGCTTCATCTGATCATCTGCCAACATTCTAGCAATTTCTCTGCACCAACATATCCTCTCGAAAATCATAACATGTTCATCTTGATGCCAATTCAAAATGGGAGAAAATGGAAATTTAAATGTTACTTTAAACCTTGAGTAGGAAATACCTGATCAAGGTTGTCTTGCCAACTCCAGGAGGTCCTATCACCAAGATGGAACCTCCGCCCTCAACCAAATCGCGGATGACCTCAGCACTTCCTGACACAGCTCGTCCCACACGGCAAGTGAGGCCAATGACTTGCAACTTACGGTTTCGAATAGCACTAATCCGATGTAATGAGTTATTAATACCCGAACGGTTGTCATCTGAAAACTCACTAACCTACATTAAGCAGAACGTAGCATGACATAAGAAATATAAGTACTATATCCTCCCTCCTCCACAAACATTCCAACTGTAACACAATATTTAAATTAAAGATGTTAATGATTGATCAATCCTTTTTAATAATAAGATATTAACTTATTAAGCAATCACACAAGGGCCTAAAATTGACAATCCATTTGAATATAAAACGCTGAATTTTCTGACATGAAAATGTAAGTTGGTATCTATCTATCTCTGTATGAATATTCCAATCAAACATAGAAATAAATAAATAAATGAGTAAATTTGGACGTACACCAGAAAAAGACCACCGTTAACCACCAAATTGAAGATCGGCCAAATAAAATTATTTCATGCAAATATGACTCTTAAGTCTCAATCTGCATAAAAATGCTTCAAACCATTTATTTACTTGTCGTAGATCACCTTCGATACAGCGTGCCGTAGATCTTCGTGGTTCACAGGCTTCTCTGAGATCACCCAATCACCCGAAGGAAACCTTGCAATCGGGCTCCTTCCTAAATCCATCACAACCTCAATGAGCTCGCCAATCTCCTCGTGCCCGTACAGCTCACTCTTCATCCTCATAGGCAACAATTCAAGCAACATTTCCAGCTCCGAAGCGGCCTGCGGCTGCGACGTGGAAGCCGAATTCGAATTCGGAGAATTCGACAACGACCCATTCCCGGAAAAGAACCGATCCGATGGCCGCCGAATTTCCGGCGACGGAATCGGTGGAGAGGAGGATTTGGACGAAGCGATTGGATTATGCGCACGACGTGTTCGACGAAATGACGAAGACACTGTGGAGATGAAGTTGGAGTTCTGAAGGTAACAGAGGGTCGAGGTGGGGATTTGGTTTGCTGAGTGCCATGAGTTCTGAAGATCCACAAGCACAAAATGTGAGCTCAAAGCTCTCATTCTCTCTCGCTGAATTTTATTTCTAAACACAAATTACTAGGAGACTTTGATTTTATTTATTTTTTCTTTCTCTATTTTATGGTTGTAGTTTTTCAAGCGTCTGGTTCGTGATTTTGTATCCGTTGTGTGTCTGAATTGGCAACGATGGAAGAAGATTCGGAGGCATCTCCTCTGCGATTGGAATTTGGAGGGAAAGTGGGGCCGCTAAGAAGCAACCCAACAAACTGCTAACGACCACTGAAAGTAATGGAAGTTCAGCCACGAGGGGCTGCTTCACGAGCCACACATATTTTTCAAAGCTTTAACTTTTAAAATGAAATGATGTGTTGGTAACTTTGGAACTACTTAGAAAAATCTTTCTTTACTTTTAACTTAATAATTCCATGTTATTTTGTTACGTAGCTCCACGTATTTAAAATTCATGTTTTGTGTTCAGTTTCTTTCAGCATGTGCCAAATAGTTATGTATTGGGTAGTCCAATCCAGTCTAATCTGACGTACTAAACGAGTCCTTACATATATGTAAATGAGCCGTATAAGTGTAACAATCCAAGCATGCTTCAAATGTGCAGAGTGGTAAACAGGAAGGACTTGCTTGCGGCGGAGTGCAGTGTCATTTTCATGGTATCTTTGTTCAATTTTGTCAGTCGACTGTAGAGACTTTTGAAGAAAATCTGAAACAACGTTCAGGTCAGTCCTCAAGACGTGCAAGGCTGGTGCAGGCCACCGACGAAGACGGCTCTTGCTATGAGCCATACCAATGCTCAAGTTACACGGACGGTGTGCTTGTTTGAATGGTGATACTCATTGAACAGAAAAACAATAACCTTATTAGCCCATGTAAACCTGTAAACCACAGCTCCTCTGAACTTTGATCTTGAACCGACAGATAAAATTGTGAAAGATCAGAGAAGAAACCATAAAGAATGAAGAACAGGATGAAATACCACTAGCTCTTGATGTAGTAGAAACTCAATGCTAAGAAAAATATACTGTGCACTGTACAGTGATGGAAGCCATTTACTAAATTTGGCGCCAATCTATTCCCAACCCATCAATTTATTTCTTACACCTTCCTCAATTTTGTTCCTTGGCACTGAATAACCAACTCCTTCATCTAGCAGGATTCTGTAGACCTCCCACTCCCGATCTTGAATCATGTGTTTCCCTATCTTAACCTGAAATAACCAAAGCAAAATAAATGGTAGAATGGCAAAATTAGATAGGATGTCCCTAAAGAGAATGTAGGAAAATATTACATAAGACACTCATGGCATTGGTTGGAGCCAGTACCGAAAAGATGTGTGTCTTCAGAACTTTGAGGGCATGAGTGATATCATAAAAGACTAGAGGACGGCCCCTGCCAGACAACTCAACAGGGTTAGCTACCACCAGCTCAGTATCAGGGCCACGGCTCACCACCGCCACTCTAAGAGGACGCAAAAGCTCCATTCTCAAACGAGAACATAACGCATTTTGCTTGTTGGGGTCAACAATCTTCTTGCCATCTGCTTGCATTATGAACAAGTCCACCTCACAATTTCCCTTTGGGCTTGCATAGAATCGTCCATAAGAAACCTGACATTATCAGCTAACAAAGGTCACAACCACACATGCATAATAACACCAAATGTCAAATGAAACCTCCACAACCTTTCCCAGGAATCATAATTTCTTACGATCAACTATTAAACACTAACGAAACAAATTAATACTCTGCAAACATAATACTGTAACATGTTCGATGAGTGATGATGACAATTCGTTTCAATACTGAAAATGTGAAATTTTGAATCACAACCTAAAAGTTTTTCTCTCCCAAAAAGAAAAGCTCTATATAGCTTATAAGATGTACCTGAATGTTGTAATCCTTTAGGGTTCTCATGATATCATATACAAGGCCTTTATGATCCTGACAGAAGATTTGAACGAGTGTGTGAGATGGGCTAAGGTTGTTGTCCACTGTTACTGAAATGGGGTTGGAGGCAACAGATATGCTTAGGCGTCCATTGGGCAGCTCTAAACTGAATATTTCTTCAGTGATGGCAGAAGGAAGACATGGAGAACCCTGTGAACAAGCGGTAACCTCTGATCCAGCCAATTCAATTTTGCAACTCAACAAGGCATCCCCTAAAACAGCTTTCAGACAAAGAATTGTTTCGTCTTGTCTTCTTTTTGCATGAAGAAGTTCTCTGATTGAAAAGAGAGAAGGAAAAAGCTTCTATTAACCATATTTGAGCAATTGGCCTCACATAGACATGAGACACTGACATCTAGACTCCATTTCCATTGGCAGCATGAGCGAGTACAGAATTATTAGAAAAAAAATACAAAAACACTTGATTTAAGAATTATGCAAAAGCAAATCTAAGGAACCAAATGGAGGATTGCAGCTCTCTTTTCTTTTTTCCCTTTGATTTATTGCCAGTAACAATCAAGTTGACAATAAGGCACATGAAGATAGGGAAGTAAAAAGAGAAAAATACAAGAAGAAATGCTGCACCATGATTAAAAGTGAAGCAATGTCAAGAATGACAAACCTGGTATCTGTAACAAAAAAAAGGTCCATCACTCTCCCATCCGGGGTAGTAGATACCTTCACTCTATGTATTGTGAGCTCCAGCTCACAGAGAACCTCAGTGACATCTATTATGAAAAAAGTTTTAATAACAGTCTCAAACAAAATATACGGCTCTTATTCAGGAAAACAAAAAACAAAATATATGGCTCCATACGATACATTTTCTGCTCAAGTATTGAGATGCATTCAGAAAAGTAGGCAATACTAGGTAAGGGAAGAGAAGAAAAAGAAACAAATAGAAACAAACAACACTTAAAGGTTGATTAACCAAATAGATAAGCAACATTATTTGCATTCCAACAGGTAACTTTGGTTAGATAAGTGAAAGTAAAGATCCCTTTTCTTGATTTCCCAAAACTCAAAAGGAAAAGAAGAAAAAAAATAAGAGTTGTCATTTATGCTTATGGATGGAAAAGGGATCATAATGATAACGATTTAAGTTGTCTTCATTCCATTTCAGGCGACTTAAAAAAAAAAACTTATTCTTATACCAATCTGTCATAAATTATATTCCTCGGTAACTTCAATCCATTCTAAACAAGGGATATGAAAATGGGTGGTGCTAGAGGCACCAACTTTGGGCACCAACTCTCTAATAGAGGTGGAGCCCGTCAATACACCGGGTCCCACGCTCTATTAGAGAGTTGGTGCCCAAAGTTGGTGCCTCTAGCATACTTGTTATACTTCTTGCAATGCTTCGACATTACTATCATCAAAGTCGCAATTAGACAGTGATCACGGCCTTTCTATATCATCAGATACAAAATTGATAATCACCCATAAATGATCTTCAAATTCATAACTTTGTCCATTTCAAATTTCTTACTCAGTTGGAAGGTTCAGACAAATCATTGAGCAAGATATGCAACATTCCCGCATGAAAACAGATGCGAAATTCATTAAGTACGGTACTTCTAAGCCAAATTAAGCTTAGGGGATAACGCCTACAAAGAAGAAACAATTCCCAAGATAACAATTACTCAAGCAAGTGACATTCTTAGAACTGAAAGGTTCGTATTACCATGCAATAGGCCTTCCCGTTCATAAGAGCACCAGAATTCAAGAAGGAAAACATCCGGTGGCTTAGGCTGCTGGTTTTCAGGGTGATAATAGAATATTCCAGAAGTCGACAAATACGACGGACACACTTCTAACAATCTCTTTGTCAACAAATTCCACCTTGTATTTGGTTTTCCCACCACCCAAAACACTATGTAGCACCATTTCCCATCTGTTGAAACATCTGCTCCACAAAAAAAGCTAAACTAATCACCAGCACTTTCAATAAAATATTAAGGGAAACTTATAAAAACTAAACTATCACTCAAAACTCCAAGACTCATGAAGAATAACCTGTTTTCTGATTTACCACAAAAAGAAACTCAAACCAATTCTTTGTTTCTCTCTAAAAGTGGGGCCTGAGGACCCCTGCGAATCCGTAAATCTGAGGAGCATGCCGCAAGAAAAGGATGGTCCCCTATGTATTTCATTCTTTCCGTACCAAAACGTTTCAGAAAAACTCAAGAACAAAATGACCTGTATTCTCAAGAATTTCAGATCCAAACAGTAAATTTCCCAGTAAATCAGAGAAAAAAAAACCTAAAAACATCAAATAAATCACACTGCCCACCACTTCACTGACTACACTCCCAAACCCACCTCCGAAAAACTCAGAATTACCCAGAAAAAAGAAAATTAAACCAAAAGCAAAAAAAAACATACAGTCAATAACAACAACCCTCACCTCCTCTGCAAATGCTTAGCCCAAAGAGCAATATAACCCTGCACAAATCACAGCCCAATCCAGTTTTGTCAGGGCAATTGACAGTGATTACAGTGGGTTCCCCAGCCTTCTTTGCCTGGTTAATTACCACAACATCCTCATGCAAAATGCCCATTGCTCTGCTTTCGGCTACCTACCACTGTTCCTAAATCCTACTCTGTTTTTTGCTCTGTTTTTGGATCACTGAAAGCTCAGCGGCAACCGATAAAATGAGCCAAAAACCCCAAGTGGGTATCTTTGGATTCTCACTCTTGTATGTTTTTATTGACTTAATGGATTGGGGATTCCGCCAAATACAGAGATCAGATAATACAACGATCAGAGAGTCTCTCTCCTCCTCTGCTTTTCCTTTCACGGAATTTCAATTTCTCGTCCTTTTCACCGGTTTATAGTTGAGACAGTGAGAGATATTTAGGAAAGACTTTAAAAAATTGAAACGTGGGTGATTAGGTGTGCTCGGGTGTACAGTGAGATTGAATTTGAAGTTTTGGTATTTTACCCAATTAGTGTTGAACACGTCCTTGTTTCTTGAAGAGGATTAATTTTTCGGTTACAGTTAAGTAGGATTAATTTTTATGATTAATTTGAAGAGCTTAAGTGGACCGGCATCCTTCCTTATAGGAGACAACTTGTCGGCATAAAATCAATTTCAATATCTGGGTGTTAATTTGATTATATGATTGGTGCCCTAAATTGGGTTTAACAGTCAATAATTCGAGTAAGAACCCTAATTGACGGATCATATTCAAGAATTTTTCTTCCCATGGGAGAAATAAAGCCGGCATAGCACTTTAATTTAGTAATCATTGACTAATTGCCTTGCATCATCCTCATTAAATTATTTTGTGGAACATCTTACTCTATATTAATCATACTAAAATATAATATTAAATAAATGTTTAATAATTTAATGATCCTATTATACAAATAAACAGGGTTATCTCCCCCTTACATGTGGAGGGCCTTTCTTCCTAGTTGATTTCGTGCTAGGCTTTTGTATCCTTTGTGTTTTGCAAGGTTTGTCTCATACCTAGTTGTTGTAGGGTCTTCCTACAAACTTTTTTGGTTAGATCTTTGTAGATTTGTGTAGATCTATCTTTTTGGTATGTGTTGTGGTGTCATTACAGTTTTGGAGTTGATGAGGTGGATTTTCATCATATCTCCGTGTTGAGGGATGGAGCTATTGATTTTGTGGATATACTATCAATTGGTGCTTTGAGTTTAGCGATGTTTGGGAGACGTTATGACCATGTGTCATGGTGAAAGTTGAGTGAGATTTGCTTTTCTACTTGTAGGTGTTTCCTATTCCTAACTCCCAAATTGGTAGAGAGTTTTATCTCTCATATGATCTTCTTACAGCACAAATGCAGTGGCTTTATGGATCCTCTTATGTTTCTCAGTTCCTGGTGAACTGGGATTTCAAGATATAAAATTATTTTTGTTCATTGCCTTGCAATAGTTGTCTTTACTATTTACAAGAGCTCTTTGTGGGACTAGATTCTTGTAATGTCCTTTTATTAATGAAATTGTTGAAACTATAAAAAAGAAAAAGAAAAAAGGAAACATATAAAACTAGTCCAAGTAACATCAAAGAAGCAAGGCAATCTCATGAAACCCATTTAATCAAAACTAATTGCAGCATATTACATATGTAGCATAGTTTGAGTAAAATGGTAATGCTACATTCAATCTTAGGAGGTTGGTGAGTAAAATATTTTTAAAATGATAAGGTATAGATTGCGTTACCATACCTGAAAATGGATCAAATTAGTCTGTATTCAATCCGATCTGATAGGAAAAATAATTCGATCATATATGATAATCCAAAGGATTATTAATAAACAAATCCATATCTGATTGCTAAGTTAACGAATATTTGATGTCATAATTTGATCCGACTTCTATTTTATATACTTTTATTCATTAACCATTAATAGTGTTATTTTTACCAATAACATACTTTTAAGTATAGAAGTTTATTGTGACAAGTATTTTTGTTTAGTAGAGAAGATTTAAATAAGAAAAAAAAATATATAATTTTTTTAACTTATAAATATTCAAATTACTATACTATTAAGGGTTTACCGAATATACGTATATTAAATCAGGACTTATATTACACGCGCATTCGAATTAAAATCCGATCCATTGACAAGTTTAGTTATCACTCCACTTTAAAGTGTCATTATATTATCATGAGTAAAAACAATCAGAGTCTATCTTTGTATCTGTTATGAAATATTTATCATAGTTAATAAACGTTACTATTTTGAGCTGATGAACAATATGATTGCAAATAACCTAACGGCTTTTAAATTGGATCTTGAGGCATTGGGTTGAGCCTAATGCTAAAGATCTTGCTTGCTAGGCCGAATGGAGAAGTTGCTGTTAACTTTGCGTTGGGCCAGTCAGGGCGAGGGCCCGTTCGTAACCAAACGAAAAACCAGAACACCAACCAATTAAGAAGCTACACAAAGTAGCATGCTTGCGCAGAACGACCTCCACGTGTTTGCATGCATGCAACGACACAAAAGTCCGCATGCAACAGCACCGCCTGTAACCGTTTACTACATTTACAAAAATACCCCTCACGAGCAACATATATTTATCTTTCTCAGGGTCAGAACGGTCAATCATAAAAAATATGAGCTCCAAGTATAAAAGCACAGCCAAGAACAAGAGATAGCTAGCTGTGATTAAGCTAGCGGACCAACCGAAGAAATCAAAGATGGTTGGAGCAGTTCTTCCTCCAACTCTAAAATGCGCCGTGAGTGCCGTTGCAGTCTTAACCTGCGCACTTATAAGCACCCTCTCTTTCGCTCTCCACGACGCCGCACAGGACCCAATCATACACCAAGTCACAGACAATCACCGCCCTCTGCTGGGGACAGAGAGAAGCTTCCAGATGTTCATCGAGAAATACGGGAAGAAGTATTCGACCCAAAAGGAGTACATGCACCGCCTCGGGATCTTCGCAAAGAACATGGTCAGAGCCGCCGAACACCAGGCCCTTGATCCGACGGCTGTCCACGGCGTCACGCCTTTCTCTGACCTGTCCGAGGAGGAGTTCGAGCGGATGTACACCGGCATGAGAGCTGTCCCGCCGGCCAGCTCGAACGACGGCGTTTCGGATAGTGCTCCACCGGTTATGGATGTTAGTGATTTGCCTAAGAACTTTGATTGGAGAGAGAAAGGAGCTGTTACTGAGGTCAAGATGCAGGTAATTAATAACTATTAACAATTTATTACCTAATCTTTTTTTTTTCTTTCATCTCTCCAGGAATAATTAAAAAAAATCCCACAAATAATCCTCATGAAACTGTCCAAAAAAAGAAGTTATTTTGTGTCACGAGACTTGGTCATGGATATGATTATTAGAAAAGTTGATATAGATCAAATTCTCATTGAGGAGTTGGGTTTAATCCTCGGATTTAGTGATTTTGATCTAAGTTCTTTGACTTTTGTACTTATATATATATATATATATTTTTTTTTTTTGATGTAATATTTTTTATTATTTATTTTTAAAATTATTTTTGTTCTAATGTTTCCCCTTATAACTTGAATTGGATAATAATCATTTATGTCATAATTAGTTATTTACAACGTTTGACATTGAATAGAAAAGGAAAATATAGAAAACATATCCCAAAAATCACGTTTTTACCTACAATCATGCTCCTTCAAAGTCTAAATGTTTTGGCAAAGGGTGTAGGTATATTGTCTTATTGCCTATTGCATAGGTATATATGTGTTTTAAATGTGTTTTCCTTATTTACATCAAAGGGTAAAATCAACACAACAAAAAACGTAATAAATGTCAAAGGACCTATATCTAAAACAAACAATACATGGACTAAACCTAATGACAGCTAATCATTTTGGACCTAGAGCTAAGAAGCCCTATGATTATTTCATTTGAATTTTGCAGGGTGGGTGTGGGTCGTGCTGGGCCTTCAGCACTACAGGAGCAATTGAAGGAGCCAATTTTATTGCAACAGGAAAGCTTCTTAGTCTCAGTGAGCAACAGCTTGTGGACTGCGATAGCACAGTAATTAATTAATTAACCTCTAAATTATAATGGTGTTTATAGTTACATACACATTGGTTAATTACTTGTTTCAAATTTACATTTATGATGATGTTCATCAAATCTAGTTTAATAATTTGTTTAAATTTCGATTTGAAGTGCGATGCGAAAGACAAGACTGCGTGCGACAGTGGGTGTGGTGGCGGGCTTATGACAAATGCCTATGAATATCTGATTGAAGCGGGAGGGTTGGAGGAGGAGAGCACATACCCATACACCGGAAGACGGGGCGAATGCAAATTTAATCCGGACAAGGTGGCTGTAAAAGTTGCCAATTTTAGCACCATCCCTATTGATGAGGACCAAATTGCAGCCAATTTAGTCCACCGTGGCCCCCTTGCCAGTAAGTACATACACACTATTAAAGACCTAGGATTTGAAACTTAAGACCTCTTTCAATGTTAGTACTTCAGCTACCATATAATGTGACAATAAAAAAATGTGAATTAACTATGTAACTATGCTTAACACTATTTATGTTGCAGTCGGGTTGAATGCTATGTTTATGCAAACATACATCGGCGGTGTTTCGTGCCCCCTAATCTGTTTCAGGAAATGGGTGAACCATGGTGTTTTACTTGTGGGGTATGGTGCCAAGGGCTACTCCATTCTCAGGCTGCGCAACAAGCCATATTGGATCATCAAGAATTCATGGGGTGAACAATGGGGAGAGAATGGGTATTATCATCTTTGCCGAGGCCATGCCATGTGTGGTATGAACTCAATGGTCTCTGCAGTTGTGACCCGTACTCGTCCCGCCTAGCTACAAGGCTAAAACTATAAGAGACATAGACATGTTTGCAGCTCTTTTGGTTAAACTTGTGTGTTTAATTTTCCTATATATATATATATATATATATCTACCCCTTAGTTTCTTGAAATTCTTCTTGTACCTTTTGGTTAAGATTATGGAGAGAGAAAACTGAACTGGTTCTGCTTGGGTGTGGTAGGGTGCGTATTTTGTTTTGTTTTGTTTTTGTTTGAAGAGAATGAGATTGACGGTGATATCAATGTCGAAGATCTATGAATTAATAGAGTGCATGATGAAAATGATAACCATTGTTTGTTGCCACTGGAAACCAAAAGTCAGAGCCTATTCCCTTCAACATTATGATAATCTTGATACCATACTCGAAGAAAGTGAGCCTATTCCCTTCGTATTCATGATCCCTTAACAAATACCAAAAGAAGATATATTTTCAAACAACTTAAAACTTGGCAAGATGCAATCATGTTGGCTAAACAATGGCCACACAAATGAATGGTAATCTAGAACTCTACAAAAGATAGTGGTTGGAATAGCAAATCAAAGTGAAAAGTGAAGAGCAATACTTGTGGTTTGTGATGATGGTAATGTTCCATCAATGAAATGTGGTTTAAGCGAGATAACTCCGCACCTGAGCTACCAATCATCAATAATGAAGTGAGGCCGATAGCGTTGTTCTATAGTGAAGTAACCAAGTCCGCAAGGAGTAGCAACCAGGAAATCCACATGAACGACAAAGGAATCACTCTTTTCGAACCACCATCTCAATGGACATATTGGAAGATAAGTCTTTTGTTGTTGTTTTTTGATAGGGAAATCGGGGAAAGAAAAGCTTGCTGAGAGCTAAGACTATGGGGGCAGACAGTGCAGAGAAAGGAAGAACAAGAAAACAAAACAAAAAGAAGTGACGTAAAGGCATTTGTTTTAATTTTTTAATTTATTTTTTATTTTAAGAATGATGTGTCAAGTTTAAAACTCTTAGATTAAATTTTAATGAGATGACGTGTAGTGGACAAAAGTTAAGCAGATCATGACAGATAAAATCAAAGCAGAGGATCCGGATCCATTCAGCATATATTGTAATTTTACTTTGTCAATTTTCGATGTTGGACTTACATTCTTCAACACAAGTCTCCTCTAAATTAATAAAATTCATTTGTTGCAATTACTGTTCTATCTTTCCCTAAACTTCTCTAAACATAAACCAACATTCAATCGTTCAGCCATAATAGCGCCAATTAATTTTTGGGTTGAATGCTTAAATTATGTCATGATTATATGTGAGTTATTTTTGTTGAAGAATACACAGAGTCCTACATTGGAAACTTAACAAAATAGAAAATAAAATATAATGAATGACTCCACTTCTAATAACATTGAAGCCTTTTATATAAAACCCTGCTAAACATGTGGTTAAGTTGGGGACAATATCAATGTTGCTAGCGCTGGGTTAGGGGTCCGTCCCTCTGAAATCTTAACCACCGTAAATAAGCTTAATTAGTTTTATATGTTTTATGGGTACCCAATATATTATATATATGCAGAAACTAAAAAGCTAGCCTTCAAATTCCTCCTCCACCGATCATCTTTTCTGACCTAGGTTTCAAACTCTCAGAGGCACTTCTCGATTTTATTTCTATTACGCCAATTAACCATCCTATGGCTTCTTTCCCACTTGATGACCAGGTTCTAGTACAAGAGACTATGTTCGTGAGAACATTGACCTTGAACAGGCCTCGCCAACTGAACACCCTTTCCCTTGAAATGATCTCTCAGCTGTCAGAACTTTTCCTGGCCTATGAGGACGATGCCAATGTCAAGTTGATCATTCTCAAGGGTAGAGGAAGAGCATTTTGTGCTGGCGGCAATCTAGCTACCGTGCATCGTCACTTTCTTGAAGGAAATCTGAAATATGGTGAAAAAGTTAGTCAGAAGATCATCAACTTAACCTATTTGATAGCAACATACAGTAAACCCTAGGCAAGTATGCAACTAATTTCCATAATGAGCTTTGAAATTTGTGTTAAATATTTTTTGGATAATTCTACAAGTGCTACGTACTATATGTATCATCTCAACTAGTCAATTAGTATACCTGGTGGCGGATCCACCATTGGGTCAATGGGGTTAGACGACCCCATGGTAGCCCTGGAAATGGCTTGGAGGTTCTTGGTTTCTCTTGGCAACCATGGGAGACGACCCCATGGAGAAGAAGATGCAAGCTGCTAGGGAGAAGAAATAGGGAGGAAGAAGAAAGAGAGAGAGAGAGGGGGGGAGGAAGAAGAAGAAGACTAAGGGAGAAGAAAATAGAGGAGGGGGAGGAAGAAGATGAAGACTGAGAGGGAGAAGAAGATGCGCCGACATAATTTTTTTTTAAAAGGAAGATATTTGTTAGGTTTTTTTTTAATATTATTTTAATTTTGTTGAGTAGACATATAAATACTAAAAGTATAGATGAATAGCATAAAGACATCACTTACCATAGTGGTCTTTGAATAGAAATGGACCTTAAGGTTAATGGTTCAACACTCACTGTGTTTTTTGTTTTTTTTTAATATTCAAGATATTTTATTATTTGGGTTATTTTTGGGTGAGTTTATTTATTATTTAGGTTGGTGTTATTATTTTGATGAAATTTATGGCTTACATAATACATATATGAGCATGATTTATTGAATGATGTTTTCATTAGATGGAATAAGTTTGATGTGTTTTTAAATTATTATTTTTTTTGCATTATTTCATTTTAAAAAGAAAATTGGAACTTTAACATTATGACCCCATAGGGTAACAATCCTGGATCCGCCACTGACGTGTATCTCTCGCATCTGTTCAGTCAAGATGGTACAAATAGTTTCATTGTACTTTCTTTTGTTAGACTTGAAGTTTTCATATCTTTTGTTACTTATTTATAAAAACAAAACAGGTTTCAATTCTGAATGGGATTGCCATGGGAGCTGGGGTTGGTATTTCAGTCCACGGAAAATTCCGTGTAGCAACAGAGAATTTGATCTTTGCAACGCCAGAAAATGGTCTGGGATTTTTTCCTAATGTGGGTGCTTCTTATTTCTTGTCAAGACTTCCTGGATTTTTTGGAGAGTATTTGGGTCTCACAGGTGCCAGGTTGGATGGTGCTGAAATGCTTGCTTGTGGTCTAGCAACTCACTTTGTTCCCTCAGCCAAATTGCCTCTACTGGAAAAGGCTCTGATTTCCAGAGCAGCTTCAGCTACTTCCTCAAGCTTTGATCTTGCTTTTATTTCAGCAATTATAGACGAACACTCCCTACAGCAACCGGCTATGAACGAGAAAAGTGCTCTTCACAAAATTGATGTCATTAACAAGTGCTTTTCCAGACCAACAATTGAAGAAATCTTAAGTGCCCTTGAGAGGGAGGCTGCAGAAGCAAACATGGCACATGATGACCATCGTTATGAATGGTTAGCTTTGACGATTCGTTTACTGAAGAAGGCATCGCCGATGAGCTTGAAGATTTGTTTGAGATCCATTAGAGAAGGAAGGATGCAGGCAATTGATGAATGCCTTGTCCGCGAGTACAGAATAACTAGCCATATACTGCGAGGGCAAATGAGCAAGGACTTCAGAGAAGGTTGTAGAGCTATCGTGTGGGACAAGGATAAGAAACCAAAGTGGAAGCCTTATAGTTTGGAGCTCATCACTGACCATATGGTTGATCACTACTTCTCTAAGTTGGATGGTGATGAAGAATTAAAGCTCCCTGATCAAAGATCCAACTTGCCTGCATTTGCCAATGCCAAGCTTTGAGCTAAATGTTATTCCAATTTTATTAGCCCACACCCCGACAATTTGTTGGTCTTGTTTTCACGTCTGTTGAAGTTTCCTTTTTGTTGTGGAGAGTTTGTTTTGTTTATTTAGTTTTAATTCAGTAAAGTTGTGTTCTTTAGAAACGGATTGTTGATTACATTGGGAGAAGGGATTGTGTGGTAATTTGTATGTTTTTCCTGAGGTTACGTGCAAATTTTTTAAAGTTTGATACTAATTTAAAACGACCTCTAAAAATTGGGTAGTTTTGTTTTATGTAGTTAACCTAATATAATATATAGTAGAAAAAGAAAATGACACTCCTCCTTTAAATGCGATTTGGAATATATCCTTCCAGTTTCTTTAAGCAATTTGAAATAAGTCGTGAGAGGTATTCAATATTTAGGGCCTGAAAATTTGAAGGCCCCGTTTGATAACTATTTCAATTTCAATTTTTAGTTTTCATTTTTTGTGCTAGAGTATAGAGTAGAATGAGAGTGAGAATGAGAGTGAGGAGGGGAGGGGAGGGATGTGTACTAAAAGTAAAAAAAAACACTTGAAAGTGAAAATGATTTCAAATAGAATTCAGTTTTTAGTCTTAGTTTTCACTTTTCTTATTCCTCCTTCTTATCTTCCCTCTCAATCCCATCTTCATCCTTATTTTCACTCCCATTCTCCCTCTTTTCCCTCCATACTCTAACACAAAAATTGAAAAAAAGGGAAGATGAAGAGAATCACAGAGACCATAGAGAAAGAAGGGGAAGATGAAGAGAAGCGACTGAGACCAGTGAGAGAGAGAGAGAGAGGAGGGGGGGGGGGGGAAAAAGGGGGGGTTGGATTTGCGACTTGTAGGTAGTTGGATGGATGGTTGTTATCTTGCCAGCACATAACAATAGTATCGGCATACATCTCCTTGGCTTTAGTTGGGTACACCGTGTGTAGGGTACACTATATTATATTACTTTTTAATTTTATATTTATTATATTTAATTTGAATGTCACCAATACGTATTGTTTTTCCCACGTTTTATATTGCAAAATTACTATTTAAGTGTCAAATGATTTTATATTTACTATATTTAAATCAATAGTCATCAATTCTTTAAAGTGTGAGATAACTAGTCACAATTAATAGTGACCACTCATTCAAATGTCACGAAAATCTATTTGTTGCTTTAAAATTGTGACTATTGTCTTCTATTTTTGTAGTGAAATTAGTTACAGTATACGTATAATTTTCATACGTTACCTTCATATACGTGTCAAAATGTGACTCAAGAATGACTCTTTACATATAACGAGCACCCTCTGATGACCAACCCGTATCAATTGTGATCATGTTCTATTTCTTTATTTTCTTCAAATGTGACTCAACAAAGCCCGCTGTATGCAAGTGTTATGGCCTCTGCAGGGTCTATTCATTAATCTAGAATGAGCAAACAAACGCAAGTCGTACAAGTTTCCATTTTCCACCAGTCACAGACTAGGTTAGGGCCACCTCGATGTCGATCTGTAGTAATAGTTTCAGCAATATCTGTACTGTATTATAAAAAAGATTGCCTTCCAATTCCTCCACCTCTCATCTTCTCAATAAAAGATTGCTCCTAGGTTTCCATGGCTTCTTTTCAACTTGATGACCAGGATCTGGTACAAGAGAGACTTTGTTCGTGACGACATTGATCCTAAATTGGCCTCAACACTGTCCCAATTGTTAGATCAGTTTGTTTGTTTATTTATTTTTAATTTAATAAAGTTGTGTTCTATAGAAACAGATTGTTGATTACACTGGGAGAAGGGATTGTGTGGCTTTTAATTTGTATGTTTTTCCTGAAGTTGAGTTTCTACGTGCAAGATTGTGAAGGTTGAGTATTAATTTGAAATGACCTCTAAAGATGGAGTATTAGAGAGAACTTTATAGAGATGTCCTACACAAGAATGTCAAGGAGAATTCATCAATTCATTAGTTTGTCTTATCTTCTTTTCCTTAAGTGCTACGTACTATATGTATCATCTCAACTGGTCAATTACTTTTCCATACGACGTATATCTCTCGCATCTGTTCAATCGAGATGGTAGAAATAGTTTCATTGTACTTTCTTTTGTTAGACTATGGAGTTTTCATATAATTTCTTTCAATACCATCTTTTGTTATTTATTTATAACAACAAAACAGGTTTCAATTCTGAATGGGATTGCCATGGGAGCTAGGGTTGGTATTTCAGTACACGGAAAATTCTGTGTAGCAACAGAGAATTCGATCTTTGCAATGCCAGAAATTGGTATGGGATTTTTTCCTAATGTGGGTACTTCCTATTTCTTGTCAAGACTTCCTGGATTTTTTTGGAGAGTATTTGGGTCTCACAGGTGCCAGGTTGGATGGTGCTGAAATACTTGCTTGTGGTCTAGCAACTCACTTTGTTCCCTCAGCCAAATTGCCTCTACTGGAAAAAGTTTTGATTTCCAGAGCAGCTTCAGTCCTCAAGCTGTGATCTAGCTTTTATTTTAGCAATTATAGATGAATACTCCCTACAGCAACTGGCTCTGAACGAGAAAAGTGCTCTTCACAAAATGGACGTCATTGACAAGTGATTTTCATAATAATAAAAAAAAAGGAAAATTAGGAGTATAGGTTGTTCATTAAAAATATAAAAAAATAAAAAAATAAAAAAATAAAAAAATAAAAAAAAATAAAAAAAAAGGAAAAAAGAAGAAGTTGGCAATAGGCTAAAAGACGGAAATACTTTTTTCATTTTAAAGAAAGTTTTATAGAGATGTCCTACACAAGAATGTCCAGGAGAAATCGTTAATTCATTAGTTTGTTTTATCTTTTTTTCCTTAAGTGTAATGTTGGATGAGCTATCATGATTATCATTAGTAGGCCTGAGTGGGCTAAATTAAATTTTTGAATAATAAAATAACAACTCACCTAGGCTATAGTCCATATTAGTCCCTTCTTGGGATCATTCCCACTGGCGAAGCTAGTGCATGCCCAGGGTGGGCATTGGCCCCCTCTCAAATATTGTTGTATATACAATTTTATGTTAGTATATTGTACAAAATATTATAAAATTCCTCAAAAATTCTTAAATGGCCATTATTTTCTTTGTTTATCTTTCATTTTCATGTCTAAATTTCTTTTGAATTGCATGTATTTTGTTATCATAAAAGAGTGATAGGTTATTCATACATAACATAAAGGAAAAAAGAGAGAGAAAAGTAATAAAATTAGGGATTTCTTAAAAACTAGGTTGATTTGTCATAAAATAAAGTGTTTGAATTTTTAAAGGTGCCCCCTCTTACTTAAATTCCTGACTTCGCCACTGTCCATTACCTATATGTGGAGGAGGATTAGTCCAATCCCAAGTTCGGCTCTTCATTAGTGGTCCATTGTAATGGCCAGTTTGGCATTGTTATGCTGTTAAAATAATCGTTGTCAGATTTGCTGTAAGAGAAATCAGCTATGAAATAAAGCAGTTTGGCGTTTGGTAAACTTTTTGTTAAAAGTGTTGTTGGTACTAATTCCCACATAATTAGAAAATGATTGTCACATAATTATTAAACTCAGCACCTCTTTGAAACTAATTCATGTATAATCAGAAAATGAAAGCACATCATTAGCTACTTTCCCTTATAACTTTCTCTCACAACAATTTTTAACAATAAGTGATTTTCTCACAGTTTACCAAACGGTCTGTGCTTTCCAATTTTTTTTTAAAATCACTTATTACCTCAAATAAGCAATGTCAAACTGGCACTAAGTCTTTTCCTTTTGTAGGAAAAAGACAAACAAATTACAGTTTGATTTGATGTGTGTGTAGAACATCTCAATCTTAAGTTCAACTCTTCATTAGTCTCCCCTGGTCCATTGTAAGCCTTTTCTTTTCGTATGGAAAAAAGCAAACAAATCACAGTTTGATGTGTTTGTAGAACATCTCAATCTTAAGTTCAGCTTTTCATTAGTCTTTTTTTTTTTGGTCAATGCTTTTCATTAGTCTCCCCTGGTCCATTGTAAGCCTTTCTTTTTGTATGAAAAAAAGCAAACAAATCACAGTTTGATGTGTTTGTAGAACATCTCAATCTTAAGTTCAGCTCTTCATTAGTCTCCCCTGGTCCATTCTAAGCCTTTTCTTTTTGTAAGAAAAAAGAAAACAAATAGTTCTTTCCTCTGATGACCAAACCCCGTTCTGCTAACCACGTTCTGCTATTTCTTTCTTTTCTTCACGTTTTTTCTCTGCCTATGCTGCTTATTTACGGACGGAACACAAAGAAAGGCAAGTGTGTGAACATTTTTTTCTGCCAAGTCAATTTATGCATTGATGCTGGTCCAGCCTAGTACGAAGTTGTTCCTCCCCGCCCCCGGGCCCCCCCACCCCCCCACACCACATACACCACATGTGACATGGGCTCATACAAAGCAAAGTTGATTACAACTTGTTGACAACTAGGTTTTTGTTTCCATTTTCAATCATTTAACAATATCTACACTGTCAATTAATTTTGGGCCGAATTCTCAAATTCTATCATAATGTTTGTATCATTTTAATTGTCAATGTTCTAAAAAATTCTGCCAAAATAAAACAGTAAAATATTTTTCTGTTATTTCTATTGTAAGTTGAAATGGTATAAATAGGTTTATTTGTTTTCGAGGAACCCGATAATATATTGTAGGTCTATATCTTTCTTCTTCTTCTTTTTTTTCAAAAAAGAAAAAAAAGAAAAGACAGAAGCATAGAAAAGGTAGTTTCGTGCTGGCGAAACTAAGGGGCTCATCCTTCTTTTAAGTAGAAGGTAGGCTAGCTTTGTTTTTTTTAATAGCTTCCACATATTACATGCCTCGGTCACAGACTAGGTTAGGGCCACCCCGATGTCGATCTGTAGTAATAGTTTCAGCAATATCTGTACAGTCAATTAATTTTGGGTCGAATTCTCAAATTCCATCATAATATTTGCACTATTTTAATTGTCAATATTTTTTAAAAATAATATGACAAAATAAAACAGTACAAATAGTTTTATGTTATTTATGTTGTACGTTGAAATAGTATGAATAGTTTTATTTGTTTTCGAGGAACCCGAAAATATATTGTGTCAATTTTTTTTTGTTCGAAAAAGGAAAAAAAAGAAGAAGATATAGACATGCAATATGCAGAAACCAAAAGGCTGGCCTAACTTGTACTTATAAAAAAGATTGCCTTCCAATTCCTCCACCTCTCATCTTCTCAATAAAAAGTTGCACCTAGGTTTCAAACTTTGAGTGCACTTATCGACTTTATTTCTGTACAAATTGAACATTTCCATGGCTTCTTTCCAACTTGATGACTGGTTCTGGTACAAGAGACTTTGTTCGTGAGGACATTGATCCTGAATAGGCCTCGACACTGTCCCAATTGTTTGATCATTTTGGAGAGTTTGTTTGTTTATTTATTTTTAATTCAGTAAAGTTGTGTTCTATAGAAACAGATTGGATTACACTGGGAGAAGGGATTGTGTGGCTTTTAATTTGTATGTTTTTCCTGAAGTTGAGTTTCTACGTGCAAGATTGTGAAGGTTGAGTATTAATTTGAAACGACCCCTAAAGATGGAGTATTAGAGAGAACTTTATAGAGTTGTCCTACACAAGAATGTCAAGAAGAATTCATCAATTCCTTAGTTTCTCTTATCTTCTTTTCCTTAAGTGTATTGTTGAATGAGTGATGACATGATTATCATTAGTAGGCTTGAGTGGGCGAATTAAATTTTTGAATAATAAAATAACAATTCACATAGGCTATAGTCCATGTTAGTCCCTTGTTGGGACCATCCCTGCCTATATGTGGAGGAGGATTAGTCCAATCCCAAGTTCGGCTCTTCATTAGTGGTCCATTGCTTTTGTAGGAAAAACAAAAACAAATTATACTGTTTGACGTATGCGTAGAACATCTCAATCTTAAGCTCATATCTTCATTAGTCTCCTGTGGTCCATTGTAAACGTTTTCCTTTCGGATCAAAAAAATGCAAACAAATCACAGTTGATGTGTATGTAGAACATCTCAATCTTAAGTTCAACTCTTCATTAGTCTCCCCTGGTCTATTCTAAGCCTTTTCTTTTTGTAAGAAAAAAGAAAAGAAAAAGTTCTTTCCTCTGATGACCAAACCCCGTTTAAATTGTGCTTCAAGTTTAAAGCACAATTTAAACACGTTCTGCTATTTCTTTCTTTTGTTCAATTTACGGACAGAACACAAACAAAGGCAAGTGTGTGAACATTTTTTCCTGCCAAATCAATTTATGCATTGATGCTGGCTGGCCCAGCCTAGTAGTTGTTCCTCCCCCAACTCACACCACATGTGACATGGGCTCATACAAAGCAAAGTTGATTACAACTTGTTATATTAACAACTAGGTTTTTGTTTCCATTTTCAATCATTCAATATCTGTACTGTCAATTAATTTTGGGTCGAATTCTCAAATTCCATCTTAATATTTGCACTATTTTAATTGTCAATATTTTTTAAAAATAATATGACAAAATAAAACGGTACAAATAATTTTATGTTATTTATGTTGTAAGTTGAAATAGTATGAATAGTTTTATTTGTTTTCGAGGAACCTGAAAATACATTGTGTCGATTTTTTTTGGTTCCAAAAAGGAAAAAAATAGAAGACATAGACATGCAATATGCAGAAACCAAAAGGCTGGCCTACCTCGTACTTATAAATAAGATTGCCTTCCAATTCCTCCACCTCTCATCTTCTCAATAAAAAGTTGCACCTAGGTTTCGAACTTTTAGTGCACTTATCGATTTAATTTCTATACAAATTGATCATTTCCATGACTTCTGTCCAACTTGATGACCAGGTTCTGGTACAAGAGACTTTGTTCGTGAGGACATTGACTCTGAATAGGCCTCGCCAGCTGAACACCCTTTCCCTTGAAATGATCTCTCGTCTGTCAGAACTTTTCCAGGCCTATGAGGACGACACCAATGCCAAGTTGATCATTCTCAAGGGTAGAGGAAGAGCATTTTGTGCTGGCGGCGATCTAGCAGCCATGCATCGTCACTTTCTTGAAGGAAATCTGGAATATGGTGAAAATATTGTTCAGAAGATCCTCAACTTAACCTATTTGATAGCAACACACAGTAAACCCCAGGCAAGTATGCAATTAATTTCCATTATGTCTTCAATATCTAGGTTTAATATTTTGTTGGATACTAAGTGTCATATATCGTATCTTCCCCGAGATGGTACAAATAGTTCTATCGTACTTTCTTTTGCAGACTTGAAGTTTTCCTAGAATTCTTTCAATACCATCTTTTGTTATTTATACATATATTTTGTAAAATAGGTTTCAATTATGAATGGGATTGCAATGGGAGCTGGGGTTTGTATTTCAGTACACGGAAAATTCCGTGTAGCAACTGAGAACTCCATCTTTGCTATGCCAGAAAATGCTCTGGGATTGTTTCCTGATGTGGGTCATTTCTTGTCAAGACTTCCTGGATTTTTTGGAGAGTATTTGGGTCTTACAGGTACAAGGTTGGATGGTGCTGAAATGCTGGCTTGTGGTCTGGCAACTCACTTTGTTCCCTCAGCCAAATTGTCTCTGTTGGAAAAAGCACTAATTTCCAGAGCAGCTTCAGCTACATCAAGCTGTGATCTTGCTTTTATTTCAGCAATTATAGACGAATACTCCTTGCAGCAACCGGCTCTGAACGAGAAAAGTGCTTTACACAAAATGGATGTCATTGACAAGTGCTTTTCCAGACCAACAGTTGAAGATATCTTAAGTGCCCTTGAGAAGGAGGTTACTACAAGAGATGCAAACAGGGCAGGTGATGAATGGCTAGCTTCAACGATTCAATCGCTGAAGAAGGCATCGCCGATGAGCTTGAAGATTTGTTTGAGATCCATTAGAGAAGGAAGGGTGCAGGCAATGGATGAATGTCTTGTCCGCGAGTACAGAATAGCTTGTCATGTTATGAGAGGGCAAATAAGCAAGGACTTCAGAGAAGGTTGCAGAGCTATCTTGTGGGACAAGGACCAGAAACCAAAGTGGAAGCCTTCTAGTTTGGATCTTATCACTGAGCATATGGTTGACCAATGCTTCTCTAGGTTGGATGGTGATGAAGAATTAAAGCTCCCTCAAAGATGCAACTTGCCTGTATTTGCCAATGCCAAGCTTTGAGCTAATTGTGATTTTGGTAAGCTCTGTTTTATCCCAGGCGATTTGTAAGTTTGGCTCTTCATTATAGTTTCCACAGAGTCAATCGTGATTCGTAAGCCTTTTAAAATAATTATAAAATTATAAAATAAAATAAAAAGCAAACAATTTAGTTACAGTATACGTATAATTTTCATACGTTACCTGTATATATGTGTCAGAATGTGACTCAAGAATGACTCTTCACATATAACGAGCACCCTCTGATGACCAACCTGTTTAAATTGTGACCATGTTCTATTTCTTTATTTTCTTCAAATGTCTGTGTTATGGCCTCCGCAGAGTCTATTCATTAACCTAGAATGAGCAAACAAAGGAAAGTCCTACAGGTCTCCATTTTCCATCAGTCAGAGACTAGTTTCAGCAATATCTGTTCTGTCAATTAATTTTGGGTCGAATTCTAAAATTCCATCATAATATTTGCACCATTTTAATTGTCAATATTTTTTAAAAATAATATGACAAAATAAAACGGTACAAATAATTTTATGTTATTTATATTGTAAGTTGAAATAATATGAATAGTTTTATTTGTTTTCGAGGACCCGAAAATATATTGTGTCAAATTTTTTTTTTATGTTCGAAAAAGGAAAAAAATAAAAGACGTAGACATGCAATATGCAGAAACCAAAAGGCTAGCCAACCTTGTACTCTCCACATCCCTATTTCCCTAGCCTAGATATATATTTAATAGCTATGATTTCTATCATATCATACAACACAAAATTCTGCCTTATCTATTTAATGAACATTTGTTTGTGAGTCTTTATAAAGACACCTACTTAATGTAATCAGCACTAAAACAGTGGCCTTATAACTAATTAACACAATCTAGCTATCTCGACCAGAAAGAGACATTTATATCATGATCCCAAGCATGAATGCACAAGTTGCTCTTATCAACTGACGCATCCATTTTTAGCCCATCAAATTACACAATTTGTCGGCATGAAAAAGTTCCACAAATTGCAGTTCCAGCTAAAATCCATGAAATTGTCATTAGTCTTAATTGACATTATTTTTTTTTTTCTTTTACCAAAGGGAGAGAGACAGAGACAGAGGAGGCCTTGAGCATAGGCGATCAAGGCAGCCGCCTAGGGTCTCCAAATTGGGAGGCTCCCAACCTCTATATATGCATACATTTGGTACTTTAAAAAAATTGTACTATATTAATATTGTGTTAGACCCAAGTATTGTAAAAAGAAAAAATATCCCTATTATTCGCTGAAAAATTAAAATGAGAAATTCAATAAATGGCCCATTATTATCTAAACTTATAGCTTAAGTCAATTAAAACCTGGTTGAATGACAAATTTTAATATAAAAAAGTTAACCTAGTTGAATAAGGTAAGAAATAAGATACAAGGATGATTAATTTAAAAGTTCCTATAAGCTAAGCATATATCAGTTGAGTTGAGGTTTTGACAAAAGAAAAAAAAACAAACAATTGAAGGAAGATTGAATGGCTTAGTTATGTTATCCATTGAAAAAGACGTGGTAGAAAATTTTGATTATGTAAAGTTAATTGATACTTTTGCATCCAAGAATGCAAGATGAGTGATATTTAAGTAATGTTTTGATGCATTTTATAAAGTTGTTATGTGATTACATATTGTTTGTTGATTTTTCCAGTTACAATTGTGACTTTGAGTTTGTATAATTTTTTTTTAATATTATCGGAAAAAAATCACATAAATATATACAAATGGTAGAAAGGCCACATTTTGGTAATTCGCCTTGGGCCTCCAAAACATTAGGACTGCCGCTAGAGAGAGGGAGGGTTTTGAACCGGACATAATACATTTTTAACCCTATTTTCATCATATATTTTTGGACCAAATTGAGGGCGATATATAATTCTTTTGCTTATGGTTTTGGGTTTCCTCTCGTTTTGTTTGGTGCTGATGAGGACCCATGTCCTTATAATTATTATGTTCTCAGTACATGTATACTGTGCCTCCTACTAGCTAGTCGTTGATGAAAGATCACCACTTTCTGCTGTCTAGGCTTGAAATGTACTGATCGTAGACCGGAGGAGGGACTTATTTTGGTCCCACAATGTATACTGCTATATATTTATACTTCGGTCTTTTTTTAGTTATAAAATGAAGTGTAAGTGGATAAAATTAGAGTGAGAAAATCACCACTCTTTATATATAGTATTAATGTTATACGGTAATGTCCTCCTATCATACATGCTAATTTGTCCAATTTTATTTTTTTGGGGTCAAAGTTTGAAATGGGAAGAGGGGAGGTGTTAGTGAGGTTTGATCATGAGACCAATCTTAGATCCGTTTAATGTATATGGAATATACGCATGGATTCTAGGGATTTATTAATTAATTATATATTATTCACTATAGTGTGACGAATAATTTTTCAACTATGAAGGCAACCCTTATGTAGGGCCGGCCATGGGCCTGGGAAATTAAAGTTCATCGCCGGCCTTCCAAAAAGATAATAGGTTCATTATTAATTACATGTTGTCAACCATAAAATAGTTTGTATTTGTTATTTTAGTTCAATTAAACTATTATATTTTAGTAAAAAAGAAAATACACGTGTATAATTTTTTTTTTGTTAAACTATGATTACATACAAAGAAAATTAAGTGTTTTCTTTTAATTTATGACCCCGAACCACTCAAAAATCCGGATTGACCTTGACCTTATAGGACGAAATTGAAAAATGAGAGTGTGCCAAAACTCAACTCTTCATTTAGTTTCTCATGTAGCACGAAACGCCATAAGATTTTTCTTTGTTTTTTTGGTATAAATTGTGTTGAAGGTCAACAAAAAGAAATCTCATATAAACTAAACTCACCACAAATCTTCAAATAAAAGACAGCCCATAAAAGCAGGGAAACCTCGTAAGATTTTTTTTTCCCAAGCATTTATTATGTACAGTACATGTGTCATTTCCATAAGTCTTAACTCAAGTCAGATGAGATTAATTAGCATGGATCCCCTTGTACTATTCACCAAAAGAGATTGCATGCGAGTCCAATCACAGATTTCGTTATTTTTTAGGACATCAATAAAAGATTTTCCTTACAAAAATCAATGAAATCATAAATCATTTAACTAGGGTCGATTTTGACTTTTGAGTGATCCATGGGCATAAATGGGGCCCTTTTCCCTTAATTATAGTTTAACAAGAAACAAAATTTATTTTGCACATGTATGCATTTTCTTTTTGGCTTAATTATGGTAATTCTATCAAACTAAAATAACAAAGAACATGAATCATAAAACATAAAAACCATTCACTTATATTTTTTTAGTACAAGCGATAGTTTAAATTATAGGGGAGGGAATTTCTCACACACAGAACACAACCAAGATGCCATGGGGTTTGAACCTTATACCTCTAGTCTGCAAGTCAAAGTCCTTTTTCATAGGGCTAGACCCCATTGGCAACCATCAATTTATTGAGAACAAAAAAAAAAAACAAACTAGAAGAACTAAACATTTTCTTAAAGAGTAGACACGGGCTTAGCCAAGTTGGTTAGAGCGAATGTGCTCCCCACTGCACCCTAGTTCGAATTCCCCTTTCTTAGTTTAGATTAATATAAAGTAGAATATCGCTTGTATAAAATAAATAAATAAAACATTTTCTTGAAAGTGTTTGATTAATTGGATCTTTATTATTACCAAACAAAAATAATAAATTTTTAATGTTTAATTGTAAATTTAGGCCCTTGTATTGTTAAAATTTTAAAATGATTGTTATTTGGACCCTTGTATTTTAAAACTCTCAAGAAAATCCATTTAATATGGCCTTGAACAATTTTAATATATATATAAGGGTTAATCGTTTTATTAGTCCTTAAACTTAGATCTGATTTGCATTTGAGTACCTTAATTTCCAAAATCGTTCTTGTGGTCCTTCAACTTCAGTTTCGTTAGGACAAATGGTCATGCCGTAAATTTTGTTAACTTTTCTGTTAAATGCATGGGTAAAATGGTATTTTTGTATTAAATTGATTAAAATATGAATAACAAATTTATGACTCTCCTGATCTGAGGCTCTAGGCCGTTGCCCTCGGGACCATGTCTAGGATGGCCTTGCATTTAACCATCATACTATAAACAACAAATAAATGAACACAAATATTCTCGATAAACACCAAGACATTCGTGATGATAATCAAATGGTCAAACGATTTAATATTTGTTGATTTTGTTGCAGAAATAATTAGTAAATAGGAATATAACAAAGTAGATGATTCGGTTCATTGAACCACAAAAGGAATTCTTGCTATTAAGCTTCTTGTGGTACTGTATTTGTACATAAAACTATCATACTTTTCCCCCTTACTTTGAATCAAGTGCATGCCAATAAGCTATTAAAACATTGAAAATGATTGACTTTAGGAAATGGAGTGTATCGTTTTGATTATTGTTAATGAAAAAACAATGGACCCCAAATGGAAGGCGTCAAGGATCAGGGGTTAGGTTTAGAACAAAATAAAGAATTCCAGAGGGATTTAGCAGCGGGCCCCACAAAAGATACGGTCTTGGGTTTTGAAGCAGGGCCTGGGCCAGTCAATGTGGAGCAGAGTGAGCCCAACGTTTCTGATTGATGTATCAATTTTGTTGTTTTTGGTAGAGGCCAAGACCACGCGCCTAATTTCACACGCACCCTTGGCACCCACAATCCTTTTGTTTGTCATTGTCCGTCTTCTCCATTAAGCGTGGCTTATGGGAGGAAAAAGTTGCAGGTACAAGAAGCAGGCACACCCCGCAATCTGTGCGCTTTCTTTTTTTCATTTTTAAGGTTGATTTTTGTTTTTTGTTTTTAAATTTATGGGTTTTTCTCTTTACAAACATACTCGACAAATAAGATCGATCAAAACTTCAGATGCAATGGTGAATGCTCTTAATTACGGATCATTGAAGTTACAAGTTTTTATTTATTTATTGTTTTTGGATTCCTTAAGCTCTATAAAAATGAATTTTTGA